GCGGGCTGCGCGACCTCCGCGGTACCGGGCCAGGGACCTTCTCGCCGCGGCTGTTAACAGTCTCGACGTTGACGACGAAGTTGCCGTCGCGCATGCCGACGTGCTTGATCTTGACCTCAAGCTCGTCTCCGGGAAGGATCATGCCGACGAAGGCGACGTCGTACCTATGAGATAAGTCAGAAACTATAATGGCGAGAATGAGGGCACTCAGACTTACGCAACGACGCGCTCAGGCTTGCCCTGCGCAACAACAGTCTCGACGTAGCGACGCGTCGCGGCACTCGACCACATACCGTGCGTGATCGTGCCAGGGAGGGATGCGTAATCCGCGAAGTACGGGTTGATGTGGATGGGGTTGAAGTCACCCGAGACCTTCGAGTAAGGTTCGTTGGTGGCAGGCGATGCAAACGCGGTGCTCGCGTTGACGGTCATAGTGTAGCCATCGTTGGAGAGCGGGCTAACGAGACCCTGGGGCTTACCGTGACGCTGGAGGTACGCGACGACGGGGTTGCCGCGCGAGTCGTCCTGGAGGAAGTCGACGGTGCCGACCTTGACGAGGCGCTTGATCTGGTCGCGGACGAAGACCTCGCCCGAGACGTTGACGGCCTTGTAGCAGGTCTTGTTGCGGTACGTGACCTCCGAGCGGACGCGGAAGATGAGCGTCGTGCTAGCCTGGAGGGGCTTGGTCTCGTCGTCCCACTCGAACCATTCCTTCGACTGCAGGACACCGACAGCAGCGTCCGACGGAAGCTCGACGAGGTAGTCGGGCTCCTCGAGGATCTCGAACGTGTTCTCGTAGTCGCTGAAGCGGCCACGGTAGAGGAACGAGGAGACGACCTCGATGACACGCTCGCCGTCGCGGATAACATGTCCCTTGACCTTGACTGACTTGCCGGCGTCGCTGTTGATGACAGCGACGATGCGCGCCTCTGCCTTGCAGACATCACCAGCCTTGAGAGGCTTGACGCCGTCGAGAAGGCGGAAGCCGTTCGACAAGTGCACAAGCTTGAGGAGATCTCCGTCAATGGGCGCGGGGAAGATAGCCTTCATGATTGCCTGTAGACGGTCATAAACATAAGCATCCGCCAGAGTGAAGTATGACAGTGGTTACGTACCTGCCATCCAGCAACGATGGCAAAGTCCATGGGAGCCAAGGGCGTCTCGTTGCGGGCGGACTTGAACGCCTCGCCCTGGTTGCCAACAACCGCGCAGAAGCTCTCGATGTCATCCTCGTCGATCGTGACTTCCGGGCCAGTGAACGTGTCGCGGACGTTGATCTCGGGGAGCACCTCGTCATCGCCGAACCATAGCTTCCAGTAGAAGGCCTTGATGCGCGTGTTGCGGTCGTCGGCGACCTCGTGGATGGGCGCGTAGCCCATGGCGGGCTTGTAGACGAAATGGAGGTCGAGGGGGACAGACGACCCGCGGCGCTCCTCGAAGACGGTGACGTCGATCGTCGAAGTTGTAGCATCGAAAGTAGCCTCGACCGCCTTGAACGACGGGTCGTGCTCGCCGTACGAACGAGCGCTACCGAACACTGAGATCTTGATGGGGCGAGATCCCTCAGCCTCGACGACGACCTTCTGCCCACGGCGGGGAGCGAAGAGACGACGCATGTGGTTGTCGACATACGCCGTGCCCTGCACAATAGTCGTGGAGGTGAGCAGCGCACGCGCCCAGCTGAGCTCGGGGCCCGCGAGGGTCTCGAGCCACGCCGAAGTCTCCGGGACGGACTGGCCGACGACGTAGGTCGCGGTGTTGCCAGAGACGGCGGGGGCAATCACAGTGGGGAGAGCACGGGGCGCCGGAGCGAGGTATTCGGCCGTCGGAATCTTTGACTTATCGCCGGCGTAGAGGCGGTCGACGAGCTTGTCAACGAGGATCGAGGTGATGTTTCCGAGCATCTCCTTGATAGGCTCGTCCTTGACCTTCGCGTGCTTCACGGCGACGGGGCCCTGGAGGATGCACACACGCTGGGGGTCCTGGTCGAAGACGGCGTCGATGTCCTCAGCAGCCCAGAGGGAGTCCTATTAAAGCGAAGTCAGCACGATGTAGAGTATTGTAAGGCCGGTGCATTCCACATACCTTCTTGAACCAGACCTCAAGGCTTGCATCGAGGATGGGGATGAAGGGTGCGGGCTTCTGACCGGGGCGCTGCGAGATGGCAAGGAAGTAAGCCTTGTCCTCGGACGCGAGGAGCTGCTCCGTCGCGGCCGGGTACCTCTTAAAGAACTTCTCAACAAACGCCTGAGGCTTGTCGAGCGACGTGTACGACTGAAGGATCGACGGCTTCTGGCCGCCGTTGACGCCAGCGAAGCGCTCCTCAACGCGGCGCAGCCAGTCCCCGGTGAGGTTCCGGAGCGACGTGTCGATCCAGCGCTCCTGGTGCGCGACGTACATCAAGCGCACCATGCGCAGGACGACCTCCTCGTAGGTCATGTCCGCGATGTCCTCGACGACGGAGTCGTCCTTCTTCCACCCGAACCACGGCTTCGCGAAGTCCTTGTTGAGCTTCGCGATGACCTCCGCACGGTGCTCGTTGAGCCACGTCGTGCGCTTCTCCTTCGGCAGCTTGAAGACGGTATCGTCGAACTCCTTCCAGAGCTTGACAGCGCGAGTGGCGATCTTGTGGATCGGTTCGCCGAGCTCCGAACGGACGGTAAGAATACCGCCGGTCTCCTTCGCGTACGTGCCCTCCCACTTCGAATCGTCGACGCCGGCGGCAGCGACGATGAGGTCCTTGACGGACGAGCTCGTGTGGGCCTCCTTCGCAACCATGACACGGCTGGCGAAGAGGAAGCCGTCGAAGGGCATGGGCTGAGCACCGAAGGCCTCAACCGACCAGTCACCCGTGAGGTACGGCCATACATCATCAGCGCCGCCGAAGCCAGAGCCTCCGACGAGCAGGAGATTCGAGTGCTGGCGGATGGAGCCGTACGTCGAGAGGATAGGTTGGTGGAAGTCCTCGCACGAGTGATGGCCACCCGCACGACCACCGGTCCACTGCATGATGATAGGGAAGTCGGGGTTCGCGGCCGCGATGTTCACGACCTGGCGGATGCCGTCGACGGAACCGGGCTTGAACGAGACGTGCTTGATGCCAGCGGCCCGGAGTGCGTCGATGATCTCAGCCGCCTTCTCCGTGCTGGGGATACCGGCGGCAACGCAGAAGCCCTCGATCGGGAGACCCTCGCGGCGCATCTCCTGCCACAACGGGAACTGGAAGCCAAACTGGCGCGGGTTGATGTAGAGTGCGTTCAGCGTGATACCGACGCCCGCGGGGATCTTGCTCTGGATCTCCGCCACCTTCTCGCGAAGTGCGGCGGCGTTGTAGTGTCCGCCACCCGCAAGCTCGACGTGGTAACCCGCGTCGAGGACAGCACTCACGAAGCCTGCCTTCACGGTGGTCGGCGTCATACCGGCGACCATGATTGGGGGCTTGCCGAGCAGGCGAGAGAACGGCGTGTCGATCTGGATGGCACCGTCGCTGTATCGTCGTCAGCACATATCTATGGTAAGAAATAGACATGACATACCTGGTCTTCACCAGACGGGGGGAGAACTTCTTCGCCCACCATTGCTCGGTCTTGATGTTCTGCGCGTCGTAGAGCTCCGCAGGACCCTTGGACTTGTCGCCCGCAATGATGACGCGCACACCACGGCCCTCGAGGTTGCGCGAAGTCAGGGGACCGATTCCGCTCAAACCACCAGGACCGAAGTCGACCGCGTGTGTAGCGGTCTCAGGGAAGTCGGTCGCCTTCGACCAGTGGATCGGAAGAGTGAAGATCTGGTCGCAAAGCGCCCGAGTAAGAGACCCATCGACTGATCGGAGGTCGGAGCCTAATACATACACGGTCAGATGAGCCTTTAAATGACTGATTGAGCACACATACCGTTCTCCGTGTGGTACACAGGGATTGCAAGGTCCTCCTTGGACCACAACTCCTTGCCCTCCAGGTCGTCCATGACCTCGTCCGCAACGTCCGCGAGGTACTTGCTGTGGTAGGGGACGCCAACTACGAGGAAGCGCACCGAGAACACAGGCTTCCGTTGTGAGAAGGGAGTCTTGCTCTGGTCGAGCCCGCTGGGTGCCCGGACCTTCCGGAGGTGGGTGACGAGGCCGTACAGCGCCCGCGAGGGGCCGGTGACGACGAACGCTTTGGGGCCGTTGTACAGGGACACGCCGATCTGCGAGTTGTCGGGAAGGTGCTTGTTCGTCTTCGCGATGTGCGCCTCGAGGTCCTTGAGAGGCAAGCCAGTGACGGACAACATAGGGCTGGGAGCGCCCTCGCCGCCCTCTACCGAGTCTTGCACAATGCTTGGCTCGAGCGCGAGGACGGGGAACGCCTGCTGGCCGCGCAGGCCGGAGTAGAAGAGCCACCTGAGGGCCTTCGACGCGTTCTCAAAGAACGACTCGTTGGTCTTCGACGCCGCGATGCAGAGCGCCGAGACGAGACCCTGAGAGTGGCCAGTAGACCCTTGGAGACGAGAGAGGAGGTCGCCAGGGTTGGACTGAGTGACTCGGCATACGACCAGATACTGCGTGAGTTGCGTAAGGCCAATGAGAGGGAATGAGATGGGGATGGTGGCGAGGTAGGCGACAGGGGGGCGCGGTGATGCGCCTGTCAGCCATGAAATTACGTCAAGGCCATGCGTGTAGTAGGTGTCCTCCTCGGATTCCTCGACGAGGGGAATCAGGATATCGCGGGTAACATTCGTCAGGAATTGTGAGACGTAGGGCTTGTAGATGTCGTAGAGAGTCTGGAGCTCGTCAAAGTAGACCTCGTTGGTCCCTTGACCGCCGAAGAGTGCGTAGACAGACGCGTCTCCGCGCTTCGCTGCGGAGAGAAGCGCGCTGGACGGCCCATATGGGATAGCAGAGACCTGCTTCGCCTCGAGCGTCGCAAGGGCCTTGAAGTATGACGCGAGGACGGTCTTGCGAACCTCGGTGTCGAAAGCGGCAGCAATTACGTGGATGTCCTGAGAGGACAGGTAGGTCTTGGTAAAGTACTTGAGCGACTTGAGAAGGATGGAGGTGCGCGCTGGCTCCGACTGCGCGTCCTCATCCAATTTCTCTGCTGCAAAGCGCAGGAAGCGGGCGAAAAGTTCTACGGTCGCCTCTGTCGCGTTTTCAAGCTCCGCGGTAGTCTCTATAGCATCGTCGGTCGTCTGAACGTGGGTGAAGTCGTCTCTAAGCACTTCCGCGGCGGTCCACTCGTCTGCGTCGGTGGAGACGGGGATGGAGATCTGGAAGTATCAATCGTGTCAGCACAGCAATAGCGGTGAAAGCAATCCGACCGGTGGGTGCCTGCGCATCAGGAGACAGCGGTATCAGGCCATGCAATACTGCGTCCGATACAGCCGGGGCAAGCTGCTACGCGTGATGGAGGCACACACGCGCGACGCGCCGATGCATTTTCGCGCGTGAGAGACGCGTCCGACGATGCCTCCCGGGGATCCTTCCACTGCACCACCCTTCCCGCCCATACGTCCCATGCGTCCCATGCCTGCGGAAAAGTTAAATGGAATGCGTACTCACTCTAATGGAGCCAGACTGGATCTGGATAGGACGGGTCGCGATGGCCTGGACAGAAATGGTGGAGGAAACAGACATGGTCGCCGTCGGAGGATGTGTCGACGAGGAAGGTACGACCAGATCTAGAGGGAGTTGAGGAGGAACAGTCGGAGCGACCGAGATGTTTTATAAAGAGTTCCCCAAACGCCTGCACCCCAACGAATCCCGGGCGCCAGCAGGTGGAATCGCGTCCTCCTCAAAAATCCCAATTAGGCAGGAGTGGCCTCGCTTAACGGTGGCTCTCGGCGGGGTACAGATTGCCGCTCGCCCGATCCATCCCATTCCGTCTTTCCGCAACTCCCCACTTGTCCACATTTCCGCATCAAACCCCTTGGCTCTCTCGAGCTCAACGAGTGCTGCTCAGACTATCCTGCTCTTTCCTCTACTGGGTCGCTTCAATCGAGGACCAGGATGGCCAGAAGAAGCTCTATCTACAGCACGTTGACCGCACGCTCTCGCTTCGGTGCAACGCCGTTCCCTCATGCCCACTTTTTGCAGCATCTTGCGACACGCCCTCAGAAATGATCGAACAGGTACCTCACCCCGGGGCGGACAACGGACCAACGTATAGCGACGGATTTCATCTGTCGCTTATCCATCTTCGACTCACATCCACGCAACCTCGGTCGGCCTTATACATGTCAAACAGCGCCGTTGCCCCCGCTCAGGCCATTTCCAAAGGTGCGAGAGCGTAGTGAGGTACAGATCTGACCACAGCACAGCACGCTCGGGCGCGCACATTGACGCGACCATCTGTCGAAAGCAGCGCTCTTGCCGATGGCGCGAATGCCTCGGGGCAGGTCACATAATCTGGACGGCTTTGGGACCGCGTCGGTCCATACCACAACTGTAGCGTTCGCCACCACGCCGGGGAGGGTCGGCGACGTGTGTCATTGTTGTCACGATTACTCGGCCCGCTCGAGCTCTGCGGTGGGGCACATAATTGTGATACCCCAGTGAAGCACGAACCGTTGACTAAGATACGAGACACGTAGCCACCTATCCTTGGGGTTAGTGGGGCAATAGATCATCGTGCATATGCGTACTCCTGACATGACATGGAAGACGCGAATCCTATTTTGCTAGCTACTCGTTGCCCTCGCAAACGCAAACGCCACGATCTCTTACTATGTTTGTTGAAACACGACGCCATACAGCTAGCAGTGCCTGTCGCGACTAGCTCGTACGAAAATACGCCGAACTTGCTGCACGACACCACAGATCCGAATCCCAGGTGCGGAGAATCACGCCATGCCAGTCTGCAACTGCACATTGTACAGCGCCGACAACAGCGCCATCGCAACTGACGCCTGAGTAGTGTTTCTATATATTACCAATAGTAAGTACTGAGAGTAGTGAGTTGTGTGTAGGATTACAGTCGTAATAGTGGATCCACGACGTAGGATCAAACGTAAAGTACTCCGGTCTGTCTACCGCGCACAGGCATCAGCGCGCAGACCACCGCCAGACGCAGCAGCGTACAGGGCGCGGCTCCGCTGGTGCCAACTTCCGGCCATCGGGGGCGCGAATCGTGCGACGTTGCCTGTAAGTAGTCGCCGGTAGAGAGTTGCGCGCGAATCCGCGGCGCGGCGCATATTTCAATGCTGTAAGGTTCTCGGCCAGTAGCTCCATCAGCCATCGTGCGCCCATGTCACCCTGTGTCCGTGGTCCGCATAGCACAGTTCGTCCGTTCTCCACTCGCGCGCTTCAAGAGCCTCCCTGAAGACCTCAAAGTCCCGCTCCGCCCGAGCACCGGTGTCGGCGAGGATAAGTTTCAGCGCGGCCTGGGAGTCGGTGTCCGTTGGCTCGAGGAGCCCTTCCGCTGGGGGCACGTCCGTCGAGGATGCCTCCCGGTTGATGAGGGCGTCGCGGACGAGCGCTGCGTGGTAGATCGCGCAGAGCATGTCGTCGTTCGCAGCGTCAGGGTGAAAGAAGACCGAAATGTTCCGGCCGCGGGGGAAGAGCAGGTACCGGTCGTCCTAGAACATGATAGACAGCCACCAGGTCAGACACTGCTTCCTGACACACACCGATACATCACACACCTCGAACACCCCGGCGCATATCTGCCATCGCACACGCTCGAGCTCGGTTCCGGAGTCTAGGACGTCTCCTACCCGCGGCGCGAGCGTGAGCCATCGATCGCTCTTGTCCCTGTAGAATTCGCCAAAGAGCCCCGTGCGGTGCGCCGCATCGAGCTCGCCAAGCGAAGACACCTGCCCGCGCGTTACGTATTCCTGCGCGAGGCAGCTCACTCGTGGAAGCGTGAGCAGCTCGAAAGTCGCCACGCGCATCATGTACGCGGTCATCGCGAGGTGCACGGGCACCGCGAACGCGAAGATGGCGTACAGATATGGCGCCGTGTGCGAGACCGCGAGCAGGCTGATCCCGGACGCGTACCCGACGAGCTGCGCGATCGACGACTGCGACTCGTCCTTCGCCGCGACGTCGCCGGTGTTGCCTTGCTCGGAGAAGTAGCGCATGAACTTGATGTGCGTGGTGAACCAGATCTGCGTGTGCACCTGTAAGCATCGTGTACGTCTCGTGGTACCAGCTCTTGACGTACCGCGTTCCCGACGATCTTGAAGATGTTCCCGCCAGCTGCTCGCTTGATTAACACCGCGACACCTGATCATACCCTTGTCGTACAGTCACTCACCAGCACAGAGCAAGAAGTTCCCTGGGGACGGCGCTATAAGAAGCGTCGCGATCTGCAACCCGCTTCCCAAGCACCCCATTAACTCGCCGAAGAACGTGAACGTCTTCGGGTGACTATCGAAGTACGGCGAAAAGCGTCGGATGAAGAACAGCTTCGCAACCTCGCCCGCGCCGTCCTTGATAATCCACTGGACGGCAACCGCGCCGAACACACTGCCCTCCGCTGAGACCCCAACGGAGGTGAGCAGCGCCTGGTTACATAGAACAGAGGTGATCGTCGCAACAGTCGTCTCGAAGAACTGGAGGATGTGGAAGGGGAGGTAACTTGACGCGCGTTAGGCGTCATTCCTGTCTGGCAGAGTCGTGGAAGGTGAGACTCACGAACGGTGCACGGAGTGAGGATAGTTCGTCGGGAGGACCATCTGCCCGAACCAGGACGATATTCGTCCTGTCAAGGAGTTCGTGGGCGCAGCGATCTTCCCGTCCTCCGGGTCCACCGCCGCAATATCTCGCCATTCTTTCCTGACGCCCGATGACCCTGCCTCCTCCGACCACGAGATATGGCACTCCCGCCCGCCGACGCGTTCGATCGCGACGAACCGCGACTTCAAGTCGTCTGCGTCTTGCGCTGTGCGAGACGGGGCATCGGAGGACTGGAAGCGGAGGCTCGCTCTGAAACTGGTGTAGGGAGCGAGCAGTTGTGGGGTGCAGCCTCGAGTGCGCAGACGCGGCAACAGTTGCGTACATAGATGCCTCCGCATGGTCGTGTGTCTTGAACCGGCTGTGTCTATACTGCGTGGGCGGTTACTGAAAATCATAGTACGCGTAATGAGCGGTCTGAGGGAGTCGGCCGGCGTAGACCGTGCTCACATTAATGTGCACCGTTCGCAAGCTCTCGTCCGGGTGCTGAGGTATTATGCGTACAGGAGGCCAAGAAGTAATGCGAAGCCTCAGCAAATCATCGTATCAGGCTAGATTATATCGCCCTTAGGAGGCGGAGCGTATGTGGAGACACTGAGCAAAGTGGTGAGAGGCTAACCAAACAACGGAGGGAAACGCGCACTGCCGGCCACCAAAAGTCATGCCGGATGTGATCTTTGCCCGATCGAGCGCTTCTTTACAGCAATGTGCAGAAAGATACGGAAAACGCGTTTCGCGCGCAACGGGCGCTAAATGACCCGGACAACCGCGCCGTGCTTTCCGACGGGTGTCCTCGGAACTCGAGTCGCGCGCGAGGGCCGCGCGCTTCATCGCGGTCGCGCGCGCCCTCGCGCGGCGTCTTCGTTCGTACTAAGTTCACTTGATGTTTTGGGTACTCTAGAGCCCTGGTATCCCTTAAAACCACCATATGAGCCAGTATTTAATATATGAAGGCTCTACAGTAGTCTTCGGACATAAACCTTGCTCATTAGAGGGCATGGTTCCCAAGTTTAAGCTCATGTGCTCAAACGAAGTTACCGGCATATGGCTCAAATTGCTTAACCTTCAATCCGTTTCATTTCTCGCTATGTAAGCACAGAAAATATATAAACACATGGCTCAACTCCTTAAAATCTACCATGCACATCCCCTCTTGCTGCGCCGTTGTGTGTTACACTACAGGGTGCGGGCGCGGACGCGAGGACGCCGCGCGAGGGCGCGCGCGACCGCGATGAAGCGCGCGGCCCTCGCGCGCGACTCGAGTTCTGAGGACACCCGTCGGAAAGCACGGCGCGGTTGTCCGGGTCATTTAGCGCCCGTTGCGCGCGAAACGCGTTTTCCGTATCTTTCTGCACATTGCTGTAAGAAGGCCCACTAGGAACGCTTGAAGTTGTAATGGTATATATTTCTCGTCGGAACCCAGGCCTACGCGGTGACGGCTCATGTGCGTGAAAGGTTGAACGGAAAATGTAGGAGAAGATTTCCTGCAGAGTGCAAGACACAAACCAGGAACGACCTGAGCGCGTGAGCAGCGCCCACCGAAGTTATACCTCAAGTTGTGTAAAATCAATGAGCCATCAAGCGCACCGCACGGTGAGAGAAAAAGCCATGACATTCATGCCGCCAGTTATCGAGACGGCCTGCAGGCCCAAGCACGGGGGTGTACCATCTATGGTACACGTTATACAGAGACGCGGCAGTAGACCGTGCGCGCGAATTACGATGGGACCCCTGGGGGCCAGCCTTCGCGAAGAGGGGACGATAACGGTAAGAGCGGGCATAAATATCCTTGGAGCGACGACGACGAGAGAAAGATGGTAAGAACAGGGAGAGTGGGGGTGCTGTAAGAGCGATACATATCAGAATACAGTAAGTGGCGTATGTCACCAGGCGTGGCCGTGCGATAAAATGCGAATGGGATGAGGAGACCAAAGAGTGCGATGCAGGAGTGGGTAAGTGTCTGAACCATGCGTATGATGCGAGCAAGAAGCCAGAGAAAATCAAGAGCAATGAGGGCAGGAGAGGAAAAGCGACGTTCATGTCAAGAACGCCATCTCGCTCAACCGCCGGCTCTCGTCGTCCTCGATGAAGTGCGCCTGCTGCAAAATACTGCCCCGGCTGTGCATCGTCGGCGCGAGCGCCTGACGCGGGCGCAGACCCACGCCCGTCGTGCGGCCCTGTAGCGGGACTGCTACAGCAGGGAACGCAGTCGGTGGGTTGGACGGTGACGCAGGCAGGCGGGACGCGTCGAACATCTTCGTACGCTTGGTCTGCGATGCAGAGGGGTCGATTTGCGAGCGTGGGCGCGGTATGATCCCGCTAGAGAATGCGCGACGTAGGTTCGACATCGACGAGGATGTACGCGCGTTGCCGGATGTGGAACTCTGTGTCCTATCGTTAACGATTATCGACGTGGGAGGGTTACTAGGCTACTCACGTCCAACGAGTTCTTCTTTCCAAAGAGGCTAAACGACTTCCTGTTGACCTGTGCTTCCGCAGCCTGCTCCGCCGTCTGCTGCTTCTGGGGACGTGGACGCGCTGCCGGCACCGTTGCTGGAGCAGGCTGGAATGACACGTTCTGCCCGAACTCGCCCTCCTCCGACGAGTCCGTCTCCTCAATCGAGGACTGTATGAGCCCGCCCTGCATCGACGCCTTCGTCTTCATGCTCGGCTGTGTCTCCTCCCGCGGGGCAGACCCACGGCGCGCACGAGGCGCACTGTGACTCTGGTCAGAGTGCGACGTTGAGCCGCGCGAGATGGACACGTCGCGCTGACATGAGGTAGTCGTCGGTGTCGGCAAATTTGACTCCGCCCCAGACGAAGATATCGTGCGCGTCGGCGACAACGCGGGGACCGTCGTTCCACGACTGCTGCTACTGCTCGCGTGCGTAAGCAGCGGGGGCTGAGCCTGACCGCGTCCCTTGCCCGGCGTGGTCCGGCGACCGCGAGGCGCGAGAGCAGAATGCCCGTCGGACGTGCTCGCTTCCGAGTCGGACAACGCGGCAACAGCGACGGTGATGACAGGAGGGGGCGACTTCGACTTCGCCTTCGGATTAAGCTCGTTTGACGGGCGCTGTGCGGTGACCACGATCGGGGGCGGCTTCTCCTTGCGCGACTTCGCAGCGCGCACGGTCCCCGCGGGCGACGCGTCGTCCTGCTTCTCGTTGATGGGCGAGGTGCGCGGCGACTCAGTGAATGTGACCTCCACGGTCGACGGCTCGGTGGATATAGACAGCGGCGTGGGTGCGTCGGTCGAGGAACGGAGCCAGCGCGACACCTTCTCCGTCACGGCGCTGGAGTGGCTCGACGGGCTCCCTGGCGGGTCGTGCGGCGGCGCATCACGCATCCCCGCTGCCTCCGCCGCCGGGGCCACGTGAAAATCCTCCACCATCGCTTGCGATGCGCGGGTGTTCTCCGTCGCGGCCGATGCAGCCACGAACGTCGGCTGCACGGGACTCCGGTCCCCCATCTTGCCATCCACGCTTGCACGGCGTGCAGCGTCCTCGCCCGACACTTCCAGCGAGCCGCGCGCGGGGGTGCCCGCATCCTTGTTCCGCGCGAGCCACGCCTCGCGGATCTTCTTCGCCTCGCTCGCCTCCGCACCTTGCTCCGAGCCCTCGCTCTCCTCCACGACAACGGTGTAGCGCCGATCAAGCTCCGCCTCCTGCTCGCTCAACGGAACCATAAACCCGTTCGCGTCCCTATATGCGCTAGCAACCGGAGGGAGCAGCCCGCGCGCACGGAGCGCCGCTTGCCGTTGTTCGCGCGACGTGAAGTCGTTGGGCGGCGCTGCAGGAACGGGGGCCTTCGGCATTGCGGGCATACGCAGGGCCGAGCGCTTGCGCTGGGGTGCGTCCTGCGGAGACTTTGCGGACGTTGATGGGTCCGCGAGCGAGTGAGGCGTGCTCGAGGAGCGCAACTTGCTCGTGATTCGCCTGAATATGTTCGGGCCAGGGGGCGCCTGTGTCTGTCTGCGTGATGGGGGCATGGGTGTGCTGTGAAAAGGAGGTTTGAGTTACGTGCGCGCAAGGGGAATGCTATATGGCATGGGGCTCGGGGCCGCGGGCGCTAAATGCAATAGGAATGCACAAGAGCGGATAGTCTGAAAATGGGCGGGTGCGATCGAGACGGCGCGGAAGCAGTGGTAGCCCCGGGCTAAACCGCAACGGATAGAATGGAGCGACGTACGATTGTGGTGGCAATCTCGAGGGGCCCGACTTTGGTGGCGGAGGGGGTATTCTTGCGTCGACAGCGGATGCGGGAGCAGGCAGACGTTCAGCTGGGCGGGGACGAGGTGCGGACGCGCTGCGCAAACGCGACGTCAGTACTTATGTCGCGAAATTCAACTGCATGGCAGGGCCGCAACCGGGTGTGGGGAGATGGCGATCCGCATCATGAGAGAGTGAATAGACGAGTCGGGTACGGCGGGAATCCGTATATGGGCAAAAACGCATGATCGCAGTACGTACCTGGCATGAGCCTGTGGGGCAGCGTCTTGAGGCAAGGGTGGTAGTGCCGTATCCTTCATGTCCGGCACGGGTATCTCGCTGACGTCTTCAGACGGGGTATCGACGGCGGCGCTATGATGATATCAGGTTAGAAGAGGTGTACACACGTGGAGAGTGAAGGAGGGCGGCAGGCTGGTGAAGTAGCGGACGGATATGCTCAGGTAGTGGTAGCGGGGAGTCAAGAGGCGTTTGCATATATTCCACGCCTGTTGCGGGGGCGGCGAGGAGTGGGAGCGAAGGCACATGGCTGGTCACTGGCACATCCTGGCCGCAAAAGGCACAGCAACCGGAGAAGACATTGCCTGGCCCTGTGAATCCTGGCGTGGGCACGGACAACAAATCAAGGTATAACTTCGGCGATGGTTCTGTTCCCGCAGTCATAGAAAGCAAAGATGGAACTGACCTGCTTCCGCCGTCTTGTTCCCATCGCGCTTCGCCGGAGTCTGGGCGCGCGCTCTCTGCGAAGTCGAACGCAGGGAGTTTGAGGGCTTCCGTGCGGATGGCACTGAGCCTCAAGCTCGCGCGTTTGCTGCTCGCGACGCGTGCGGGGCTGGCCTTGTTCCTGCCAACGGAGAAGAGGGTAAAGCGCGGCTTCGAGCTCGACGAGGACTGGGGCATCCTGGATATCTGGTATGGGTGGGTATGGAGGGGGTATAAGGGAGGAGGGCTCCGAAACGCGTCGGAAACGGGGGACGAGGGCGTCGGTGTTTTTGTTAGGCCAGGGCCAGGGTCGGAGGGCGGTCAGGTGGTAAGTCGGGAAAGGCGGGCTGGCAGATGGAAGCACGAGGAACGCGGTCGCGTCGAGAGCCGTCCCGAGTCGCAGACACGGGCGAAAAAGAGTGGCAAGCGAGGGGGGAAAGGAGAGGGTGGTCTGGACGCCATGATGCGCGAGCTGTATATGTTTTATGGCGCGAAGGACCCGAGCAGCACTCCGCCCTTTGTCGGCGTCACAGCAGTGCCCAGGAGGGCGGCGGTCAACCCAGCACACGCGCCGCACCGATCGGCGCATCCCATCACCGCCGCTGCGGCAACCCCCGGCCCCCGCAACGCCTCCCCCGTCCCCCGCATCCGCAGCCTGAGCGTCCAACGTGCCTGTAGTAGCATCCTTCCGTCGCTCTTCCTCTCGTCCCCCAGCCCAACCGCGTTCTGTCAGAACTATACAATGCCCAGCAGACAACGCGTCGTGCTGCGAACCTTCACGCGCCCAGCGCTGGGCGCAGCCCTGCATCATCATTGATCTGCACACTCATCAAGCGCACACCATCTTTCGCACCGCACCGTCTGAGTCTCGTTCACTGACTCCCTTGCTGTCCGCCTCACTCCATACGTGTGCTCCATAATACTTTCTGTGGAATGCATCGGGGGACATATTCGACAGCGAAGCATGATCATATAGTGACAGTTCTTGACCCTCATCGCGTCCCAGTCTGGACTTATGCTCTTCAACATGGTCGTATACCCGCACTGGCGTAAGATGGCAAACCACTGTGTCCCTGCCATCTCCGCGACCCTCTGATCATGGTGAAATTAGGTATGTAACTTTTACGCCTCTTCTTGCTGTGCTCACTCGCTTTCCTCTCATAGGCTACATTCTAGAGTCCCTGTCTCACTGCGAGTTGCGCCGCCGAGCTGAAATGGTGGTCGGTCCCTCAACGGCCGCGCCACTGCTTATCGACCATAACAATTTGACGGCACAGCTCGCAGGAGCCCCTCCATAGCGGATCAGGCGATAGATCTTCCCATTTTGACTCACAGGACGCAAAGATACACCGCCCAACATTCGGAGCGGCGCCGCTCTATGCATATACGGCTGAAGTAGCACATGCTGGCCTCCGAAGAAGGGCTTCAAGCATACCCTCTACGCCGACGGCCACTTCGCCTGAATCACCTATTTGCGACGCGGAGACTGGAGTGATAGTTCCCTCGGGTGTCCTCTAAACTCGGAGGCTGAGCACGCCGGTTGCGCACCGCCAGCCAAGCGTCCATGTGCACCGCGCGGCGTCGGGCAGGCCAGCACGTCTCCCATTGGGTTCTCTCCCCTCCGAGGCTGCTTGTGGTATTCCAAGCTCTCACGTCATCTCGTCCTCGGACGGTATGCTTCTCGCATGGCAACCATTTCTCATGGCCATATGGCGTCATGCGCTCGCTCCCCCCACGGACGTCGAGCACGACCCTGCCTGGATGAGCGCCCATCACTCACCGTTGTTAAATACAGCAAGCGACCCGAGTAACCGCACCCACCCGCTCTTAAGCGACTGGCATCGGCTCTTCGGTGCGTAAGACGGTAATGTACGAACCTCTCACCCGACGGCCTCCAAGAAAAGCACGACCTCCGTCGTCGCGGACGGACTCGGACGCCTACTTACCGCCACGGGGAGTCCTTTCTCTTTATTAACTTGAAGCATGATGCAAGAGGAGGCATCCGCACCTGACGACAAGGGCGTCTTCTCTCCCCTGAGCAAGCCATCTGGTAAGGTCGGGGTTGACAGTTCGCCGCGCGGCGCCGGGGCGGGAGGTATGGATTTTACCACACCTGGCGCTCCGCGTTGCGCCGCAGTGAGAAGTACAACACTTTTAGGAGCGATGCCAGGGCTCGACACCGCCCGGGATCAAACCAGCGGGCGAGCCTTGTATCTTGCACAAGATGCGAATGGATGGGGAGGTGAGTATTCTCTCTTTCACTCGAAGCACTTGATCATCAGCGTCGCGTCAAAGTGCGTGATGCGCTCGACGTCTTATAGGTGTTTAGATATTCCAGTGCGTACGTGTGCGATGTCGATTGAAGCCTGTTCTCGTTTTCGCGATGGTTGCTGACTGGCTTCGTCTTTTGTTTGCCGTGAGCCAGCGTCCTAGCGTCGGCCTTTTCTGCTCATATGAACCATGCAAGGCCGGGTCGTGTCAATAACTGGCGGGATGAATGTCGTGGATTTTCCTCTCACACTGGGACCTTCTACATGCACGACGTCATAAGCTCGGTCATCGCGGCCGCACTACTGGACGAACACACGGATCCATATGCTCCGCTGCGCCGCCAAGACTTGCGAGTGAACGCAGCGCGACAGCGTGAACGCCCGGGGACCCACAGGCGTACACGGCGGCGAGTGGCGTCCGACGGCGCATTAAAAGGGTAACGTCGTTTGCTGCCGACGTCGGCGGCGAGCGCGGCCGTGGAGTGAACAACGTTCGTCCGATCCTCCTCCTCCGGCTGGGGCCGCTGCAGGGGCGAGAGGGCGTCGATCTAGCTCCGAGGGGCCCAGGAACCAGGGCGGAGGCACGAGCACTTTGGCAGATCTGGGGCAACGTTAATGAACGGCTGCTGTAATGTGATAGCGCGCCGTCTACTAGCCGAGCTCTGTGAGGTCCTCCGCGGCCCTAATTAGGAGGTGTGCAAGATACACTAGCAGTTGGCCCGCCTATGCAAGTACTTCCGGCGGAAACATCGTTACTAAGTCCAAGCATCATGAACGACAGCCACCCAGCCCGAACTCAACCCAGCCAGCGCGCGTACTGTGGTGTGAATCACCCATTGCTTCTCCTTATTATACGAACCTGAGGACCAGACCCTGGACCGGAGGCATTGATCCACAGCGGCTCAGCTCAGCACCGACGTCGAACATACACGAGGGCGCTTTTGCTGCTTCTTGAATTCGGATCCGTGCGCATCCTACAGGCCAAGCGGCCGACAGCGCAGGGCGCAGACGACCCGAACGCGTGCTACGTATGTACAAGTCCACAACTATGAAAAACTTCACTGCAAAATATTAGCGCGAGAAGCGGAGGAGGAAGAGGGCGATGGCGTCTAGATCCGGGAATAGAAGAAGATGGAGAGGAAGTAGCGAACGTCCCGAGATGCGGTATATTGTCGTAAGTTAGCGATGCAGGTGTGTAGAAGTCCGAAGGAGGGGACGCGCGTGGGGCGCAAGGGTTCGTGAGGAATGGGAATGTGCGATATGAAAACAGGCGGGGCGATGAAGACAGTGGGCGATAGCGAGATACGGATAACGTAGGCAGACCGGGGCGGGGAAAGACTATAGACACAAGCGGGAACAAGACGGCAGCGCGCCTGCGAGCGGGACAAGACTAGTGCGCATATAACCGCGCAGCAGCCGGAGCGAGCGTTCGAGCGTGGGTGACCTGCATGCAACAATCCGACAGCTTGCATTAGACGTAACGACAAGGAACGACAGTGACAGTGTGCGCACAACATTCAGTCCAGCCCTAACAGCTCCCTCTCCTAGCGCACGACTCCGGGGACCGTATCAGCCCACAGCTCGCGGGCGCGCCTAGTTTTCCCACTTGACTTGAGAATCTGCGCGTGAAGTGACCTGCGCGGGTATCGATACGCGCGGCGCGCGCGCCCGAGATCCAAGCTCGGGGCGCTGCGACCGCGCAAGTGTACGTGCCTGTGCCGGCCTCTCCGCCATAGCCTATATCCGCCCCTCCTCCGATCCGCCCTTCATCCCACTACACCGTGCTCTGTGCATGGTCCAGCCACCCACTCTACTGCCGGCGAGCGTTCTTAGTACCCTGGGCCGGGTCCGTAGGCCGCTTGTGGCCCTGGAGACATACGCCCAGCCTGGGGTCCTGGTGATGCACGACCGCCATAGAGCGCGCCCGGTCCTGGGCTCATTACCCGTGGGTCGACGCCGAGAGCTTGCTGCGGCCCGGGACTCGCCCGGCCGTCAACGTACCCGTATGCGAGCTGGGGAGCAGGGGAGCGTCCGCGGTTGATTTGCGTCATCGGAATCGCTTCGGACGCAGGAGCAGTTGCGTAGGGGTCGTTGTCGTAGTAAGCCCCGCTTGGGTCATCGCGGTAGGGTTGGGTGGCGTTCGGGTTCAGGTGGGGAAGCGGGGGCACTGCGTACGGGTCACGGGAGGCATAGAGGTCAACAGTCGAAGCAGCCGCGGAAGGGGCGATGCTGCCCGCCCGGGAATCGGGGCGGGTGAGGTTGACCTGGGATGATGTCTCGAAGCCCGCACCGCCTGTCCTGTTGGTGGGGAGCGCGTGCGAGGGCTCCTCGCCATGGGTGTTCAGCTCGGGCCACTTGATTGCCTCGTCTGCAGCACGGTGGTCAGCAGGAATGCTCGGAGAGAGTACACATCCGGAGAGCGCGCAGTCGTCACGGCTACACGGGCCCTATTTTAGGGTTCGGGCGACATCTCGCTTAATGCCGCTTATGGGGAAAAGCAAACTGCGGTCTTCCTTGTCCGAGTGCGAGGTCGGGTTCGCCTGCGGATACCAGTGCGCAGCGATCTCGGGCAGTGGACACTGTCGTTGTTCAGGAGAGCGAAAGACGGGTGGTACTCACTGTCGAAGTCGTCGTCGGTGAACCGTTTGCGGGTGAACTTCCAAACGACGAAGGTAATGATGCCAATCAGCGCCACTCCTCCAGCGACGGAGAGACCGATGATGGTCGATTTGCTGATACCCTCACTCGGCTTGGTATTGTTGCCAGATTGGTCCGTGCCCGCAGTGTTCGACGCGGACGCAGAGCTGCCGCTGACCGTCGGCGTCACGGTGACCATGACGGTGACCGCCTCGCCCTCTGCATTTGTTGACAGAGACTGGCTCACAGTGGGAGTAGGTGTTGGGGTGGGGGTGGGAGTAGGGGTTGGGGCTGAGGTGTTCGACGCGGCCGTATCGCTAGCAGTCGCGCTCGCATCGGTAGCTGACCCCGCCGAAGTGTTCGAAGGCTGCCCCGCGGTATCAGACGGTTGGGTGACATTGTCAGTCCCCCCAGAGGTGACGGAGGCGCCGCCGTTGGCGTCCGTTCCAGTACCAGTACCGGTGCCAGTCCCTGTTGCAGTGGCTGTTCCCGTTCCGGTCCCCGTGCCAGTTCCAGTCCCCGTCCCGGTTCCAGTTCCAGTGGCGGACGCTGTAGCTGCCGCAGTGTCAGTCCCAGTATTGGACGACGCGGGGAAACCTGGGAAGAGTTGGCGGGCTACTGCATGGGGGGCAAGGGTGGGCGTTGGAAAGGCAACTTCAAGGGCCGGGCGTGCATGCGCCGATGAAAGGAGAACGGCAGTCACTGAGAGAAAAAGGAGACCGCGCGCAAAACGTCGCGAGGTCATCATGAGGGGCGACGACGGTGTTGAGGCGGTGTGAGAAGAAATTATACCAGCCGGCGGTGTAGGTAGACGGGGGCGGCTTCGTGTGCGTGCGGAGTCGTGTGGAACGTCGAGCGCGGTGTGCGCGGCGAGGATGGTGGTGAAGGACAGAAAGGAAGGAGGGGGGAGATTGGGGGAGCGGAGACGTCGACGGGCAGAGCGCAGCTGGCGGTGGCGGGAACAGTTCGAGGAGCCTTCAAGGCGGTGAGCCAGCTCTCCCATCACGTGCAGCTGCCACGGCGACTGATATTTATCCTTCTTCCCCGGGCGCCTCTTCTCCCCCTCCTCCTCGGCCAAGCTCGGTGTCGGGCCTCGCTCATCATGATATTGATGCTACAGCAGCATGCGTTCGTACAGTGATGGCCAAAAGTTAGGGCGCGGGCGGTTAGGACTTGGGCCCAATTCACACTGCTAATTAGCAGTAGATCTCGGCGGACCTATCGAGCGCGAGATTTACCGCTGTGAATGACGGTCATTCACCGTTCTTTGGCGCTTATTCGATTCCCAATGGAACTTGTCTTCTGAAACCCCCAGGAACATGGCACGGTACACGCTTGCTGAAGTACAGGGTGGAGCTGGAAACCATACGGGCGTGTCAGTTCTGACTCGCGAGAGCGTCGTCGAGGTGTAAACGCCTACGCGCGCAACGGGCGCTACTACTGGAGGGTAGCTTCGAGTCTTCGACATCTCACCTTTCAAGGCATCTTCGTTTTACAATGCTCCCAAAACTCAATGCAAGTGTGACAGTTCGTTAGAAAATATTAGTGAAGCCCCTCGCGGTGATTAACGCTTAAGGCCGGTGTAATGCTTCCTTCAAACCCTCTCTATAGAGTTTACAATGCGGCAAAGACCTCTGCCATGTGCGGGAGGTCATCTTGTGAATTTGTTCAGAGCTATGCAAGCATTTCCCCACAGTTCTAACATATTTTTGTAGAGGGCCTCGGGGTATTGTCTGTGATGTACATCAATCCTCAGGCAGCTGGGATTTTCCCTCTGCCATGAACAACTGGGACATAGGCAGCACTCACTTCACGTATACCTCTCAGTTTCCAGGCACGGCTACAACTATTCCACTGCATGCTTGCTATGTCATGTACCTACCATATGGTATTGATTATGAGGCCCCAAGGCCCCTGGGTCATTTTAATTTTGCCTCAAAATCTTGGGAAAGAGCCTATGAATCTCCCTGTCATTTTTTGCATTGTGCTATGGGCGGGGGCATACTACACATTATATTAGGCTAGAACCTCTTGTGAGGAGGGGTGGTGGTGACCCCCGTGTGAACGGCTGAGTTGCAATTCCGGGGGTGAGAGATGTCAAGAGATGTCAGCGGACATTGAATGGGTGGCTGAAGCCCTGCGTCGTCGAGAGCTGCATGGCAGGTTATGTGCGGAATATCATAACATAGAGCTATCCTGTCCAGAACACTCGGTGCCGCGAGCCGACCCATATTTTCTCCAGAATATCCGTTGCGTAAATTTAAATCGGTGCGCGAGGAGTGGCCTCGAGACATTTTTTGGCGCGTCGTTCCCACGGGGGTCACCACCACCCCTCCTCACAAGAGGTTCAACCCAGCCTCCCTTCGGGAGGAACGATTGTCTTCCGCATCCGATCGTGAGGCTGGTTTACGAGCCTACATTATATGCCTATTTTACACTTTGAGATTGTTAATCAAAATGGGCCGGAATAGACGCTTGTTGGGGGGTGGGGAGATACTTTTGGCCATCATTGTATGTTACCGAAAGACAAGACAGGGCAAGCAAGACACAAGATATCGTAGCTAGATCTTACACTCAAATATCGCACCCTCAGTCCAGCGACCGCCGCCCAAGAAGCATCGTAATCTCCCGTCGCTCCTGCAACCACGCAGGGAAGCTCACCTCGTCCGACTTGGCCTCCCGCGTCTCGACCAGGTAGTTTGCAAATACGATGAGCGTCCCGTAGCGGTACCTGGAAAGCATCGGCATCGGGCACCGCCAACAGGGTCAGCAATCAAACACAGCTGCATGGAACGAACGGGGCCCTCACAGGTAGTTCACGCCGATGTCCATCAGCTTGCGCTGCTTTGCACTGCCCTTCTCGCAGGCATCGACCTTCAGCTTGTAGCTGCACAGTCGTACCACCATCAGCATGTCGGTCTCAAGCGGAGAGTGTAAGGAACGCGCAGCTCACTCGTAGATGGCCTTGCGCAAGTTCTGCACATCCTGCATCTGGTCAATCGCCCGATCCGTCAGGCGCTTCGCCAGCTTCCCGTGCGAGAGCACGCTGACGAGTTGCAGGATGACCTTATACTCGCCTGCCAACAGTATTGCATGAGCACAACCGACACACCCGAATGATGATGGCCCAAGCTCACCCTGCAAGTACGCCTCCTCCTCTGATGGGCCATCAATGGAGTCGTATGTCTCGAACGCGTTCGCGTTCTGCTCGTCGTCCTGCAGCGCGGCCTCGCGCTCGTGCTCCCAGGTCGTGGTCGTCGCGATGAGGCATGCGGTGACCATGCCCGTCGTCGTGCGCCCGCGGCCCATCTGGCAGTTGAACACGAAGTCCGCGGCGTGCCCGCTCTGGAGCCCGGAGCGCACCCGCGTGAGCAGCTGCATGAGCGCACCCGGCAGCGGGGCCTGTTCGTCGGTCTGGAAACAAGCTCGGTCAGACGAATGCGGGGAACGGCCTCGGTCGAACGACGTACCACCGCCACCCGGTCATAGTCCACCTGCGATGATTGACGTTAGCATCACGATGACCGGCGAGCCGGGTCTCGGCCGACGAACCTTGTACCCGTCCTTGACCATGAGGTTGTACACGTCCCGCGGCGTCATAATGTCTGCCTCTTCGACGGTCTCCCAGATCGGGATGATCGAGAACACGCCGGGCCGCTCCTCGACCTCGTCGTGCAGCAGGATGCGGCCCTCGCCCTCGCGCACTTCGTACAGGATGTCGCGCTTCAGGCTCTCTTCCATCCCTTCCACCATCGCTGTGGTGACACCGGTCGCTCTGGCACAGCCTACGTGAGAGATGGACCACAAATCAACACTGGGTTCGGCTCACTCGACATTTTCTAGCGGCTTGTTCAGGAGACGGAGAACGTGCGGGCGGCCAGCAACGTAGATCACCGGTTCCTGACCTGATGTCAGCAAAGTTCCGGTCCATATATACGCAAATCCGCACCTCTCGGAGCGACGTCCAGTACACCCAGTTGTTGCCCTCCGGGTGCGCATTCACTCGGTGCAATGCTCTCCTCAAGCTACCCACAAGTCAGATGACGCATGCAACAATTGACATATGTCAGTACTCACCCTTCCACAGTTGGCATGCCACTGCAATCCATTCATGAGCATTGACGGACGGCGAGCGGCGAATGGTCACGTACCTGCCGCACACCCACTTGTCCGCCTGAGCGGCCACGAAATCAATTCCGTCCGACTCCGACCCCGGCGATGCAGGCGACGACACCAATCGCAATGCGAGCGGTGCCCTCCGGAAGTTCGGTGAGCCCTCGATCCGCCTACCGTGAAAAGTCAACACGCACGTCCCTAACGCTAGAACGCTAAAGGGATACTTACTCAGGCAGACTCATCTTCTGCAGGTTCGAGAAGAAGTCGCTCTTGAGGATGGTGGACGCGGAGAGGATGCTACCGGAGCGGTTCGCGACCACCTGCCGTACCTCGTCCGGCTGCGGCACGCCGTCCGCGACATCGACACGCTCGAGTGGCTTCAGTGTGTTTAGGTTCTCGGACATGAGCTCCTTCTCAAACGTCTTGATCACTACAAACTCCTTCAGCGTCTCTCTAGTCTCTCGGACTGGTGTGCAACGTACCAGGACGGTCTTTGACGAACGACTCGAACGACTCGTGCGTCTGCATCGTATCCGGCTCGATCGACTGCAGGTACGACTGGAAGATGATGAGCTCGAAGTACCGCCGGAGGTTCTGCAGGCTGCGGTGCGCGGACGTGCGGCGCTGCTGCTCATCCGTCGCCTGCTCTGCCCGGGCGCGGGCCTCTTCGATGGAGTCCCGGAGGTTAAAGACTTCTGAACACTGGTCGATGGCGTCGTCTACTGCCTGCTTGACCCTGTGGCCCTTGCGGATGACGCGTAGGAGGTCTATGTAGAAAGTAAGCGCGTGTATGCGGGGGACTTAGAACGAAGGCACCCACTGTTGATGATCTGGTAGGAGTGGCGCGGAGTGTGGCGAGGGACGAAGTCCTCCGTCATTGACGAGGTCGTCAGCGATCTGATAAGTGGCCTGGGAGTCGATGGATCTCTGAGACGAGTTGCTCTTGCAAGCCACTGCTTGATGAGCAAAAGAATGACCTATAAACGAACCTATTATCAGCCCACTGTCGCCCAACCTCAAAATGCTAGCGTACCGCAGTAAGCGTACTCCGGCCACGACCCAGTTGACAGTTGATGATGATCGGGGTTTCAGAAGTGTTGCATCGAATCATGACCTCGATGAGCTCGCTCAAGTCGGAGAAGTCTGGAGGCCGTTCTGCGGTGATAGGTATACGCGCATATCCAAGCTCGACACCTTCCGCAACGTGCCTGCGCTCCGCCATGACGTCCTTCAGGACCATGATGTTCTCGCTGTCGATCTCTTCCCAGATGGGGACGACAGAGCCGTCGGGAGTCTCGGTATGCAAAAGCAGACTATAAAAGCGTGAGAAGAGAAAGCATATAGGGACACAATGATGCTCACCGTCCGCCGAAGGCGTTCACTTCGTTCACGACGTCGTCGCGGAACCTCTCCTCAAGCATCTCGAGACGTGTGGCCGATATACCACCGTAGTCTTCGCGCAATAATGGTTAGTACTTGTATAACTTCGTAAGATAAGAGGCGCCAACCTTTCATGTTGCGCAACGAGAACCGCTCTCGCCTCAAGCAGTAAGGCGCGCCGTTGACATACACAATAGGTTCCTCACGAAGAGTGATCCACATGATGCGCGATGCCTCTGGGTTCTCGGCCTGTACCCTACGCACGACTTCGTCGATAGCTTCCAGCGTCGGTTGACCAAGGGCGTAAATGTTCGTGCCGGGGATGTTGCGGAAGTTGATAGCACCCCGTACGCCGTGGGCGACATGGCTGGAACGGCTGAGCCATTGATCGGACTTCAGCAATGTGCTAAACAGTAAGCGCCATTAATATATGCCAGCCGTGGACACCATGAACGACGTACCCCTCTCGGAGGATGATACCGCTACGATTCTTCACGACGTGGTCGGAATACTCGTCCCCCAGGATCTGGCCACCGGCGATTGTGAGATCTCCTTGCTGACCAGGTAGCAGAGCACGGTCAGCTGCACCCGTCTTCGAGAGTGCAGAAAGATCGTTGACGGGTGAAAAGACGTTTAGCCTCGACCCATGGGACTTTCGTAGGAAGGTGACTTGGCTGTGCGTCTGGTCAGCATAATATACAACTGGAAATCTCACGAGCACCTACGTCCAAATCTCAGTTCTTGGCTGTGATATAGTGTATTGGTGAGCAATGTGTACGGGCAATAGATTGTTGTTGGCTCATTACCTTCAGCCAATCCGCAAAACTTTGTTTGAAGTCGTCAGCCAACTCCACGTAGTTGGCAAAGGCGATCGCGAAGAAGCTTATGTCGAAGTTCGTCAGTCCATGTCGCACCCATAAATTCGGCGCTCTCACTATTTCTCGAGAGACTTGACAGCTTTGTTCAAGTACTTCTCACGTTCCTTGTTGTCCGCAGCTGCTGTAAGCGAGTACTTGATTCTGTTCGTGAAGATGTCCTCTCTCAAGTTAACCACATGGTCGCCTTATTACACTAGTCAGTATCCGGAGCACAGCAGGGTGTAAACGACGAAGGACGCACAGACGTCGATGACCTTGTCGACGAGCTTCTTCGCCTTGACGCCGTGCTCCAAGCAGCCGAGCAGACTCAGTATAACGCCGTAGTTGCCCATATATGCTTTCCGGAGTGCCTCCAAGAGGGATGAGTGGGTAAGTAGCAGCTCGATGGCTGATTGAGAGTTTTTAGTGTCGAGTTCTAGCAAAATTCGGTGAGCAGCGAGTATGACACAACCCTGTAACGTCACATACGTTGCTGGAGGATATGAGTAATTCGGAGTAGTGAGCGATTCATGTCTTGCTGGGCGCTGGCTTGCTCGAACGCCTGCAAAATCTTTGCGTTCGTCGGCTACTCGCATTTGATTAGCTACACGACCATGAAAAAAGCGTTCTTGGGGTCTACGTACAGCTTGTGCTAGGCCAGATGGCTGGATATAATAGTTTAGTGTAAATAAAATGACTTTGTCTGGTAGCGCGCTTACAGTGCTGATACCGGATCGTGAGCCTATGGACCTCGTGGCATACGGGTCTTCTAGTCCGCGGTCAAGCAGTTGCTTCCTACGAACGATGCACGCAGCAACCATAGCGAACGTAGTACGCACAGCTCCCATGCCGCAATTGAACACCAATGCCGTGGAGAGAGGGTCGGTCTCCTTGATGACGCGGAGGTACGCATCAAGGTAGCTGTCCTACAACAAGGTCAGGACTAGTAGATACAAGTGTGGTGTATCTCTCTGACCTCGATTGGTCGGTCTGGGGAAATCGGGATTCTACGGTGGATTAGCGGGGCAGACGGTATGGGTGCAACTGACATACCGGTGGTACTGAGGTGCATCGTGAGCGTAGGAAAATCATGAGATGATGTATGCCACCTACCTCAACGTTCCAGCCGTCCTTGCGCATATTCTCCATAAGCTCGCGCTGCGTTCTGACGTTGCCTGTGTCGACAGCAGTCCATGTTGGTAGAATAGCTCCTTCTCCTTCGCTAGCGTCCGAGGCTGTGTAGGACTGTTTAGCCTTTGTGCGCCAGTGGGCACATCCACTACTTGCTCACCAACTTCGTTATGCGTCAGCACCAAGCCTCCGTACCTAGCCATATGTGTTACCCTCAGTGCCCTTGCGAAGAGATGTCAGCACTCACTTGTTACCTTCAGCAAGGATGTCGTTCTTGAGTCGACACTCGATGTCTTCGAGATTTTCCGCACGGTCAGACAGCTTCAGCGCTGTTCGGGGTTCTGAGGAATCTCGGAGAACGAAGGGACGTCCGGAAATATACACTTCAGGAACGAATGGGGTGTAAATCAACATTCATTCAAGATTCGTGGAGATGGGAGAGAGCAGTTGCCGACGTCTAATGGCTTCGCCACTACAACTAGCTGACTAGCTGCCAATAACGGGGAGAGAACGTACCTAGCGGCTCTTCACGGGTGCAGAACCAAACTACTCGGGTTGAATTGGGTATCTTAGGACGGCATCGTAATACCGATAGAATGGCCCGCAGGCCTTGGGTACGTGGCTGGGCCACACCGTAGACATTCAGACTGCCTTGTCTGGGCGCCCGGAAGTTGGGAGCACCATGGACATTTATGTCAAGATCGAGGGCTCGACCTGCGGAAGGCTATCAATGAGGCCCTACGTGTACGACATCAGGCGTTCTGGAGCGTACCTGAAGGGTAGTGATCGGTCTTAAGGATGAATCCACGCGAGAGGACGCTACCGGTGCGCGTCTTCACGATGGAGGGCCCTGAGCGCTGGAGCTGAGGCATGAGGTCGAGAGGGGGTGTATCTGGGATGCCTATGCTGTCTGCGACGGAGCTACTTAACAGACGTTGGCGCAGATCCCCCTCGACAGGTCGGCGCTGGGCGGCGGATCCGGGGGGAACCTGCGGGGGTGCAGAGGCCGAACGCTGTTCAGCATCATGGACGGCGCCATTCAGGGCGCTGTTGTCCAACGACATAGGAAAGCCCGGATCTTGTTTCTCCGAGCAGCAGTGCGAGGAGGAGGAGGATGGGAAGAGATGGGCGGAGGGAGGAGAGACAGGAGAGGCAAAACGAGTGCTGCCAGAGAGCCGAGTCAGTGGAACCGCGCCGAGTCGCGCACCGCGTTTTGCGGACCTCGACGGTAACGCGTGCCTCGCGTCGGTCACGCGACTCCGATCGTCCTTTTCAGCCGGCTTTTTCTCGATCGTAAGAGGTTTTTGTGAGACGGCAGAAAAAACATACGTCTACATTGGTGTCGTAGAGTTCGTAGTAGGGATACATGATGACTAGACTGCGCTTGACCTTGCCCCCAATATGCAACACAACACGGACGAATCGGAATCGATACAACGCACGAGGAAACCCGGAAGCCATGTCCGCCGAACGAACGTTCACGCCCAGCTGTCGATGAGCGAATCGCGCATCTCGCCAATGACTGCTGCCGAACTCTGGCCCTGCAACTCTGGAGAAATGACGTTAGTCTCCTCCGCAGATAGCCCATGAAACGTAAAAGAGACGCACTGAAGGCCGCTTCGATGACGCTGATTTCGGTAGCCGTCGTGTCAAGCCCGGTGAATGCACACCAGTCATTCACCACGAGTCCCGCACCCAGCACGTCGGAACCACGGTTCACGGTTCCGGCCTAAGAGAGCAGTCTTATCAGACCATGCAAGATAGCGAGAACCTACAAGACTGGGACGTACCACAAGAGGAACTTGGAGAAGACTGCTCAGCTCGTCCTGATCCTGTATGCTCGTCTTCGGGTGAACGATCCCGCCCTGGTTCGAGATCACGGCATAACTTCCGACAAGCACGTTGTCCGCGATCGTCTGCCGGAAAACCTCCACCTTCAGGACATCGGCAATGATCTCCTCCGTCTCACGGTCGATATCGGGGTGGACGAGGGCAACGTAGTCGTTGCATGCGATGACGTTTCCGAGCGCAGAGAGGCGCTCCTCTACGCGCTGGATCGCGACGGCGTCGGGGAGAGAGTTTCGGAGATGTTGGAGCTCTTGGTCCGTGGTCGTGGAGGGAACAAGGAGGCCATGGCGGTTGCCTTTCATAAAGAGGTAAGTTCCGAGTTCGCGCGAGCATGCACAGAAGAACGTACCAGCTGTTAGCCGGCCAACGATCCGTGTCCCACCAATGCTGGAGTGCACGATCGGAATGACATCCCCAAGCTCGCTCTCGAACGCGGAGTAAAAGTTGGTGCTGCCTTGGATGGCGCACAGGCAGTAGCTGTTCGTCAGCTTACTGAAAACACCGATATCGCTGTTGTTTTCGAATTGGATGCCTGCGCGCGGAGATGAGCAAATCCGATCGAGTGTTTTTGCCGAAGTCTGCAAACGTACGGGTAGCCATTTTAGGGGGGAAGGTTGTTTGCGCTTCTAAGACTTTGTAGGTGGTGGCGGGAGTGTAGGAGAGGCTACGAGAGCTGGAGTGGTGTATGTGCGAGTGGTTGGTGAAGCACAGTGAGCGTCGGAGGCAGAGTATAAAAGTGGGCAAGCAAAGTCACGATCGGCTCCGAGCGCGTATTCGCGCGGTGCGCGAGCCCCGCGACTGGACGCCTCCTGCCACCTCTTGCCCCTCGCGCTCATCTCGCACGGCCTTCTCATTGACTCGCTCGCACCTTCTGACTGGCTGGCTGTACAGCTTGATCCGACTCGACTCATCAGAAGCTTCAAACGTTGTCTCGCGATAGAGGAATGTCCGTCATGACTTGGGCTCGGAGCCGGAGCCTGCTCAACAGCTTGCGGATGGACACGCTCGCGGCCTCACCGAGGCGCCACAATGCATGCGTTACATCCGCGAAGAGTGTCCTATCTCAAAGACGGGCGTATGCGACTGGTTCTGAGGCCCCTACTGAAGTGGAGAAGATACTGCTGGATACCATCAAGGTATGTCTCCCTAAACCATGCTGTCAAAAGGGAGTGGTCCGCGTGTGTACGGAAATGTACATAACGTATCCCATGGACCGTGGCATGCAACTAAGTAGCAATCGCGCACTATTGCTCGGGCGTCCAACTGAACCTATGCGTCGTTCGCTGTGATGTCAGGGAGTGCTGAGACGCGTCGTTTCGTACCTGCACACGTCTCCTGACATATGTTCGCGCAATGCAACTGAACTTGTTTGAAGGCAACAGGGCCAATATCCTTTGCAACGTACATGCAAATGTGTCTCGCCCATCCCACCGCGGGATATTACATGAAGACGGCGAAGCCCGTCATAGGCTCCGGCGGTGACTTCATCACAAGCCCGGAGATCAGCCAAGTCTTTGGCGAGGTAGGGCGTTCTACACGACCTACGAGAGCATCCGTGATAACAACCACCCAGCATTGCCACTAGCTCCTAGGCATATGGCTACTCTCCCAGTGGATGTATGCCGGCGGCGGTCGCGAAATCCGTCTCCTCGAGCTTGGGCCAGGCCGCGGTACGCTTATGCACGATGTGCTGAGGGTGAGCACACTTCACTTTATACGGTCACACTGGTTCTGACTCTCAGTGTGCTCCAGGTGTTCTCACAATTCCCTGCAGCAAGGTCAGCCACCAAGGAGATCCACCTCGTGGAAACCAGCCAGACCATGCGCTCCGCTCAGGATGCAAAACTTAGCTTCCTTGCCAAAACACACGGATGGCAGCTGCACTGGCACGACGCTGTGGACCAGGTTCCGCATGACAGCAGCAAATTCACACTGGTCCTCGCGCACGAGTTCTTCGACGCGCTCCCGTTCCATCTCCTCCAAGTACGCATGCATACAGCTTCTCTGGTTTCAGTGCTTGCTGACCCTTCGCCGCTAGAAAACACATCATGGATGGCAAGAAGTGCTCATTGCCTCAGGACCGGATGCCGCCGCGAAGACCATTTTGAGACCGGGTCACAATTCCCCATTGGACTTCGGGACAAAAGCGCCTCCTCTGATCGCTGGAGCCCGGTTCCGACAAGTCTTGTCGCCGTCTCCCACGCCATCCTCGACTCTTCTGGGCTTGTCGTCCGCACGCTTCCAGAAGCTCCCGGTGGGCTCCCGTATCGAAGTGTCACCGGCGTCGTTCAAGATCGCCCGTCAAGTCGGCGAGCTGCTCCGTGATGGAGAGTCGGAGGAGACGCGATCGGCGGGCAGCGCGCTCATCATCGATTACGGTGGGGAAAAGGTTTACGGGAACTCCTTCCGCGCCTTCAAAGACCACAAGATTGTAGATGCTTTCCACCGCCCCGGAGAGTGTGATCTCACCGTCAACGTCGACTTTGCGTATTTGAAAGATGCGACCGCGGACTTGGGTATGTTTCTCTGCATGTACCATTTCGCAACCTGGTGCTGACGGTAAGGATACACAGTCACTCACCACGGACCCCTCTCCCAATCGATGTTTCTGCACCGCATGGGGCTGCAGGCGCGTCTTGACGCACTTACGACCTCCGCCAAGACCGACGAGCGGAAGAAACAGATCGAGCAGGCGGCGAAGAGGTTGGTAGACCCGACCGGCATGGGCACGCAGTATCAGATCATGGGCATGACTGGCAAGAGGAAGGGCGTGCTGGCAGACGAGGAGCGCTGGCCCTTCGTGGATCCCGAAGCGGAGCAGGACAGGGCACAGGCTGGGGTCGAGAAGCCAAGTGCCAGCCAATCGTGACTGTACCTCTTGTTTCTGGTCCTGTTATGACTCTGAGGTTTCTGCCCGGGGAGGGTCAGGGCGCGATAGCGTACGCTAGATCGAATCAATACAACCACTTCTATTCGCGAATGGAAGTCAGTCGCAGTGCTGGGCATGTGCGCATGCGTGTGCATATCAAGGAATGGAGACGTGATTACCGCGATGAGGCAGCACATCCGTGGCTCAGCTCACTGTTGGCTCGAGACTGAGAGGCTTATGCAGGGCCGCCGCACGTAGTGGCAGTGAGATCCAAGAGACCGGTGTGGTCACAAGCCGCCACTCTCATGCGAGCGGGGAGCACGTCTAGACAATTTGGCGAGGTCAAGCGGTGTCAGACAAAGCACCTCGATATCGGGTTTGTATCGAAACGTCCCCATTCCCGTACAGTTGCTGGCTATCTTCTGCATGAGATGAAGCAGCGACTATCCTGGTTGAACGTGACTTACTTTGACGCAAGTTAAATCCACTGGACAATCTGTTGACTACGAGGAGGAGGCTACGAAGAGGAGGCGCCACCACGATCATGTTCTCTCCTGCGGGGTGAGAGAGAATGACGCCGCCGCTTGTCTTTATGTCCCTGGTTATCAGGTTCCGTACTACCATGTCGTCGATAGGTATCTTCATCGTCGTCTTTACGTCGCTCGTGCGAACGCGACCTCTTCCGATGTTTATCCTTTGTAGACCGTTCCGCGTTTTGGGCGCCGGGGTCTTCTTCGCGCTTCCTGGCCTCCTCCTTCTCCTTGTTGCGCTTGTACATGAGTTTCTTCAGGCATTTGGGGCACAGGACGACCTTCACAAGTGCGAATTTGCTCTCTCCATGCTCGAGGTATGAGAAAGGGAGTTCGAGAGTAGTGAGTGCGGGCCGAATGTCGTCTCCCTCTTCGGGGAATTCTCTATGGACACGGCAGCGCGTGTTGCCGCAGGTCGTTTCTCCAGCTCCCGCAAGGACCTCTTCCTCAGTCCGCCATCGTAGAGCAAACTTCACAACCCATCAGCATGAGTTCGGGAACTGATCATGCCAGGGATGCTACATACATTTCCCGTCTTGTAATGCTTCAGATCACAAACGGCGTACTCTCGATAGAGTGCGGAATAATACTTCTTGGCTAGCCTGTCATCCCATGAGAGCTGACGTTCATCCACGTCGTCATCTTCGCGGAGAAATCTGTACAAACACCAATTATATTAGAATACCTACATGCTATGTCTGTCCTCACAACCCCTCCTTACTTATGTGAGCTCTTGAGAATGTCGAACTCGGTGTGTCCTTGGAACGAGGGCCCTGCACCGCGCGAGCCCAGAGCCATGTTATGATCCAGTTACGTATCAGGGATGTATATTCCGCTATGTTACCAAATGACGGTAGCGAAAGGCTGCGAGCGCGAGAAGAAACATCCACAGTCGAGGTGAAGGGGAGAGACATGGCGCGCAGCCGCCTCCTCCACTGCAGTGACCGACGCGAACGTGACTGCTACTGTAACGACCCAAAAGTGGACTGTCACGCGTCCATCCCGATTATTGCAGGCGCTAGGGAGTGCGAGGATTCTGGTCTCTTCCCCTTGGACTCCATTGCTTCCACTCTTGCGTCTCCATCATGTCTCAAGAACCGCAAGCCATGTACGCGACCGACGAGGTAACGAACACCCCCCGATTGTTTTGCAGTGCTCTAACATTTGGCTATAGTACGGTCGGCCGTTCATCATCCTGCGCGAGCAGGCCAGGAAGACGAGGAGCCATGGCACAGAAGCAATTAAAGTACGTGTTGTGTGCCAGCTTCCCTGATGTTTCTGTTTGCTCACGGATATGCAGTCACATATTCTTGCTGCGCGCACGGTCGCGAACATCATCCGCACGTCTCTTGGCCCTCGAGGTACGTGCACCGGAGCATTCTACGCGCGTCCTGCTCAATGAACGCATATAGGCCTCGACAAGATCCTCATCTCCCCCGATGGCGACATTACCGTGACGAACGATGGTGCAACTATCCTCTCGCAAATGGAGGTGGACCACCAGATCGCGAAGCTGCTTGTGCAGCTCTCAAAAAGCCAGGACGATGAGATCGGCGACGGCACGACGGGTGTTGTCGGTGCGTTTGCCCAATTAATCGCGTTTGCATTGCAAAACTAAACCCGCATCGAAGTTCTCGCTGGTGCCCTCCTTGAGCAGAGTGAAGAGCTCCTTGACCGCGGCATTCACCCTATCCGGATAGCAGACGGCTTCGACCGCGCATGCAAGGTCGCGGTCGAGCAGCTAGACCACATCTCCGACCGCGTTACATTTTCCAAGGAGGACACCACGAACCTGCTGAAGACTGCTATGACCAGTCTTGGCAGCAAAATGTACGTTCATCTTCTCATTGAGCACTAGCCTTCTCTCTCGTAAAAAGCGCAAAGGTCCTGACCATCTTATAGTGTGTCGAAGGAGCATCGTCAATTCGCCGAGATCGCGGTAGAAGCTGTGATGGCTGTAGCTGATCTCGACCGCAAGGACGTGCCTTTCGACATGATCAAGGTCGACGGCAAAGTCGGCGGCTCGCTCGCGGACACGAAGCTCATCCGCGGCGTGCTCATCGACAAGGACATGTCGCACCCACAAATGCCGAGCAGCGTGCACGACGCGCGGCTCGCCATCCTCACTTGCCCGTTCGAGCCGCCACGTCCCAAGACGAAGCACAAGCTCGATATCACCAGCGTGGAAGAGTACAACAAGCTGCGCGAATATGAAAAGGAGAAGTTCCAGGACATGATCAAGCGCGTCAAGGACACCGGCGCGAACCTTGTCATCTGCCAATGGGGCTTCGACGACGAGGCGAACCACTTGCTCATGCAGAACGATCTCCCTGCTGTGCGGTGGGTCGGTGGACCCGAGATCGAGGTTGGTTCTTTGAGGTATTTTAAGTTTGTGTCGGCTAACATACATCGCAGCTCATTGCGATTGCGACCAACGCTCGTATCGTTCCTCGGTTCGAGGACCTCACGAAGGAGAAGCTTGGCCGTGCAGGTGTCGTGCGGGAAGTGACCTTCGGCACAACGCGTGACAAGATGCTCGTCATCGAGGAGTGCGCCAACGGCCGGACTGTTACCGTCTTCGTCCGCGGTTCCAACAAGATGGTGCGTTTTTGCCATCCTCACCTTCCGAAGTCGACAGGCTGGATTGACACGCGTCGGTAGATCGTGGACGAGGCCAAGCGGGCACTACACGACGCGATTTGCGCGGTGCGCAACCTGGTCGTCGATGACCGTGTCGTCTACGGTGGAGGTGCAGCGGACATCAGCTGCTCGCTCGCAGTCGGCAAGGCCGCGGACGAGATCCCGTCGATCGAGCAGTACGCGATGCGCGCATTCGCGTCAGCGCTGGACGCGATCCCGCTCGCGCTTGCGGAGAACAGCGGTCTCTCCCCCATCGAGACGCTTGCGGAGGTGAAGAGCAGGCAGGTGCGCGAGGGCAATCCCATGCTTGGGATTGACTGCTTGGGCAAGAGCGAGAATGGTGAGTGTCTTGTTGCTTGCGCGGTGGGGTGCGGTTGATTGACGGCGTGATGTAGACATGAAGAAGCAAAACGTGTATGACCCCCTGATCTCGAAGAGGCAGCAATACCTGCTCGCGACGCAGCTCGTCCGTGCGGTATTGAAGATAGGTGCGTACTGGGCTGGCTTGTCCTGTGATTGCTGCTGACATGAGATGTAGACGACGTGATTACGGCCGGGGAGCTCGACGAGTAATTCACCAATATCAATGTAAACTAGACAGACGCAATCCACGTGCAGCCCTCGAAAGATGCGAGAGCACACCCGAAAGTCGCCGCCACTTCGCGACTATATACACTTCTCCGACTTTGTCACAATCCCCATCAGCGGAACATGTGGCACTCCCGCCGCACATTTACGTGGAGTCCCGGTGGGTCCCTTTATAATCATCATAGTACATTCCTCCCAACGTCTCAGACATCAAAGCGATGTCGGTAGGTGTGCTGCTGTGGCCGGCAGTTGGATGCTGAAGTTCCGGAAGGCTGACTTTGTGTAGGTTGACGAAGGCCCAGCAGAAGGCGAAAATTGGTGAGGTCAAGGGCTGAGGACTGATGTGAACGGGTACGGGCTTTCGTCATGCACGTAGATCAAACGGATGTAGAATGCAAGAGTATCAGGCCGTATATGTTCAAGTACGTATTTCTTCGCCCTATGCCCAGCCAGGGGGCCAACATCTCACGTAACATTCACGGCCGAGTAACCCAACACCGTGCTGCAGCTTACATCGCAGCGCTTCGGCCTCGGGCGATCTCACTTTGTCGCCCAAGATGCCCCAAGTACATATTCACGCCAGACCTGGTAAATCGTACCATCTACCGCATCAGCCACCCACAATCTCCGAAAAGCCTCATGACGATCACAGAACGTACCTTTGTCTCTGCGGACGATACACAGATCTATGCTGAGTCCGCTGGAAACTCTGCCAAGCCCGCTATCGTCTTCATACACGGACTGGCCAGCAGCGGAGTGTGTTGGGACAACCAGTTCTCCGACCCGGCCTTGCTTCGCGACTTCCATCTGGTCCGATACGATCTGCGCGGGCACGGCAGAAGCGGGAAGCCACTCGACCCCAAGTCCTACGAGTCGATACGCTTCGCAGAGGATTTCAAGGCAGTCTGCGATGGGTTCGGTTGCAGCAAACCCTTCCTCGCTGGTTGGAGTCTCGGAGGTACGCTCACTCACCTTGCACCGGGCTCTCTAACACGCTCATATTCTCCACAGGCAGTGTAGTCGTAGACGTAGTCGCTGCATACGGCCCGTCCTTCCTCTCCGGGGTCCTCTACATCGGCGGAGGCATTCTTTCGCTCACCAAGTACCACCCTCTATGCGCCCCACCGCTCATCGGCGATCTCATCCCTCTCTTCTTCTCTGCCAACTCCGACGACGTCTCGAGTGCTGCAGAAAAGTTCGTCGACTCGTGCGCCGCCCCTGGGAAGCCTCTCCCGTTTTCTGAGAGGCTGAAGTGGCTTGGGGCGTTTGTCTTGCAACCGCGCACGGTGCGGTGCAATCACCTCTCCCGCACGCAGCCATACGAAGTCTGGGAGCAGCAAGCGCGCGATCTGCCGGTTCTGATCGTGCAGGGTACGGCGGACCAGCATTGCCTATACGAGAACATGATCCGTCTGGCAAGGAGCGTATACAGGGAGGTGGAGGTGAAGATCATAGATGGGTGCGGGCACTCCCCGGCGGTGGAGTACGGGGCGGAGACAAATATTTACATCTATGAATGGACCAGGGATATCGCCGCTAGACAGGTGAGTGGTATAAGTGCAGCGGGCGCTCTCGATCTGACATTCTATAGACCTAGAGAAGGTAGATATCGTGGAAATCGCAGTCAGCTCATGGGACAATCTAGCAAGATAACCATGCTAGAACACATGAGAAACCATCAGAATACCCTTGTGCCTTATAGTATTCGTGCGGAGGTTTGGGTTCGTGCTCAGGCTGGTTCTGGCAAGTCGGACAATGTCGTGGGAAGCGAGGGCGAGCGCAGGGCCTGACCTTCTCTGCCCTTGGTCCTCTAGGTCCGCTTATCACTTCCCTGTAGTGAGTACCCGCCTGAGCGATCGTTTACCGGAGACTCCTCTGACGTCGTAACATTTCACTGATTGGACGCTCAACCTCAACTAGAGATGCAGACCTCCGATCCAGGGTCTCCCCCAAGGCTCAGGATTGCAATATGGCGACTACCTTTCATGATCTGCAGCGTCGCATATATGATCTTGACGCCTTTACTGCAGCGGTGGTGGTATCGCTGGCCTCACGCTTGCTGTCGCTCTGCACCGATACTCAAACCCGGAAGCACCTGTCGAGGTCAACATATATGAGGCCGACCGCGAAGTCAGGACCGTTGGGGCTGGCATCACCGTGTGGCCCCGGACGTGGGCGATCATGCGCGATTTGGGATTGTACGACGAACTGGCGGGCATTGCGGCGCGATCCCAGAGTGGCACTTATGACAGCCGATCCACAGAATTGAGTGAGTGATGTCAGAGCGTAGTACGAGATGCAATGCTCACGTATAACGACAGAGCCGGCGTTCGTGGCGCGCAAGGCGGATCAGCCTAGCGAAGGCTACACATACGCACGCGTCCTCGCCCCCAGTGAGTCGCGATGGTAGCATTGCAACGACGTGGGTTGAACGTGCTGATGACAGATCAAATGTAGATGGATCCACAACGATGCACAGACGCGATATGCTCGACGTCTTCCTGCGCAGCCTCCCCAGCTCCTACGTGCTCCACACATCCAAGAAGCTCACATTTTACATCTCGGGTCCCTCGATCGTGATACACTTCGCCGACGGCACCGAAGTGGAGGCCGACGTTTTCATTGGGGCAGACGGGATTCACTCAGTGACGCGCCACTGTATGTACGCTGGTGCACACCGAATCGAGTGTCCGCCTGCACCCGAAGAGGATCAGCCGTGGCATAGGTGCACGCGATGCAAGGCCGCGGTCCCCAGATGGACGGGTATCCACGCGTATCGCTGCTTGATACCGACGACCAAGCTGTATAGGAAGAATCGGCAGCACACAACGAAGTCTATCGGATCGGTTCTCTGCGTAAGCTTACGACACCGGCCCCGGGTGCCGCTCTTATTCCGCACACTGACACCCTACAGTATTCAGGGAAGGGAAAGGTACTGTCGGACACCATGACTATTGTTGAATGGCTCACCCTGGAACGCGCCTCTAGCACATAATCACTTACCAGATATCCGAAGGCACCCGTCTCAATTTCGTCGCTCTCTGTAGGGAACCTGGTGGGGAGGGCACGCACTATACGGACAAATGGGTGACGGAGGTGCCCGAGGAAGAGGTCCTATCGCAGTTCACGTCCTGGGAGCCAGAGGTGCAGCAGATGCTCGACGTGCGCTCCATTTCCTTTTTTTAAAAGTATAAACAGGCCTGACCGACCTCCAATACAGTGCGTGTATAAACCGACCCGTTCGGCGATCCATACGATTACGGACCTTCCGTTCGCTGTTCGAGGGAACGTCGCGCTGATTGGGGACGCCGTGCGTTGCGCTCCTCGCTGCATGCAACCACACTGGCTGACCTTGTGACGGCTCTAGATGCACGCAATGGCACCCAACTTCGGTGCAGGAGGCGGTCAAGCGATTGAGGTGCGCATCTTGACCGAAGCCTAGCATCTCAGCCGCCGCTTACCCCACGCCATAGGACGCATACATACTCGGCCGCCTCCTTACGGACCCTCGTCTGGCGCAGAACACCGCGTATGCATCTGCGGCATTGAAGGCGTTCGAGAGCGTCCGGCTGCCATTCACGACAGACGTTGCGCGGCGCGCCCGCGACGTAGGGCTGATGTACGAGTTCAACGCACCCGGGCGTTTCGCTGGTTCCGCGCAGGAGCAGAGCGTGCCGCAGCAGAATGAGCGCGAGCAGCTGGATGACCTCGGACGGGAGATCAATGACATGTGGGCATGGCAGTGGGAGGAGGGGCTTGATGAACAGTGGGAGGCGGCGAAGAGGGCAATGGAGGCCGCCTTACCGTCCAATGAGCTGGCTGATGGTTTGGTAAATCGGCGAAGGAGAGATACGTAGTACTAGAGAATACGAGCTCGTTTTCATCCCCCTGGTATACTGTGAGGGTGGTCACTAAAGTAACTGTCCACTGAGATCGAACCAACGGCATCCGAAATGAAAAGATGAAAGAGTCGGTAGAGGTGGGATCGAACCGGCGACTTTGCGGGTTGAAAGGGATAAAAGAATCCCTCGAATCGGGATCGAACCAATGACCTTGAGATGACCAGGGGTAACCATTACAGTCTCACGCTCTTCCAACTGAGCTATCGAGGGCTTGAAACTTAACTCCTAATTCAGTTGAACATACACATGCTTTGATAAGCCCTCGGGACACTTCAACCGAATCCATGTGCGGCAACCCTAGGCAGGACGAGGTTGACTGTGCATACGGTGTGTAAGGAAATGAGCGAAAAGCTGAACGCTCGCGTGAAGTAGTCACGCATTGTTCGGAGTGGAGGTGAGGGACAGGTCGGGACTCGGAAAGCGGGACTCGGAATGTTGAACGGCTCGAAGATACTTGCCATATGCGGTAGGACTCCGGGATCAACCGAGACCCGGAGTTGCTCCCACCGGCGCTTGTCGAGTGCCACTTCTTCGACGCCTCCAACTTGGCAAGTAAGTTCGGATGTTCTGCTCTGTGTAGTTCACCATGGAGCTGACTGGACAACACAGAACCTAGCACTCCATGATATTCCCATAGGTTTCAATGGAGAAGTTCTTTGTAACAGCCTGACACACCCAGACGAATGCGGAAACAGGCGGAATCGGACTTGCCCTTCGGAGCACACATGGACATCGCCCGTCTCGTTCTCCGCATCTTACAGGAGCCTTCCACAGCGAGGCCGTGTCATTCCGGCGGCGAGGCGGCCTCCAGCGGGTGAATGCCACCAATCCCGACACCTGCTAGCGGTCCGGCCCAACGCACCGACGACCATTTCCCTCCGTCATCCGCCCAACCCCGCGTCCACAAAGTATATATCCCCTCAGATGTCATTTCCCCAGAAGTTGTCATACTCCCCTTTCCGCTCCTCCCCCTCACCTTCCTCCCTTCTCCCCGCTTACGGCCTGAATGGCCTCTCCCTCCATGCCGCAGAGCGAGACATCCACAATCGCCGTCCACGACTATGCTCACCATTCTTCGCATCAAAAACATGAAAAGCATGCGGAGGACCATCCGGGCCACATCACCTTCACCGACAGCACTCAGGGCACCCACGGCCTTGCTCTGACGAGGACACGGACACACGATTCCCACAATGACAACCGCCCCGATCTGTCTTTCCCCTTCGCCACCACTGATCTCAACCGTGGTGGCTTCACTGATGAGTATCGTGCCGTTTCAGAGAGTGGTTTCATGCCCGCGGACCTCGCGCTGCGGCCCGTACCCTCTCATGTATACCGTCTACCTCAAGCGCTCGCCGACCCCGAGAAGGCGCGCGAGCTCAGGCAGATGAAGCTGGTGACATGGAAGGAAGCTGATCCTGAAGATCCTCGTAACTGGTCCAATGCGTATCGGTGGTGTGCGTACCCTTGCCGCTAGCCCTCACCTGCTCCACTGACACTTTCGCAGATATCACCGCCGTCTGTGCCATAGCGGTCGTCCAAGTCGCGTTCGCGAGTGCGGTTGTCACCGGCGACTTCAAGGACATTGAGTCAGAGTTCCATGTGGGTGAAGTCGTGACAGCCCTGAGCGTCTCGCTCATGGTCGTTGGCTTCGGTATCGGTCCCCTCGCCTGGTCGCCTCTGGTAAGTGATGCGAGTCTTTGAGTCCCGCAATTTACTCACAATATTTCAGAGCGAGCTTTACGGTCGGCGCCCGATCTGGATGATACCCAGCTTTATCTATGTCATTTTCAACATTCCCTGCGCCGTTGCCACGAACATCCAGACGCTGCTGATCTGCCGGTTCTTCTGCGGCATATTCGCGTCTGCGCCGCTCACGCTCGCAGGCGGGACCATCTCCGACGTATGGGACAACAACGAGCGAGGCATGGCGATCGCGCTGTTCGCCGCCGCGCCCTACGGCGGCCCCGTCCTCGGCCCCATCGTCGGCGGCTTCGTCGGCGAGACCGTCGGGTGGAGATGGATTATTTGGGTGAACATGATCTTCGCCGGTGTCGTGACCGCATTCACCTTCACCATTCCGGAGACGTTTGCCCCTGTGCTCCTCAGGAAGCGCGCCGAGATGCTGCGCAAGACGACGGGCGACCACACGATTACCACCGAGCAAGAGCTATTCAGAGCCTCGATCTCGCAGATCCTCGTCGAAACCCTCCTTCGGCCATTCCGTGCGTAACATCCCGTCATATCTCCAGAGGCGCCGTGTCTAACATTCGACCCAAACAGAGATGATCCTTGAAGAGCCCATCCTGCTCCTCATGAGCCTGTACGTCGCGCTCATCTACGGCCTCCTCTACGCCTTCTTCTTCTCGTACCCCGTCGTCTTCGGCGAGTACTACGGCTGGAACGACGGCATGGTTGGCCTCACCTTCTGCTCCGTGCTCATCGGCGTCGCCCTCGCGCTCTTCGTCACGCCCCGCATCGAGCGCGACTACCTCCGCCGCGCCGCCGCGAAGGGCGGGCTCGCGGATCCCGAGGACCGTCTCCCGGGCATGATGATCGGCTGTTGGTTCGTCCCCATCTCGCTGTTCATCTTCGGGTGGACGAGTCCCCCCGCCGTCATGCCGGGCGGAGGTAATTGGGTCGGGCCCGTGTCCTCTGGGGTGCCCTTTGGCTTTGGCAGTACGTATTCACTCGTGTATTCTGGTATGAGTCTAGCAGCTGCTGATCGTGCTTGTGCGTATAGTGGTCGTCATCTACGCCTCCGCCAACGCGTACCTGATCGACGCGTTCCCCGGGTACGTTGCGTCTGCGCTCGCTGCGAAGACTGTCATCCGGTCTGGCTCTGGGGCTGCGATGCCGCTGTTCATCACTGCCATGTACCACAACCTCGGCAATGGCTGGGCGGCGTCGACGTGGGCGTTCATCTCTGCTGCGATGGTGCGTATTTTCTGCTGCGTGAGATGGCGTTTTTCGTGGAGGCTGACTTGGGTTCCTGCATAGATTCCCATTCCGTTCTTGTTCTACCGGTACGGGCGTGCGATCCGTTCGCGCTCAAAGCGTGCCGCTGCGTAATCGCACTATTCTTGTCGCCGAATCTTCTGCCTGTTTCCCGGTCTACCATACATCCAACCAATTTGCTGCTCTCGCATCATTCTTCTCTTCGCACATCCAAGTCGCTCTCCATCTCGTCAACTGCGTCCACCCTCATAGATCATCGAACGCCCGTTGTTTCTACTTAATCTCACATTGCGCCTTAGACTGCTGCCCCTCTGAGCGTTATTACGTGATTTTACCATATTTCTGTGTGAGCATAGTAGTAGCGAGTCGTCTCCTAAACCGGCCTCTTCGCCTCGTTGTCGCTCGTTTACATGTTTAACTTAACAGCGTTCACATATCAAGCCTAAAGTCCAGGGCGTACAACAACAAAGTCCGGGCCAAATCCAAAACGAATCGCAAGCGTCCAATAGCGCACCGAACCTCCCGCCACAACGTTCACAGGCCGCACTTGCTCGCGGACACCTGCTTGACCTTCGCGTGGATGACGCCGCGCTCCTCGGCATGGCCGTGCGTGAGTTTGTTCAGGCCCTTCTCCCCGATGTTGAGGCCCGACTTCGCGTGGTCGATGGCGAGCACGTTGATCGTCGTACCGTTATGGCTCACTTGCCAGCAGGTGCCACAGTTCGGCGAGTTCCAGCCTAGAGCGCAAGCATGATTAATCAGTCAATGCCTGTCGTGTCAGAAAGGCGCATATAGGCTGAAGCACGTACCTGTGACGGCCTGCGCGCCGCCGAGATACTGGTTGGGCAGGGAGCCAAAGGTCGTGTAGCCTGGATAAGAGGGACACGGTGAGCGAGCAGCACCTCTGATGAGGGACTAAGGAGACGTACCCTTGGTCTCAAGGCCGTGCTTGCCGTTTGAGCATGCGACGATGTCGAGCGAGTTCGACTTCTTGTCGTACACCGGGTCATACGTGACCTGCTGTGTCTGGGCCGAGCTGCCGCTCGCAGGAACGCCGAGCGCGACGGTGGCGAGCGAGAGGGCGGAGAGGATGATGGTCAAGAGCTGCATGGTGGAGAGTACCGGTTTGACGTAGGCCGGGGGCTCGGAGGATGGAGTGCAAGCAGCTGCACAAGCTATGGTGACGGGGCGACCTTCTTATACCTGCCCACGCAGGCGCAATGGGTGAGAGCTCCGGGAGGACTCAGGGAGTATGCATGCAGATGATCCATGTCTGCTGCTCTGTGCACGATCTCATCCGCGGGACGGTCAGGGGAAGCCGACGGGGGGCGATCCGTTGGAGCTGCCGTGTATATACATTCCGATGCATGCCACGCATAGCGGACCAACACCGACGATTCCAAACAGGCTGAACAATGTGGAAGCGAACGCACCTGTCGCTATGCACTGACACCTGAGGACAGGCCCGGCTATGTTTCGTAGTACTTGAAGTGGAAGAGGTGGCACGAGGCCTCTCGTGAAGGACGCGTCCTCGTCTTAATCTAGTAACATGACGGCACGGCTGGTCAGATGTTGCATAACAGGAGCGAGAGGCGGAATGCACGGAGGCGTACCTGCAATGCTCAACGGGAAGCCCTCGCCGCGCGAGGCGGATGTAAGACCATGGCGTGCTGGACGGAACTAAGACAGGTGACGTCGACGAGGCTCCGTGTCGGGTGTGCCCCCTGGTCGGCCGACAGTCGTCGTGGCAAAACAAAGGCATACACGCATGATATGGGGAGAAGGAACGACGGGGTAACCCAAGCTATGCATTGATCTGTAAGATGTACGCGAACCGTAGTCACAGCAAGGTGAACTAGTTGGAATGATGGTGAGCGGTGATTATACCGAAGCGATGTATGTAAAGGTGCATATTCAACAGCAGATATGAAGGTCATAAATTCGTTACATTCGTGAAAAAAGAGCAATGCTGACGCCCGCGGACCCCACTTTACATTATCACGCACCACTTGCCCTTCTTGTGCTTGTCCTCGACGTCGCCGTCGATGGGGGTATTCGCAGGGGCCTCCAGTGCAGGCGTCAAAGGCGAGTCCGCAGGGTTCTTGGTGAACTCGCCCGAGGCGTGGTCCAGGGAAGTCCGCCCTTCTTCCGGTGTTTTGACCGTGTTGCTGGAGAACCAGCCACCCGGAAAGTAGCGGGAAGACGTCGTGGACTCGTGCCGTGCACGCGCACTAGGGGGAGGGGCATCCGCGGGAGCGGGGGACGCCTCTTCGATGTTGATCTGCGTGTTCTCATCGACGGGTGCGAGACGAGTGAGGCTGGGCCTGACGCAAACATGTTCAGTGTCATTGCAGAGAAGAGCATAACAGAAAACTTACTTGGCAGACATCTTCTTCTCCTCGTCCGACGTCGGGAAGGGTGCAAGACTGTTGCCGTTCGTGGCGGCTTCAGTGGCGGTCTCCGCAGCGGGTTCGACAGTCTTCTCGCTGCCGGGAGTGCCGTTGGCGGTGGGTTCCTCGGTAGCGACCGCAGGAGTCTCTTCGACGTCATCCTTTCCGGCATCAGATACAGAGCCTTGCCTCGTGACAGAGTACGAAGGAGTCCAAGGACGCGAAGGCGGCTGCTCAACCGCTGGAGCGCTGTCATCCTGCTGTGGAGAGCTAGAATTAATGAACAAATCGCCACAAAGATGATCCAGAACTCACCTCGGAAACCGGCGCCGGAGTCTCGTCGATGCGGATCTCGGGTTGCTCAGCGGGAGCAGATTCGGCAACGGCGAACTCCTGAACGGGAGGTGGCAGCACCTCCAGTTCCTGAAGCTCCTTGTGAACTGGGCTAGGACTGTGGAGAGGGCTACCGCCTTGCTGTGAGACGGAGTATGAAGGAGTCCAAGGGGACTTCGGCCTCTCGTTGCCGACGGGAACAGTGGGAGGCGTCGAGGGCTGAACATGCTTTAGCACTGACATTCTACCGGAAGAAGACTTTGAACTCACCACGACAGCTTCGTCAGCTTCATCTGTGACGATAATGGGGGTCTCGGTGGCAGGCTCGGCTTCCTCAGCAGGAGCAGGGGCGACAGGCTCATCAACCGGAGCGGACTCCACAATCACGGCGGGTTCCTCGACAGCAACAGACTCTGGCTCGGCCGCTGGGGCAGAGGACTCCTCGGGAGCAGGAACCTCCACAGCTGCAGGCAGAGACTCGATCTCGGCGACGTCAGCATCGGTAGCGGTCTCCTGAGGCGTGTGGAGAGGGCTGGAGCCCTGAGAGCTGACAGAGTACGAAGGAATCCAAGGAGACGACTTCGTGGCCTCCTCTTCCGCAGGCGCCTCAGAGGCGGGGAGGTCCTCGGTCGTAGTGATGAGGACCTCCGGAGTGGGAGCCTCGTCGGCGACCTCTTCCTCAGCAGCGACGTCTTCAACGGATTGCTCGGCCTCGGACTCGACCTCTTCGGCTACTTCGGGCTCGACGATCGCCTCTACGGCCTGTTCTGGTTCTTCTGCGGGCTCTTCCGTGGGTGCAACAACCACCTCGGGAACGGGGTCAATGGGGGCAGTTTCTTCCACAGCGGCTGCCTCGGGCTCTGCACTGGGGACAGGCTCGGCCTCTTGGACGGGCACCTCGGGAAGCTCTGCAGTCTCAACCCTCGGGGAGTGGATAGGACTCGCGCCCTGTGCGCTGACCGAATACGACGGTACCCAGGACGGGGACGGCGAGCGGCCAGCATCTGGCTCAGGGACGGAAGGCTCGTCGGTCTCTTCAGACGGCTGAGGAGGGGAAACCAATGAGTATAAGTAATCTTGACAATGGAGGTGCATTTACCTCTGCGGTAACCTCGACGGTCGGCGTAGGAGCCCGCTCCTCCTCGGCGGAGGGCGGGAGCTGCTCGAGCTCGGCGATCTCTTCCTCCTCCTCGGCGGCGTTGGAGCCGGGGCCTTGGGTGGTGACGCTGTACGAAGGCGTCCAGGGGGACTTCGGGCGGTCCTGGAGTGACGGGGACGGGCTCCTGGAAGTAGTGACTTCTTCCGAGGGTTGCTGCTCGTGCTGCTCGGGCTCGTCTTCGGGGGCGTCAATGGAGACCACCGGGATGCTGGTCTCTTCTTCAGGTGCCTCCTCTGCGAGAACCGCAGCCGCAGCCTCCTCAGCAGGAGTCTCTTCCACGGCAGCAACCGTCTCCGGCTCTACAGATACTTCCTCAACAGCAGGCGTCGCCTCCTCCACGGGAACCTCCTCGACAGCAGGCGCCTCCTCGACAGCGGGTGCCCCTACGGCGGTCTCGCTCTCGACAACTTCGTCAGCTGCTTCAGTGACCTCGGCTTCCTCCACGATCGGAACTTCGGGCTCGACCTCCTCGACGGCGGGAGCCTCAGTAGCAACAAACACATCTGCAGCAACGGGAACGTCCGCCTCAACCGGGGCGGTGGTATCGACAACCTCCTCAGCAACGACTGAGGGCTGCTCCGGCTCCGCGGCTTCCTCCAAGACGACAGTCTCAACAGGCGGGACAACCTCCTCTTCGACAGCTGGCGTCTCTTCCACGGGAGCGTCCTCGGGGGTATCCGCCAGGGCGGGCTCTTCAGCTGCTGGCTCCTCCACAACGGGTACGGCTTCGCTCTCTTCGAGGGGAGTCTCGACGGGAGCGGGAGTCTCCTCAATGACGGCGGGCGTCTCCTCAACGACGGCGGGAGTCTCCTCAATGGCCGCGGGAGTCTCTTTGACTACTGCGGGGGGTTCCTCAGCAGGTTCTTCGACCGCCACGGGAGTCTCATCGATAGCAGCAGCGGCCTCCTCAACAGCAGCAGCGGATTCCTCAGCAGCGGGTGCCTCAGGCGTAGCCTCTACAGCCTCCTCGACAATGGGGACCTCCTCCACGACGGGCGTCTCCTCCACGGCAGGTGTCTCTTCGACGACCGCTGCCTCCTCGACGGCAACTACCTCAGGCGTGGCATCCACGGTCTCCTCAGCAGCAAATGTCTCCTCTACAGCAGGAGTCTCCTCGACCACCGGGACGGCCTCCTCAGCGATGGGCTCCTCCGTGGGGGCAGCAGGCTCCTCGCTGACAGCGGGTTCAGCTTCTTGCGCTTTCGCTTCGGGCTCTACCGCTGCCTCGGCGGGGGTGACTTCCTCTTCCTGGACTGCAGGCGTCTCCTCCACGTGGGTGGACTCTTCGGCGGGCACGCTGTCTGCGACGACTTCAACAGCAGGCTCCGCAGCTGACGAGGTCTCTTCTTCGACCTCTGCGACCTCCGCGACGGCCTCCTTGACCGGCTCCTCAGTGGACGCCTGTTCAGGTTCTGGAATCGCTTCTTCGACCTGCTCGATGGCGGGGACTTCCTCCGCGAAAACGGGCGGGGGAACGTCCACGGGCGCGACAGTTGTCTCGACCTCGGTAGCGACCTCGTCCACGGGGGCAGTAGGCTCCTCCGGAGCAGACTCCTCGACGATGGACTCCTCAGGAAGCGACTCCCCCAGGGTGGACTCGAGGACAGGCTCCTCCGGTACCGACTCTTCAGCGATGGGCTCCTCGGGTACCGGCTCTTCAGCGGCGGGGACAGGAACGTCCTCCACAGCGGCAACCTCTTCAACCACACTGGGCTCGGAGACCGGAACGTCCTCCGCAGAGGTCTCCGTCGCGAGCGCAGCAACCTCTTCCTCAGCGGGAGTCTCCTCCACGGCAGGTACGGATTCAGCTTCTGTCTCTGCCTCGGGTTCAACGTGTTCCTCTGCAGGCGTATCCTCGACAGCAACCGCCTCGGGTATAACAGCCTCGGCCTCCTCCGTCACGACAGCATGCTCCTCGGCTACTTCGGGCTTCTCTTCCTCCACGGTAGGTTCGGGAACGGCCTCGACCTCGGGGGCAGGCGCTTCCGACTCAGCGACCGGAGCGTCGGCAAGCGCAGAAGGCTCCTCAGCCTCGGTCACAGTAGGCACGGCGACTTCCTCAATTGCCTCTTCGGGGACCTCCTCGGTAGCGGCAGCCGGCTCTGTGGGAGCGGGCTCATCCGCCACAGTCGCGGGCTCTTCGACAGCAGTCGCGTCAGCATCGGTCTCCGCAGAGAGGATCTCTTCGGAAGGCGCGGGTGCGTCCTCCACTACAGGGGAGTCCTCTACTGCAGGAACATCCTCAACAGTAGTAGCCGTGACGGGCTCTTCGATGGCAGCGGGTGCCTCTTGAGCAGGAGCGGGGGTATCTTCGATAGCGGCGGGCGCATCCGCATGGGGCGCAGTCTCCTCTTCAACGAGCGTAGGTTCCTCGGTAGAAGCAGCGGGCTCCTCCGAGATCGTCGGCTCCTCAGCGGCCGGGACATCGTCCACGGCCACAGGCTCGCTGGCGGGAGCTTCCTCAGCAGGGGTCGCGGCCTCTTCGGGGACCGCCTCAGTCTCCTTCACGGGAGCAGGGGTGTCCTCTGTGACAGTTGTGGTGGCTGCAGAAGCAGGAGTCTCTTCCAAAGTCTCTTCGGGAGCCGCGGCGACTTCGGGAACCTCTTCGGTGGTCTCGCCGGTCTCGGTGAGATAAGGCTCTTCGGCCGCGGGCGCGGAGGGCTCTTCGCTGGCTTCAACGATGGGGGCAGCGTGGTCTTCAGGCACCGCGTCGGTATCAACGACAGGCGCGGTATCGTGTGCCTCGACTAGGGGAGCGCTCTCCTCTGCGAAACGCCAGTTCAGCGTCTGCAGCACTGAGTCATGAGGACAATGATTGGCCACATACCAACTACAGGGTCAGTGGACTCGGCCACAGCGGGGGCCGCCTCGCTCTCGGCTTTGTCCTCGTCAGCAGCGGCCTGAATGTTGAGGAAGGGTGGCGTACACGTCGATGAGCACACTGTGGCTGACATAAAGAGTAATCACGCACCTCTGTGGCCTCCTCCTCTGTCGAGGCGCTGGTCTCGTCAATTGGGTCAGACGACGCGTCCTGCGTCGCTGCAGTCAAATCCTCCGACGCGCTATCGTCCTCGGCTGCTGCGTCGGCAGACGCGTTCTCAGCAAGAGAGACAGGCGCGTCGGTGGCAAACGCTTGCTTGCGGATCTCCTCGACAGCATGCGTGAGAGTTTGCTCGACGTCAGCGACGGACGGCGGCGCATCCTCGGTGTCCTGCGTAATGGGTATCGCCCGCGCTGGCTCTTCGACAGCGACAGACATGTCGGGTGAGGGGTATGTGGGGGAGAAGAGAGAGATAGATAAGCACGGGTGGCTGTACGCTCGAGGGCGCAGCGGGTCGGAGTGTCGGGAAGCTAGAAGGAGAGGGAGGAGCTCACGCGCCCTTCCTGGAGAGAGACGCACCAGATTTCGTCAATCGTCCTTTTCTGCAGGCGCCTATTCGCCCGGCCTTTGCCATTTCTACGCGCTGTCCACGTGACCGTACCTCTCCGTCCTCAAAAAGCAGGTCCATCAATCACGTCGAGTGCGCGGGTGTTCACGAAATGCCTGTATACGGTGCCAACATCGCGTGCTACGACACTACGTATTACCGTTCGCCCTTCTAGAGTAGAGTGTATCAAACCTCACAAAGTCCTTCCGTGCTCTCGGCTCATCCAACGCTCATCCCAGGAGGGCGGCCCCGACCAGACCGAGCAGTCCCGCAAAGCCGATCGCGCCGACAGAGGTGTGCAGGCTCGCAGCGTTGCTGCTCGTGGCAGTGGCAGTCGTCGTGGATGCCGAGGAGGCAGCGTGAGCGACGGTCCCCGTGATCGTTGCCGACGCCGATGCAGCCGTGGTGGAGATGACCCTGAAAAATATGTAAGCCATCCGCCATCTTGCCCGATGAGCGCTCATAACATGTTATCACTTACTTCTGGGCACCAGCCCCGACGGACGCCGTCGTTGCAGTTTCAGTGGACGCAGCAGAGGTGTCCGAGTTCGTGCCCGTGGGGCCAGTCATCGGCATAGTCGTAGTAGAGCTTCCGTTGAGGCAGCTGTTTGTGGCATTAGCTAATGAATAACGAAATTCAGGCTTAGACCAACCCGCTTTCGGGACCCTGCTGGACCGTCTGGATGTCAGAAAACGCTTGCTCGCCGGTGCTGTCCCTCAGCGAGCTCGAGCTGATATACGACCATCAGCGGTTGCATAACGTTTATACAGAAGCTCACTACTTACAAGGACGTGCCCGCAGGAACGTCCACCGTCCACGTCATGCTGTTACCCGACTGAGACGGAAACTGCCTGATCTGAGAAGGGGAGCATATATGAGCATCATAGGTCCTGTAACAACCGACTAACTGACCGGTTGACCACCCGGCTGACCACCTGTGCATTGAGCGTATATGAGCGATGTGAAGACTGACGGCCCGGATAAAACGTACCGGGTACGAGAGACAGGTAGTAGGGAGGTACACCCCCCTGCCACGTGAACTGTATAGGCTCTGTTGAAAGAAGTGATGAGACAATATTGATATGCCATGTATTGAGGACTTACCGCACTGAGTCGGGTTCATTCTAGTCAAGAGTGGCCTGTTAGCAGCGGGAGTGGTGTATATGTGAACGACAAACTCACACCGTGTTGATCTTCGGCCCTTGCGCAAAGACCACCGGGGTCAGAGCAACAACGGCCACTACAGAGACAAAAGAACGCATGGTGAGGATTATCGAGGAAAGTAAAGCTGGATGGTGCGGCAAGCGCGGGTATCGATGAGCGAGCGGAGGGGATGTAGGAAGTGGGCTTGAGGTGGTGGGATGAGGAAGAGCGTCGTCGAGAGCGAGCTGGGGCTATTATCCAACATTGTGAAGAGTTGTCGAAGGCGCGGCGGAGAACGAAGCTTGACAGCAGAGGAGGTGAGCGACATCCACAAGCGGAACGTCACTTGCCTTTCTCGGAGCCTCGCACGACTGCCACAATACACCGACTAGTACTGGGCAGCCGCGTCAATGCATAAATCCGTACCCGCGTATAATATAATCACCCATACACCTGAGGAGTGAGTACTGAGGACTGAGTACTGAGGCCTGAGGCCGTGCCTCCGAGCGTCGACTCGCGACGGCCATAGGAGAGAGAAAGCATGGACATGCATATTGCTATGTCTGCAGATGTTGATAGACAAGACAACAGAGCGACAAGATCGCCAGAAAGCCAACGCTACATGAGATACAGCCGCCGTACCCACCGGTCCCAGACACCTGCGAGTTACAGTCCAATCCAGCTGCTCTGGCCGCCAGGATTGTGGAGCGCCGTCTGGCTGATCTTCACCAAGCTCACGCCCTCCCTGGTCTTGTCCAAATGTTGAGGAGGCAGCTCCAGCGTGAGCTGCGGGACGTCGAGCAGCGGACTCGACACGAAGGTCGGGGTCGAGACGACCGGGCTGAGGAAGCTGGTGTGCTCCGCCGACGGGCTCATCGGCGACAACGTGTCTCGCCAGATGGGCGAGTGCACGGAGGAGCTTGGTACGGGGAGGAACGCCTCCGCGTACCATTCGTACCACACTTTGCGCACGTCGGTTAGCCGCCATAGCGAGACCGTCAGCTCCGAGTCGGCGGGAAGGTACAACGGATCCTACAGAGACGAATAAGGGATTGGCTGTGGATCAACATGGAGGGCCCTTACCTTCAACGGGATGAACAGCGGGAACCAGCTCAGCATGTCCTTCGAGATCTGGGCCATGCGGTCCGGGTGTATGCTCAAACCAACGTGGCCATAAAGCACGGCCTCGAAGTACCCTGCGAAGCCATGCAACACTCCCGCGTTCGGTATGTGGAAGGTAAGCTTGGCAGAGCGGGTGTTATGACTGTTGGTCAGCGGAAGCCCTGCAATATGCCCCGTCAATGAAAGCGCACCACGGACAGGAGGTTGCCCGAGAGGAGCGCACCTTGCTCCGTCAGCGCAGCGTCTTTCCTCGGGTGCTCGAAATCCCAGCATTCCTGTATCTGCGGACCGCAAGTTCCGCTGATCCCACCTCCGTTGTCACTCAGGATGTTGATCGCATGGAGCATGACGACGTAGGGGGTCTCCAATGACTTCGGGTCCTTCGTCGCTCTTGTTTCGTTGTAGAGTTTGGACGAGGATAATGGCGCGATGTATGCGGTGTAGGATGAGGGTATGGAGATGCCGTCCGCTGATCATATGTCAGGGGTCATCAAGTTAGCTAGAATGAGCCGAGAGGATCCTCACGTTTTAGGAACCGCGAAGCACCGTCCAAACACTCCGGGCTGAGCTCGTTGTCTCCGAAGGAGCCAAGCAGCTCGCTGATCAGGATGTCCACCTTCTCCGGGACCTCGAGCGTCCGCATATCGCCGAACAGGAGCTTGACCTTTTCGTCGCCCCATTCTTCACGATGGCGTTCCTGGAGGCTAGGTACTAATCACATCAGGACAGGCTCGGTCGGAGCATGGCGTTGATGACCACTCACGTTACGTAGGCGTTCGGGTTCTTCTCCACTGCATATACGAAGGCCTCGCGTTTCGATCGCTCGATCGCTTTCAGGGCCCGCGCGACGAGGGGCCCACGGCCGGCACCGGCCACACATAGGGTCCTAAACCCATATACGGGTTAGCAAGAGCCCGTGCGACAGGTGCAAGCAGTACGTACACCTTGCCTGGAGTGGGCCACTCCGATAATGCAAAGAATATCGCCTGTGAATTTCAGGCGTGAGCACACATCATACATGACGGCGTTTCGGCGCATCGGCTTACCTCCTCGTAGTTGCGATATTTCACCGGGTCTTGCTCGAAGGTCTGGTACGTGATACTTTGCAGATTATCCATGAGCGGCTAGTACACAACGGGTCAAACTTCATCGTGCTAGTGATAGGAATGAAAACACCGTTTACCTGCAGCGGTGCTTGCAAATAGTCTTGGTACCCTAGAGCGAAATTTTCGACCGTACCCGCCGTCTGTGCCGCCTTCACAGCGGGGCTCGTTTTCTCCAAGTGTCGCACGTACTGAGCGTACGCCGGCTCGCCTCCACGGGTGTGCTTTTTCGCTCTTGTCCCAGAAAGGATGATGTTGGGTTGGAGCTAATCCCGGAATTCAGTACCGCCGTTACATTTCGTTGCGTGAAGATGTACCTTCACGATATCCCGAATGAAGGATTGCGATCCTTTCGTCAATACAGGGTAACCCTTCGCGTTGGCGATAAACGCCGATGCAGGTAGCCAAATATGCCTAACAGGCTCGGCCAACCACTGGTCAAGCACGGAGGACGATAGTGGTAAAGGCGGCGTAAGATCGAGCGCTATTCCACCCTCAGCAACACATCATGTGCCGACATTTCCAACGGACATGCGTACCCAAAGTAAGTCGGGGGTTGTACCCGCAGATCGTCCGGATAGTGTCCCACATCTCCCATGTCGTCATATTGGATTCTGGGGGTGTGCCCCCAGTCGCGGAAGAGGGAGGTGCGGACTCCACTGGCGACGGAGAGCGCGACGGCGCAGGAAGAACGGTGGCCGGATCATAGATGGGGATCCGCACAGAGAGTTCCATGTATGGGATGCTGGCCAAACACGCGTTGATTGCCCGTGCGTATGAACCGACTTGCGTGCGGTTGCTCGGCGGAGGGAGGATTGCACATTGCGCGTTCAGATACGACGCGAACGCTAGCTCTTGTTGCAGAGCCTAGTGGAGAAAGTCGTTACGCCGATTCATGCATTCATAGCGAGTCCAAGATGCGCAGACGGAGAAGGTCAGAGGCTGATTGCTCGATACTGAGTGCGGGCACTCACGATTTCGGCATCATGGCGGACCCAGTCGTCCGACGTGTCGAGCTCCAGCCAATCCGAGATGAGCGGGATCAGAGTCTCCGCCTCCTCTGAGCAGATGATGCGGTATGAGAAGGAGAAGGGCGAACGGACACGGAAGCAAAAGGCACCCACCGAGGCGCGAGATCGTGACCTCGTCGCGGAAGAACGCAGGCTTGGACCTCCATGCCTCCGCACGCTGCTCAAGCACCAGCTTGTCGGGCGACTCCTCCGGATCGAGGATGCAGAGCTCCGTCCACCGCGCCTTCCATTTTTCGTTCGTGAGCGGGACGCAGACCGCGTCGTACCCCGCCGTACGGGCGTCGGATGTTGCGCGGAGTACGGGTGTATCTTCGCCTAGATCGTCGCGTCGAGATAGCTCGGCAATATCTTCCAGACCATAGTGGCTACAGAAAGCAGGCATTTTGTCAGAGAACGCGGCCCTAGAGCATGGATGAGGTTGAGGTACAGCAGCGATGGCAGACGATCCAAGTCCTTGGACTTGTCTGGCCCAGCGTCAGCGGCGAAAAGAATCTTATCACCGAAGATACAGATAGACGCTCTGCTCGATCATGCTTGAAGTGATCGACGCTTACTCGGGCCTGAGGCGGTTGTACGAGCACCAACAGCGCGAGTTCGAAGAATCCGTCTAGGGCACATCGGCGGTCGTGCTATATGTGAACATGAGTTTTAGGACTTTCGACGGCGGTACATATTGTACACTGGAGCATGCTACTGTACTCGATTCATCTATGATCTCGATCGGGGTACCCTTCAACTACCCTCCGTCCTAGACCGCTTCACATCATCACCGTCTCTCTCTGCTCTTTCCGGAACGCCTTCTGTGCTCATACCATAGCCAGTCACAACGCCATCGAGGACCGCCCTGCTTACTATTTGTCTCAGCTCCTCGTCCGACGCCTCCCGTCCTTCCGCTTCGGCGCGCTGCATGACAACTTGCACCGATTGGAGCAGCGAAGACGTCAGGTCTTCCGAAGCAGCGTTCTGCGCATGCTGAGAAGGCTGTTCAAGCATCTCGACGGAAGTTGCGCCATCGCCGCCGGTAGCTGCCGTCTCCAAGCCTTCTAGATATGCCGCGACTGCGGGGAAGTCCTCCTCGAGCTGCTGTGCGGGCTGTGGTATGAATGGGTCATTGGGTTCGCACAGAATCAAGGGTCTCGCGCACCGAAATACCCTCGTCGTTCTGACGGTTGATGGTCGCGCCATGCTCTACCAGGAAGCGGGCCGTCTCCACGTTCTCGACCACATACAGCGGTGTATCTCCGTCGTTATCGGTGACATTCACATCTCCGCCTGTGCATCGCCTATTAGGCAGTGTCCTATGGTTTACGACAGTGACGTACCGCGGGAAATGAGGTATTCTAGGACATTCAGATGCCCGTAGGAAGCGGCTGCGTGCCTGCGGCAGACTGTGAGCGAACACGCCTAGGCTGCATACTCGGGAGCGGTACATCGGCGTGTATGTGTTCGGATCAGGGACGTTCGGAGACATCGCTATACGAGCGTGGTCAACGGGCTGAGCGGACCTGTACGGCGCGATCTCACAAACAGTGTACTTCGATCAGTTCCTGCATCGCACCACGTCAGATCGTTGCGGTTACGAGGAGAGTCGTAGTTGTACCCTGACGCGGTCCAGGTCGCCATCTCCCGCTGCGACCCATATGTTCTTTTCGTGTTGCACGGTGGTCGGCACAGGCATGATGGAGTGGCAGAAGGAAAGTTGCCGTGCCGAAGCGCCGGCCGAGAGGACGATCGAATTCGGGTCCCACGTGCTGCGCCGGATTAGGCCTTCACTCAGGTCCTGCGGCTACTTACTTTCAGAGGGGCTACGTTGGGTGTGTTTATCACGGGCAGTCGCTCCTGCATAATCCCAGGCAGGGAAGATGTTGCAGTTCCGCTCAAGTTCAACGCCATTGGTGCATGTCAATTAGACAGGATCAGCCACAATGTCGCTTACAACAAGCTGGGCGCCTAGAAAACATATTTCCGCTGGTGTTACATGAGCTTAGCATTAAGACATATCGGGTCTTGCGACGTTCAAGGCGGGACGCATCTGTCTGAAGAGGTTGTCAATTTGCGCCACAGGTCCGGTGGTCAGATGAACGCCGAAGTACATGCGTTTCCCTGTCTTTACATGCCTGTGCGGAACAACGGCTGACTTCACAGCGCAGTGGCAGCGGGTCTCACATATTTCGGGGAGACATCCGAGCACGCACTGGCTCAGCATTAAGACACCTGCCTTGCGACTGTTTGTTGCCCCATGCGAGGTGATGGGCCACCGCTTGCTCCGGTACAAAGACGCCGACCCATGGATGTGCCGTGTGATATGCATCAGCTCCGCTGTCCGGCTACATTGCCCTCCACCACACAACGGTCTGCCGCAACGGGGCGTATATGGTGTAGCACTGCATGCAGAGGTCGGCGTCCAGAAATGCATTGACATTCTTATTGGCGACGCGCTCATGATGGAATCTAGAGAAGCGGATCTGCGATCGGAGACTGGATCTTCGAATCCGCGCCGACTAGCGCTCGGAGGGCGGGGGACAGATTACGTCGGCGATTATATGCGGTCATTTTCCCAGATCTGCGGTGGACGCTGTGCCCAACATTTCATAGTGTGCGCAGCGGTGCTGGCGCCTCGGGTGGAGGAGGACGGGAGCAGGGTGCTGCGCACGCGAGGCCGGGAGCGGGTGGTGCGAGTCGGGGAGGAGGAGGCGGGACGGCGGACGCGCGTTCTGGATCTGCGTAATTGAGATCAAATTCGGGGGTGGGGTCTAACCGAATAAGTGCGCGTCCGAGTCGGGGCACGGCCCTGATGGCGGCGGTGGCTGGGTGGGCCGACGGTGACTCGGCGGGTGCGCTGGCGGGGCGGGGTGGGGGCGAGCAGCAGGACGACGGTGGGAGGAGGGGGACGAGGAGGGCCGGATGGGGAATGTGGTTGCACTGCGAGATAGGCTTTGTGATCGAATCGAGAGGACGCGTGCCGAGCGATATGCGACTTTGAGGATGAGCGTCTCGGGCGGTGTTGAACCTTGTCCATCCCAGGCCCAGCTGAAGCAGCGGCAGCTGGCGGAATCCGTCCGGGCGCCCCTGTCTGTCGCACCTCCTGTGCTGAGTTGGAACCGCGCCCGCTCACTCCTCCAGCCGTCCGCTCCTTAACCTCGATCCATCAGGATCAGCTGCGTCCCGCCTCGTTCCTCCGTCTACCTTACGCCTTTCTTAACACCTCCTGCCTCTGTATCTTACACGCACCCTAGTCTTACCTTACCCGTCTGCCATGAGTTTTATGGCCTCCCACCAAAGAGGCTACGACTCTCTTTCCCACCCCGACCTCGCCCAGCACCCCTCGATCCATCCCGCCCACCCGTCCCGCGTTCCCATGCACCCGCTCTCGTCCTACGACAATCTCCCGCCCCACGCGCTTCCCCAGCTCCCCCCGGGCTCTATGGGGCCACACTCCGCGCAACCGCCCCAGGTCTCCGATCGTTCAACCATCGGCTTGCCGAAGGTGGGGGAGACCAGATGTTGTGAGTCTTGTCCCGTTCGCCCCAGCGATCGTCAATCGATCGAACACTACCTCCGAGACCTATTCCGTCCGGATACTCACCCTCCGTGATCGTACAGACTGGACCCTGCTCACCTCCGACCTGGTCTTCCTTTACCTTGATCCCGTCCTTGCCAGCCATCTAGGCGAGCAGGCCCATCTCTTGGTCGGGAGGTCATTACTCGACTACGTCCACCCCGATGAGAAGGCGTCCGCCAAGGTCGATCTCGGCGCAGTATTGGAGAGCAGGACTTTGCATGGGAGCGTGACTCGGTGAGTGGCCTTCTTTGTCAGAGCATATACCCGTGGTTATAACGACACGTCGCGCCAGCGTCCGCTATTCTCGCCTTTCGAGGGTCCGAAGACTGCTGGGATACACTGGACCAGCTCCAGAATGGTCGGAGGCGGACAAAATCGCCGTAGACGCAAACTACATGGCGGTGGACATCGTCATCAATTACGCGGCCGACGGTCTGGTGCTATGCTTCCATCACGCAGTCGTCGACCTTACACCACGCGACAACGACGAGCACAACAAAACGGGGTGGACGAATTGGTGTGGAACGCCCAATTTCAACATGGAACAGGTACAGATCCTATACCAACAGCTGCAGTCAGCCATCCCCCAGCCGCCTACCGTCGGCCGCGTGTTTCAAATTCTCCTGAACCAGCCCACGCGACCCTTGTGGTTAAGCTGGCCCGTCGAGCGCCCCGGAGAACCCACGTCTAAAGACTTCGCCCGGTTGGCCGAAGACGTACACATCAGCAGCACCGGAACCGACGCGAAGACCAGTTGCACCAGACGGTACAAGGCCTGCCAGATCATGGATTTCGGGATGGGCGATAAGCAGGAGGTGGAAAGCATATTTATACCTCATGGTTCGCGCCCTTTCTTCTGCCTCGCGCCGACACCGCCTAACGCGCTATACGGTGCTTTGCCGCAGGTGCCATTATTTTCGCCTGTCACAAGATCAGCTCTTACCCCCGCGGTAACGTCGCCGGTGGCAGTGGCATGCAGCACCTCGGGTACCATTCCAATAACTACGCCACCCAGGGCGCTCCGTACTACGACCCGCAGACTCAAAACCTGCCTTCTGCCCACATGCCCTCCGTTCCTCCCTACAACTACAGTCCCCAACCTCAGCAACCCATGTCGTCGTCGTACCCTCCCAACACCTGGGTCAACGTGGAGCAGCCCGACCCCCAGAACCAATACGCGCAATGGGCCCCGAGCTCTTTGCCTAACGGTGCCCCGGTCAGCAGTATGCGCTCGTCGTCGTACTCGGCGCCGCAACCACCCGCCCCAACGCAGCACCATTGGTCCTCTCAACCTCCGTCGTACCTCGAAAACGGGTCACCTGTGTCCCCGTCCATCGGCCCGTCGGCGCCTAGTCCCAGCACCCTGCAGTTCCCGGCATCCGCCCAGCCGGATCACGAGGAGCAGCCTCCGTCGCCGCCGACCGATCTAGTCCCTCCACCCAGAGCGGGGCGGCGGGGGAGCAAGGAGCAGTACACGAGCGGCGGGCGCAGCGCAGGGAACCCTCCCGTCGGAGTGACGAAGTGCGCGAGCTGCAAGGCCACGCACAGCCCGGAGTGGAGGAAGGGTCCGAGCGGGAAGAAGGACCTTTGCAACGCGTAAGTTGTACACGTTCCCGTTGTCATGCCTGCGATTGATCGCTGACGTCTCTTCTCGTGTGTTAGATGTGGCCTACGCTTCGCGAGGTCGCGCGCGAAGAAGGAGGGGGGCAGTCAGCGGCGCCGCAAGGAACGCGCGATGAGCACGTTGTCTGTGAAGCCCGAGCCGTCACCGTCAGCGTCTCCGGTTAGCGCCTCATATCCGACCATGCGGCGCGGCAGCTACTTCGAGGACGGCGCGTTCCTATCGACTTCCCCCGCAGGGTCAGGATCCGGGAACGACAGCTTCTCGCACAACGGCACGTTCGAGGGCATGGCCACGCCTTCCCCCTCGCCCCCTTCCGGTGGCATGCACTACGTCCCTGGGCAGAACGTGAACTACAACCCCCCGATGCAGGCGGAAAGACAGCAGAACTACGGTTCGCAGTTCTACTCTCTGCCCCCTCGCAGCCAGCCATGCAGCAACAGAGCATGCAACATCTTGCGGGGAACGGGCAGCCCTCAGGCCCGCCCTCGCGCCTGGAGTTCCCCAATCGCCTGGAGCCGCTCATGTCGCCATCGTCGCCCACCATGAACTCCCCGATGAGCGCGGGCCTGTCGGCGTCATACGAACGCGATAAGCGGCACGAACGGGAGCAGCACGAGCAGCTGATGATGTCGCAGCAGCTGGGCCCGGAGCACTCGTACCGCATGCAGAAGCCGCCGAGCTACCTGGGGCGCGACGCTTCCTTCTGAATCCGAAACGCGCAGGGGCGAGCAGCAGCACCGCGGCCACCCGCCACCGCGGCCCCCCGTCTCCTCGCCCGTCCGCGCGCCTCTGCGCCTGCGCCTGCAAGCTCCCTCGCCCCCCGCACGACGTCCAATCACGATTCCGCGTTATGAGTATGATGGTATGGGACATCACGCACTACATGATCCGCCCGCAGTGTATCTTCGCATGCGGCGCACGTCCGCGCCTCCGGGGTGGTGCGCGCCGTCGGTCTTTCGCCTTTGTCGGTATTTATCCTCTGTATTCTCCTTCGCCTGACTCCTAGCCCGCTAGTAATCGTCTTGCACCCCCCGGAAGCCTACAATTCCCTAGTTCGCATCGTCCGTTCGTGTACTGTAATAATCGGCGCCTCCAATGGCAGATGTTGTCTCCCTCGCCGCCTGTATGGAAATAAGTTATAGATTTGGCACGCCCGAGGGCGCTACGCGCACTTACTCGAGAGGGAGCGCCGCACCGATGCGGATGCCGCCGATACCGACGGATCGAGGGAGATCTTGTTGGTCCAGCTTGGCCCGCGCCCTTCCCTACGGGTTACGGCATGGGGGCGGTAGTGGGCCCTGTGGCTGCAGATGGATAGGCACCGCGACGGTGGATTGGGAGGGCTCGGCGACAGGAAGAGGGAAGCCGGTTCTTATTCTTGGACGCGCTGCTCGGGCGCGATCAAGATCCAGCGTGCAGCCGAGCGTACGTGCGGGGAAGCCGACGCTGCCAGTGGCAGCTGCCTGCCTCACCGCCGGGCAGGAACGTGCAGCGTGCGTGCAGGCCAGGGACACGGCGGGAGAAGGCGGTGGTGGGTGGCCGCGGGCCAGTCAGCGGGAGGTATATAAAGGTCGTGGTGCGCACTCAGACTGCACCCGCGCTGGCTTCTTGCATGATATCGGCAGGGCCCTCGAGGAGCGCGCCGGGCAGAGGCGCGCCGCCGGGAGCGCGGACAGCGCGTCACCGCGACGCGTGTATAGGGCATCACGTGCATGGCGCGCCGGTGGCGTCAGGGACTGGCGCTCGCATCTCATCTGGGCCGTTCTCCATCACCACAACTTGACTAGGTCTTGCGATCACCCACCACTGCCTCCTTGTTCTCTTTGTGCAACCTTTCTGTGTAATGGCATCGTTTGATATCCCGGAGAAGACTGTGCCCAGTGATTCTGCCGCTGTGGCCCCCGAGGCGAGCGCGACGAATGGTCTGGCTGCTGCGCCTGAGGAGTCACAGAGCGAGGCTGCAGTTGCGCCAGCTCAAGTGCGGTGCGTCCAAGACACATATCGCACGAGAGTGGCCTCTGAGAGTAATCGTTCGTCTCAGAGAGAAGCACACGCGGGTACAAGTGATTCAGCATCCCGCAGACGCGGAAGGCTCCAGCGGCGAAGAGGACGACAAGGGGCCCGATGAGCCTGAGATAGAAGACTCTCAGATACTGGAGGCTTTGCCAGATGAGACGGAGGTGTGTATCCTGCTCCTAATTGCTTCAAGCTCAACCTCAACGAGTCACGTTTAGGATATCGAGCTCATACACTCGCGTCTGAGCTCAAACACTATCAGCAAGCTGGGTCTGCAGCGATTCGGTGGTCACTTGAAGCGGCTATGCCTCCGCCAGAACTTCATAACACACGTCGATCAAGAAGTGTTTGGTGCGCTCACGAAACTCGAGGATCTGGACTTCTACGACAACAAGATCAAGCATGTCGGACCTGCACTGAACAACATGACGGGCCTAGTGTGAGTTTCTTGCCTATCACAGGATGTATGTCAGAGTGGATCTTATATCTGTTGGCTCTAGAACGCTTGACCTATCCTTCAATATGCTCAAGCACATTCCGGAGGAATTCGAGTCACATCTGAAGGCCTTGAAGACAATCTTCTTCGTCCAGAACAAGATATCCCGTATTTCGAACTTGTCAGGCCTGAGCGCCACCCTGCGGAGCCTGGAGCTAGGTGGAAACCGAATCCGGGTACGTTGCTGGACTATAAAACAATCATCTGCTTGGGACTAACCAGGGTCGGTAGAAAATCGAGGGACTCGATGCGCTTGCGAACCTCGAGGAATTGTGGTTGGGAAAGAACAAAATCACGCAGCTGGAGGTGCGTCATCGGAGTAACACTAGACTCACCCACGTATGCTAATTGATGACTCTCCAGGGACTCGAGGAGCTGAAGAAGCTGAAGATTCTGTCTATCCAATCTAACCGCATAACGAAACTTGAGGGCTTGGATGGCCTAGAGAACCTGGAAGAGCTGTACATCAGTCACAACGGCATCCTCAAGCTGGAAGGGCTCGACAAGAACGTGAGTATCTTGGGCATATGACTGCGCGCACGCTAATGGCTCTTCAGCCCAAACTGCGCACGCTGGATGCCGGCAACAACTTCATTGAGACGCTGGAGAATATCTCACACTTGACGACCCTCGAAGAGCTATGGGTACGCTCATTGCATGCTTGCCGTGTAGTGTAACTTTTGACGGTCGTGGGTTAGATCAACGACAACAGGATCGACAACTTGAAGGATGTCGAGCCGCAACTCAAGCACATCACTACCTTGGAAACGATCTACCTTGAAGGTAACCCTGTACAGTCTGCGGAGGGCGCCCACTACCGGAGGAAGGTCATTCTGGCACTGCCGCAGATTACGCAGCTAGACGCGACGTATGTACCCACACCTTTTGGCAACTTCCAATACTCACATCATTGTCCAGGTATGTGAAGCGGCCGTAGATTGCGCTGTGCCCAACTGCATATGCAGCGAGCGGCGAGCGAGTGCTCGCTCACGCCCGCCTCATCATCCCGCCCTGTTCCTTGTACCACATACCCCCACAACCCCATGTACCATCAGATCTCGCGGCCGCGCCGATCGAATGCCCACACCGATCGCGCGCCAGCCAATCTTGGGGCATGATGCCCGCAGCGCGGAACGATCGCGCGGGCCCACGAATCATGATGCACGATCGCCGGTCGGCCCTCGGGGAGCAGCGCAGAGATTCGATGCGCCCCGAGGCGAGGGCCGGGGGCGCAACTGCTTAATGCTGCGCCGGCGCGCGCAGGGGGGATGCTGGAGTGCGCGATATGCCTTTTGGCGAGGGTGGGGACTGGGCACCCGGCCAGGGCGGCAGGCGTGGTCGCTCGGATCTTTCCCTTAGTGCGGCCTTGCGCGACGGGAGGTGGGTGGATGACGCAGAGTGGGAGCGTCAGCATATCGTTCGGCTGAACGCAGCTTTGTTCAGCGTTCTTGGCGTGGGCTCTTTCCGTGTTGTACGGGGAAAGCGAGGCTTCGACGAGGAGGAGGGGTCGAGAGCCGCCTGAGTAAAGTGGTACAATGTGAAGCCGAATTTGAATGCAGAAGCGGCATAAGACGCACGCGTTATTTGTCCGTGTTATGCAGCAGCCTTAACCGAAGGGCGCTAATGAGTGCTCACGCCTGCTCCACGTGAGCGCGTAGCTCAATCTCCTGCCACATCCTGCTTTCCCCACATACGCTTGTGCATTCTCTCGCTATCCTTGTGGACACCATGCCGCCAGTTGATAAGGCGAAGGCTGCTGGGATCAGCGCGAGCTCGTTCTTCGATCTCAAGGCAGAGCTGTCCAAGAAGGAAGCGGAGTTTTCCAAGAATAAGGCAGCAGGAAAGGCCAACGCTGTCGTTGGTGGGGTCAAGCGGGATAACAAGGTGCGCATAGCATCGAGAGCACGAGTTTTGCCAACAACTCACCCTCTTCGACTGCTACAGAAGCTGTCGCAATGGGCGAAAGCGAACGCCGGAGTACAAGCCCGCGCCACGCGGGATATCGACCTCGGGGAAATCAGCAAGCCGACTCTGGAGAGCGCACGTGCGATACTGGAGCGCAAGGCGAAGGTGTACGACAAGCTCAGGAAGGGGAAGAGTGGCGGTCTGGATGACAAGCAGTACGATGCGTTGCTGGTAGACGTGAGTATGGACTTTGCGGTATCTTAGCATACTGGCACTGATGCTTATGCCCTCTGATGGCCAGTTCGAGCAGAAGGGTATCGACCCATACTTTGAGTCGGACAGCGATGATGAAGACGAATCTGCGACTGTGCCGGTGGGGCCTCAGGATGATGAGGTGCGTGTGGCTGTATAGACGTACTTGCAAGAATGATCTAACGCACTACGTACCACGCCTAGGATGATCCTATCGTGGAGTATGAAGACGAGTTTGGTCGAGCACGCACAGGACGACGTTCCGAAATTCCTCGGCATCTACTACCACAAACGGACAAGGAGAAGGAAGAGGAGTTCGAGTGCGTATATCTTGACCTTTCCTCTCAGAAATCATGCTGATGACTCTCCACGCAGTCCCTATGTGATATGTGAGTCCTTCAGACATCGCCGCTTCTAAGATAACATCCTAACGTGCCGTAGACAACCCCGTGAACCATTTCCCAACATACGAGCCCTCCCAAGAACGTGTCGAGCAGATTCGTGCCGAATACGCCGAGGAGAACAACCCGCTCAATGTCCACTACGACGCTTCAGCCGAGGTCCGCGCCAAGGGAGCCGGCTTCTACCAATTCTCGGGAGACCTAGAAACTCGCACGCGGCAGATGGAGGAGTCCCGCAAGATACGAGAGGAGACGGAACGCGCGCGGGCGGAGGCCCGCGCGGTAGATTTGCGCCCCGGGGAGGTGGAGGGTATGCATCCTAGTGAAGAGGCGAGTGCCGCGACGACGAAGAGTCGCGCAATGGAGAAGCGGAAGCGTGAGTTGGAGGAGCGGAGGAAAGTGCTGGAGGCGAAGAGGAGGAAGGTGGGTGGCAAGGAAGATGCGGTCGCAGCGAGACCATCGCCCGCACCAGAAACTGGGAGGAGCACACTCGCAGCGGTCACTGCACCCGCCGCAGACCCCTTCGCGGCTCTGGAAGCTCTATCTGGCCACGCGAAGGGAAAGAGCAAGATGGCGGAGTCTACATTCAATGCTGCAGACGCCTTCCTGGCGCAACTTGAGCAGGACATCATTAAGGGAAAGCCTTCATGATAGTCAGTAAATCTCTGGTATCCCCACTTTGCGATTTCGATGTACTTATACTCCAACTTCACAGTTGGTTGCCTTCCTGGCCTCTTCTACAAGACGTTCCGGGCATATCAAGCTATACCGACCCCCACTCTGCGCGTACTTAACGTTTACCTCGCCCCTCCTCTCCAACCGGCTCTTGACCTCCTCCCTCCCCGCAAGTACGTCCAACATGAAAGCCTTCGTCGACAGGAGAACCTCCTGTGCGCCTCCCCCCGCCGTCCTGTGCCCGCAGCCGATCCCTACCGCCGACACTCTCTTCGAGCCCTCGACCAGCTGAATGAGGCTGTCGATGGTGCCTAGCCAGTCGATAATACTACCCTCCTTCGGGAAGATGATCGGCTCGTGCTCGTATAGGGTGTCTCCCACGTATAGCATGCCTTCCTCCTCATCCCACAGCGCCAACTCGTCGGGTGTATGCCCCGGGGTATGCAGAAGCTCGACACCGAGGGGGACACCATATGCGGACACGATCGGAGCCCGGTGCGGTAGGAGGGTGGGCGTATACGAGGGCGTTCGGATCTCGAGGTCTGCACAGATGGAATGCTCGGGGAGGACATCCGGTGCGATGAAGGCCGGGTCGTTCCCGGATGCGATGATCAACGAGTCGCCCGCGAACTGCTCGACACCCACTACGCACACCACACTCAGTCCTCTATTCTCCCCACGCAAGACGAACTGCGAGCGACGCACATATGTGATCAAAGTGGCAATGGCTCAGCACCACAACGTACGCCAACTCCCCGCCCTCATTCAGCGCCCGCCCCCCGTTGTCCGCGACCGGCGCACATTCAATGAAGTCGCGCAAGCGCGTGAAGGACGCATCGGGGGTGCGCGTCGCGCCGCCGCACCCGGTGTCGAGCAGGAGGAGTGTGCGCGCGGCGGGGACGATCTTGACGTAGATGAAGGGGTGCTCGTAGTAGATGTCGTCGAACTCGGTGATCAGGAACGTCGTGGGCGTGAGGCGGCGCGCGGTGAAGGCGGGACGGCCGGGCGAGGGGGTGTCGGATGCCAGTGGGACGTCGGTGCGGGGTGTGGGTTGGTCGAGGCGGCACATGGCTTGTCTGTCGCGTTCTGCGATAGGTATGTTTCGCTCTCCGATAGCCTAGTGGCAGCTGGCAGCTTTAAAGAGAGAGATAAACTCCGTGCTCGGACCGCCGTAGTACAGCCTTCCACGGTGCGCTCCCATGTACAAACGCACAACGCGCTAGATCAGTCCACATCGCGCCCCTCACCCCGCCCATGTTGTTCTGTTGAAATAATCCGAGTGTATGTCCCGGATCCCATGGCAGCGATCTACACGAAATCACCCCCCAGAAACTGGACATATCACCGCGACCTCCTCTCCGCCCTTGAGAACGACCTGCGCGGGGTCCTCGACCATCTCCTCGTCGACCGCCCACTGGCTCTGTGCGAGCACCTCACCAAGGTGCGTCCCCGGGTGCCGTGCTGTGAGAACGTCCGCTAGAGCACTGAGCGGCAGGCCATCTGGCCCTGCTGATACTGGGGTCAGTGGTACATTGGGGGAGAGGGAGGGAAGCAATGCTATGCGGTACGCACACGACGCCGGGAGTGGCACCCTTTCGGAGGTAAGGCCTGTCTCAGTGGACGCCGCGGCGAAGTAGAGCACAGTGATCGCGGGTCTGCTACTAGTCGAGGATGCGTCTGCGGACATCGCTCGCTAGTTGAGTAGGCGTGTGGTCGAGGAGATGGATAGAGAACGAGTCGAGTCAGCAAGTCTGTAGCTTCCTTAGACTCGGACATGCTCTGAATATACAAAGATGGCTGCACACTCAACCCGAAGGATGCCGCAGGGCACGCGAACTTCAAGACACGCTGGTTCTTGAGATCTTATCTCCCAAGCGTATCAACAAAATGCCAGCAAAGCAGGCAAGACGACCTCCTGCGACACTTCGAAGCGATCTATGGTTGTACATACTGTACACAAGCAGGTATCTTCATCTCTCGACCAACTACACCGTCCAGGCACCCGTTATATCAGCGCGCACCGTCTGTTCAAGCTGGGGTGACTGAGGCAAGCGGCTAGCGAGCGGCCTCAGCTCCATCGTCCACCAGATTGGCTTCGTCGTCCTTACGGTTACGACGGGCTCCTCCGGGAGTAGGTGGTTCGAGGTCGAAACCATGCCGTCAAAGGATGATGGGTGTTCCGCTGAAGGGACAATGAATACGATATACGAGCGCGGAGTGGTAGTTTGGACGTACTGAGATTCCACCGGAGGCCTGTAGTAGTGAGAATGGTCGAGTCTATTCCCACTGGAAGGAGACCACAGGTGGGTCCGAACAACTCGTGATCGACATGGATACGGTGCTCTCCCTGGGTCGGTAAAACAGTCAGTAAAGATGTGTTTCAAAAAACAGAGCGCACGTACTGTGTCGAGCAGCCAGGCCACATTATCATCCGTGATCACGAAGGTGCGTTTCCGACTCTTTCGGAGCTTGTGCACCAGCGACAGGGTGTGTACCGTCTGATCCAGCCGACCGCTGAGTCCGCCGAGGAGGACGATCGTGTTTTGCTGAATAGGGTGAGCGGTACTGTGCAAGCGGTGGTAGTTGCACTTTGGTACCTCGACATGTCGCTCCGTCTTTTCGTCCTCGACCAGGGCGCCGATGCACTTCATGAGGTCGGTCGAGTATTGATCCTCGTCGCGCACGATGCGCACGCCCTGGGAGGCGTAGTATGCGCGCACATCGTCCCGGATAGAGTCGAGATCGCCCTTGATGAGGTCGGGCGTGTATCTGCACGACGCGGGGCGCGGTGAGGACGCGAGCGCGGTGAGAGGAGCGTGGGGTTACGTACGAGCGCGAACGCACGACTCACAGGTGCCGCTTATCCTTGCCATCACACGATATGAGGAGGTCGTGGAGGCGGTTCGCGCCGCCGTCCGCACAGGCGTGCCATCTGGATGCGTGCCAGACGCGGTCGAGAAGGGGGAAGGAGAAGGGCTGATTGAGGATGATGAGGGCGTTGCGGTGCTCGCGGAGGGGGTCGAGGAAGGAGACCTCCCAGGGGGTGAGCGCGTAGGGAGATGTAGAGGCGGCCATGAGGAGGAGAAGAGCCGCAGCCGCGTCGCGCGTCGGGAAGCAGGCGCGGACACGTGCCTCGTACGGATCGGGCTGCATGTGTCCCCCGAGTCGGGCGAGTCAACTGCTGGGGCAGCCATGCTCTCTCGCACCCACCCCCATCTCGCCACCGACCCCCGACGGCCATGGACAGGCTGCACGACCACCACCAGTCCTACTCCTGGCACCAGGTACGTTCAAACCACCCCGTTTTGCCACTCAAGCTCACCTCGCTGTTCCCATACAGTCTCACGACCAGGTCAGTACCTAATCGCGCTCCCAGCGCCCGGGGAGCTCATCGAAGCGCATATAGGCGACCGTGCTCCTGCTTCTGCCGTACGACACCGCAGAGGACGACGTCGCCGTGAGTTTAACATCTGAGCCAATCGCCTACTGCACCTCATAAGCCGCGCGTGTCCACTCAGGTCATCATCGAGGAGGACTACCTCGTAGCGGGGGCACATGGGCAGCCGCCTCTTGTAAAGGTACGTTTATTGCCTTATCTGTGTGAATGGATTCTGCTGACGGCTGCTACAGGGAAAGCTGTATAGCAAGGCTAATACCTCTGCGTCCGTCTGGCAGCTCGAGCCCCGCACGTCCCGCCTCTCACAGCGCGAACGCACCACCTCCACGCTATCCGCTACCTCCACCCAATCTTCCTATGCGTTCGTGTCGGAGCCCGAAATCTCGAGCAGCTTCGCGGCCTCGCTCGAGGCTGGACTCGTCTCCGGCTCGGATGTGGACGATGCCGTACTGTCTTCTCCTGCGCTCTCGTCCCCCATTTCGACTTCAACGGATGAGCACATTCACATAGGACCGCCCTACGACCCTCGCCACCAGCGGCGCTCAAGAGCCTCGGTCTCGCCACCGGCGCGACAGTCCCACAGAATTAGCCAAGCATCTTCGTACTCGTCTTTAGAGTCACTGCACTCTGGCGCGGGGCGGCTGCTCACTATTCACTTGGAAAAGGCAGAATCTGTCATTTGGCCTTCGCTCATCGTCGGGCCGGTTCCCGAGAGCGTCTCTCCTACGCAGAGCAACATGTACCCATGGACAACGAGCGTCACCGAGGAGGCGAAGTACAATATGGACCCGACCAGTCTAGCTCTGATCGCGCTAGACCTACATGACATCCGGAAATCGAAAGAAGACGCGTTCGAGTACTTCATGTACGTCGCAATTTTGTTCTTCCGTCACTTCATTACTTACTGCAGTAACAGTCGAGCATGGCACCAAGCGCACCTTCCATCCGCCGCAATACGCCTCGCGACGCACTACCTCCCCCTGCGGACGCTGGTTGCCGAGGCATCCGACGCTGCACCCGATTCTCCGACGTCCTCCGTAGTAACGGTGTCTGCGAAGGCGTCCCGCTCCGCGCCCGCAGTACAGCCACTCACGCCCTCGTCCGCCCCATCCACTTCCGCCCTCCAACTGACCTCCGTACCCCCACCCCCGGAGCCTCCATCACTCACGGTTCCCCCAGGTACTGAAGAGTACTACCTCTCCCGCCTCGGTGGCGCGCACGGGCTCGCACAACTCTTCCTTGCTGCAGGGCTCTTACACCTCGAGGGCACGGCCCCCGCCCTGCTCGCGTCTTCCTACGCCGGCTTATCTGCCCTCCGTGCACCCTTCGCGGGCCCCGCGTCCCTCACTACCTCGGCCGGCAGCAGCGCGGGAGGTGTCGATGCGTGGCGCCGCGATCGCGAGCACGCCGCGCGGTTCTTTCAACGCGCCCGCACGCTCAATCCCGCGCTCGATGTGCCACTTCTCCCCGCAGACCCCGAGTCCGAGTACAACTCTGGCGCAGAGAGCGGCGCGGGCGACGCACACGCGCACCTGCGCGATAGGAGCCGTAGTCCCGCGTCGTCCCCTTTACGCCCGGCGGAGACAAGGCCGCGGAGACGCGGAGAGCGCCATGCACGCACGGCGGCGGGAGGCACGCAGCTCGAGATGCCTACGTTGGACGTGCGGCGAGGTGCGCCGCCTACGGAAGCGCCGCTCCCCCAGATCCCGTCCGTTCGCAGGCGCAGGCCGCGCGTCTTGCGCGGACCAGCCGCGGACGGGGAGGATGGCGATCTGTCCAGCTCGATGATCGAGAGCGTCCATGCGGACCCGGACTTGGGCCCGTCAGGGGAGGACGACCGGACGTGGTACCTGTACGTGCCCGGGCTGGTCGGGGCGGGCACGGCGCTGCTGGTCGTCGGGCTGCTGAGTCTGCAGAGCTGGCGCAAGAACCAGGGCTGATAGCTGGGGATACCAGGATGGCTGTGTTTGGTGCTCGTCCGGCGGGATTGGAGCTCGGCTGACGGGGGTATCGGGAGGATGTGTGGATTTTGGACGTCTTGGATTTACGTACGCACGACTTTGAACGATATCGATACGACGGTTTCTTGCTGCACCTTTCTTGCTTTGAGCGTGCATACGAAGGGCATAGCTCGTTAGTGAGGTCTTAGCTTCAGGGTCTCACACACAAACGTGCTGAGATTCATCCAAGGGGAGAGGTAATTCGTTCAATAATCGAACAGGCCTGCTTCGTACTGCACTCGCCTGCCTCCAGCAAGTTGCACTCGGAGGACTTGCCCGGTCAGTAAGGTCCACACTTCCTGGTCACACACACTTGTTGAGTTCCATCCAAGGGGAGAGGTAATTCATTCAACAAGCGAACGCGGGAAGTAGTGCAAGCAGGCAACAAGCAAGGGGCCCAATCGACAGCCAAACGGATCATGCAGAGTGAATACGATAAGTGAGGTGTAACCAGAATATGTGTATGAAGCAAGCGGCGCGGGGGCGGGAGAGTTAATGTGAAGCGGATGTACAGGTGCGGTGGTATGTGTAATGGGTGAATGTGTGAATGCGGCGGCGGCGATACGTATGGGCCAAGCGACGGGCGGGCGAATAATGCAGTGTTGGGTGGGCAGGCAGGCAGGGCGGGGGTATATACACGTAAACTCGGGTGGGATGTGCAACTTAGGAATAATAACGAATGTGGGGGGCCGACGCGCAGGCGCATGCGCGGTGCGGCGCAAATAGGAGCAAGTAAGAGCAGCAGCTAGTAGAACATTAACAGGCCGACCTATGGACAACACCACCGAGAACGCCACCGCGAGTGCAGAGCGCAGAAAGCAAGTGCGAACGGACAACAGAAAAGAAGAGAATTAGCTCCAAGTATATGTACCGACGAAACCAGATAGAGAAAGAGAAAGATCAGCCCCGCGTGCCCGTGCTCGGGCGCGGGCGCGACTGCGAGCGCGTGCGCGACCGTGTATCCGCGCTCCGGCGCGCGTCCGGCTGCACGGGCGTCGCGGTCGCGAACGGGTGGTTCGAGACGTGCGTCTGCACGGGCGAGCTCGCGGCCGAGTTCGTCGCGGAGATGCTGCTCGCGATCTGCTTGATGCGGTCGCGCTCCGCCGCGAGGTGCTGCAGCAGCATCCCGTCGAACTTCTGGATCGACTCGCGCTGCGGGCGCCGCCCGCCCGCCGCGTCCTCGGGCTTCAGCCGCCCGTCGGGGGCGGTCGCGGGGCGCCGTGCGTCCTGGCTGCTCGCGCCCGTCGCGTACTGGTGGATCGGAGACGACGGCACGGGGCCGATGGGCAGCATGGGCGTCTTGGACGAGCCGATGCCCTTACCCTTCTTGACGGAGCGCACGGAGGTGAACGAGCGGCGCGTCATGTTCGCGACGTTCCCGATCGGCTTCTTGCGGTCGTACGTGAACTGCGGCATGGGCTCCGCGGTGACGAAGCTCGGGGCGGGCGAGAGCTGCGGCGTCGAATGGTTCCCGAGACGCATGATCGACGGCCGGGAACTCGAGGTCGACGCACGGTTGGAGATGGCCTGTGAGCGCGGCTCGACGAACACCTCCACTGTCTCGACCGGCTCTGGCACGCGCGGCGGGGGAGGGGGGTTGTACCGGCTGCGACCGTGTTCGCCATCTGCGAGAGAGAGGTCGTCGTCGCTGCTCTCGTCGGACGTCTCCAAATCGTCCATCGCGTTGGAGATGGTGCCCTGCAAGCGGTCGAAGAAGTCGGCAGGAGAGGATGGCGCCGGCGCTGAATGGATGGAGCGGCCGTTGAAATCGGCAGGGATGTGTAAAGACAGTGGGCTGCCCTGACCCCGGCGCGCTGCGATCGGGGCGACGGGGGAGGATGCCGCGGAGGACGAGAGCGAGTACTGTACAGACACGTCTTGCGCCTGCGAGACGTCGGAGGTGGGGGAGGAGAGCAAGACGGATGGATGGCTGTATGCGCCAGGGGACTGTGAGTCGTTGGTAGAGATCGACGGGCGGTATGTGGGGCGGATTGCAGGTGGTCGAGGAGGTGGAGGTAGCACTGTCGGCAGTACGGACGAGGAGAGACGAGGGGGAGGTGAGGTGGCAGCATGTCGTGGTGAGACGGGAGACGGGCGGGGAACATCAGCGTGTACAGGCTGAACGAGAGAGGCAGCACTTCGCCGTGACAGGGAGGATGGTGGTCGACAGCTGCCAAATACAGCATCTCGGAAGGCGGAGGCAGTCGGTGAAGGAGCAGAGTACTCTGATACAGATATTGACGGCCTGCTGAGAGACACAGATGGCCGTGCACCGCTTGTTTCGATGTCCGTGTCCATGGGAGTACGGAACGACATGCTGTCGTCGTCTGAATACCGCGAGTCGCTCTCGGTCCGCGACCGTGAGGTGGAAAACGAAGGCATGCCTTCCAGAGCCCGCGGCGCCGGTGACAGGCCGCGATGAATCCCAGGGAAGTCCGGTAGAGGGGGAGGTGATAGGGACTTCTCCACGCCCTGCGTATCCTCCGAGCCAGATAGCCTGGGTGTGGAGGACGCCTTCCGCACAGTGTGGTACGACGCCTGCGAAGAGCCTGAAGAAGGACCCTCTGCTTTTGTGATGCTTTCCGGGAGGTCAGGTTGGGACAGGGAGTACAGAGGGTTCACCAGCTGCTTGCGAGGCGCAGGCGCCAAAGGAGTGTGCAAGCCCGCCGGAGTCTCTGCGCGCACCGGAGGATCCGCGGCGGTCAGCAATGGATGTTCCGATGCTTTAGGTGACTTCTCTGTGGCTGAGAGCAGACTGGCCCTCGGACCAGTCGGTGACATGAGGATGCTCTGTGCGCCCATTGGTGACATAGGCGGACTCGCCTCCGACATAGCCGTGTGTATGCTGAAATCCTCCACGATACGCTGCCCTAGCCGCCTCTGAGTTTCAAAGACAGGGAAGGTAGCTTCCGACTGTGCGGGCGGTGACGCTGGAGCCTGGTGGTGTCCATCGTTGGAAGAAGAGAACGACGAATCGGGTGTGTTCCCAAGCGAATGGCTGACGGCCTCTCGCAGGAGCTCTTTCCTCCACACATCCTCTTCCGAGCTGATAGACCAGAACCCAGGGCTACCTGGCACCAGACGGTCGGCAAGCACAGCAGCACCGACAGAGTCCTGAGGGCCCAAGCCAAACAAAGCAGACGCTTGCACTGCAAAGAGTGCATCGGCGGACGGCGGTGGGAGGTCGACAGCATCTGTAGGGTCAATGATGTCGTCGAGGAAGCGATCTCGAGCACCTGTCGGGGTTTTGGGTTTCCGTCCATCCGCCTTGTTGCGGATTTCCTTCTCGGCCTCCTTCGCTGCCGTTGCGAGGTCGTCCATGCGTTCCCGCAAGACTACGACCCTGCTCGCAGGCGGGGGTCCAGCGGGCTTCACAGCTGGCGGCGGCGGCATCTGTGCCTGCACACGCAGTAGGAGGCCGGACGCCGAAGGAGAGTCCTGCGTCGTTCTGAGAATCGGGCCGCTGCTGTCGAGTGCCGGTGGGCTGCCGGGGACAGGTGACGTTGGCTTCGACTTTGACTTGCCTATTCGGAAGAAGTCGAGGAAGCCGGAGGACGTGGGTTTGCTCTTCTGCGCGGGATCCTGCACGTGCGGTGACAGCGCCATCGGTGTTGGCTTCGTGTGGGCGGGTGGGAGGAAATAGCTGTTGTTGAGGAGAAGGCGAAGCCGGTACGACACGTCGTCGGGGTCGAAGTCCTCCTCCGGGTGCTCAGGCGAGACAATGTCAGGGTAGGACATGTCACGCTCGTCTTGATCCTCCGTGTACGGCATCGACGACTCAGTACGCGATCCTACGGACGTCGAGGCAGGATATATCGATGACGACGTCGCCGAGACCTGAGTCAAGACTGAATCCCTGAAGTGAGAGCGAGACGGGCCCGCTATGCGTATCGCGGGGCCGTCACCGAAACTATGCGGTGTCTGTGGGCTGGGCTGCGAGGATTCATCCGAATGCGCGTTCTGCGGCCGTCTGGGTAGACTGAGACCACGCAAACGCGACTTGGGCTATGCTGGTGTCAGTGCCCACTTCCCAGAGATGATAAACACGTATGAATGGGACGCACTGATTTGAATGACCCCGCATCTGATTTTGCCTGTCTACCACGTCCTTCCTGCTCGGGCGGATCCCTGATGTCGAGTGCACTCCACGACCTCGCTATTGGCATCGCCGGCAACCCATACCCCGGCCTGAGTCCCTCAAAACGGCTCTCGGGGCCAATCGTCCTCGACCGCCTCCTCGACCGCCTCACGTCCCGCTCCTCCACCGCTGGGATCTCCTCCGGCTCATCGTGCAATAGTGTGGGCACGGGAGGCGCATCGTCCAGGTCCAGGAAGCTCTCTCCCGCGTCGGACTCGTATTTGCTGCTCGCGGCGCTGCGTCCGCGTTTTGAACTGACGATAGAGCGTGTGCGTGTGCGCGAGCGGCGAGAGAGCGAGGTGCGCGAGCCGGTGCTGTGTACGGAGCTTGCGAGCGAGTCTGTGCGGGTGAAGGGGGCGCCGGAGGGGAGGGGGGGTCCGCCGAGGGCCGTCGAGGGGAGCATGGGGAGCTCAACGTTGCATGCGACGGGGATGGCAGAACCGAAGTCCGTTGTCGCGCCCACGCTCTCTCACAAAATACCCGTCCGCCCGCCCACTTGGCACCGGGACCCCGGCGAACCGCGCTACCCGCGCTAGAACCCGCCGGTCTCTCTGATGGAGGCGCTCACGCACGTCGTCCACCATTCCCCCTGTCCCTTGCGCGCCACAAGGCCTGCAGAGTGCCTTTCAACGCCTCAAATGGCATCCAGATATCCAGATAGCACCCAGCGTATCCCGCCGCTCTGACAGAACATTTGCTCGTTGTCAACGGGGCACCCTCGCCGCTGCCGTGTTAGGCGCTCAGGGTGGTCCAGTCTGGGAAAGCAGAACAGGGTGCCAGCGGTCCCTGGCCGGATTGGACGCGGTCCGCTTTTGGACTTGCAAGTTCGACCGTCCGCCCGACGCAACGCGCAGTGTCCGCCATCGTCCGCACCCGACCGTCACAGATGACCGCTCTGGCTGCGCTCTCCGCTTGTGCGTATGCTCAGAACGCCTCCAACGGCCTCTCAGGCGTGTATAACGCGTCGCTAACAACGCCTCAGACCTCCCCGCGGGCCCCGGCTGGCTGCCGACGTGGCAGCTCATCGTCGCCGTTACAGCGACGCTAAACACCATCGGGAACCTGACTAGTGTCGCGGCGTCGCGCAAGCTGTATAACAATGCGCCCGCGTATGGTACGTCTTCACTTTCTCGTTGCTCCGGCGCGGCAGGGATGCATGCTGAACGACGGGCACCGCGCCGGCACCCCCACAGTGAATCCGCTGCAGTCCCGCACCTTCGCCATCTGGACGCTCACCTCCGCTGTCGTGCGGTTTTACGCGGCTTACAACATTGAGAACAAAATGTGAGCCGTCCTACTGACTTTACCTATGGGCCCTGGGCTCCGAGCTCGCACACGGGGCCATGGATGCTGACTGCGCCCTCAGGATCTACGACATTGCCATGTTCACGTATCTCTTCGCGTTCTTCCACTTTGGCTCGGAGCTGCTCATATTCCGTAGCGCGCGCTTTGCTCCCGCGAACCTGAGCCCGGTCGTTGTCTCCAGTGAGTCGCGTCGTCCAATTTGTGTCTTGCCCGCCGCGGGTACGACGATCCCGCGCGCTCCCACTTACCGGTCCCTCCCTCAGCGACGTCTCTCATCTGGATGTTCACCCAGTACAAGTTCTACGTCCGCCCGTGACGCTACTAATAGACCGATGCAGTCCCTACTTACCCATCTGTGCGGCCGCGATTCTCTCGATCGCCCGCACCCTTGCCCAAAATATACTTACCTATTCTGCTCGCGCGCACCCACGAACACAACACGATGGCGCGACCGCGGTGTATTCTTTTAGGGGCCATTCGCTCCTTCCACCACGCATGGATCGGGCCTTCAAACTCTCGAGCCTCCGACACCCCTGGTGCCCGTGGGATATAGACGGCCATCGTGCCGGCATGGATGAAGTGTCGAAGTGACGCGGAAGAAGTGCGCTTGGGATTCACATATACGAAGTGCGGTGGCGCTTTGTCCCATGTCCACCGCGACTATCTGACCCAACATAGACATGCGACTCTTATCAAAAGGTCTGTTCAATTTGTGCGTCATGAGCTCCGCGTACTTGTGCAAAGGAGTGCTGCTGGACGTTGACACATACCACGGCGTCACACCCCAGTATAAGTCAAAAAATGCATGTGAGGTCGTGCGCAGATGATAAAGTTACAACGTTCGAACCAAGTTCGAACGTTTGACTAGCGGCGATGTTGGCGACAACATGCTGTCGGCGCTCGATGCCGCGCATGCCGTCACAGTTCCCACGACGATGTTCAACTTTTCTCGGACATTCATCTCCAACGTCCGGAGCCTCTCTAGGTCTCTGAGAACGCCTGACGAAGCACTTACACATCGTAAGCCGAAATCTCCAGTCGTCCCACTATACTGATGTACACTCCCTAGATACTCTCCGGGCACAAGCAAAGCTCGCCCTGAGCGTGATTATTTGACTGCGCGCCACTGGCCATGATGGAGTCACTAGCACCCGTTCTCAATTACGACATTCTCCTAGAGGTCATGAAGATGTGCGAAAGGCCTGACTGCTCTCGGTTCATGCGGACCTGTCGGTTCTTCCACACGCACGGGTTCGAAGCGTTGCTCTCGCATGACATTTCCACGTCCACAGAAGAGGACCTCACGCGCGTCCTCGCCTTTTTGCGGAAGGACCCTGACAAGCGCTTCAAATTCGTGCGCTCTATGCAATTCGACTTTCCCGAACTCACCGACACTGCGACTCTGGAGCTAGCCGACGCGCTGCGCCGAATGGTCAACCTCACAGCTCTGTCGATACAGTACAGCGAGGATATAATCCTGTCTGAACCAGAACCAGCCCTCTTCGACGCAATCGCGGCGCTCACCTCTCTGCGAGAGCTGGATTTGCACTATGCCGGAGAGCATTCCATCCGCTTGCTACAATCCCTCCGTTCGGAGCTGGTTGAAGTGAACGTTCACATCCTCGATATGACCGACTGCACGTGCTTCTTTGACACTGTACCGGCTGACGACCGGCCACTGTATCACCCCGCCGTGCTCCTGCAACACTCCAGGTCCACCCTCCAGGAGCTGTTTACTTATGAATGGTACATGGATGCCGACACCCCTCCCGACCCTACGCTCGTCTATCCACAAATGTGGCGGCTCGACCTTGAGCGCTCCCTCTTCCCGTGCACCCTTCCCCTGATTAACGCGTACCCAAACCTCACCCACCTCTGCTTCCACACGGGTGAGAGCGAGCACCAACAGTACCTCCAGTCTAAGATTGAAGCGTACGACACACGCCACGCCCTCAACGTCTCCCAGCAGCAGGCCTCGGTCCGCACCTGGGAGTCGCTGCACGAATACAGCGGGAGCCTCGTCGATCTCTACCTCCTCGGCCTCACCTGCCCCATCAACAGGGTCTACCTGCACAGCATGCCCACCGTCCTCCGTCATATGCTGCCCACCGTGCTCGCCTACGCGCGCCCGCGGGACCTTACGCTGCAGAACTGGCCCATGCAGCTCCGCGACAATCATCCGGCCGAGGTGTTCGCAGCGCTCCGCGGGGAGGGAGTCTCGCGGCTCGAAGCGTTCTGCATCGAAGCAAGGCTGGAACAAGACGACGGCGCCGTCGACATCGCCGCTGTGCTCGTGCGTGCCCAATCTATCACATTACCTTGAATACGAGTCTCATTGCAGTAACACCTACGTACGAAGGAGGGCCTCCGGGCATCACTTCTGAGCGCGCCGCTGCAGGAGCTGCGCATGAACATCGGGATGCAGCCCGACTGCGAGTCTGTCGCCGCCCGTGCTCAGTGGCACCCTCGTGATCCCCCTCCCGACCGCGAGGAGTCCCCGAGTATGTGCTTAGCGGAGCGCTCGGCGGAGGACTTTGACCTCGAGGGCTGCCTGCGTCAGTTCATGGAGGACGTCCCGACGCTGCGACGCGCGAATATTGAATTGAACGGCCCGAAAGACCGGTGGCGTTTTGCGACGATTGTCGATGGGAAGCTGCAAATTGAAGAGCGGCGCTCGTAGGAGTGAGGGACTCGGTGAGAATGATGATATTCGGACGTCCTTGCAGAGTGGCGGGGAGGTGCGTCACGACCGGCTAGTTGATACGCTATGATCTTGTTCACTATTTCTCCCACAGCAACGTCTCGAGTCTAGATGATCATCCAATACAGGTTTGATGTGCGTGTGTTATGCTACGAATAGCCTACATTGGCCGCTACCCGCGCAGTCGCGGTCGCGTCCTCTCGGCCACCCGTCCGCCGAAAATAAAACCGTGTTTTCTGCCTCTACGCACCCACGTACATGACACACCCAGCAGCAATGGTGCCATGATGTCTTCGCAACATGTTCTTTTAGGGGTCCTTCGACCGGGTATACGGTATAGATCGGGGCTTCTGACCTCTTCTAACTCTCGAGCTTTCGACTCCGCCTGACGCCCGGAACACCCACCTTGCACATCGACGGTCGAATTCGGACGGCCGTCGTGCCGACATGAATGAAGAGATGACTTCGGTCTAAACATACGGGGGCGTCGTGGCGTTTTGTCGCAGAACCAGGGATGCACGTCTCCCGAATTCGACCGTCGACCATCGTCACTGCTCGGGCCTCGGGCGGCATGAGCCAAACGAACGTGCAAATAGCGTCTCTCGTCGCAACACCCGCGGGTAGCCACCGTGGCTCGCAGGCTATCCGCGGTGCGCATGCGTGCTCCTAGCCTTGTGAGGCAGCTGTCCACGGCTGAGTCGGCACGTCTCGTTCACAAAGCGCTAGTCACGACACACCTAAGACCAAGAGGGGGGAGGGGGCGCGTCTGCGTCTACCTGCCCCAGACCACACCATATATTGCGCAACACAACCGTCACACATAGAATTTGACGGAACGCAGCTGCCCATCCGGCGCGATACAAACACGCGCACAGCCGTCCCTAATCCCATTTTCCACTCTATACGCGGGATGACACGATCAGCCTGGCGGGGGGTCAGCAGACGCCACGTTCCGTCAGGTGCGCAGAATAAGGTGAGACCGGGCACGTTGGTGGGTGCGCACGCGGGGATATTTGACGGGGGGCAACAGGCTTGCTCTGTCCAATCGCGGGGTGGGGGCGAGGCGAGATGGGAACTGGGAAGAGCGCGATGAGGGCGTTAACGAGGAAGATGGCCGGTTCGCGCGGTGCGTATTGCGATGGTACCTACCGCCAGGTGTGGAAAACACCCGATTTGTTGTGGGATTAAAAATGGGAGCGGGAGGCTGTATGCTTATTTAGCTGACCGTGGACAGAGGAGTAAACTTGGTCCGCCAGAGGAGAGGAATAGAAAGCGCTAAGCTGTGTGTTGGTGAAGTGAAGGTGCGACCGTGTAGCTTTGGGAAATTGTCGGTGCAGAAGGGAAGTCATCCGGCGGCGCCGTTCGCAATAGACGTTGTGAAAGATGCAATTTCGATCCGCAAGGTGTGGCTATTGTTAGGCTGGCTGTATGAGGACGACGAACTGCCGCGAGAGTTGGGGCAGTAATAGTGGGCTATTTCTGTTCGTCCACGGCATGTCACCACAGGTGGAGGATGTCGATGAGGAGCACCCCCGGCGGAGAAAACACTGGTGCAGTACGCGTTGGTAGACGATGATCGCGAAGGTGCAATCGAGTCAATAGACGAACACCCACCTCGGGAGGTGGTTGGACGACGGCATGCATTCACCAGCGAGCCCCATGATGATGCCAGAGCGCATCAACGCTGAGACAGGGCGGACAACACAGACGGCAAGGGCCTCGTTCCCGCCGAAACGCAGCGGTCGGAGAACCGGTGACGGGCACGGACGCTCATCATCACACGGACACCGCACCGGGGGTGAGCTGACCTGGTGCGCTGGGCAGCAGCCGATGGATGCGCACGTTCGCCTGGGCCCGCCGTCCTGCGGGAAGAAAGAAGTGTACATAAAACATACGGACGACCGCCCCGGTGGGCGCGTGAAGGCGCAGACGTGTTTGGGGAAACTGACCTCCCGTGTTAGCCAAGGGCATCGATCGCGGGTGTGGGCGGCTCGCCACGCGCGTTCGGCCGCGACATGAGAGTCACCGATGGAGGAGCGCGCCTGCGACGCCCGGAGCATGGTGGGCAGCGCGCATCACGTGTGGCGGGCAGGCACGGTCGGGCGCTGTGCGGGACGAGGGCGGGCGGGGGCGGGGGATGTCGTGAGCGACGCAAAAGCTTAAGTCATGGGCGGAATTGTTTGCCGAGAGGGAAGCGCGGGGTAATGGATGGGAGAGCAAGCGAGGAAGAGGGAAGGTCGAGCACGGCGGACTGGAGGCAGCAGACGCCCGATGAGCCACCGAAAGCAGGCGATCGCTCTCGGCGATGTCGCCAGTCCTTTCCGGTCACGTCCTCCTTACCCCAGTGACACCATCCGCTATATAAGATGCCCCGTCGCCCTCTTCTTCACCCGCTTTCTCCTCCTGCTCGTCCAGCACTCGAGCATCCACCACAACCCTTGACACCACTCTAGCCACACCACTCTCGCGAACGTGCTCTCGCCGAACTTTGCTATGGCCTCGGAACCATCGGTTGTCAACCAGTTCCCGCCGGAGCTGCTCGCAGTAATATGTGCGCACGTTTATACTTCCGGTCTACCTCCTCCGACACCCTCTCTCGACCCTCTCGTCTGTGCCGCTCAATCTAGCACCCCGACTGCGCTGCCCTCATCCTTCCCGCCCGCCTACTGGCCGGAATCCGTCGTCCGAAGAACCCTCGCGAACCTCTGCCAAGTGAACAGGGCTTGGTACGAAGCCGCCAAGCCGCTTCTCTGGCGCAAGCTTGAAATCCGTCTCCCTCGGAGCTGGCTCGCCATAGTCGAGGAGGTCGCAGGGGGCGACGACGAGGACGTCAGCGAGGAGCAGGCCGCACTCATGGTCGACCTGACCCTCCGCAATGCCGAGACTGCTGCTCTGGCTGCACAGACACTCATAGGGGAGTCATCTGGTTTCGAGGCCGCTCTGGAACTCCATGGCAAAGTCCTCGAGCGTCTCTCTGGCCCCGACATCTCCATACCACCAGAGCTGCTCACCCCTCCAGCCAGTCGAGAGCCGAGTCCTCGGCGCCTTAGGACGAAGAGCAGGTCGCCCGCGCGGTGGAAGCTCATGCGCTCCATCAGTGTTGCCGTACAGGACGTCATGGAGCGCGCACACCCTGGCATCTACGGTAAGTTCACCGATGCTTAACGGGACAAATGCACGGACCTTGCTAACCCATGCGCTCCTGTCATTTAGTACCGCCACCGCATGATCCTCACCCCGGACGATTTGTGCGCCATCTGGATTTCAACCACTTCCGGACGATCGGGATGCGGCGCTTGGTCGAGGAGGGCGTCAACAACCGTTTCGTTACCGGAGACAGACTCGCGGCTGTGCTCAAGGTGCGTGTGTGGTCCCTTGGCATTCCGACCGCGCAATTTTTTAACCGCCTGCGTTCCTGTAGGAGCTGCCAAACCTTCTCGTCTTCGGCGCTACGGAGTACATGGATGGAGCACTCACCTTCCCCGTCTTGAAGGAGCTACTCCTGCGCGGTTCCGCCTCGCGTGGCCGCGGCCGCCCGTCAAGAGGTCGTGATGTGGTCATCCCCGACCCGAACGACCCCGAGCAGGAGGACCTCGCGCGCCGGCGGGAGTGCAAGGACCTCGAAGCGATCGACCTCACCGGCTGCGTCAGCGGCGTCTTCGTCAGCGCGCTCTCGCAGTTCGTAAACACCTTCCTCCTTGGGCACTCCGAGTCGGACTCGAGCAGTGACAGCGAGGACGAGCGCGAGCGCCGTCCGCACCGGGGCCGGAACATGATCCAGGAGGAGCCGCTCATCTTCCCGGGCATGCGCCGGCTCGGTCTCCGTGGTGTCAAGTCGCTGCAGCCGCACATCCTCGAGCCGCTCGTCGTCGCGTTCCCGCACCTCACCCATCTCGATCTCTCGTGCACCCGGATAACCCCCGACGTCCTTGCGGCGCTGGGGGCGTCCCTCACGGTACGGCTGCAGTCGCTCGCCCTCGAGCGCTGCAACTGGCTCACTGGGGAGAGCATCCGGAACTTCCTCATCGAGGCGCCCGCCGCGCAGGATATCGAGGAGCTCTCGCTCTACGGCGACTGGACGTTCCCGTCCCCGCTCACGGAGGAGCAACTGCGTGAGATCGTCGAGCTCGCGCCGTGCTTCAAGAACGGGCAGCTCGTATATCTCGACCTCTCCAGCGCCCCAGTTACCCGCGAGGTTCTCCTGGATGTCTGCCCGGCCCAGCCGCGCCTCCGCTCGCTCGGGCTCTCGCACGTCCGAAACCTCGAGCTTCCCACCGTCGCCGAGTTCCTGCTCAACAAGGCGCCGAACGTGGAGGTGATCACGCTCGTGACGTCCACGCAGGAGCTCGGGTACGGCGAGCTCGTCGTGTCCTCGCGCCAGGCGACGGTCGCGCTGCACACGCAGCTCATCCGCCCGCTGTGCACGCCCCCGTTCTCGTTCAGCCTCACATCGAAGCCGAAGGTGGAGCCGCCGCCGACGCGCCTGCGCGTCGTTGAGCTCGCACCGCCGCTCTTGACGAGTCTCGGCGCTGGGGCGGGAACGTGGCGGATCGTGAGGAGCAAGGGCGGCCGGGGGTGGTACGTCGACGCCGCGAGCGGGTGGACCGCCGAGGCGTCTTCGGGTCTGGATAGCCAGGCGAGCACAGGTAGCCTTTTGAGGAGGGACCTCGAGCCGACCCACCCGTGGCGTGTCGAGATCGAGGCGCTCGCGGATGCGAACGGCAATGTGAGCAGCGGTGTCGGGTGGCATGCACGGAAGATGGAGGTGAGTTGCCGCCGTTTGGGATCTAGACCGTGGAATGTGCGCTGACTGGCGGTTTCTCGATAGGTCCTGCATGGGGATGGGCTCCTTGGCCGTGAGGCGGGCCTGTACGGTGCTGTGGCCTTTGCATACCAGGGATGAGTCGTCGCATTATCGCCGCTGCGTCTCGTTCTTTCCTCTGTCTTCCGTCTTCCCCGTATACGGGTGTCATTGGGTCCAGGGTTTCTCGTCGTCTTCTCTCCGCCTCTGCCCGCTGCTCTGCCAAAGTCGCAATCGCTGCCCAAAAGTCCCAGTCTGAAAATTCAGCTGCATATTCACGATGCGGCGCATCGCTTGTAAACCATCTCATTGCTGTACTTATTCATCCATCGAACTCACTTACCGTAGCCACTCACCTACCCCAGTAGTCGTCCTCATCTTCGCCCTCGTCCTGGAACTTACCCGGATCGGAGTATCCTTGCACCTGTACTATGTTATCGAATCCTGCATCTGTGAAATATATGGGTCATTTATCATTCCTTCTTGCTCCGTGCCGTCAAATGCGATGTGCCTTCGACACTGACTCCAGGCGGGCATAGAGCGGAAGAGGGAAAACCGCTACGCAGTCAACGAAAGCGGTGCGGCAGAGTTCGCGCACTCAATTTCGCGCGATTTTCTCCTACCGCAGCCGGTGCAACATTGGTCCAGAATATCTCTCCCCACGCTCTCGATGACTCGAGAAGAAGAATTTCAGAGGAGTCGGCGTCGGAGAGAAGCATCGGGACACTGGTACTTACTCACGGACGCGTGGATCTTCGTATACAGCCCGCACTGCCACTGCGCGCGCTGAGGGCGCTCGGGGGGATCTCATATGTGTATCTCTGCGAGGCGCAAGGTACGCCTCTTATAATACTTGTGTGTGTCGTGCTAAGATCACAGTCCCTAATTATCCCGACCAATGCCGATCAGGCCGTGGGGGCACCCGTGAGCGCGTCGTTATCGCCGCGCGTGGCCTTATCTCCAACTCCCGCGCGTACGAACTGCCGAGCAACCTTGTCGCTGTTCCCCGAGTCTTGTCGTGTTCACGCCTGTCCACGCTCATTCAGTCGGACAGCCAAGCCCAAGCCTCGAGGCACACGAAGGTGGACGGTCGTCGAACAGAGCCGCGTTCACTGAATGAACGGAGCCGAGCTTGACAGGCTGTGCACTCGAAGGTGGACGCGTACGCTCAATGAGAACTTCGAAAGGCTGGGCGGGGTATGTATGGGTGACGCGTACGACTTCGGTTCCAATTCGGGAGGGGCAAGCTCTCGGGAGTTAAATCCTGAAGGGCGCCCGCTTTGCGACGCAGTCGCAACATTGAGTGGCAATAGGCGGCGCGGTCCCGGTTATGTATCAGACCACAAGGTGTGCCCTATGATGGCTTCGCTATGATGGGTGGCCTCAGTTATAAGAGTCGTGGGGATTCAGGGGACACATGATACCTGTATGGGGGCCTGAGGGGAAGCTTGCGTCAGGCTCATTTGCGGGAGACGCCCCTCAGCCTCTCTCTCAGCAAAATGCTGGTGTCCCACATAAACTGCTTGAGGTCTGTGGGATCAAAGTTAGACGGGCCACGAGTATCTCTCAACCCCCAGACGTACCTGGCTTTTCGAGCGCTTTCGCAGGACCTCGAGGCGTAGTTGCATCTGAATTCAAGTTCGGGTTGTCATCTCGCGTCATGCCCCGTGAAATGCCGATCCCTGGAGTGTATCAGTGGCTGCACCAGGCTCGCTGTGGTCAGTGATTCGACGCCCACGCTGATAGGCTGACGACGTTTACCCCAGAGCCTGTCTTCGACACCCTAGAGCGCACGATCATCGTGCCAGATCTTGCTTCCAAACCCAATGCGAGGCTTACCAGGATCATAAGCAGGTACATCCCACACAGCCCTACCTGCGTTCATCTGGAGCCTTGAGTCGGATCCCGCGTCGACCCCATCTTCTTTCCGAGTCTCCGGGCGTTAGTGGTATTGATCTCGGGGAGCCTACCTGTCGGATGTGCGTCAAAAACATGTGCCATTCCACAGTAATGTGTGGCGGTGTAACCCTGCTGAGCGATGTGCATAGCCCGCGAACGACCATACTCCAGGGAGTCGAAGCGTTGAATTGAGCGGCGCTCGTGTATGTCCGGGCTGTCCAGGTCATTCTGGTGTCACTGCGAGCTGCCGGGACAGTTCGAGTGTGTACCCGCCAGCATCCGAGCGGGGCCTGCGGAGCCGGGCTGCAGCTGTGAGGGGTCTTTTGCAGCGCCGTACGGGTATGTTGGCGTAGGTTGCTCCTCGCCGTGACAGCGTGAACACAGTGAATGCCGCCGACGCCAAGGCACTGGCGGTGTTGTGGATGATTTCCGAGGGCGCGCAGCGTTGTGGCGCGCGGTTCATGGTACCGGAGACGGGCCGAGCCTCGTAATCTGGTGGACCGTGCCAGTGTGCGGTGCGCGACGTGTGATGCAGGCACGCTGAAGGGGAGCCGACGCAGGTCGCCAGCGGCGTAGTCACTATGTAAGAAAGGCCTTGTGAGTGCATGTCGACCGTGCGCACGGTCATGAGCAGAGAGCGGAGAGCACCCCGACCCTGCTGCGTCGTGCAGTCCGGTCCGAGCTGTATGAGATGCGTCGGGGTGCACGATGCACACTAAAGTAAAGCGAGATACGTACTGAGATGGCGTGCAGCGAGTCAGCGTGCGCATGTCGGCCTTCCGTCGGGACGAGGCGCAACACCGCCTCGCGCTAAAAGGTGAACAGCTTTCACGCGCTGGTCAATGCATGCTTGAGCGCCCCGACTGCGCAGCACGTCGAAATTCTCGCAAGAACGTCCAGGCCGAACTACGGCGGAATGCTGGAATTCTTGCCGTGGCTCGTTTTAAATGTTCATTGTCCGTAGTGGTACGACTTGGACGCTGGCAGGCGGAGTACTGCGGGAGTTGGGAACGTCATTGTCCTCATCGTTGGCAGGTACCGCCGTGATGTGACGTTCTATGGGATCCGCCTGTGCCCGGAGGTCCGAAGCTGAGGGGCGGTCCTTGGAGTTCGGCCAGGGGAAGTAGGCGTGGGTTTGTGAAATGAGGCTTTGAGAGGCTACCGGTTGTCGAAGTCAACCATGCCGAAGTTATCAATAAACTGACATATTAAGGGGTTCGTTCCAAAAAAAAGGAGGAGGGGTTCGTACTCTCTGGAAATAGGACGAATCACGGAGATGGCGCAAGAAGAGATATGACTGCAAGGTTATTAGGTTTCTCTCCTGCAGCATGGCGTATCATGGATGGGAAACTGGCCTGCAGTAGCCCGCTCTAGCCGCAAGCACGTTCGAGTCGTGCTCTTCATGAGTCGGCGTGAGTCAAACACACGTCGACATTCTTACCACGAGGTGATAGAGTCGCGGCTCCGTGCGGTTGTCTGTCATAGATAGAGGGAGGAAGCAGACGTACTATGAGCCATGTCCGCTATTGAAGACTGTTTATGGAAATGCTCGTACCGAACTCCCGAGAGAATCAAGAGTCACGTTGCACTAATGACCCTGGACTCGTACACGAGGCCCCTGTCAGAGAGTGGATTATGCGTATGAACACTGCTCGACGCGCAGTAAAGCAACAGCGAAGGAGGGAAGGACGGTGTGCCTCGACGTAACCCTAGTAGCGACGCGGCCTGGAGGACTTCGATGCCGAAAGATACCCGTGTTCGCCGACGGAATTGCGTAAGAATGGCTGCTCGAAGGCAGGAGTGTGGGGAAGAGTTCGGCTTGATTGGTATGCTCGTCATCGCATGCGGTGCCCTCGCAGCGGGATCTCATGAGACGTACATCCTATCGGAGACGCATCTTTGATGACTCCTACAGAAAGACTCACCACTATGATGAGTATGCAGGCTGCTGTAGTCGGGCTTCTGTGAGGGTGTTCACTCCAGGTTAATTCAGTGTGGTCAGGCATCGCGAGGCGAAGCAGCACGGAGAGTAATCCCGAGGCTCCGAGGTTGGAGAAGACCCTGTAGGGGCGAGACTGGCGAGCAACGGACATGCCAGCCGTGTTGCGGCGCGTCTCTAGGGGTCGAATATTGAGCATCAATTGCCCGCGCCGGTAAAGTGGTGGCATTTGCAAGAATGAGGGACGCAGGAAAACGAGCCCTTAGCGCCATCGAGGAGTGGCGAAGCACCCACGTACTCCATTATGCGTGGCCCAAAAGACGCCTGCACCTACAATCGATTGAAAACCTGTGCTGGCTGAAAGAATACGAGCGTTCCGAGAATGCGGGGAAATAGGCTGAGGAAAAGTCTAGAGCCTAGGCTGCATAATACCGCACTGCGGGCACCAGTGCTGCGGGAGTAGCGCGCTGCGGCGCTTTCTCGTGAATAAGAGGGTGAGACCATGACAGATAACGCACCCTGGTCACGCCGACACGCTTTGGTGTGCTTGGGAGGCGGGCGCAGTAGCACGGGCCCATGGCGGTGTTGGCGTGTACGAGCGTGTACGACGGCGTTGGGGGCGCATGGGCGCGGGCTGTTGTTTTAGGCAAGGCATCGACTGCGCGTGCTGTGTGGGGGCCGATTTATGCGCGCGAACGAAGTCGACGCGTAGGTTGAGGCGGTGAGATTAGGTGCGAGGGACTAGGCGTGGGAGGCGCCGCAGTGGACCACGATGGTAAGCGTATGTAGTAAAGCAGGTTTGAGCTACGGAACGCGTGGCCCGGTCGTGTCGAGCCAGGCCGACGCTATCCACAAGCGTCCGTGCACTCAGCTGCCACATGGAGCAATTTTTGCTCGTGCATCATATTTACGAGGAGAGGACTCTCCTCGTGGCGTGTCAGTGCGGCGGAGGGGTGCTTGTTTGAGCAACACAATACAAGGGCGCGCACGAAGGCGATCTGGTTCTAGCGTTGTTGGGTTTCCGGCGCTGTGGGTTTGATGTTAGTTACCGTCATGTTGCTTCGGCAGGTGCCCACTACGTATAGACCATGCACAGGACTGCTTGATTGAGGAGAAGCGCAAGGGCCGGCTGTTGACAATCGCAGAATGTTTCTCCCATAAAGAGATTCGGGCGAGGACAGGACCAAGGACAGCGCCCCCTTCCTGTACTGTATTGTTTCAACGACTTTCCACCGCTAGGACAACTTCAACAAGGCGTTGTTATTGTATCAAAGGCATCCCAAATAAAGATGAGAGCTCACCGTATTGTGAAGGAAATGGAAGCTTCAGAGACGCTGCACGCATTACTTATTATGTGCTGAGGGGCTGTCAATACTACTGTTATACGGTGAAGTTTGGACCATACTGGTGTGATTCAAGCTAATGAAGACTCTACTTACTGAAATTGATCAATCGTTGTAACGGCCGGCTACTGCATGCGTGACAGCGGAAACGCCCGGAAGAGTAGAGTCCGGATATCTGGCGGCCACAGCGGCGCTTGCCTATAGCCGGCCGTTGCGCAGTGCACGGGGTCCGACACGATGAACGCAGAGTGGCGCTCACAGGTGCCAAGCGCGGCCCAAACCACTGGATCGGGTAGGCTTTAAGTGCGCGGTCCGTTGGATAACTCTGTGCCCACCGCCTCAAACCGTGTGCTGTCTTCCTCTTCTCTTCTACTTCTCCCACTGGTCTGCTGTTTCCTCCCCTGCGTGTCCTGCCCCCTGCACTGGTTCCAACTCAACTACAACTCTCCTCGGCCGTCGTACTCTGCCGCTCAGCTGCCACACATGGACTCTGAAGACTCCGCCGCTACGCAAACTTCCGCCGTTCGGCGTCATGCTACGTTCGATGTCCCGGGAGATGGCGGTGCAGGCCCGCAAAGGCGTTCAACTACAAATACGAACGGCGCAGTCTCAAGGGCCAACTCCCGCACCTCCCAACTCTCAGGCCCTAGATCCATCATACGCACTCTGACTATGCCTGAGAAACGAGTCGGGACCCCGCCCCCCATCCTCCAGCAGATCAAGGCCATTATTCTCATGTCATGTTCGTACCCCTGCTCGCCACAGCCGCGCGCGACTCACCGTTCGTTGCAGGGCTCAACGTCTTGCTAGTATGTATACCGGTGTCGGTACGTAACCTATCCTTCATACCCTCATCATCATCTTACATTGTTCCGACGTTAGTGGGCACTACATTTCGCGCTTCCTACAACGAACACGCATGATACCATCATCTTCATCTGTATGTTCCCTATTCTGTCTTTATCTTCAACGTCCTGCATCGCTCATCCAATGCAGTCGCGTTCCTCGCTATTATACCCCTCGCGAAGGTAAGCGGCGCACGCTTGCAAGGGAGTTGAAGTTGTATTGACGCGTCTCTAGCTGCTCGCTTTCGCGACTGATGAGCTCTCCATGCGTGTCGGCCAGACACTGGCCGGCCTTCTCAACGCCACTTTGGTACGTTGTTCACGCCACCACTGCGCTGGCTCATGCTGATACCATCATCAACAGGGCAACGCGTAAGTTGACTTTCCCGCCACATGTCACTTCTGTGCTCATCATTTGGTCCACCAGTGTTGAATTGATCGTAGCGGTACGCGTTTGTCGCGTCTTCGTGACCCTTGCAGCAGCTGATGGGAGTTTCGCTGCTAGATCATTGCTCTCATCAAGTGTGAACTGCAAATTGTGCAATCATCACGTACGTTCCTGACGCGCCCGAACCACATTCTCCAAATTCGCCTTCGGCGTATCGGAGTATCTGGATATCGCGCGTTTATTGTGGTTGTGTGCACCCTGACTGACGCCGGTCTCCCCTAGTGATCGGCTCAATTCTCAGTAATCTCTGTAAGCGCGCGCTTGCAATCCACGGCGTTCCATTACTCACCGGGTGTTATAGTGCTTGTGCTTGGGATGTGTTTCTTCGCCGGTGGTACGAGGTTCTCTGAACAGGGCTTCGGTATCAGTACGTGTCATCTCGCTCGGACCTGCTGCGCACCCCGGTTGCTGTATCCTGTCACTCATGCATTGCTTCACCGCGCTTTTTGACAGGTGTTACGCAGCTGAACTCGACGCTTCTCATGATGTCCGTGATTGCGCTGCTCATCCCGGCCGCGTTTCACTTCACGGCCGGTGAGCAGATTGAGGACCCCACGGAGGCAAAGGACATTCTCTCTGTCAGCCACGGAGTATGTTGAATTCCATCTAAATTGTCAGATGTTCGGAAGCTGACAGCCGCAATTTACCTTTAGACTTCGATTATCCTGCTTTTCAGTGTGTAGCCTGCGTGTTCGTCTGAGGTCACAGCGCTGATCATTGTCACTTATCCAGTCTACGGCTCGTATCTGGTTTTCCAGCTCTTTTCGCACAAGGCGCTCTACGACGAGCGCCATATGGATGTATTCAGGTCAACGCGTTACACGCCCCGTGATAAGAAGACAGCGGCCAATGGCGAGACCACATCTGAGGTCAACGGCAGCTCAATACCTTTGACCGGCGTCACTGGCGAGAGGTATCAGGGCTCACCCGCGGCAAGCGTATCTGGTGATCATGATATCGAGGCCACTACGGCTGCACCCTCGGTAGTGGTTGAGGAGGAAGAGGAGGAGGTGCCACAGATGAGCGTGCCGATGACTATCGGACTGCTCGCAGTTGTCACTGTCGTAAGTCCTTGCGTCTATCCCATGTGCGCCGGGGCTGTCCCCCGATGCGGACCGGACGTCGTCGCTGACCAGTGCTGTCTATCCCCAGTGCGTCGCAGTCACCGCCGAGTTCCTCGTGGACTCGATAAACGGGCTCGTCGACTCCGGGAACATCAACAGGGAGTTCATCGGTCTTATCCTGCTCCCGATTGTCGGGAACGCAGCAGGTGCGTGTGTCGCCCGTCGCTTGCCGGCGACGGCGAGCGCGGCGAGGCTCTGCAGTTCTGCCCGTGCTGACCCCGCGCTCTCACGCACATCTAGAGCACGTCACGGCCGTCACGGTCTCCGTCAAGGACAAGCTCACGCTCTCTCTTGGCGTTGCCGTCGGCTCCAGCATCGTACGTCCCGCCCCCTGGCACCCCTCGCACATTGATGACGGTACTGATCTGCTCCCGCCCCTGCGTCATGGCCCCTACAGCAAATCGCGCTCTTCGTCATTCCGTTCATTGTCACCTTGGCGTGGATCATGGGGAAGCCGTTGAGTCTCCTGTTCGACCCCTTCGAGTCCGTAGTTCTCTTCCTCTCAGGTACGTCTTTGTCCCTGGCGGCGCGCACCCCACGCGCACGCCTCCGCCGCATGCATCCGGAGCTGACCTGGCCCGCTCCCGCCTACAGTCATCGTGGTAAATTACGTCGTCCAGGACGGAAAGAGGTGCGTGGTATTCGCTGGCGGCGCCCTGCTCTGCGCGCGAACGTGCCGCTGACATGTGTTTCGTGCGCACAGCAATTGGTTGGAAGGCCTGATCCTCATGGCTCTCTATGTCATCCTCGCCGTTGTGTTCTGGTTTTACCCTGGTGCGTTTCCAGGTCTGTGCAGCGTCATGTCTGAGCTAACGTCGTCGTCATGGTACAGGTGTCACCGAGCTGGGCCGTCAGCTCATGTGCTAAAGCGACGGTTGAAAACTGTGCAGACTCGATTCGCTCTCTGTCTCTTGAGGGGTCTTCTTTCTTATTCTCGGCTTCAGTTCATGACCACGGACTTAGTGTGAAAGCCATGTGTATCCTTAGTATCGCGGCAGTTACGTTCTTATACATAGCATTACTACCTTACCTCTTACCTCACTCATTGCACTCCCGCTATTCGTCCGTACTTGCCACGCATTCACGAATATACTCACGATACCGCACATATACCTCTTCGCCTCCCCTCGTATACGTACCTTGCACCCCTCGCATTGCACGCACGCACGCCCCGCCTAGTACTACGCTCGCTATCCTAGTGTCTCTCATGGCATTCCGCCACGTTGTTTCCGCGCGGATCCTCTAGGGACCCAACGTTTCTAGGTTAGCGCTAGCGCGTCGTCATCAGGACGCCGGGGCTTTCCAACAGAACGCATGTACGGGATATATAGATGATAATAGAGTGGTCCGAAGTAGAGTATCCACCACACAGCCCCGCGCGAAGCCTATCCCCATCCTATCCAACCTTGTCCGCCGCATCCGTCGCCACCTTCCCTCGCATTGGGCACTCCCACACACGTTCACAGCTTCGCCTGGAGCGGGGTGCCCGGGTTCACGAGCGTCGCGGCCGCCGCCGCGAGCACGACCGTTCCGCGTTCCTTGACCTTCGTAGCTAGAGCGATAACGGGAGCGTCATATTAGCATTCGGCTCCCACATGCACAGCCCGCCGAAGGTGGGACGTAGGCACGCACTGAAGACCACTTTCGCGCCCTCCTTCCACATCTCCGTCACGAGTGTCTCGCCGGGGTACACGACGCCCGCGAACCTAATATCCCGGGCGGCGAAGTTAGCTTAGACTCCGCGGTGGACTGGTACGAGATGGGCGCGGGGAGGGAAGCACTATGTCCAGTTGGACTGGGGTGGGGAAGCATAGGAGTCTGGGCGTCGCGCTTGTGCGGAAGCAAAAAGGCACTTCCACCGGTCGATATGCCGGCTTCTCCAAGGACAGCGCACCCCGCGCACCCCGCGTAGAACGGGAAGACGTACCTGACTTTAATATCCTCGTACTCGCCAAACGCCTTGAGGACGTGCTTCCCGGAGATGCCCATCGAGCACAGACCTAGATAGATAGAGCCGGCGGCGTGGTGAGCTCAGGCTCCCGCGAGGACGCAGGTATGTGGCAGATCGTCACCATGCAGGATAGGCTTATCGAACCCGCCGACCGCAGCGAACTCTGGAAGGATCTGTGGATGTGGTTGTGGTTGCGGACACACTAAAGTCAGAAGGGACACTAGGAGATGCGCCGCATGAGCGGCGGGTGACTCACATGCAGGGGGTTGAGGTCGCCACTCAGCCTAGACGCGGTCACATAGAGTAGGTCAGCAGTCTGTCTGTGTGGGGGCTGCGGGAAAGGTGGTGGGAGGCGCCGCCTCACCTGTACAGTGCGGCTTGGGTGGGCAGAGTCTGCTCCTCAGTGACTGCGTCTGGCTTCCGTGCAGGAGGTTTGTTTTCTGCGGTCGCGGCGCCCCGGTCTGTTCATAGGTCCCCCAGTCAGTCTTAGTGCCATAGAGTGGTGCCGAGGCATATGGGCCATGAGGGAAACGCACCTTTTCCTGCCCGCTTGCCTCCAAAGCCGCCGGAGCCACGGATGAATACCGTGGACTGGTTCTCGAAGATGACCTTGCCCGAGTGCTTGTCCTTCGTCTGCACGATGGACGTCACCGCCGCCGCCTTGCCCTTGTCGAGCACCTCCATCAACCTACCCCAGCCCCAGTCAGCCTCCACCTTCACCACACACATAGACACAGGAAGGAAGACATACCGCGCCTCGTTCACAAGCTCCCCACTCGTCGGGATGGGGGCCTTGATCGCCAAATACTGCTCTCCATGGAGCAGCTTCGCGGGGTTGAAGTTCGGGAGCCAGTCGAGCGACAGGCCCGCGCTCGCCTCGAACTGCGGGACGACGCCGAACGTCGGAAGCGCGGCGAAGTCCTCGTGGTTCTCGTACGTCCACTGCAGCTCCGTCTCGCGCGCGCCGACGCCGAGGTTGTAGAGCACGACGTCGCGCTCGGTGTAGCTGTACTCGGTCGGCGCGTCCACGTCCTTCTTCGCGGCCGCGACGATGTCGGCGTCCTCGGGGTCTGCGTAGGGGCTGTCGGAGTCGCTGCCTGCGCTCTCGTCGGTGTTGCCGAAGTTCTCGGCGATCTGAGGAGGGCGTTGTCAGCTTATAGCGCCAGAACATTAAGACTACCATTGTCATACCTGCATGAATGCCTCCTGGGTGCTCCCCGGGTTCGTAGCACGCCCATCCTCTACGGGCTCTGTGAGCACACACAACGGCGCTTCCACCACCAAGCGCACTCACCAAAGTCAGTGATGTTCGCCCACTTCGAGATGACCGCCTCAGGCGTCAGCGGGACGTTCACGGGGAAGCCGTAGCCGCCAGTGCGCTGCCACCTGATCTGCGCGATCCACCCGGCGGCGACCTGGAAGATGCTCCCCGTCGTCTCCTCGTTCGCGTCGCTGCTCAGGAAGCCGACGAGCGGCGCGACGTAGTCCTCCTGTAGCGCCAGGCAATGAGTGTCCGGATATTCGCGGCGGCAGGGTGGGTGCGGGAACATACCCGGACTGCCTCTACGCTGGCTGCGGCCCTGTATCCCGATATCAGGATCGACGGACGCCGTTAGGGAAGGCTTGGCACTTACCGGCCGAGACCAGTTGCGGCGCCGGCGGACGGAATGACGATGTTCGCGAGGATGTTGTTCTTCCGGCCTTCGATGGCCAGTGTCTTCGTGAAACCGAGGACACCGGCTTTCACGGTACAGTACTGCAGGGAATGAGCGTCGTTCATACTGAGTTTATTAGCAGGGAACCTACGTTTGCAAGAGCAGGGGAGCCATCTGTGACCGAAATTAATACATGCCAAACATGAAGAATATCGCAGAAACGCACAGAGGCCGGCCTGGGAGCCGAAAGTGATAATGCGGCCATACTTCTGCTTCAAGAAAAGGGGCCAGACAGCCTTTGCGCACTGAAACGCGAAGTCAGCGAACCTTCCCTCAAATGCCCGACTGGAGTATAACCTTGTACGTCGCCCTATCACCGGTGATCAGCGGATCAGCAGGAAGACCGGAAGAGGGGCACATACCTGAGGTGCACTGCCAGGACCTCGTCCCAGTCCTTTTCTGACAGCTTCTCAAAGGCACTGGGACGTGCGACGCCCGCGTTGGCAACGAGGACGTGGACACCGCCGAAGGTGTCGAGAGCGGCCTTCACGATCCCCTCGCCGTCTTCCGCAGATGCGACAGCAGCAACAGCCTTCCCGCCAGCTAGTAAACATACTCAATATCAGTGAAACTGTAGAATTGGTGCACAGGGGCCCACCCTTGGTGATAGCTGCCACGACCGCCTTCACTGCATTGCCGTCAACGTCGTTTACTACGACGTTCGCTCCCAAGCGGCCGTACTGGAGGGCATATGCCCGTCCGAGACCAGACCCCGCGCCAGTAACAATAACGGTCTTGCCGTCGAACCGGACCTCGGGTGATGCTTGCGCATTTGACGGGGCCTTGGAAGACTCCGCAATCTTGGCCTGTCGGAATATGATGAGCCCCTACTCCTGATCCACACTCCTTGCAGTTCTCACCTGAACATCGAAGTCGGGCACACCCTTAGGGCTGATAGGTGTGATGAGCTATACTGAGGATGTCTGAACTAGGAGAATAGGCTTTACTGCTCCGGGTCAGAGTCGAAGTCCGTAATTTGCTCCCACTTCTCTTGCACCTGAAAGTTAACACAAGATAAGCAGACGTGAGGCTAATTCAATGGCCAACGACTTACGGCTGATGGGGTGAATGTGCTGTCGGTCTTGAACGAGACACCTTTGCTGCGTTCCCACCGGACCTCTGCAACATATCCGGCCCCGACCTCGAAAATCCGGCCATTTGCGTCTGGGCCGTCTGGGTGCGTAATGGCAAGGACAAAGGGCGCGACGAATGCAGGCTGAGGCGGGAGGAGTCAGTCCTGCAGAAGGAGCGTGTTGACGCAGTATATGCCCATACCTTCAAGTTCGCGAGCATCTCTGGAGGCATAATTGTCTCCGTCATAGCAGATGCGGCCATCTAGGTGTATATACGTTAAGACGTGCAAGGTAAGAAGAATGATTGTATACGTACAGGCGCGATGACAGTAGCCTTGATGTTAAACCGGGCACCCTCGGCAGCGAGGGCCTTGGTGAAACCAACGAGACCCATCTTGGCAGCGCTGTAGTTTGCCTGACCAAAGTTACCTATGCCAATTATTAGTCGTGTGCGCTATTCCTTTGAAAGAACACCTCATACCGTAGAGGCCCGCGGCGCTCGCCGTGTTCACAATCCGACCGAACTTTTGCTTCTGGAAGATGGGCCATGCGGCTTTTGCGCACGAATACGAGCCTTTAAGATGCACGAGCATGATTTGGTCCCACTCCTGGTCCGACATATTCTTAAAGCTACGGAGTGTGCGAGATAGAACTGAATGGACAGCGGACGGGGCAGCAACCGGTAGACGTACCCTTTGTCTCGCAGGATGCCAGCATTGTTGATGAGGATAGAAACCCCTCCGAAAGCCTCTACGGCCGTCTTAATGACGGCCTCGCCATCTGCTACGGAAGCTGTATTCGCGACAGCTTTGCCTCCGGCTACGTCAAAGTGCGTGTAATGGGTATCCCGTTTCGTACAGCGAGCGTATGCACGCACCTTGGTTGATCTCGTCAACGACCTTCTGCGCTGCAGCCTGGCTAACATCGTTCACGACGACGTTCGCGCCTCTCGAAGCGAACAGCAGCGAGTAACTGTTGGTGAGGTCATTAGACCGTGTCGGGCGCTAGCAGTAGATATATGCGCACGCTTTGCCGAGTCCTCCGCCTGCACCGGTGACGACGACGGTGTGGCCCTTGAACGAGAGATCTGACATGGTTGTGGTGGGAGGTGGAAGGATGTGTATGAGGTGGTCGCAAGCGGAGAGAGATTATAGACGAGTGCGGGGTCGTGCCAGAGCAGCCGCTGCCATGTGAATTCCCCTCGGCTGAGGCGATCGCGCGCGCCCACGTGAATCACCGACGCGTCCCTCCGCCACAATTTCCCCGCTTCTCTTCACGACGTCATCATCCTCTCCTAGCTGCCTCTCTCATATACACAAAAAATACAGCAAAAATACAAGCATACACGTCCACAAGCTCAGGCAGACCAACCCTAGTCTCGTCACCAGCCGTCATAGGGGGTCCTTCCAAAACGGGACGGGCAAGAAACCGAGCAGAGGACCCCCCTATAACGTCTGGCGCACTTCGTATAGGCGGGTGGGGGTAAGGTCACCAAGTCACGAAGGTCACTGCGGCCCCACTTCGACGTGCGCGCACGCCGCGCGAGCGTGATCGCCTCAGGACTCCTACAACGCAATTTCCGCCCAAATAATTCTTAAAATTGAGAGGAGTGTGTCTGAATAGCCCGCAATGGTCTGTATTAAAATGGGACCGCAGCGCGCGGAGTAGCACGAATAAATAAAACCCGCTCGCGGACAGTGACCGCAGAGTGACTGACAGACTTGCCCGATCGAGGGCGTGTCAAGGTGTTTGACGGGTGGACAGACTTATTTCTGGCGTTGGCGTGACCTTACCCCACCCGTCTATACCAAGTGCGCCAGACGTTATAGGGGGGTCCTCTGCTCGTTTCTTTGCCCGTCCCGTTTTGGAAGGACCCCGTGACCTATAACGTCTGGACACGAGACTAACCAACCCCAAGTCCAGCGCTTCACCTGGCTCAGCCGGTCGCCGTAGAAATCGCATGAAACACGTTACAATTTCGGAACAGTGGGCTGATTTTCCAGCGCGCCCAAGCGCCGCAGCGCCTCCCTTGCCCCGTCGTCCAACCCAAGCTCCCTCAGGATCTCCTCCGTGTGCGCCCCCCGCGGAATTATCGCGTCGGCCGGCGCAGGCAGCGGCGCGTCCACGGGCGTGCGTTCCAGCTTCGGGTGCGGGCTCGGCACAGCGCCTCCGTGCGACGACGAGCCCGCTGCCAGCGCCGCCGCCTCGTCCGCGGACAAGACGGGCACCGCGCACGCGTCGCTGGCTACGGCGTGTTTTAGGGCCATCAACATACGATGCGTGGAGGAAGCAGGACATCGTACCATCGAATACCTTCCCCCAGTAGTCTCGCGGGTGCAGCGCGAATCCTCGCTCCATGAATGTCTTCATGCGGGGCCACGAATCTGTGTCGTGCTGGTCCGTCTCGGACGGCCGCCATCCGTCCTCCAGCGCGAAACCAGGAGGAAGAGCACCCAGGAAGCGTTTCAAGAATGCCTTGAAGAACTGAGGCTCCAGACATCCGACGGACATCCACCTTCCGTCGGCGCATGTGTACACGTTGTAGAAGGGAGCTCCGCCGTCAAGGAGACCATTCCCTCTACCCGGCCCGAAAAGAGGAGACCGTAGCTGGGCCAGAAGAAGTGGAAAGCTTGCCAAGTAGCGCACCCCAGATACCTGTGCAGCTCTTCAGCACGGTGCATGTCGGTATTTGGGTTAAAGTGGAACTTACCATATCTGTGTTCACGATCTGACCGCGTCCGCTCTTGGTGCGTTCCACAATTGCGAGGAGGATCCCTAGTGCGCACATTACTCCGCCCCCCGCAAAGTCTGCGAGAATGTTTAGAGGGAATTCCGGCATCCCCGCCCCCGGCAGCATCTGATTCGCGATGTGAGTACATTTACCCTTGTCACTTAAACGGTAGCGCGACACGAACCGAAAGAACGCCACTGAGCGCAAGGTAGTTGAGATCATGTCCTGGCATAGCGCAGGGGATGCATGAGCTTAGTGCACGCATGCCCATTAGCAGTCGAGCTTACTGACCGGCCATGTCTTTATGCGGACCTGTGCGAGGGAACCTGACCACCAGGACGTCAGTATTTCAATGCTCAACGACCTTCGGAACACGCCAACACACTCACCCCACCAAACGCGCGTATATCAGCCGCGCATTCGTCCCCTTGCTCTCATCAAGAAACACCTCGGGACCGAGGCCCAGTCGTTCCAGCACACCCGGGCGGAACGGGTCGATGAGCACGTCTGCCTGCTCAACGAGTTTCCGCACGACCCCGTACCCGCTCCGCGTCTATACATGCACATGTTCAGTCTTTGCAACCCACACATCGGCATGTCCAGCGAGGCGAACGGACATACCTTCGGGTCGACAGCGATGGACCGCTTGCCCCGCCCAAGCACGTCTGGGGTAGGCGCGGTCGCTGCGCCCGGTCGGTCGATGCGGATGACGTCCGCCCCGAAATCGGCCAGGATCATACCCGCCATCGGGCCCGGCGCAAGACCGGCAAACTGCATGAAAAGTAGGTTCGTGTCGCGCAGACAAGTGTGGAATTGCACTTGCCTCGACTACTTTAATGCCACTCAGAGGAAGACCATGTTTACTAGGTGACGCTGGCATCGTGTGGTTAGTTCTGTAACAAGTAAACCTGGCGACTAGGGATCCGGGTTTTCGTTAAACTTCGCTGGACGAGGTTCGGGAGGAAAGTAGTTTAGGGAGTCGCGGCGTACAAATGTACCTGATCTGCATCGAATGCGGGGAAAGCAGGTTGCCTGTTGCGGGGGACGTCAACGTCCCTCGGTGTCTTGAACACCGGTGGTAGCCGGGAGGAGGCTAAGAAAGCCGGAGTCTACTGGGCCTTGTGATCAAGTTGCCGGGGCTCGGCGGGAGTCAGTGAAGTCCCTCGCAGTTCATTCAGCGTTTGGATACTATGAAGCAAATCGTGTATATACAAATTGCGCGTGAGTGTAGTCATCGTACGTACAAATGCGTGATCATTAAAGCCCGTGAAGCAAAACGTAACCAAATTTCAAAGCACTTCTCATCTTGCGGCATCGCCCACAGGCGGCCGTTTCGTCTACGCCTCTCTAGTCATAAGATCAAACAGAACCACCTCACACTCCTCGTACGAGCCAGGGCTATGACTCGTACTCTGCCACCTTCGCCTTCTCCGCCATCTTGATGTCGCTGAGCGTGATCGACGAGCGGTCGCACATGCTGCGGAAGATGCCCCCGGAGGCTGCGTATAGGTTCGCAGGCGTGTCGAACTCGGCGATTTGGCCCGCGTCGAGCACGCAGATGCGGTCGTACCCGATGATCGTGCGCAAACGGTCTGGGAGTCGAGAGTGAGTATACGATGCATACAGGGCCGTAGATTGCATGGACGTACGGGCAATGCACAGGATGGTGCGGTCTGCAAACTCGGTCGCGATCGTGTCCTGGATTTTTCTGTCCGTCTCGTAGTCGACAGAAGCTGCAAAGTGTGGGTCAGTTCCCCACCTACACGAGGCATGTGAATGGCAAGACGTACCAGTCGCCTCGTCCAGGATAAGGATCTTGCTATCCTTCACAAGAGCTCTGGCCAAGGACACAAGCGACCGCTACAAAACACATTTCGTTAGCCGCCTCCTCAGTTCCGCAATCTGCACCAAATACGCACCTGTCCAATGGACAGATTGCTCCCCTCGTCGTCAATAAGACTGTCGAGCGAGAACCTGTTGACCGGGCTCCGCGCGCCGTCCTTGATCTCCTCGTCCGTGAAGTCGACCGAGTCTTTCTTGTCGTCGACGAGGTACGCGCGCTTGAGCGCGTCCCACAGCCGTGCATCGTCGTGAGCGCCGAAGGGGTCCAGGTTACTGCGAAGCGTTCCGGAGACTGCAACATATTCAGCATGTTACACCTCCGAGTACAAAACGATGCAATACATACAGAGAAGAGGATCTTGAGGGATGATCGCAAGCCCATCCCGGAGGTCCTTCAGGCCGATCGTAGAAATGTCGACTCCATCGATGACGATCGAGCCCTCGGACAGCTCGACGAGGCGGTAGAGCGTCGTCATGATGCTGCTCTTCCCCGCACCCGTGCGCCCGACGATGCCGACCTTCTCGCCCGGCCGCACGGACATCGAGAGGCCCTTAAGGACCGCCGGAAGTTCGGGGCGGTACTTGAGCACGACGTTCTTGAGCTCGATCTGTCCTTGTGCGGGCCATGAGGCGGGCGGCTTGCGGTCAGCGATGAGGTGGGCAGGTTCCTGTTCGAGCTCCCTGACGTAGTGGACCTGCATGGCACGAGTCCTAGTTAAGCGGCTGCCCAATATTGGAAGGTTGTATGGTCATGAACGTACGATACGCTCGACGCTGTTGAAGTCGTTCTCGACCTCCGCGCTCTGCCGGACGAGCCAGCCGAACGCCTGCTGCACACTGATGATGTAACTCAGCACGACACCAGTCTGCGACGGCGAGATCGTGAAGCGCGTGCCGACGGTCAACATGGCGACGACGAAGGTGAGGAATATGCCCATGAGGTCAAGACGGATACCGAGCCAGCGCTGTGAGATGACGTGAGTACAACGTTAATAGAATCCTGCTTAACGCAGGTACAAACCTGATTCGTGACAGTCAACCAATAGGCACTGCGACAACAGGTCAGCAACGTCTCATATGTTGCACGGAGGAGGCACATACCGGTTCTCAATATCAACGCGCTTGCGGTTCTCTTCCAAGAACCTGTCCGTCTCGCCGTACGCGCGAATAGTCGCCAGCCCAGAGAGCGACTCTGAGAAATGGCTGTACAGCGACGACCGCAAGAGTGCATCTAACACCAACATCTGTCAGTACGCAGCGCGACCTTACCGTAGAGTGCACTATGAACGTACCGAGTCGCTTGAGCTCACGCGCACTCGCGCGGTAGAACATCGCGGCCCAGACGTACGCGACACCTACGACGCCGACGGCAATGAGGAACCAAGGGAGCACGATCGCGATCAGGATGACCGCGCCGAGGATGTTGCCCAGCGTCGCGACGAACATGCGCATCGCGTCTCCGAGGGTGTTATCGATCGTGTCCACGTCCTTGGAGAATCGGTTCATGATGCGGCCCAGCGGCTACGAAGGAGGTGTCAGTCATCTGTGTAAGCGTGAGCAAGGCCAGGGTAGACGCACTGTAGTCTCGAAGAATGACATGGGTGCGTGCATGACGCGGTTGATCGCGGCGCGATGCAGCGACTTCGAGGAGAAGTATGTGAGGGTAGCGAACGTCGCGCCCATCATGAAGAAAGTCAATGCTTGTGCGACACCGAGCCCAGCGTAGATCCCCATCTGAGTGAAGCGTAAGCGTCCTGAACAGCAAATCATGGAGGATGAGCTTACATAGAATCCGGAGCCGAAGGGCCATTTCAACTCCTGCCAGTACACAAGCCTAGAAAGCAATAAGCGACACATTCATGAAGGCGAGGGAGAGAGGCACATACCAGTACGACGACATAACCTGCGCCCCTTGCATGAGCGCGACCGAGATCAACAGCAGCGGGATGATAATGAACCCCTTCCCCGCGCGGATATACTCCATGTACACCTGGTTGCTCACCGCGCCCGTATTCCGCTCCTCGACCTGCATCATCGCCGGCGCCGCCTTCCTCTTCACCTTCTTCTCCGCCGCCTCCCCGTCCTCAACCGCCTCCTCGACGGCCTCCTCCTCCTCCTCCTGTTGGTTCTGGTTGCTCCCAAACTCACGCACGAAGCGCGCAAAGTCGCCGTCCGCGGCCATGAGCGCCGCATACGTGCCGTGCTCCGCGACGCGCCCCTCGACCATCGTGTAGATGTAGTCGACCTGCGGGAGGAAGTGCAGCGCGTGCGTGACGAGCACGCGCGTCTTGTCCGCGGCCGCGCCGAGGAACACGTTGCTGAACACGCTCTTCCCGACGTGCGCGTCGAGCGCGGAGAACGGATCGTCGAAGATCTGGATGTCCGCGCCGACGTAGATCGCGCGGCAGATGTTGATGCGCTGCTTCTGTCCGCCGGAGAGCGAGATGCCGCGCTCGCCGACCTCGGTCAGGTCGCCGTTGGGGAGCAGCTCGAGGTCGGCCTCGAGGCAGGCGTCGTGCACGGCCTTCCAGTAGCGCTCCTCGTCGAAAGGCCGCCCGAAGATGATGTTGTCGCGCACGGTCGCGTTCTGGATCCACGCGCTCTGCGGGCAGTACGCGACGGAGCCCTTGAACTTGACGCTGCCCGCTGTGCGACGCATCTCCCCGATCATGCCCTCCAGAAGGGACGACTTGCCCGACCCGACCGGTCCTATAACATTGCTCGTGAGCATACTGGTGAGGTCCGCAGGCATTCCGCAACATACCGACGATAGCCGCGAGCTGCCCCTCGGGGATTGCAAGGTTGACGTCCTTGAGTCTGAACGTCGACTCCTGCGACTTCTCGGCGTCTGCATCCGGCACGTTCGTCTTGCTCGGCTTCTTCTTGTTGCCAAACATGCCCTTTTTGTCCTTGCGCGCAGGCGCATCCGGGGGCGGGCCGTCCCATACGAACTCGCCGTCAATGATCTCGATCGCGTTCTTGAGGTCGACGTCCTGAATCTTCGTCTCCGAGAGCGTCTCCGCCTCGAAGACGCCGTAGAGGCGGTCGACGGCGTTGTGCGCGTCGGCGATGGCGCTGAGGGAGAGCGCTGTGGTGAAACATTAGCCTTGTTTGGGCCTCGACGCAGCAACAGGGGACGTACGCAAGAACATAAGTGGCATTCTGAGCAAGTTGAAGAGCGTGAGAGACGAGAAGATGTCGGCCGCGTTCAGAGAATGGCCCGTGGCCGAGTACACCACGAACGCGAGCACGCTAGCGAGTGCGGGCAGCGAGATGGCGATAGCGTTGTTGGCTGAGCGAATCACCAACAGAGAGCGAATGTACCTGTACCGTGAAACGCATTGAGCTCAATAGCAACGGTGACGCAACGACACAGATACTCACGCCATCTCCCTACCACGCAACTCTTCAATCTTCTTCAGGTACGGGACCTCCCATGCGAAGTACTTGATGATCTTCATACCACCCAGGAGCTCTTGGAGCAACTTCGCGCGCTTGTCCGTCCAAATCATGGACTTGTGGCGCAGCTTAATGAAGTGCTTCATGACCAGCGTCTGTATCGGCGTCGCCAGAATGAAGAACGCGAAGCCAGCCAGCGCAGAAGGACCCAAGTTGGTCAGCAGAATAATGAGGCAAATGATCATCTGTATAGGGCCGGTGATCGACAGCTGGAGGAACGAGCAGCAGAAGTCAATGCGGGAGACATCTGTCGAGATGTGGTTGACGAGTTTGCCGTTCGTGAGCGTAGCACGTGCCCGAGACGAAAGTCTGAGTGACCGGTCATAGATGGCGGTAATCAAACCACCACGAAGGAGAACGCCAGTAGAAGCCGCGCGGTAGAAGAAGTGATGTGTGCAGATGGACGAGAGTATCTGGAGCGCGAATAGACCAATGGACAGTCCAATGCCTTTGCCGATTGGAGGAATGTCTTCCCATCGTCCAGCACGGTGCGCGCTACAGAAGCGTATTAGTATAGCAAGCAAGAAGGCCGATCCCATACGGAACTCACCTGAACGAATCTGTGGCGAAGAGGATGATAGCCTACGGTAGCACTGCTTAGATGCTTATATCGGAAGAAATGCCAAGTGGACAGTACCTTGACCAAAAGGGGACTGGTAATTTGAGCACAGTCCGCGATGAGTTTCAAGATGCCACCACTCCAGAACCACCACTTGACACTGTCGTTCATAGCCAAGGTCAGGCTAGCTCTCTTTCGGCCATCCTTCTCCCGCCACTGCTTCTCGCGCTGAGCTCGGTTCCCGCGAACGGACCACCACACGCCCTTGAGACCTGGGCTGATTTCACCATTCTCGAGACGAGCGTTGTATTCTGCAGCAGCTATCTGACGGGCTTCGAACGACTTTGTGATCTTCTCGGCTACAACCGCAGCGGCTCGGCTATCCTGGAGCTTGTACAGATCGGTAGCTTCGAGGGGACGGGCGTATCCGAGAGCCATGAGAGGGGTGATCCACCCAAACGTCATGATGTTCCACCATCCTGCAGTGACCTCGGGGATCTGCTCGGCGTCGTCGAGAGACTCCTTTGCAGGAGGGACTTCTTTAGGAGTGAGGGGCGACCGCCAGTTCCTACAAAGGGGTACGTTAGCGTGGGTTCCGCCCCGACTATACCAGAAGGAGGTAATCTAGGTACGGACCATCTCGATTTTTCTGCGGGCTGGAGGGTCTCCTGCGAGCTGAGCGAATCTTGCGCCATACGAGCCGAGGATGAGTGCAGAGGGAGTCCTAGATTGACGCCTTCGCACGGGGTGCCTTATAATGCTGATGGCTGCGCGCAGCTGAGCGGGCCCGCTGCGTACGTAGGGGTCGGCACTAGGGGTGGCTGGGAGGCGGTGAGAGGAGAACCTGGAGGACGCTGCGCCGCGCATGGGCCGCGGAACCCACCGCGCCCGCCGAGGCCGTCATGCTCGCCGAATTCGCAGCGGGATGACAAACCGAGTCGCGGTCTTCCCGGCGCCTCTCCAACTCCTCGGAGGCGTTCCCCGCGATCGGGCTCCTCGTCATCTTGATGCCAAAGCCGCGCCATTTTTGGTCAGTCCATTGCCTTTTCTAGGTGTCGCGCCTTGATCCGCTGCCGTCATAGCGCTCGCTGCACCCCGATGGCACGGAGCGACGCCGTCAGACTCCGGGCGCTAATCGACTTTCACTCACACCTCCTGCCGAGTGTACGTACGGGTATGCGTACTCGGGTGTATTGCTGCGGAGGAGCTCATGCAACTACTACTCAGCGCCACCCCCGTGGAACTCTTGCGAGTCATCGTCGATAGCACCCGACACAGTTTTAGAAACCCCGTGCCTGTACGCGATAAATGGCCGAGACACGCCCGCACGGTGCCACCACCGTCCGCCTCAAGTCTGACTACTGCGCCGGTCTGCGCAACACACCGTACATGTCCGGCGACCGCTTCGGTCAACGTACTGAATAAACGCAAGAGGAATGCTTGCTGACAACTGACGCATTCCAAGAAAAGTAGACAAAGAGAAAGAGGTTACACGCCGTTCGTTCACCGGTCTTGAAGCATAAATACCTCATAACGAAGACACGTTCGTACAGGAGTCGCAGAGTAACTTCATCATCAATCACTGCCCGGCCGACAGGGCACAGGGCTCTCAGGACGCCTTGATCGTCGAGGAGGTCTGTGTATCTGAGCGTTCGTCGTGCACATGGTGGATGGGGCGCCGAACGCCTCGTTCCTCTTATCTCCGAATGTGGATCTAGGCTTCATTGTCACTCCCGCCGACGGGTGCGGTGCACGTCGTATCTGAACCGAGGAGTTTGGTAGAAGCTTTTGCCCGATATGCGCAAGTCCTTGCATAGGCTCGCTGCAGGAGGCTGTGGCGCAGTATGTTCAGCCGCGAAAGCACGACATCGCAAAGGTCACAGCAAACTGCTACATCCGACACAAAGCCGACGCGAGTGTCAGCTTGACCGAGCATACACTTCCTTCAGCTGTGTGAGCGCGGTCTATGAGAACGTGAGTGAGCATAGCATCATAAACAATGGCAGGGAAAGGTCAACGAAGTACATACCTCGTACGCTGGCTTGAGAGACGCGACGTCCGAGTCCGACACACGTAGCCGCTTGACCTTTTCCAAATGGTCGGCCTCCTTCAACATGCCTTTGAAATACCGCGCCTAAAAGCAATTCCCTATCGTGAGTACGCTGCAATAGGAAGAGTGGAGCAGACTCACCTCCTGCTCCTCCACGAGCGTCCATGCATCGCCCTCCCGGCCAGCACGGGCCGTGCGGCCCACACGGTGAACATATTTCCGGAAGTCAACGGGCACGTCGTAGCTCACGACGTGCGAGACGTGGCTGATGTCGATCCCGCGCGAGACGAGGTCAGAACAGATCAGTCTAGCATAGAGAAAGGCATACACTCGTCAGCTCTAAGTCTCTTTCGTGCAGAGGCCACCTACATGTTGATCTCCTGGTTCCTGAACTGCTCCAGGATCGCCTTGCGCTCCCCAGGCGCGAGGTCGCTCGAGTACGCGCGCGCGACGACGGGCTTCTTACTCGCGTCCGCGGCACGCAGGGCGCCCTCGAAGAACTCGAAGAGACGCACGAGCCGCGTGGCAGACTCGGCGGACTTCGTGAACACGAGCGCGTTGGTGACGCCCCGCGCGTGCACCATGTGGAAGAGCATGAGCGGCTTCGCCGCGGACTCGCACACCAGCATGTGTTCCTATACGTACGCGTCAGCCATCTAGCCAGGCCCAGTGCCAAGAAGGAAGAAGGGAAGGCGCACGGTCAACGTCGCGGGCATCGTGAACTTCTCCATCACGAAGTCGAGCACGCCCTCCTCCTTGGTCGCGGCGGCCGACTTCCTGCCCTGCACGACGATGTACCTCGGTGCGCGCAGCCCGAGCGCGGCGATCTTCGCAGGGTCGCGCGTAAGCGTCGCGGAGAAGAGCAGCTTCTGACACGACGGCTCCTTGCGCTCGTCAATGTCCGTCCGGGTGTACGGCGCACCCCGCAGGAGGTGGAGGAACGCGGGGGCCAGCGCGTCTGGATGCGGACGGGGGGTGGTATGGGAGGGAGGGGTCGAGGCCTCGGACCGGGTGTCGTCGGAGGGCCGCGGTGGGCGTGTGACGGCGAGGACCTGGGCGAGCCAGTCTTGGAACGACTGCGCGAGGAGGCGGTCGGCTTCGTCAATGACCTGCAATACTTCGTTAGGGGTTGATGTCTGTGGGGCTCAGCTTGTTTGACGCACCAAGAAGCGCAGATGCTGCAGGGAGAAATTGGGTGTCCCAGTGATATGGTCCATCAACCGGCCGGGCGTGCATATTAGGACGTCGACCTTGCTCGAGCCGCCCTGCAAGCTAATGTACGGAGGTTAGGCTGTGGCTGTTCATGAAAGATCGGCGACTTACTCGGAGCCTCGTTCTGCCACTAATTGTGACTGCTCGTGCGCAAACGAGTGCTGGCCGGTTGCTGTGCCAATCTACAATAAGGGAACTATGTCACTACCAATGACATATCGAAGTTGAAGCCAGGCTGACCTTCAGGCCGCGCCCTTTTGCCACGGCCTCGAACGTCTCCCGCACCTGCACGACTAGGTCTCGTGTAGGCAATACAATAAGCGCTCTTAGGCGCGTAACGATGCGGGCGGACAGGACCTAGAAGCGAGGGTAAGCTAGGCAAAACAACGCCAAACCAGGTAAAAACCTGGTACCTCAACGATGGGTAGCACGTAGGCGAGGGTTTTCCCGCTTCCAGTTGGAGCTGAGACACATAGGTCCTCTGGAGGGTCATATGGTCGGTAGAGTGATTGCGCTCTAGTGGATGAGAGGAGTAATGGCACAACAGCGGTCTGTACTATTGCCGTATACGTCTTCGTAAGTCACTTCAGACTATCCAACAAAGATTGAGCGCTGACCAGCGAAGAGTTCCGCAATCCCTAGCTCCTGCAGCCTTTTCCGCATCTTACCGCTCAACCCCGTTCGTTCGTCGCGACTCTCATAGTCCTTTTCTAATGGTAGGGTAGTCGCAGGATCGACTACTTGCGCCTCAATGAGCGCCTTGTCGAGGCCTTGCAGCGCAAGGACGGATTTGGAAGGCGCATCCGGTCTTCGGGGTTGAGGGAAAACGGGGAGGGTAGCGGGCGGTGTGGGAGACCTGGCTCTGAGAGTTACGGGAGGGATGGAGGTCTCTTTTGGTGTTGTAGCACGGGGAACATCTTCAGCCTCTGGGGTGTCCAGCTTTCGCCTCTTCTTCGGGCGAGATCCATCCTTCTGCGCGCGTTTCGCGGGAGTAGGTTCTACAGCTTCGGACCCGTTTCCTGATGCATCGCCATCGCTCTCGCTAGACTCGCTTTCCGAGGAGGAGGATTCGTCGCGCTTCTTCTGGGTGGATGGCTCTCCGCTGGGTTCGCCTTTTACGACGACCTTTGTACGGTTCTTGCGCCTTTCCTTCTTCGCCTTCAAATACCGCTTTTTCGCTTTTGTCTTTCCCTACGATCCAATTCGGGTCCAGTAAGTTCAGTTCGCTGGGAATACGGCGCTGGGTGACATACCTTAGACGTGTCTGGAAGTGCAGCGTTTGCTACTTGAGCCATTTCTTCGAATTACAGCGTGGCTTCAAGCAACCGAGGCAAGGTGCGCGCACAAAGGTAGAAGCTAGCAGTTGTAAGATGTCGAGTAGAGGTGTTGTAGTCTCCGAGCCGTTAAGCACCAGTGAAGCAGAACTAGAATGCGCGAGTGAGTGAGTGCAGCAGCTTGCCGATCAAAGATATTTGCACAGGCGCCCGATCCAACGGACCGGAGACCGTGAGTGAGGCGCTTAATCACCTTGTCCTCCGTCCACGGCGCTCGCCGCACACGTACACGCGAATCGACGAAATACGTTCATCCTCCCGACCACTCTTGTCTCGACATCGAATGAAATCAGACACCTTATGGCAGCAGGCACGTCGCTACACTCCCTCACAATAACGACCGGAACGGACCGGTGCACATGACGGTATGTCAGCGTGAGAAGCCTCACGGCTGTCGGTTAACAAATTATCTCCGTAACGGCACAATTGGTACTTACGACTTCGGCTTACTCGCGGTCGCTCCGAGGTCGTTAGTCGCCTATGCTGTCTGCGAAAAACACCGTACACCTCCTCCATTCTACAGGCACACTGGGAAGAACAGAGAATATCGAACACGCACGGTGTGCTTCGCTTCTTCCCCTTCGACTGTGGGTCCAAGTCCCTTGCGTTACGGGAGACAGATTCCCTCATACGAGTCGAACCGGTGTGTGGCATATTCCCGGAGGTTCGCATGATCACCAGCATCGTGTGGTGGTGGCGTGCGGGGTACGTGGCAAATCCATTTTCCAGTACTAGACGAGCATGTCGGGCTTCCGTTGTGCTCCGTTCAGGTCCCGTCATATCAGTAAGTCGTCAAAAGTCTATAGCATGTCGGGCAAGGGCTAGCCTGCGTGGAGCCCCTCATCTTCCTCCTCGCCCCGCCCTCTCGCCCCACGCAGATCCTGTTCTCGTCCTCCGCGGGGCGTTCCGCACCGCAAATCAATGCTTTTGTTACGCATGCTGGGACTGCTTCGGCTCCACCTTTCCGCTCGCCCCTCTGACCGGTACACGAGCCCCTTGAATGCGCAGCTTTAACCGATCCGATATCCGCAACGCTGCACGTATGGCCTGAACATCCGGAGAACGGACCTGCGGCCACGATCATCCCGAGTGGCGACATGGCATTACGAGGTTCTACCCCCTCATCGATGGATTAGCGGATGACACTCCGGCCGGAGCGTTTCAACCTCGGCACCCGTGCCCATGTGTCTCTCGCCAACGCACTCACACAATACACTCCGAGCCTCTCAGGCCCGGTACAGTTAGAAGCAGGAACTTCTCAACGGAGTAACGCCGGGTATGTGCCTGCACTTTCCATCGTGAATTAAGCCACCTACCTCCGTTGACAGTCCTCCACGGTCTATGTCAGCCGACAAATCTTGGCTCAGCGGCTCGTGTCACCGGATCTTTGCCTTGAGTGGCCTGCACCGGACTGGTAAGCTCTGTACCGGTCTCCGACCGTTCTTATCACGATGCCATCGACGGCAGCTATGCGCAAAGAGGCCTCCGCAATCTGCAAACCATATCTCGCCGCACTAAATGACGCTTCGTAGGACGAGCACGCGCGGCTGGCCAGCGGCAACTGCTGTGTATGCTCGCCTTCTCGCGTGACGAGTCGTCCAAAGCTGGCGTTTAGTATACCCACTTGCGTCCCCCTCTCCGTGCAAGGGGCGCTTTTGCCACACCTATAAAGAGATGCGCTTGCCTCGATCGTTACGCCATCCCCCCCTGTCATCCTCTGCTCCCCTCGATCGAAGTGTCTTAGTCGACCCTTGTGTACCTTAGTACCTTCGACGCCTCTCTTGTTTCGCCATGTGTTTCGAAGAATGGTCAGTCGTTCATCGCCCCTGCTCGTCACTGTTCTAACACTGACCCTCTCGTTACCTAGCTGTGGTAACCAGCACCGAGGATGTCCGGTAACGGCGCTCCTCGCTTTCCGTGTCCGCCCGAGACGCGCTCACGTACCGCCTAGCATTTTGTGACCCTCTACTATTCCGGCGAGAAGTTTGACTGCCTCTCACCGGCCTGCGCCCTCAGCTCAGCTCACGCCCACCCGGGCAACCGCAACTGTGGCTGCAATAGGGTGAGTGTCGCCGTGCCAGGGCACACCGTTTCCGAAGCTTTCCTAACCACGCGAACGGCGCCCAGGCGTTCCGCGACAGGAGGAAAGTTCTCAATCTCATCCAGGAACCCTGTGATGCCTGCAAGGAGGCCGCCCTGGCTGCCCGCGTCAGGCGTCGGTAGTGCCTTCGGGCCTCAACAACAACGCTGCTATTTATTCGCGCTACAATTCTGCGCACTGCTGTCCTAGTACTCTCAATATGTTTCCCTTGTTGTTCTCCCTTGCTCTCCTATATGCACGCTGCTCCTCGTCAATCCTTGCCCGACCGTGCGGTCTTTGATCCCCATCTTTCGCCGTGTGGCGACCGTCAACTGAAGGGCATAAACAATCACGAGCCATCGATATGACCCTGTCGCACACAATGTCGGCTGTCCGTGACAGATAGCATGCGCGCAGGTCGTCATAGATGCGCGAAGGCGCTCCACCGTCCCAACGACCCGCCAGTTGCAGGAAGAGGCGGACTTTGCTGGATTAACTCCAGCGGTCAAGTGACCTGCGCCCAGGGGAAAGAAGGGGGTGCCGGGTGGCTTCGCCATACACCGCGCAGGACGCGTTCACGGCGCTTCCGGGCTTCTCGCCATGTACTAGGGTATGCGCATTGCTCAACACGACGTAAACACGCTGTGGACGGGGGTCCCCGCGCAGGCACATGCTGCTGCTGTCACATAGATAAGTGTGCGTGGGCGCCCCCTTCGCGTGGGGAGGCGATAAACCCGCGACGGACCCCGCGCGGGGACGCCCCGTGTGTGGCTCAGAACCGCCTTCCGCCTCGTCTGATCGGTTGTTTCACACCGCGCCTCACGCCGCTCTTGCCTGCGGCGCCGCGGCTCTGTCGCTCCTCCTCCTCGCTCGCGTCGTCGCTGGACGACGGGGCGGCGGCCGCTCGCTTGGGCTTCTTCGGGAGCGGGGCTGGCGAAGACGAGCTCCGGCCGGGGTCGTTGGGGCTTTCACGGGATGTCGGGGGCGCGGGATGATCTGGTGTGGCACGCTTCGAAGGGACTGATCGTGCGGGACTGCTGGACCTCGCGTCCGCACTCCGATGGCCTGTTGTGGCCTCCTTACCCTTGGTAGTGGGTAAGAGGAGCTCGTCCGAGTCCGATTCTTCTTCGGTTGCGGAATCGTCGTCTGGAAGAGGCTTGGGAGGCGTCCGATGGGCCGACGGCTGCGGCTTACTCCCCTCTGCCTAGAACCTCGCCGTCAGCACCGGCCGCCGGTAATACAGTTCCCGACCTACCGCTGAGGATGATTGAGGAGTCGAAGAGGGAGGATCTTGCCGAAACAGCGGAGGCTTAGGCGCGGTTCGCGGAAGTATCGGTGGCGAAGGAGGACTGAGGTCGGGGGCCTGCACGTCTGTGACTATTCGGGCTGCATATGACTTCAGCGTGATGTATCATGGGGCTGCGAAGGCTGGCTACGTACGGGGATCCGGGACGAAGTTGAAGACGGCACCCATCCGCCGAAGTGTGGTGGCGACGAGCGGTCTGGATAACGTATTCTTGACGTGGGTGTCTACTGCGCGACGCGCGACCCTCCCTATCCTATCGGCGGACTGCGAGGACGAAGATCCATTGAGCGGACGAGTCGGCGTAGGGACAAGATGGGACACTACCTTCTCGACGTCAGCTCCCGAGAGGCTGCTTACAGGATCAGCCGAGAAGAAAGCAAGGTGGGCTGCGCTGATCAACGGCATGATGAGGTGCTTGGAGAGGATGTCGGCTGACATCGTGGGCCCGACACTGAATGTCTCCCAACGCCACCGGAACGTGTCGTTTCTGAGCTCAAATGCGAGGTCCTGAAAAGATAGCCACGTGAGCGGCGAGTGACGACGCAGGGGACGAGATAGGCAAATCCGCACCGAATGTCTCGATTTGACCAGCTCAAAGGCCAGATCGGCGACGCCTCCGAGAGAGTGCAAGGTGGTTAGATACTCCAGACATTTTATTCTCCATGACTCTTCCTCGTTCTCGGGCAGGTTATCAGAAGAATTAGGGAAGTTGCAGTCGCGCCAACGCCTCGCAACGCGGTTGCTTGGCAATACTATAGGGGAAAGATATCAATACAAATACGATAGGAATGCGAACGAGGGTGAGAATACGCACCTTCGCCCCAAACGTGTTTGGTGTCCGTTATCACGACGAAGCAGTTTAGATCAACAGTGGAAGCATAGAATTTCTACTGGAATTTTGAGTGATGTTAACCATGAGCACGTCATAAGTCTAACTGCAAGGTTGGGAACAGGACGAACGAAGAGGTATGGGGTAGAGGTGTCGTTATCGACCTTTACTAGCCACTCCTTCGCAAGCAGGAGCTTGGTGTGGTCCTGGCGCGCGTAATGATGATCACGGGGCTAAGCGTGAAGCAAGAATGGGTGATACTTCTACTTACCTCGGACAAATACTCCATGCGAACCGTTCTGTTTCGATCAGCACTTCGACCTCCGACGCGCGGAACGAAAGTGTAGTTCGGCTTGTATCTTTCGGACGACTCATGTTGTTCACCCTTTCCTGTAGTGCAATCGTACTGCCCACTGCGGCCGAATTGGCGTAGCTTGTGGTATGCTGTTGTGTGAGGATCGTTGTGCGGTGTGGTCAAACAACTCGGTGTTGGAGCCAAGTCAGGGTCGCCACCGCCACGCGGCGCGAACTACTCGTCCACCACTCGGAGCGTGGGAGAACTTTCCTCTTTGGGCACAGTAGATCCTCGTGGGCGCCTGCCCTCACCTGCTCTTGCCACCTTACCGCTCATCTCCCCCTTGGTCCTTCATTATTGCGCGGGCGTTCTTCTAGCCTGGCCCACACCTTCTTGCCTAGTCAAGCAACTCTATGATTCTAGAAGAAGGCGAAATTCTGGTAGATGAAGGCACTGCCAACAACCGTGACGAAACACTTGCTGCTACCGCATATCGCTACACCACAGAGGACCCGTCCGGAAAGGCCTACTCGTCTGCTTTGGAGTGGCCAGGAGACCCAGAACCTCATTTAGATCCTCCGTTCCCCATCGGACCGGACTCGTCATCCAGCCTAGTTAGTGCACCTCCATCCACTCCATCTCTGCGATTACTCGTTCGGCATAGTACCGTACTCCGCAAACCGAGGAAGCTCGCCCTGCTCGATGGCTACTCGGAGATCCAGATCGGCCGTGATGTCGCACCGTCGGGGTCCGAAACACCCAGGATACGTCTGAAGGAGCTCGAGGTGTCCAAGCTGCACGCGACCATTTTCTGGGACGAGGAGCGCTTGCAGTGGGCGATCGTCGACATGGGGTCGAAGCACGGCACGTTTATTCAGCCCGCGACTCCTTCTGCCTCCGGTTCAGCCTCCGTGTCTTCTCCCGGGCTTGCGCCTGGAGGTGCGGATGTACATGGTGCGGATGAGAAGGGCATCCGGCTCTGCCCTCCGAGAGTTGCGAGCATTCCCAGGTCACTGCATCACCTGGACCTCTTGACGATCGGCGGGACAACATTTGCCGTGCATATTCACGAAGACCGGATCCCTTGCGCGGACTGTTCGCCCCAGGCTAACGAGGAGGTCCCTCTGTTTCCATCCCCCAAAGGCGCAGGAAACGCTGCCGAATCCAAGAAACGCAAGCTCGATGCGGTAGCTGCTCCGGATATAGCGCCTCCCCGGCACCCACGCGCGGCGCTCGCAATGTTGAAACGAAGCCTGCTTTCTGCTACCACGTCATCGCCCGGATCGATGCCTGGGTCCTCAGCGCCGCAGTATGTTGACAGGAGCGCACGCAGACGCGCCCTATATCCCGACCATTCCCCAGCAACTACCCCAAATATTGAGCGTTCGCGATATTCGTCTCCGTCCATCGCAGCGCCCGCGGTGCCACCGCCTCCCACACCTGTCTCTGCCCCGTCCGCCCCACTTCCGGCTAGCAATATAGGCCACCGCCTCCTCATGAAGCAGGGCTGGCAGCCTGGCTCTGCCCTCGGGGACCCGTCGAGCGATAGCAGCGGCCTCCTGACGCCACTTGAACCGCCTTCGACCGTAGGGAGAGCTGGGCTCGGGGCTTCGGTCCGACCCTCGAGTTCAACGTCCGCTGCACAGGGCGAAGATTGGAGAGATGCTGGCAAGCAACGTCGTTGGGCGATGGCTCGCAGCTCCGATCATCCCCCATAACCCCCTTCAATTATGTCAACTGCGTTCACGTAGCGTGGGTGGGAGTGCTCGTTCGTAGTGAGTATTACAGTCGATATAATGAACGCCCCGTATCAGAGGTTCGTAGACTCACGGCAAGCTCAGGGGCACGCGCTTGACGAGATTGATGGGCACGTCACCGCCTACCGGAACTCAGATCGAGCGAAGCACACCGACTCCAGAGGCGGCCCGCCGCTTAATGCGGCGCCGCTGCGCCGTCGTCTAGCATCAACCCGCGATGGACGGTGTTACTCGGGAGTTGGAAGCCGAGACTCGTGGTGGAGACAGGCTGGCGGTATGGTGTTTCGTAGCGTCGGCTGGGCGTGCGTCCCTGCGAAAGATTCCCGACAAGGCCTGGAATTCGCCGGTTTGGGCTTGGAGGTCTCTTGTGCAGGAGCGCATTCTGGCGTGTGTGCATTGCTCATGGCAAAGACGTAGTATGGACGTATAATCGAATTTATCATTGATATGGACGTACGTGATTGGGGATCAAGGAAGGAATGATGGTGCGCAGAAGGTCGGGAAGAGGACAAGGACGGGCGCCTGTGGTGTTTGTGCGGGCGCTGGCGCGCGTTATTTGTGTGGCTTTGGCGGTCACGTGTTGGCGCGACACGGACGAGGTTGAAATCGCGAAACGAACGTCTTGTCCTTGCCTTGAACCAGGCTGACACCTCCGGTCACCCACAGCGACAGCCTCCTCCTCTCCCCGCACACCCCGTCGGGCCTTCCTTGCTCTCTCTTCGTCTTCGCCCACCTCCTCTCCGACCCTCTCTCGCTGTCGCTGTCGCCCGGCTCTTCCAACACACTTCACACCTACTCTTCAACGTAGATATATTCTTCACTCAAGATGGCCAGCAACCTGCGTGTAAGCCACTCGTCCTCGTCACACAAGCTTTACGGTTGGGCTGACACTTCCCGCGTGCCACGCAGTTTCCCATGCGAAACCGAACCGGCCCCCAACGTCCCCGCAATGCAGACGAGAACGCGATGAGCAAGCACGTCCGTCAAGCGTCCGGGGTTGCGCTCGCAGGAGCGTCCCGTGTCCCCATAGCGCACACCGTCAAGGGTGCCGTCCAACGACCCGTCCTCACTGAGGTGACCACGACTGCTGTCAACCGCACTGGCAAGGTTCGTCTCTTCCATCCTCTAAAATCACGTTACGGCCCCACCCTCCCCGTACCCGTGCCTGGCGATACGTCCATGCGCTGCTCGTGGATCGGTGTGGTCGAGGTGTTTCTCCCATCACTGGGATCGCCCATGACGAGTTTGATGTTGGGCGCTCCCTATGCCTAGCGAACGACGCGACTTGGGCGCTAAGACGCGTCGGATGCAGCTGTGTTGGTTTTGCGCGTGATCGCGACCTCTGCCACTTTCGTCATCCACGCTTGCTCAGTGCGGAGCAGTTGCCTCGTTGCTAGCGGACAATCGTTCTTGAATGCGAACCTCGGGCTCTATCCTGTTCAGCTGCCAGGCTTCCACAGTCCATGCACTCGACGACCCGCCATCGGGACTCTTCGGCTTTAGCCATCATGGTTGACCATCGTGCTTGCTCCTCTGGAGATGTCCAAAACCTGTACAACGTCGTTTCATGCATTGGCGCAACCTCACGATGACGAACACCGATGCTTACCTCGTATACTCTCTCGGATAGGATGGCAACAGCAAACTATCTGGCAAGGAGAAGGAGACTGTCGAGACGGGTCTCAAGCGTAGTCGCTCCGCGTCCCTCGCCGCTGCCACCGGGCCTCAACGAGTTCCTCTCGGTCCTGGCAAAGTCCCTGCCGCCGCCCCTCAACAAGTTCAATCACGCGTAGGATCATTGCGCGTCCACAGACCACACGTTCCTCTTCCTTCAGCTCGTCGTATTCCTGTTCCTCAAGAACCTCCAGTACAAGTTGTTGTTCCCGAGGTCCCTGTCATCAGCGAAGATGAGATGGAAATCGAGGACCACCACCACGTCGCCCACGTCATCGACCAGTACGCCGCGGACGAGGCAGAACTCACCGAGCTCAGTGATCGTGAAGAGGAGCTGCAGCACGATGACGACGGTGAGGTCAGCGAAGAGGAGGAACCCCTTGCGAAGCGACAGCGGATATGGCCCGACGTCAACACCGAGCGCGCTCAGCGGTATCGGCGTGAGGTCGAGGAGATTAAGGAGACCTTCCGCGACGAGGTCGACGAGTTCGACATGACGATGGTGTCTGAGTACGCGGAGGACATCTTTGAATACATGCAGGAGCTCGAGGTGCGCCGACTTACCGGTTTTTCTTGACCCATGCTGACCATCACCGCAGGAGGACGTCATGCCCAGTGCTGACTACATGACGGGTCAGACCGAGATTAACTGGCAGATGCGACAGACGTTGGTCGACTGGCTCCTCCAAGTTCACTTGCGCTACCACATGCTTCCTGAGACGCTCTGGATCGCCATCAACATTGTCGATCGTTTCCTCACAAAGCGCGTCGTTTCCCTCATGAAGCTCCAGCTTGTCGGCGTCACGGCGATGTTCATCGCGGCCAAGTACGAGGAGATTCTGGCGCCATCCGTCGAGGAGTTCGTCTTCATGACGGAGCGGGGATACTCGAAGGAGGAGATCCTGAAGGGCGAGCGGATCATGCTTCAGACGCTCGACTTCAAGGTCAGCCAATACTGCTCGCCATACAGCTGGATGCGCAAAATCAGCAAAGCGGACGACTACGACATCCAGACGCGTACGCTCAGCAAGTTCCTGACGGAGGTCACGCTTCTGGACTACCGCTTCTTGCGGGTGAAGCCCAGTATGGTCGCAGCGGTTGGGATGTACACGGCGAGGAAGATGCTAGGGGGCGACTGGGTACGTGGCTTTCATCCTCTGTTCATATATCGCACGCAACGCGGAGGGCACGCTGTCTCCACGGCGGTGGGCGCAGCTTTCCCTGCACGTTGCATGCACGTGATGATGAAGTATGACGTTTGACTGACTCGCCTTCTTACCTTTTAGAATGAGGCGTTTGTCTACTACTCCGGCTTTACGGAGGAGCACCTGCTTCCTGGTCACAAGTTGCTCGTCGACAAGCTTGCCGAGGATGACTTCGCGTCACAACACGTCTGCAAGAAGTACGCCACGAAGAAGTTCCTGAAGGCGTCGCTCTACGCGGTGGACTGGGCGCATCTGCACCTACATGAGACCATGGGCGAGGAGATGACGGTCGAGTAATCGACCCACTTCTCGCCTCGCACGTCATGGTCTCGTATGCATATGCCCATGTTGTATGCCGCCTTCGCCTGTGTCTACTGCTCCCCTGCCATCCAGTACCCCCTCCCCAGCATGTGGTCGTAATCTCCCTTGTCCATGCCTCCCCACCCCTGCACGCTACGCCGCCACCACGATCTAGCTCGATTTCTGGTCCCATCTCCGATCCACATTTCATTCGCCTCGTTTGCATCTCATCAACCCACACGTGTTTGATTATTATCACTATCATCACCCAGTCCACTGCCTACACGTCTGTCCGTCCCCTGGCATGTCATCGTTATGTTTGTCATTCAACTGCTTTTCTCGCTCTCGGTTCGAGTTCCCCTCCCCATCCACCAGCAAGGTCCCAGCCATGACGAACACGCGCGCGCTTATGCCAGGAGCCTATGTCGTGTGGCGAGCGTCCGGTCGCGACTGTCGCCGTCATGAACCTCGGTCCCCGTGTCCCTGAGCTAGGAACACGGCGGACTCTGCGGTTCACTCACGCTCGTTTGATCTCGGACCACATATGCCTCCTCCATGATAGCTTTGTCTATGCCTCCTGCCTGCCAGCTCACTCGAACGCCACCCCTTACATCTTGTACCATACCCTTCAATCAGCCTCTTCATCACTTCCTTCTGTTCCGCTGTCGATTTGTTACATCCTTCATCCCACCACTTTCCGGATGACGCCTTCGCTCGTCACTTACGGTCGTTCCATCCGTCTCTCCTTCCTCGCTCGTCTCATCCCCAACCTCTTTCCCGCGGTCGGCAGAAAAACACCCCACCCGGTCGCACTTGTGTTATTACTATCCGTATTCGTATTGCGCGCGCTTCCCCCCTCCGTTCTCGACTACACGCATTCTCGCATTCTACTTACCAGTACGCACGCCCCCTGCGCGCGCGCCCATGTGCATAAAAGCCGGGCGTCCGCGCGCGGGCGGGTTCTTTATCGTTGTTAAGCTTGACACCTACCTCTTCACCATCTCTCCCCTCTCCTCCTGCCCCTTTTCGGGTGGTCGCAGTCAGCTAGCTTATGCCGGGTATATACGTACGAGCTTGTACTGGTATATCTGCGCTGGGCGCGGCTAGTACTCACGACTTGGTGATATTTATAACGAGTATCTCATTGGCTCTCTCTCTCTCGTCTGGTGTGTCGCACTGGGGGCAAAGCGTCGTGTTTCCGTCGAGAACATGCCGAGGACATGGCGGGAACAAATCAAACTTTCGCGACATAGGATGTGGGTCAACACAGTTGCAAAACGAGACTCGCAATACAAATGTTGCGCGCTGTACATCATCTCGCCCCCCCCCCTAATTTCTGTAAGTTCAGTCATGCACATTCAATGTTTTATCCTGGAAAATGTAAAGCTATACGAAGGCCCGCTAGATAAGGAAGAGACAGATTTGCACATGCTGTCTCGCCTTGCATATCTGGTGGAGGAATAATATCCCTACTTGAAACATAGCATGAAAACATAGCGCAAACATATCGGACATATCGGTTATGTTCTACCCAGAAATATGGCGAAGTCATGACAAAAACTCTCTCAAACATTCTGCGTATGTTTATTCAATGTTCTCATTGATAACATGGCACCCCCTGCCGTGTTCTCGGCATGTTTTTGACGGAAACACGACGCTTTGCTTTCTGTGTCGGTCGACAGCTTTAACGTCTGAGATCGACACTTGAGCGTGAATGTGTGGGTCCGGTGTGTGAGCGGAATGCCGGTGCGCTCGTTGGGTGCCTCGGAGATGGCGAGAAGGGAGATGGAGGAGCGCCTATTGGCCAGACGCACACGGGATCGCGATGGGGGATTCACATGTGTTGGCGCCAAATCACCGGACGGGGTGCGTCACTGCGGGGGGGCTATTCCGGCGTCGGCCTCGATCAACGGTCTGCACCTTCCCCAGCGAGTGACACCACGTCCCCTCACGTCCCCCAGCCCAAACGGTCCTCGGCACACAGCGTCCCTTGAGCCCCGTACGTGTGATTTGGCGCGGGTGCAGTCCTTGCCTTATATCTCTCTGCCAGCCCCGCCCACTACCGCATCTTTCGCCGCCCCACAGCACCCACAGCACACGGTACACACAACACACGGCATATCAGAGATGGCTGCTGCAAAGGAACTGAAGAAGTTCACGCGCGAGGAAGTCGCCCTGGTGAGTTGCTGCGTGCATATATGCGCCCGTATGCTAACACACCGCTTGGCATTACAGCACAACACAGAAGAGAGCCTCGTGAGTGCCGTAGATTCACGACAGACGCGCCCAGAGCGCTCACACATGCACACGCGCAGTGGGTTATCATCGACGCCAGAGTCTTCGACGTGACGCGCTTCCGGAAGCTGCACCCCGGCGGCGCGAGCGTGTTCATGGACGAGGGCATCCGTACGTCCCCTTCCCTCTCCCTTCCGCCTTCCGCCCCCATGCGCGAAGGTTCAATTTGTCCTGGCAACTGACCGCGCTCCGATGCAGCCGGCCAGGACGCGACCGAGGCGTTCTTCGGGCTGCACCGCTTCGAGGTGCTCGAGAAGCCCCAGTACGCGCGCCTCCAGATCGGCGTCCTGCAGGACGAGGAGCCCCAGATCCGGGGCGGGATCGTGCCGGGGCAGATCAGCAAGGTTCCCTATGCCGAGCCGACGTGGCTCGCGGAGGGGTACAAGAGCCCGTACTACAAGGAGGTGCGTCTGGGTGTTTGTTTGGCGGGCCGTGGAATGCGCGGACCGGGTGCTGACGACGGCGTTTGCGGGGGACAGAGCCATCATAGGCTGCAGCAGGCGGTGCGCAAATTCGTGGACGAGGTGATATACCCAGACGCTCAGGTGCGTAGGAACAGCGCTCGGTTGCGATGTGTGCGGCGGTGCGCTCATACAGATGGTGCCCGGTAGGAACACGAAGCAGATGGCAAGCCGCCGTCGCAGAGTGTTTTCGACCAGATGGCGTGAGTTTTGCTCTCCGAACGCGGACAGTCTCGTATGATGTTGGATGTTGATGGCCCGGCGCTCCAGGGCTCTCAACCTCCATGCGATGCGTATGGGACCGGGAAAGCACCTCAAGGGTTTGACGTTGATGGGCGGAATTGTTACTCCTGAAGAGGTGAGCCGACCCGGTGTACCACAAGCTTTGAGAGCGCCCATTAAACGAACTTTATACAGTTTGACTACTTCCACGAGGTACGCGCCTCCTCCTGCGCTCGGGCTCCCCGGTTACTAACCCTGTGCCACAGCTGCTCGTCTCACAAGAAATCGCGCGATGCGGGGCGCGCGGGTACGGAGACGGACTGCTGTCGGGCTGCGTCATCGGCCTGCCCCCGGTGCTCAACTTCGGCAGCCCCGAGCTCAAGGCACGCATCGTGCCCCCCATCCTGAGTGGGAAGAAGTTCATCTGTCTCGCGGTTTCGGAGGCGTACGCGGGCAGCGATGTGTTCGGCCTCCAGACGACCGCGACGAAGACGGAGGACGGAAAGCACTGGATCATCACCGGCACGAAGAAGTGGATCACGAACGGAACGTGAGTAGTCGCGTCGTGCCATTCTGCATCTGTATTGGAACTCGTCGAGGCTGACCAATGTTTGGCAGGTTCGCGGACTAGTGAGTGATCCTTGTTGCCCGTAGCTTCTACCCGAGCCGTGTATTGACCGGCCGCGTCGCCCTTGTCCCTCAGTTTCACCGTAGGGTGCAAAACAGAGGTGAGCCCACGTTCTGCCCGCCAGCTCCTGCGGCTGGCTGACACGGTCGCGCGTAGGACGGTTTCACGGTCATCCTCGTCGAGCGCGGCGAGGGCGTCTCGACGAAGGCGATCAAGACGTCGTATTCGTCCTCCGCCGGCACGGCGTACGTCACGTTCGACCACGTCCTGGTGCCGGTCGAGAACACGCTCGGCGAGGAGGGCGGCGGCATCTTCGTGATGCTCAGCAACTTCAACCACGAGCGGTGGGTGATGTGCTGCATCAACGTGCGCGCGCAGCGGCTCGTCGTCGAGGAGTGCATGAAGTTAGTCCACACCCGTCGCTTCACTTCCCGCGGCGTAGGAGAGGCGCTGACCGTTGTGTTTCGTTGGGGTGTAGGTGGGTGAACCAGCGCAAGGCGTTCGGCAAGCCGCTGCACTCGCTCGCGGTCGTGCGCAGCAAGCTCGCGCTCATGATCTCGCGGGTGGAGAGCCAGCAGAGCTGGCTCGAGAACATCACGTACCAGATGTGCAACATGGTGCGTCTTCTCACCCGCTCTACGCCGCAGAGCCGCGCATCTCATGTGTTTGCAATGTGTAGTCGTACAAGGAGCAGGCGAGCAAGCTTGCGGGGCAGATCGCGTTCCTCAAGTCGCACATGACGCGCAGCGCACAGCACACCGCCGCGGACGCGGTGCAGATATTCGGCGGGCGCGGTATCACGCAGTCCGGCATGGGCAAGTTCATCGAACATGTGAGTATACGCTCTACCTGCGGTTGGCTGCGTGAACAGATTGCTGACATTAGTGCAGTATCACCGTACGGTCACCTTCGACGCGCTCCTTGGTGGAGGTGAGTGTTTCCATTCTCCCTACAGTAACCTAGTTGCTGACATTGTTTTTGCGTACAGCGGAGGACGTCCTCGCGGACCTCGGCGTCAGGCAAGCCACGACTCGCATGCCGTCGGACGTGCGGTTGTGAGCATCTCTCCCCATTTGCGTTGTACCGCTGCATCCTGCATCGCTACTTTTGCGTCGGTCCCTACCTGCCATTGCTATCCACTCGCTATTTATGTATCCTACCGTTGCTACTTTACTCTAGAGGGACCGCCGGTTTGCCCACGTATATATTCGCACATTCGTTGTTGCTACCGTATAATCGAGCGCTCGTTGTCGCTTATTCAGCCCGAGCTTTTTACTTTCTGCCATGACCCTTGCGCGCGCGTCGGCACCCGGTCCTCGATTCGGACTGTGATATCCGCATGTACCGCGACCTTGGCGTTCGACGATGTTGAGTTGACGAGACAGGAAGGAAGGTTTGCAAGCGGAGCACGGGACAGGCTTATACCATTCGCGTCCGCGATGACGGAGCACCCACCGTGACTGATTGGCTACTTCGCTGACAGACCGTCCCTAAAGCCTTCCCACCACAACCCCGGGCATGCGCACGTCCCTCTCTAGGACCACCATCCGAGCCATGTCGCACACAAGTCACCTCGCGAACGGCACTAGTACTGCGAACGGTACCAAGCCCTCCGCGAACTACACGCGCGTGCCCATCTCCGCGCTCCTGCTCCCCCCGCCCAGCCACTCGCTCACACACACGCTCACCCCGGACCCGCACACGCCCTCGCCCGCGGCGTGGCACGCGGTTCGCGGGACGCGCCCGAGCCTGCAGCGGCGCGCGCGGCTGCTCGCGCCGCCCGCGCACTTCGCGTACGTCGCGCCGTTCCCCGTGCCGTTCCCGTTCCGCGTGGAGTACCCGGACGAGGACGCGGACGGGGAGGCGCAGGTCGCGGCGGTCGAGCGCTGGCTTGTGGATAGGGAGGCTCTGCGGGAGGTGCCTAGTGCCCCGCTGCAAGGGGAGGGGAAGGAGAAGGAGGGGAGGAGGCTGCGGAAGTATGTGGCGGAGAAGAGGGATGAGGAGCGCGTGCTGATTGGGCTGGCGGAGACGGGGTGGAAGGACTGCGTTCCGCACCTCGACGTTGGCGATGCATTCGACCTTCTTGGGCTGCCTGCCTTGTCTGCAGCACGTACCGAGGATGCGACCCCAGCGACGAATGGGAATTCTGCGAAGTCGGGCGAGGCCGCGGTAGCAGCACGGCAGGAGCTCATTGACGTCCTCAGCGGGCACGCGCTTTTAGCTAACTGCGAAGGCGACGACCCGCAGACGCAGTGGGCGCCGTGGTCGGTGCGGTATAGCGGTCACCAGTTTGGCAACTGGGCGGGGCAGCTAGGGGACGGACGAGCGATATCTCTTCGTGCGTAACTTTCTCAGTATCCCAAATGGAAGCAGACCGCTAACACACACACTCTCGTACAGTGAGCACGCCGCACCCAGATGACCCCACAACCACATACGAATTGCAGCTGAAGGGTCCCGGCAGGACACCCTTCTCCAGGATGGCAGATGGACTTGCGGTTCTGCGCTCGTCCATCCGCGAGTTCCTCTGTTCAGAAGGTGCACACCCCTGTAATATGATTGTACGAGAGCTAACGACCTCGCAGCCATGCACGCGCTTTCCATCCCTACGACGCGCTCCCTCGCCCTCATCTCGCTCCCCAAGCTGCCTGTCGAGCGCGAGACTATGGAATACGCCTCTGTCCTCACGCGCGTCGCGCCCTCCTTCATCCGCATCGGCTCCTTCGAGGCGCTCAACCCGCCCGCGAACATGTTCTTTTTCGGCGGCGGGCAGCAGAAGGCGGACCTCGATGCGCTGCGTATACTGGGCGAGTGGGTCGCGCGCAAGGTGCTGAAACTCGAGGGCGTGCGGTGGCGCGGGGAGCCTGGTGTGGATGGCCCCGGGGACGCGTGGGGCAAGGAACTTGTGTACGAGGTCGCGCGCAGGAATGCGCGCATGGTCGCAGGATGGCAGGCATATGGGTTCATGCATGGCGTGATAAACACAGACAAGTGTGTTATGTCTGATTTGCTTCGCAATATCTGCTGACTTGTGGACTAGCGTTTCGATACTGGGTCTGACTATCGACTACGGTGAGGTCATATGGTGCGCCTACGGGATGCATTCGCTGACGCCTCGCAGGACCATACGCATTCATGGACGTATTCGATCCGCTTCACATCTGCAACCACAGCGATGACGGAGGTCGGTATGCATATAAGGTACGCATACTTTCAAATGTCTCCCTGATTCACATAACCAACCTCCCGGCGTTTATAGTTCCAGCCGTCCATGATGTGAGCGCAAGCCTAACCAACCGTCTACCGTCGCTGACCTCGCGCAGCATATACGCCCTCCGCTCCCTCCTGAACGCTCTGGCGCCCCTCATCGGCGCCGAGGACGCGCTCAACGGCAAAGCCGTCCTCCCTGGCTGGGCAAACGAAGCCTCCCCCGAGCAACTCAAAGCCTGGACCGATCGCGGTCTCGAACTCGCCAAAGACGAGATGGAGCGCATCGCAGAGGAGGCCTGTGCCATCGAGTACGGCCGGCACATGCACGCACGCCTCGCGCTACGGCGGTTCGACGCGGACGACGAGTCGCGCTTCGCCCGCCCGCTGCTCGACCTCCTGCGCGACCACGGGCTCGACTTCCACGGGTCGTTCCGCCTGTTGACGCGGTTCCGCCCTGTAGTCGTGAGAGATGAGGCGGCGCTGGAGGCGTTCGTCGGTAGCTTGCTGGAGCTGTGCCCGGAGCCGGAGAGGTTGGACAGGGAGCGTGCGAGGAGCGACTGGAAGACCTGGTTAGAGAAGTACGCCGCCAGGATCGAGAGTGAGCGCAATCTCTGGGAAGGAGCGACGGACGCGGATGTGGACGCGCAGAGAGAAGCTGCCGCGAAGGCAGCGAACCCACGCTTCGTGCTGAGACAGTGGCTGCTGGAGGAGGTCATCAAGAAGGTCGAAACGGATGCGGAAGGCGGGAAGCGTGTCCTCCGGAAAGTCCTGCATGTAAGTAAGCTGATGCGCGGACGTAGACGTACTCACTGACGCTATTTGGATAGATGGCCTGCAACCCCTTCGAGCCGTGGGGCGCGGAAGGTAGCGATGGCGATGAAAGCTTGCTGGATGCAGAAGTCAAGGAAGAGCGGAGATACTGTGGCATGGGTGAGCGGAAGCTGCTTGGCTTCCAGTGCAGCTGTTCCAGTTAGATGCGAAGTAGTTCACGCCGATGATGCACTGCCCTTCTGGCACACCCGTGGAACTATCCACTCGCTCTTGCATGAATATTGTGTATTCGAAAGTCCTGGTACCACGCGTCCCCGCACGCGCGCAGCGTACAATACATTGGCATTCCATTCCGCCTGGTGACATACATCCCCCTGGGAGGTCTAGCCGCACTAATTCTAGCAGCGTGAAACTTAGGTCGCGCTGCCGAAGATCTGGTACCGTCTGCAGATGCTCGGGCCGATCTCGTCGTATTGCGCTTTCGTGTGGCAGGACGTGTAGAACTCGGGCTGTGAGGGCGTTGAGCACATAAGAAGGGGCGCGTTGCGACATCCAAGCTCACCAGGGACGCAAGCAGCGAACCACCGAACCACACCGCATAACTAGAGCATTAGAGGTGAGCAAGCGAACGGGAACGAGCACGACGGACGGGGACCCACCGTTGGCGCTTGTGAGAAATGACGTCGACTTCGATTCCGGACGACTGATTGGCATGTCAGCTTCGAAGCACGGCCACATATTTGGAGACGACGAGCGTACCTTGTGTGTGCCACCGCTCGCGGCAGAGCTTGCATCCAGACGACGGTCAACCATTTGCTTCAGATCGCGCTTGAGGCGTTGGCCGAAGTGCTGGAACATCGTGGAGCCACCGGAGAGCACGATGTTCTGTACTCACCGATACAGAGTCAACGATGTTCAGGAAAGCGACGTGTACAGTGACGCACCTTGTAGAGACCTCGACGGACGTCGATAGGCGACTGCTGGATCACGGTGTCCACGATCTCAGGCAGGGGCGTCAGGAAGTCAGAGGAGTAAATCTCGGGGTTGAAGAAGATCTCCGGTGCGAGGAACCGCTCGTAACCGACGTCGAGGTCGTATTTCTATGGTATATGAGTATGTCATTGACGCACAACAGAGTAACCAGACGCACCCGGCCGGTCGCAGCATGCTCGCCCTCGTACCGCGCGAAGAACTTGTACGGCTCCTGGTCGTACTTCCTAAACTCCTTCACAATATCCTGGCACACATAGCTGTACTGCTCCTTGATCTTCCCCGCGACCTTCAAATGATCCTCAGGCGGGACGCCCGCGAGCTCGCCGCGCTCGCGCAGCAAGTTCAGCACGAACTGCGAGATGTCGCGCCCGGCGATGGGGATGTGCTTGATCGCGCTCCCGATCACGTAGCCCTCCGCGCAGGGGATGACGTGCGTGACGCCGTCGCCGCTGTCGATGACCGTGCCCGTCAGCGTGCGGTCCGTGACGCGGTTCGAGGACCACGACGCGGCGAGCGCGAGCACGGCCTGCACGGCGATGTACAGGCCCTTGATGTTGAACGACTCGAAGAAGATCTCCGCTGTTTGTTCGCGGTTCTCTGGGGGGTTCAGCGGGGGCTCGGTCTGTGCGTATCATGTGTGCGATCAGAGGGGCGCGAGGGGGCGCAGGATGCGATGGTAGCGTACGCACCAGGAGGAAGTAGTGGTCCTCGGGCTCTGCACGGAGGTACTTGAAGATCGTCTGCTCCCAGTACCGCTCCATGTGGTCCCAGTTCTCGATCTGGCCGTGGCGGATAGGGTAGTTGATGCCATAGCCGGGGGTCTGCGCGTTGGCGATCGCCTCGTCGCCGATGAAGAAGTCGAGGTCCTCGACGCCGCGCTTGGAGGCGAGGTTGCCGGGCTTCGAGGGCACTGCGGGTCCACGACTCGGTTGCGCGGCGGGCCCGCGCGTGGCTATTGCGGTGGGGAAGACACTGGGCGTTATGTGAGTGGTGTATTGGGATGAGGCACGGATGTGCACTCACAAGGATGGGTCCGAGTTCCCAGCGAACCTGAAAGTATGGTGAGCGCAACATCCCACGCACGTTCATACCGTACGCACCCGACTTTCGAGAAGCCCGTGCCGTTGTCGCAGATGATGGGGGCGAGGAGAGCCATCGTCGTAGTAGCATACAGAGAGTACTCGACCGCGCACCCGGAGTCTGCTCAGTGCATTGCTGGGCAGATGCTGCGGAAACTTAGCTAGGCGCTGGGATCTCCAGTCATCGGTTCGATGGCGTAGTTGGTTATCGCATCTGTCTAACACACAGAAGGTCCTCAGTTCGAGCCTGGGTCGAATCACTTTTTGCCCTTTTCTCTTGGTCATACAAGACAGCCAGAGTATCCCATTTGCCCCAGAATAGACCGCAGGTATAGGCTCAGATAGATACATGACACAGCGAACATGGACAGGGCGGACATAAAAACAAATGGGGCACGGTCGAGAGCGAAGCATCACAAACTCTGGCTGGTCCCGATCCCCACTCCAATCCCGCTGGTCCGCTGCTTAGCCTACGGGTATGGGGCAATGAGCTACAATCCATCATGTCATAGAGTTCCCCCCGCAGGCGCGTACGTACCTGTTCGACCAGCTCGGCCTCGACTTCAGGCAGCGTCTCGAGCGACTCGTCGTTCCACGTCGAGACCGTCCACCTGTTCGGCAGGTTCTCGATGCACAGACAGAGGTCCTCGGGGATGTACTGCCCATGCTCCGCCTGGAAGTCGGATCGCAGCACGCGTTCCTCTGCGCCCAGTGCACACTTTCAGCGCCTAGCACGCCACGGAAAGGAAGAGCGTGGGGAGGGACTGACCTGCGACCATGGCGTCGAGCTCGGCGATGGTGTTGGCGACGACGCGCTGCGCGGCCTCGCGGTACTGCCGCCGGCGCGCGAGCTCGAGCACGAGCTTGTTGTATGCGTATTGGTAGGATGTGTATTTGTGGTGCAGCTCCTCGATTGGGTGCAGCTGTAGGTGTAGGTGCGCGAGGTGGTCCAAGCTCTCCGCCTGTCGTTGCATTAGGAATAGATTATCAGGGTAGTGAGGTATTTGTGGACGCACCTCGACATGTTGCTGCCGCTCGAGCATGTCAGTCATGATATCCCCGAGCTCGTCGAGATCGGTGAGTATGCGTCGGTGGGTGTCTAGGTGCTCCTGAGCGGCGGCCTTGGCAGCCAGTAACTGGTCGCTAGTGTCGGTATGAGGGACAATCCTGAACTAGAGGATATGTGTACTAACCGGTAAGCTTCGATAGAATGAACGCCTTCTTCGAGCTGCATCACAATTCCCGGTAATGTATCCGCGTCTATGTTCATGCCTGTTGCGAAGCGTCAGAAGTGATATACAGTGACGGCACACAGTTCATACCCTCCATGTCCTCGTCATGGAACTCTTCTCCCGCTTCGTAGTCGTGCATGGCGTTCGACATGTTGTCGTAGTGATGCGCCAGAGACTCGAGGTGTTCTGCCATCTTCGTGGACGTCTCCTCCTGCGAGGCAAATATGGTGTCGAACGAGGGAAGCACGACTTCCGCAGGAACCAGGTTCTTGATATTGTCAATAGTCGTCGCCAGGGACTCTGGATAGTCGCTGGTTTGGGCAAGTATATCCTGGTGACCTCCCAGTAGGTCATTTAGACAAGTAGCATTCTGATTAAGGAAATGACCTACATCAAGCTCCTGCCTGTCCCGCTCTATGGTATCCAACAGGTCCTCAATAGCGCGCTCGTCCACAAAGTCCCGCAGCGTCTTCCACCGTCGCTTGTCCATCCGCCTGCTCTTCTTCTCCTGTATCCGCGCGAGCGGCGACCGGTTCCGTATCGTGTCCGTCGGACTCTGCCGTGGATTTGAATTAGACTGCGGAAGGCCGAACGGCGTCGTCTCGTCCCCGTCCTCGTCCTCGGACGGGTTCTGGCTCCCGAACGGAGAGGAGTCGGCGGAGACGGTGTGGAAGTCGGGTGGCACAGACTGCGTGCCGAGGGACTCGAGCACGGCGTCCAGCGCGTCGCTTCGCTGGTTGCGGAGCGTGTCCCATTCCTATGGAGATGGGTAGGGTGTAGGTGGCGCGAACGCGGACGCGTAAGGGGATGGAGGGCGTACCTGCACTTGGCCCTCGAGTTCTGAGCGTTTCTGCTCAATGTTCTTCGCGACTTGGGCCGCAAGCTAATCGCAGACCGTCGCATGGTTCACCAATGCTCAACAAACCTCTATAAAACACGCTCACCTTGAGCTGGTCTAACACTGCTTCAGACATCCAGCGTACTTGCGCATCGAGAGCGAGTACGTCCACAGCTATCTGAGCCGACGCAGACGACAGGGAATGGGCATTTGTGCATAGCTGTTCGCCCTGCTGTAGTGCCTTCTTGGCTTGAAGCACGAGAGAGACAATATGCGGCTGGTCCGGCGGAGTGCCCGCGGATGGAGACGGCGCCTTGGATTCGGAGATCATGAGAGCCCGCTCTGGTAGCGGCGGCGGTTGTTACGCTCGCGTTTCCGACAGGGAGTAGATATGGCTAGGAAGTCTAGACAGATAACACCCTGCAGGGCGAGCCTGAGCAGTACTTTGGTTGCCGAGACGAGAGTCGTGGGCGAGAGGAGAGAGGCATGCACACCGCTGAGAACGTAAACCGAGTACCAGTCCGGGTTCTTCGGCCCGATCAGACGCGTTCATGTGCAGTAGAGTCACTGTTCGTCACGCGCCGGTCCGGTCACTGTCGCGTGTCGTCATAGCTGGAGAGAGCTGCGAGGAGTCTTCCTGTCCACAGCCGCAACGTCTCGACGTCTACTTATGCACACACTTCTTCGTCTCTTGTCACCATAGCTTATATTCCTTTTGAATGCTCGCATCCGTACTGGCCGTGAAGAAAACCCCATACAAGCTTGCATGGAAGTCTTTCAAGTTGGGAGTCGGACAGCGAATCCGTCGACACCCTAGCAACTCTCTAGCCTTCGAAAGAGGTATGTCCCAAGAAACAAGACCCGATGATTACAAAGAGGTGTGTTTGACCGTCCTCGATCGAAGTTGCTCATCAATTAACGTCTGCATAGCGGGATATCGTTACGCCTCAGCGTACCCCGGGGAGCTCTGAGCACAGCCCAACAGACTCCCAAGCACGCTCTGAGGCTCCCAAGAAACGAGCGATGACGCTCGCGGAAAGAGATGCTGCGCTCCTGAACAGTCTGAAGGAGCATGAGGGGTCGCTCGCTAATGCGGAGTTCGAGGATGGTCAGGTATCGGAGGGCTACCGTCGCAATGTGGTACGTTATAGCCCTCACGTCCGGGCTGAGGGAAAGGTGGATAGGTCCAGAGCTGATGCGTACACTGACAGAAAGCCAACATATTTCGTTACATATGACATAATCCATAGGCGTGGATCTAGTATGGGTAAAAGAGAAGGTCCGGAACACGAGCAACTCCTTCGCAGAACTGTTGCCGGTATGTTGCCGGCTGTATCTGAGCGTCCTAGTAGCTCCGTACGTCGTACTCATGCCAGCTCGTGAGCCGTGGAGGTGCGTTTATATGTTCCAGTGTCACGTATAATCCTATGAGCAGCGCGCAGACGAGGTCCGCCATCATGCATTGCATGTATTCTACTATTCATGGAACCTGTAGATATAAGGTCGTGGTATGTATTAGTATGTTTGTACAAGCCAAAACAATACGTCTATCAAGGGATGGTGTATGTTAACGAGCGGTATGGTGAATAAATAGGGACCCAGCATATATATAAACACAACCTAATCCCTTCTCTCCTGGCGCTGAGTTGCCTGAGTCCAACCGTCTGCCCGGAACTCTCGCGGGGCCTCAGAAACTTGCAAGCCTTGGGCTACTGGGAGGTACTGCCATTCCACATTCCGCGCGAGAGGCCCGACGATGATAGGGCACCCGTAGTTTCGCATGGCATCGGCCTCGGCTCGCGTGGGATAGGACACCGTGTTCGGATCCGATCCATAGGTCTCCCACATATTGTACGGCTGCGTAGCCACCACGCCTGTCCGTGTCGGCTCTCGTGTGCGCGAAGGATCTGTATTGGCTGGCGGAAGGAGGGGAGGGAGCTCGAACATCTGGGCTTGATTTTCCGAGTCGGACGGGGTGGATGGGCCAGCAGAAGGCAGCGCGCGTCCGCTCTTCGGAGCCGGCTTGTACCGTCTCGACCCGACCTCCCCCGGTGCTCGCGACATGGGGACGCCCGGAAATCGTAGGGCAACAAGTTCCCCAAGTCGCATGAGCGGCGCAGCCCCCGGCGCGACCTGTTGCCTTATAAACGCACGTCTGACACGCGCGTGCGGGTCCTCGTTCTTGACCACGTACTCTACCTCGCGCCCCGAGCGCGTCCGCTCCCCGGCGATCCACCCCCGGATCCCGAGGGGTACGCTCATGGGGTCCGGCCTCTGGTGCGGGGAGTCTGTGAGGACGATGGACGAGGCGTAGAGGAAGTGGAGGTGGACGCGCACGCCGACCTCCATGAGGCACGGCGGGGCAGCTGTGAGCGCGTATAGGGCCGTGTCCGATGTCGATGGGGCGGGATGATCTGTTGAGAAGAGCGGGGTGACGTAGAGCGGTGTGTACATTAGGGAGACGAGTTCGTGGTTGTGTTCGGAATGCGCCATGATAGCCTGCGTGGATGCGTAACTGAGGACTGCCGAAGGAAGGGGATGTTGCAAGACTGGGCTGTCCTGCAGGGTTTGTTTAAAAGAGGGAAAGTGTAGATATGGTGGACTTTACGATTACTAGCTTATAAACGTCTTGGTTCTGACAGGGTGGTGGGAGGCTGAGGAAGGGGCGAGTCGCATCCATGGCATGCCGGCACCGTTGTCGGGTAGGACAGATAATACGTACCCTGCCGGCAGCCATCATACAATATACAATGATGTCAGTTCACGCGGAGGCGCGTGTATAAGACCTCTCCCAGTGGACTCTTTCGCCTAATGTGCGTTGGAGTCGCGACCAGTTCAGTGACTTGGCGGGTATTCACTCGTAGTTGAAATTCAATACTGTACACAGAAAGCTAAGTGCAGATACAGGTGTTATGTTGCTAACCAAGCGAGAGTCGTCCATGGGCGGATGGTGTCCAACCTGGATCACAAGATGGTTTGGCCATGGTCCTCGCCGAGCTCCGCCGCTCGAGACCACTCGTCTTGAACAACCACCTCCGTCAGCATTTGTAGACCCACCTCCGCAGAATAAGGTGACTCACCAGCTTCGGGATCGCACACCCACAGCCGTACCACCGTCGGGTCATGGTCGCTCGCCCGCGAACCAATGGTCTCCGCCCAAGTGTTAACATGCACATGCTCCACCTCCACGCCAGAGCCTGCACCGGAAAGTACGCCTCCGCGCCGCTGCGCGATCGCCTCTGAGACAAAGACGTGGTCGATCTCCTGCGCGTTCTGGTCGTACGCGTACGTGTAGCGCTCGGCTGGGGGCACGCCTGCTACCTCGTTCGCGTCGTGCAGCACCGCAGACAGCGGGCGGAGGACGGCGCGAGTGGCGAGGTACTCGTTCATGTCGCCCGCGACGATGACGCTCGCGTTCGGGTCCAGGTCGAGCAGCGAGCGCACGAACGTCTTGGAGAAGCGCATACACTCCACATCAGAGACGCACTTGTGGAGGGACGAAGGGTAGGGTGCTTACGGCAGTGACGTTGACCTGGCTGAGACGACGTTCGGCGTGGCCGTTCACGGGCGGGCGGGCGTCGCCCTGCGCAGACGAGCTATCGCGTTTGGAGCTCAGATGCACGTTGACAGTGTAGAAACGCTCGCCGGAGGTGGTCTGCCACGCCGCCGCTAGCGGCTTCCGCGTCTCCTCCCATGCAGAATGAAGCGGGTCGATGCGCCCAGGGTTGTAGCTACACCGTTGGCACGTTTATCAGTATGCTCTTCATGCGTCGTGCCAGAGGGACTGAACCTGAGCTCCACATTGCCGTCTACGTCTGCTACTGGATTGGTGGAAAGCGTTGCATTCCCCCGAACGCCGGGGGCCAGAGATACGCGCTCTGGGCGCCACCTGTTACAGAAATCTAGCTTCGCTCATCGTTGCGTGTGGAGAAAACACTGACAAGTATGCGACGCGAATGTTTCCACCCGGTGCACCACCGTCCTTGTTGTCCTGGGGATCGATGTTCACGAAGTGGTACTTCACACCGCTGGCTTTCTCGATCGCGTCGGCGAGCGCCTTAAGCGTCTTGTTCGCGCTCACGATGCCGTTGTTGCGCGGCCCAGAGTCATCCTGAATCTCTTGCACAAACACGATGTCGGGAGTGTGAAGGTAGTCCGCTATGTGCTCGGAGATGCGGGGGATGTGACGTGAACGCGGGGACATGTTCTCAACCTATGTGACAAGGTCCCTCTCAGAACGTCCGGTGTAGTGTGGTCAGCAGAGAAGAACTCGTACGTTGTAGTCACCGATGCGGAGTTGACAGACGTGCGTGCTCGAGTTGAGTGTTGACGGTGAAACCTCCGTAGAAGGAGCCGCGAGCACCTCAGGCGCGGCAAGGGGCATAACGTAGTAGGCCCCAAACTGCGTGGCACGTATCATTGTGAGTGAATATAGCCCTACAACCACGCTGATTGGCATACCTGGTAAGTCACAACACCGGTGATGTTGGCCAGCTTCATGCCCATCATAGTCTTGGGGTTGCGGCTCCCGTCAAGAGGACGTCCGATGAGTATGGCTTCTGAGTGCGCTGGTGGAACGCCGTCTTCCAACACCGCACATACATCAGCAAGGCAAAGCATGGTCTCGACAGTTGAACATACGCGTATCGGTATGTATGGTGAGGCCGCCCCGCTGGTTCTGTCCCGTCACGGGCCAGTCGCCGTACACCCACACGGAGCCAAATCTATCCGGGAAGTTCGCGGCAGTGGGAGATGGCACGGTGACAAGTTGACCCTCCAGGCTTTCCCAGAAGTCCAAGCCGAACTCATCCGGACGCAAAGTCGCGTTGACAGATTCGAGCAGAGTGATGTTGTTGGGGAATGAGAGCCATCCGTCAGAGCCTGTATCGAGCGAGGAGAACTGGTTCCGTGGAGGCGTTCGGTCGACACCGAGAACAAGAGGTGCGATCGCATGGCCTGTCGAAAGAGTCTTCACCGAAGAGAGTTGGTCGAGCTCCGTGAGGAACAGGTCGTTGTCTCTTGAGCGATATTCGGTGACTCGCCCAGCCACGGAGACAAGGTCTCCGACTTGAGTGAGCTTGGATGCAAGGTTTCCAAACAGACGAAGACCAGTCGAGATTCGCTCGTCATCTACACTCTCCCCTTGGATCCACGCGCCGTACCTATCCTGCTCACCGAAGTGAGGCCTCGATACTGGGGACTCGGCGCTCAATGCGTACCTTCGCAGTCACGACTCCAGTTACTTCCACGTACTGCCCGGAGAACGGAGATTGGAAGGAGGGTCCTTGTATGTCCGTAATCCTCACTGCAAGCGTTTCTTGCGCATAGACATGTCCGGCAAGTAGACAGAGGGGTGATATGCTAAGAGCAGTGAGCTTCATAGTAGCGGCAGTATGGGATCAGGCGCGAAGCTGCGTTCGCCGAGTCTTCAGGCTGTAGCCGTGAAGCGTTTGCAGGTCGTGGGTGTGGGGGTATCACAGAGACGAGGAGTATATGGAGACTCGAGACAAGAACCGTTTCCTAGGGCAACCGCACGCAGGCAGCTAGACAAAGGCGGGTCGGTGGCTGCAACGCCTTGAGCGGGAGAAAGGAAGCCGCGTATGGCAGCGATCACTGCACCCCGATCGCATCGTGGCACCGCCACCAGATTCTCAGCTCGACTCCCAAGTTCGGCCGTCCGCCTGCGGAGCTTTGTCAGTCGTCACCCACCATCTCTTCCCATGCCGCCCAGACCATCTGCTGCTCTGCTGTGTCTTGCATGTTCAGCTTCGTTGCCTCCTCACAAGGTTGACTCGAAGATCTACTTGACCCAGTGTTGTGCACGACCGATCTGTCCGCATTGTCTCTCCACGAACCCGCGTCTGGCCAGATACAATCCGTGCCTTCGATGTCTGGCGGGTGTCAACGCTGTCAAGACTAGGCCGTCTGCAGCCAGCTCAAGTCAGCGCCATGGCGATAATGCGGCCACGAGAACGAACATAGACGGTTCCGTACGGGACGAAGACATATTTGTAGTAGAGGACGAAGACGAATCCGAGTCGGATACAGATAGTCCTACAGATGAGGGGCAACGGAGCGTCTCCGAAAATTCTTCAGTCGACACCGAAACTGCGCAATACGATGGCAGGAGAAGTTCTCCTGTATCACCCTCCGGGCAGGGTGTTGCTGGAGCAGCATCCCGCCGAGAAACTGAGGAGGCAGCCGACCTACATCACGGCGCGGTTACTCAGCAGGCCCCCACAACTTCCTCCGGGATGCCACCGAAGTACTACATTCGCCCGGATGATACCCTCATAGGCATATCACTCAAGCTTAAAGTAGATGTATGTCACGCATCCATCTCGTGAAATGTTCGGGGAACTAACCCTGAGCACTTAGGCCCGTCTCCTGTGTCGCATAAACAACCTACCTGCCAGTACCCTCCGCACTACCCCTCACCTCCTTCACACTCGCAGTTTTCTTACTCTCCCGCCCTCCGCACGCGCACCACCGCCCTTATCCCCAGCCGAGCTTGCAGCAGACGAAGAGCGTCAGGCCAGACTCGCTCGTGAGCGCGCGGAGACACGCTTCCAGGCGATGACGAAGGAGACTGACAGGGGCGTGGCGAAAGCCTACGTTGCTCTCGCAGGACTGCCGGATGAGGCCGGCGAGATCAAGCAGTATGAGAAGGAGAACGGGCTCCGGAAGAGGAGAGTGACGTCTAGTGAGGACGACGGCGCCGGGGGATATCTAGAGGGTCGGGCGATGGACCGCTACTTTGACGACGAAGAGTGGGAGGCGGGCGAACGAGCCGAAGGACGCAACGCCGCCCTCCCTCCGTTTCCGTACGTCGCAGCGGGAGAGTCGAGTCGGGCTGCCGGAAAGGTGTCTGCAGAGAAGTCTTGGTGGCGGTGGAAGAACTAGTTTGTCTCATATGTCATCATAGCCCAGACGTTCGCCCATTCTCACATGATTGTACAGTAGATGTTGTCACAGTAAGATACCAAGCTCAAACATGTGCTACATATATAGCGTCCGTCCAAATCGCCCGTCTATTCACAGTCCGCGCGTGAGGTATTTCGTTAAGCACTCGATCGCCGCCCTCTTGATGTCCTCGTTGTCCGGCCCATTTTTCAAGATCTCCGTCGCGAACGTCACTTTTTCCATAGAAATCTCCGCTCCCTTCTCCTTATCATCCGACGAGCCGGTATGCTGTAGCCGCTGTGCGGCCTCCGCCCGCATCAGCTCCGTTCGCGCCCGGCTCTCCTCGGCCTGCTGCTGGATGAGCTCCTTCAGCGAAGAGCATACCCCAAGAAGGGATCCGGTGACGGCGCTGAGCTGGTTGAAGGCTTGAGCCACCTGGGGATTATGCTCGGGATGTGGCATTGGCCGGGGAATGTCGCTTAGTGTGCGTGAAAATTCCACGGTATGTGAACGAGCAGGGCTTTGTGCAGGAGCGGGAGGGAGCGACGCGCGGGGTGCACTAGATTGTGAGGAACGTAGGTATGTTGAGGATGGTGGGGGAAAGGAAGCGCTCGGTCCTAGCGGGCGGTACTCTGACGGCTGTGGCAGCGACGACGAGTACCCGTACGAGTCGGTCTGAAGGGGTGTCGGCAGTTGAAGAGGCTCGGGAGAAGCGGCCTGTGTCGAGGCGCCATTCTCTGTACCGTGAGGGGGCGCGGTTTGCGCTAGAATGTGGGGGTCGATATTCGCGTGCGCATTCAGACCCATCATAGGGTGCACTGGCGGGGCGGTCGACGAACTTGCTTCTGAGGGTTCGGTGGGTCCGTAGAATGGGACGGGTAAACCTGTCTTTGGGTCCTCGCGGTACCTGAAAGTGGGGAACATCAGAACGGTTCCCGCTACAAGGTTTGAGGGGGCCGATGACACACCTTTTCCTGAACAACTCGTACCAACCGGTCTCATACCACCGATCGATGACCTTCACATTTAGGGTACCGACGTTCAAGCCTGCGACTCGCGCAGCGTCCAGTACCGAATCAACAGAAGGTTGCTGTGCGTTCGGGTTCTCCGCCTGCATCTGGCGAAAGTGGTTCGCAGAAAACATCTGGAACGCGTGGACCTGCTTGAAGACCTCCAGATTACGGTGGAAGCAGCTTTTCAGTGCTGTGTACGACTTCCTTCCCGGGAAGAGCTCGCTCGAACACTGCGCGCCAACGTGCGTCAGCGTATGCCAGTACGGTTCATACAGACCCCGAACGGACCTCGCGAAATACCGTATTCATGCGCGTGCGGAACGCGTCCCAGTGGTCGTCGCTAGTCAACATCCACGTGAAGAACTTCGTCTTCTCGCCTTCTGTCCAGTGCTTAGGCCCGCCGTTCGGACCCACATCCAAGTCGTGCATATCCCCGTCGCCGTCAAGGTCGCCCCCATTCGGCACGCGCTGGCGGCGTTTCCTCAAGCTCCCTTCGCTCATGCCAGAGTCCGGCTGCTTTCGTTTCCCAAAGATGTCCGCGCCACCGTTCATCGCAGAGGACGGCGGGGAGCCCTCCTCCTCTTCCTCCGGTACCCCCGCCTCCTGCGCTGACGACGGGTCCTCCGCGTACATCAGCTCGCCGCCCGGCGGCGGCGGGCCCTGCACGAACGGCATGACATGGTGGTGCGTGTACCCGTCGGGGCCAGCGGAGAGCCTGAACCTGTGCACGGAGACGTACGGGCCCGCGTTGGGGTCGGACTGCAAGACCGCGCCCGTCAGTCCGTCTCGCGCCACAGGCAGCTTGGGAGCTGCCTGGAATTTGGATCGCGGCGTACCTGAACCGTGTGGTTTGCGGGCGGTTGGCTCATCAATTGCATCGTGGGCGAATGCGCGTGGTTCACGTTTGGGTCGGTCCCCACTTGTGTGTTGGACGACGATGGGCCGACGTGATTCATCGCGCTGTATCGTGCGTTTACATTGTATTGAGGCTCGCATCAAATTCTTTTAGGCCGTAGATGGAGGACAAAACATACCTTAATGAGGACATCGGGGAGTACTTGCGATGTGGTTGCGAGAAGAGCGCCGAACCGGTTCGAATCCGAAAAGCACCGGCGCTTGCAAGGGGCGCCTCCAACGCTCGCACGCCCAAACAGGAGTTCCGAGTCAGATGCTTAAGCTGCCCCTAGGCATTGAATAATATCACTTATTACCACCATGGACACGCCCCAGCGTACACAACAGGCTACAGATGAGGATATAGAGTCACAAGGCTCGATGCCATATACAATCCCGGATTCAGGGAAACTGAAGCCTAGCGACTAAGTACACCAGCAGTACATCAAGGATCATTTAGGGACAGCGAACGCGGAGGTGAATAAACAATCGGAAGCGTGGCCACGGACAAGTCCAAGATATCCCAGAAGGAAAGAGGGAGTGTTACGTGTAGCAAGAGCATAAGCAGGTTTTGTGGAGGAGGGGGGGGAGGCGGTCTGGCATTCAAAATCCACTCCGAGGGCAACTGAAGAGAAAGCGCCGACACCGTCCGTTCATGACCGCGAATCTCGTCGGTTTCCTGATCCGTTGGTCTGGTACATGTATTGGTGGTGGGTGGGCGGCTGGCCGTGCGACGATGGCGGTCGCGGTGCTGTCGACGCGGCCGCAGCGGCAGCCCCGTAAGAGGTAGTCTGTGTGGGTCGTGGCCGGTAGTAGCTGTTGTTCCGGGAGTCGGTCGTCGCGTTCGCCATCACAGGCGAGGGGGTATTGACAGCGACAGTGGGCATCGGCCATGGTAGTGACGAAGTCGACGGCGTAGTAGCGGTTGTACTACGAGCGGGGGTGATCACGCTGGTACCTGGCGTGGCGGAAGAAGGTGGTCGTTGCGGCTGCATGGCCGGGGATGCATTGATGGAGGTCGGCGTAGAGGTTATAGGGCTGCGTGTAGGCGACACGATACTAGAAGGATTCGGCGGCGGCGGAGGCTGCTGGTGTTGGTGCTGGTGTACATGATGTTGCTGTTGTTGCTGCTGGGGCTGCTGCTGCTGTTGCTGAGGCTGCGACTGGAGCTGCTGCTGTGGTTGAGGTGCATGAGACTGCGGTGGGTGCGACTGTGGTTGATGTCGCTGCTGCTGTTGCGCAGGGGGCGGTGGTGGGGGTGGTCCTGCGGCCTCCGACGCCGGCTCAGCTTCTCGACGACGCTTCGTACCGCGCGTGGTGCTTTCCTTCAGCCCCAATGAAGTGGCTTTCAGAAGGATTTGATGCCTGCGCGAGCAGTCAGACGGCATACGCGGAGAGGAGGGCACACGCAAGCTCGCACCTGGTTCTGCTGTTGCCCCACTGGGTGATCACCCAATCCCACTCAATCTCGCCCTTGTTCTGGGCGCCACCCATCTCCTTACTCTGCTCCGCTAGGCGCTTCAGCCGGTCTGTCTCTTCTTCGGACCATGTACCCTGATGGCCGCCCGGGGCCGTGTTGCCGGTGGCAGCACTGAATGTTGATATTGTGCCAGTGTTCGAGGGCACAGGCGCGGATGGGGTAGGCGGCGTCACTTGAGCGACCGGTTGAGATGTCGCTGGGGGCGGCGGGGACGACTGCGCTGGCGGAGCGCTCGCAGAAGCTGCTGGCTGGGCCGGCGGCGGGTAATAGGGCGCAGCACCCTGCGGGGGAGGGTAGTAATAAGGTGTGGTGGGATAGCGCGAACCGGGTGGAGCGGTGTATACGGGCGCGTAGTACGGCTGAGAAGGCGGTGGCATGGCAGACGAGTTGAGTGGCATCACAAACGTCTGAGGGTTCGTGATCACAGCACTGGGAGGCTGAGCGGAACTACTAGCTGGCGCCTGGGTCTGGGGAGGCGGCATAGTGTAGGCGGGATATGCTGGCGGAACAGGTTGCCCTACCAGTTGGCTGGGATTTGCGAGCTGTCACAAGATGAGGAGCTGCACGACAGAAAGGTAAAATGTTCTTACAAGGTTGTCACAGACACGTTTTGCGTCAGCGATCATCAACAGCGGGTCTATCTTCGTCGCAGGACCGTTCTGGTAGCACTGGGCGATGACCATAGGGGATGCAGCTTTCTGGAATTGAGAGGACCTGCATTCAGTGGACCACAATAAGTTATGTTCACACGTCGTACTCACGACTAGCTCCTCTGCGGCGTTGTAGAACTCCGAGCACAGGTTCAAGGCACGCCATTGGAACTCGTAAAATTGCTGGTTCTGCGCAACGGTGGCGGGAGGGGCAGGAGGGTATTGGTAGAAGCCGGGGTGGGCGACATTTGAAGGTGGTGGTTTCGTCGCGCTGCCAGAAGATACTCGAGGCTTGCGATTCTTGGAGCCCCTCGGACGGCCAGGTTTACGTTTCTCACCGCCGTCGTCAGTGTTGGATGGCTGAGAATGATCTGGCGGGGGAGGGGGTTGCCTGTGGTAATCCGCAGGGGCAGCAGCCGCGGGCGCACTTTCCGAGACGAGTCAGTTGGCGGTCGGGATGCGCGAGGACGAATCTAGATCGGGCAATACGCACCCCGTCGAGCGCGATTGAGTCTGAGCGGCATGGACACGGGGCGAAGAATGGCTGCTGGCGGAGTGGTGAGGGTGATCTGCGTCGTGGTGGTCGAGCTCCTCCTCGACGATATCTTCGTCGTCTTCCTCCTCCTCCTCTTCCTCCTCGCGGTGACCCGATCCGGCGCCATTCGTCACGGGCTGTTGGTGATGGGAGGAGTAGGGTGCATACTGCTGACGTGGAGACGGATGGGACGCGGACACGAGAGGGGCATGGAGGGCGTGCGAGAGAGGCTGATAATATTGGGGATTGTCCATGATTTTCTGGAGGACTATATGATAAAAGCCCAGAGATGGAGTAACGCGCTGCGAGCGGAGGGCACAATCGATGTCGGGAACAACAACCAAACCCCGTGGGAACGCACGCCCGACGCATTTGCCTTCCCGCACGCCGTCCCGTTGCGGCCGTGCATTCTCAGGGGAAAATCACAGAAAATGCGGCCTGGCATTGCTCGTCGTTTGCGCGGTCCTGGATATCGGTACAGGCAGCCAGCTGCACGGACACGGCCCCGACAAAATCCAGCCGTCCCCGCGTATCCCAAATTTGTGCCGATGGCGAAAACTCGAGGCAACACAGCCGCCGGCATCCAGGGTCCCAGTGAGTCACATTTCCGGTCACGCATCTGTGACAGGGCCATATTCCAGACCGCGTGACGCGTCACCGCCTGCAGCTGCAGTGACCGAGCGCGGGTCCGCCGCAGAGGCTCTTCGACTTGAACCGTCATCTCAGCCACCCTACCCCTTGTTCTCCCTCTCTCTTTCACTGCCACCCACCACGACGACGCCCACTCTCGCGGCGTTGTCGACTATCCCACCACGGACGCCACACCGTCCACCCCGCTGCGCAACCGACCAGAACCACAGAACGGACTTGCGTCGAGAGCGCCACTCCCCCAACCAGCCATGTCGCAACCCGCATTCTCCAGCCCTACCCCTGCTCCTGGCAGCCGAGCCATTGCTGCCAATGCGCTCCGGCGAGCCGGTCTAATCGACCAGGACGCGAAAATGCGAGACGCTTCGGTCAAGCCAAGTCGCAAGGGTGCCCCCAAGCAATCAACCCGGCCACGCGCCAACCCTCACAAACCACGAGCAATCGACGTAGTGATGGGCAAGGACCAACAGGCGGCGAAATCGGTAATTATTGCGTTTCTTGTCCGCTCACCTTCTCCCCTAGCACCCGCGCTCGCGTTCGGACGGGGTGTCGAGCTTTCCCCGTTTTCCTATTATCTCCAAACACAAGGCTCACACGTTCTTCGTCCCACCCCCTCTCCTCCGCAACCTCGCCGATTATGCAGTTAACTTCACGACTCGCCGCCGCCGACCCAGCCCGTGCGCAACGCCTGGCAATGAAGACTGGCGCGCGGGGTCGCAGGAATGCTATCTCCCTGAACGGTGCTCCTACGGGGAAGGTGATTGAGCTGTGGAAGGAATGGGTGACTAGGAGATGGAATCCGGAGGCGAAATTCCTCAACCTTGAGGTGCGTTTCACTCCTTGTACCGCTAATTGGTTCTCAACTAGCCACAGCGGATCGACGAAGACGATTTTCTAAAGCGTAACCGCCTCACCTCGCCTACCTCTCAGGATGCAACGAAGGAGGCACAAGTTATCTTCAAGATTGCGAGCCAACTCAAACCAGAGGTATGCCGGATATCTAGTCTGGGAAGTGGCAGGCGTATAACGCTAGTGGCGCAGGTCGAGACTATCTCGTTAGCCCACAACGGGCTGACCAGTGGACGTATCATGGTGCCTCTGGCACACTACCTACCGGATCTCGTCAACTTGTCGCTGGAGGGGAACCGCCTTGGCGGGTGGAAAGAGATCGACTATATCGCGAGCAAGCGGGGGCGCCTGCAAAAGTTGCGCGAACTCATCCTCAGAGGCAACCCCATGCGAGAGCTGGACTACAAGAACAACAGGGCTCAGCAGTACAAGAGGTATGTTCCTCGATTCAGGGGTCCTGCATTCGCTCAACGATTATACAGCGAGATCGCACGGCGGTTTCCAGCACTGGAAATGCTTGACGGGGAAGCTGTTGCCAGAGTCGGTTTCGATGCGCCGACCGCCTCCGCGTCGACGTCAACACGTCACCATACCGTGCTCAAGTCTTTCGCTTGGAATATGGAGCCTTCCTTCATCGCTGGTGTCGACGGAGCCATCGTCAGCAATTTCTTCGTCCGCTACTTCCCGCTCTTCGACACCCAACGAGGAGCCCTGATCCACGCCTACGCCCCCGACGCCACTTTCTCTTTCTCTGCAAACACTGGGATTCCTCCTCGGGCACGAATCGAAGGCATACATGTCTCGAAGGAGTACCCTAATCAGCGAAAGCTGGAGTGGGCGCCATGGCTGAATGGTGGACAGGGCGGATCGCGGAACCTGGGTCGGATAGCGGGTGGGCTGCAGAGAGTCACGCAGTCCCTACACCTGGGTAGCGAACAAGCCATCAGGGCAATAGTCGACCTGCCTGTCACGAGACACGATGTCGCTGGTTCGCCCGAGAAGTTCTCCGTGGACGCCTTCCCCGTTATGCAAGGTGAAAGGACGAACCTGCTAGTAACGGTGCACGGCCAGTTTTCCGAGCGTGCGTTTGGTCACCCGCATTCATCATATTCGCCAAGCTAATATAGACTGATCTGACGTTAGTGCCATCCGAGGGCATTCGATCCTTTGATCGATCATTTGTGCTTGCTATGGCCCCGGAGGGATCACGGTGAGTGCATCCGCGGCACTTGTGGTGGTATGTTTGATCCTGAGTGTTCTCGGCGATAGGGCGAAGCAGAACGGGTGGGATGTCATGATTCTCTCGGACCAGCTGGTCGTCCGCGCGCTATCGAGCTTCGACGCATGGAGGCCCGGTCCGATGCGCGTGCAAGCGGGGGATTTGCTTCCGTCCGCAGGTTTGCAGAACGCCCTCCTGCCTTTGGTGAGTGCCTGGTTTGATCAGAGCCGATCCCACCTTATCTTCGATAGCGGTCGGGGATCTGCGATGACGTTTACTGATGCCTCTTCTCGTTTATGTAGCCGGAGCTGCAGCGGGCAGTCATGCAAGACCTCATCCTCCGGACGCGGCTGAACCTGCAGTTCGCGGAGGACTGTTTGAAGAACAACGACTGGGATCTCGAGCGGGCGCTCGCGAACTATGAGCAGGTCAAGGTGAGGACTCCGTTTGATGGTGGGAGGAGACGCAGTACGCTGACCGCATTATTACGTGAAGGCGACCCTCCCGGGCGATGCGTATCTGCCACCGGACGCATTCATGGCTTGAGCATCGCATTCTAGTCTCGGATGGACATGTCGATTCGCATGCCGCGCGGCCGGCGGCGAGCCTCGTGTATCTTGATCGTTCCGTCGGACTGTACGCACCGTCGCACCCCCTACATATTTCCCCCCTCGCCCAGTCATCCATCATTATATCGCAATGTATAACCTATAGCCCATCCCCATCCCGAATCCTGATGCATCACCATCACTTTGACATCGCTCATCGTCGTTATCCGCTACATATATTGTTTATAAGCACTCGCCCACGCCCCTCGAGCATCGGACACCCCCTGCGCATGTCGACAGCGGATAATCATCAGAAATATTGCCGAGTGTTCAGTACAGTTGTGGCATTCTAGCGCGCGCTTCTGGGACCAGGGCTTGGAGGCGCCGGCAGGGTAAACACTGCTCGAAGCCTCCGAGCCGTCCGCGTCCTCGGGCAGGGCCTGTATTTAGCCCCATCAGCCGTGCAAGCGAGTCGAGGACTGAAACTGTTTTAATTATTGCGTTCCAGGGAGGTGCGCGTACGCGGTGTTTCGGGCACGGACGGACAATGGGGGGCGCGGAGGTAAACAACGCACATAAACATGGTGGCGGGCGCCACCAAGCCCGGAGCCGACACGGACACCCAGACCAAACAGCGCGATCGCTGTTTGTGCCACCACACTCTATTCAGCATGCAGCTCGGCACGGTCTCAGTGGGCGCGGCGGGAGCAGACAGCGGCCCATATTGGAGCATAGCGGCCGGGTAAACGCTGCCTCGAGGCGGGGGACGGTAGTGCCATGCGAGCTCGGTCTGGCTGGGAAGGCCTCTCGGCGAGTCTGATGCAGCGTGCCGCCGTGCTTCCGGCCTCGTGCACGACTCTTCGCACGTCCTCGCCTACAGGTCCTCGCCTTCCCTCTCTGTACTTATACGCTCCTCGCGCCCCGTCCTCCGTATCCCCGCTCTTTCTCCCGCTCTTTTTCCCGGTCCGCTCCACCCCTGGGCCTCAAGACTCCCGCCCCCACTCCGGACCCATCTTCGTGTACACTGGCCGCCCCCGCTGCGCTTTGCCCTTCTGTACTTCTTGCACACTATCTTGCACACTTGCTATCTGCTCGGACTCTGACTACTGGATGGCGACCCCTGCGCACCGGAGGCGGCGTGCTGCGCGCGCCGCACTCGACACAGATCTCCTCGACGCGTCCGCTCGCGCGGACCTGGATGCCGTCCGAACCGCTCTCGCACACGGCGCAGACCCGAACGCGTCCGACGAGGCGACGGGACACACCGCCGTGACGTGCGCGATCGCGGGAGATAGGTGTGGTTGGTTCTTTATAGCGCTCGAACAGGGTACTGAAGGATATCGCGCGCGCAGCTGGGAGGACGTGGACGTGTCGGACGCGTCGTTCGCGCTGCAGAGCAGGGTCGAGGTGCTGAGGACGCTGATCGGTAACGATACCATGTCATTGTACGCGCTGAACGCGCCTGCGCGGGGCGTCACACCTCTTGCGCTCGCCGCCTGGCTCAATATCCCGGAGGCCATCCGTGTCTTGCTTGAGGAAAGCCGTGGGCTGGTTGCCGTAAATGGCACCGACGCGTTGGGTGTAACGCCGCTGATGTGTAGGTCCAGCTTACTACCGCGTTTTCGTAACGCAATCTGACGTTGGTGGGCAGACACCGCGCGTGACGGAGCCGTTGAGGCCGCTTCGCTTTTGGTATGCGATTGCCCCCATCGATCAAGGCATGCAACTGACTGGTCTTGCCAACGATAGCTTTCGAAGGGCGCACGGCCCGATCTAAGGGATACACATCATCGTACCGCTATTCAGCATGCTCTAAAACACCCACACATGCTCTGTCTCTGTGAGTCAGCACTTCGCAAGCAGAGAGCACGAGAGTTCTTGGTGAGTCGCGACCCTTGATCCGTGCTTTCGAAGTCGCTCAATGCCGTACAGAATGGCAACCGTCGTCGTTTATGTGACATCCCCGCGCCTTACGTGGTGCAGGTAGAGTCGTGGACGACGGCTCTGCTCAAATCGAAAGCCTCGTTTCCTCCTTCAGACATGACCCCGTCAAAGGCCACTGCCACTCTCATCCGCGCCGTTCATACCGGCGACGTCCTCAGCCTCTATCAGCATCTGTTCCATAGCCAACACCGGTCGTCTATTCTTGTAAATAGGCTCGATTCCCATGGCTGGAGCCCGCTGCACTATGCCGTCTGCACTGACAACCTTTCCATCGAAATCCTCGACGCTCTTTTCCTGGCTGGTGCCGACACCAGTCTGTACACTGCGTCTCATCACGGGACCCCTCTGCACTGCTTAGCCCGGAAAGCTCTAGATCCTGTCGGCGACATGCAAGTCTCCCACCTACACGCGTTCGTGAAACACCTCGTCTCCGACCTCCGTGCACCGCTGTCTGCTCAGGACGACAACGGCGATACCTGTATACACGTGGCCGCGGAACACGGCCAGAGCCTCGAAGTCCTACTCGCGCTTCTCTCATGCGACTCCCGCGGTGTTATCCGGGAAATCAAGAACTCCAAAGGGTGCGCACCCGATTTATCATCTGTCCGCTATAACATTCTGACGGGGCTACAGTCTCACTGCCTTGGAGGTCGCCCGACCAGAACTTCGCATTGCGTTCGGGGCGGAGGCCGAGCCGAAGCGTTCAAATTCGGTGGCATCGTTCCGCACCGTACGGCCGTCCACGAGCTCAGTGAGCTCAACATCCTCCTACGGGAGCCTCCTTGCCGTACCCGCACTCCCACGACCACCCCTCGACGCTGTATTCCGTCCCGAGAGCCCACTTGCCGCCATCGATCCTTCGATGCTACCCCACCACATCCTCGACAACCTCGCGCTGGTCGGGCACGACTACGCCGATTCGGACGTGCACGAGCTTGACGACATGCGCGTGCTCCTCGACGAGTCCATTCACCTTGGAGAGCTCTGGATCCGCAGTATGCAGGCCCGCATCCGCGACGCCGCACAAGAGTTGCGCGATGCGCGCGGCCGGTTCGGCCAGGCGGACGTACTGCTCGAGGACGTCACTCGCGAGCTCGAAGGTACCTTCGGGGCGCACTTCGCCGAGCGGCGTGATAGCCTGGAATTCTCGCGGAGACGGACAACGGACTCGGGCGACTCCGACTCGACCGCGGTATCCGGCCGGCCGTCTGTGCAGATCGGCAGGAAATGGCGGTCGATGTCGGACCTCCGGTCATCGTCGGACAGCATCAGACGGGAGCGTACCAGCCCACCGCCGGTGCCGTATTTGCACACGAAACCGATCGCTGAGGAGGACGAGCCCCCCGCCTCGCCTGAGAAGGCGTCGGTTCTGCATGCACTGTTCTCACCGTCGACGAAGGACCTCGTCCACAAATCGAGCAAGGGCGACCTCTCGCACCCGCCGAGTCGCACGTCTTCCCCGTTCCCGAGCAAGAAGGAATCCTCTTCGAGTGGGACCAAGAAGTTGAAGGCGTGGTTCCGCAAGAAGCTACGGTTCGAGATCCCCGATAATCTTGGAGATATGAAGAACTCTTCGCAGCTGGAGACGCCCCGCGCGTCGAAAGCGGGGTCACAGTCACCGTCGGTCGCAAATGAGGAGCTTCTCTTTACCGCGCGGAGTCTCATCAAGACGGCGGGCCGGGACCTGTCCAGCATCGAGGGATGCATGGATAACGTACGTTTTATCGCGCCCTTTTTGCGTCGTCTTGCTGATTGACGGATATCCGTAGGCGGACCACTATCTGTCGCTGGCCTCGCATATGCTGCTTCAGACAGAACGGCGTCTGAAAATGATCGTTCTGGTACGTGCACTATCTCGCTCTGATCCTTTCTATGCTTACACCACATTTTGTAGAATCGCAAAGCAGCCCTAGAAAGCGCCCATCTTGCACAAATGCAGGACAACCCGGACGATCCGTTCATGTCCGCCATCGCTTCTACCCTCCGCTCCGCGGGGCACGACGCGGACCCCTTCCCCCTCGGCCGTATACGCAGCGGGAGCGGGAGCGGCTCGGAGTACTCGCTAGGCTCCATATCGCCCGGCTCCTCCGTGCTCTCCTTCTCCTCGACGCTCATCGAGTCCGAGGACGACGACACGCGCGTGCTCCGCCGACTCATCACCCGCAAAGTCGAGGCGCGCGCAGACGGCGCGTTCGAGGAGATCGACAAGGCGCTGATGTGGCTCCGGATCGTGCAGGACACGCTCCGCAGCCTGCGCCGACGGACTCGCGCGTACACGACCTTTTACGACGCCTCCCCATGATGACTCACGAACTATCCGCGCGCATTTGATCCGCCCCGGCCCCCAACAATGACACTGTACGTACACCGCTACCCCTGCTGTTGGATATCCCTGCTCTGTTGTATGTCGCGTGTACGCTCGCGAAGTCTCTGTGAATACTGTACGAATATGCACATGTCTAGCGCCTCCTGTCCAATTTTGTAGTTAGCTATCTATGCTGTATATATGTTACGTAGTACGCTGTACATAGCTGTCCGTGTCCCCCAACTGCATTTTGTATACCTACATACACGATGACCTCCATCCTATCCGAATATCCATCGCTTTTATGCCTCAAACGTAGCCTGAGACGTCACGCTCAAATCACTAAAATTGTGCTGTCAGTTCGCATATCGGTGATGTACATCTGCAGATAGCTCACCTGCAGCGACAGGTAGGCATGCCAGGCATCAACAATACTTCATACATGGCTGCCATATCGGGGCCTACACCCATCAGTGGCGTAGGGATTCGCAGGCGCCCATAACGCGTCGCGCACGCGTGCGTCCAATTGGAGACCTGTATCCTCCCCTCCGCCTCTCTTCCAAGCACCTCCTTCGTTGAGAACCTGAATGCGTCTGTCTTCGCGCTGAGAGCTGAAATTACTGTCCGCTGCTTCTAGTGCTCTCGAGAATGTCTTCGGGACCATTCAACCCTCCGGATGTGGTGCTGGACGGCTTCAAGGAGCGGCCGGAGTCCCTGACCGTCCAAGGCACATGCTGCAATTCTACGTCCCCCGGGTGTACGCTGATAGATGTAACAAGGCGACAGGCTCTACGTGGGGACCTCGACGGGGAACCTGCATGTCTACACCTTCGGAGACACGCCAGGTCTGTCTGACGGCTCGTTCCTGGCCGCAGCTATTCACCGTGTTGTGTAGATCATGCCACCGAACTGGTGGAGACCAAGAAGTCGCTATGCCGAAGGAGTATAGACCAGGTCATGTTCATCAAGGACGTGAACTCCTTAGCCGTCCTCTCAGGTGCGCAACTACCCCAGTCCGTCCGAGCAGACAAGACAATAACGCCCCCGACCTATACTTTATAGAGGCGCAAGTTACGCTCTTCCCATACCCCACATATTTCCCACCTACTCCCCTCGTGAAGACGAAGGGCGCCTTGTGCTTCGCTCTCAACACCACTGTCGAGTATCAAACCCCCGAGTCTGCGACACCATCGAGCCCCGGTCCTTCAGGGAAAGGTAAGGGCGTGCCGACGGTCGTCACCAGGCTGGCAGTCGGATGCAGGCGGAAGATCGTGCTATACTCCTGGAAGGATGGCGAGCCCCAGGAAGTCCAGGTAGAGGTTACGCTCGTGCGCTCTAATGGTATCTACTAACCGATTATAGGAATTCACGCTTGCGCACTCTCCACGAGCAATGAGCTTCATGAACAACGAAGTTCTCTGCTGGGGGCATACTCCTACAGACTACGCACTCACATCCTTGACGACATCTGTGACGGTGGACGCCAGTACCCCGATTCCCACTACGTCATCTAGTGGCAGCATCGGCAATATGGGAATCGGTGCACTCTCTGGACTTGGCGGCTACATGACTCTGGGGCTGGTAGCTAAGGCGAAACCCAACGTTATTGGACTGAACGAGAGCGAAGCGCTCATCGCGAAAGATAGTGAGCATCGAAACCCTGTATGAGAAGCATGGCTTGATACTCACAAAGTTAGACAATGGCTATATAATTGGCAGCGATGGCAAGCCTTGTCGAAGTGAAAACATCGACTGGCCAGCCACCCCAGAGGAGATGGGTAACTATCTAAGTTGGTCTAAACTGAAGAATTCGATCTGAATAGTGTGACGCCAGCCATCCTCAAACCCTACATCTTCACGATCTTGCCTGCTGGATCGGTACCCACGTCGCAAGTAGAGGGACTGCCCGCAACTACTCCGTCCACCTTCGTCTCTTCTCCCGTGGTCGAGATCCGTTCCTCGCTTTCTCTCTCCCCCGTTCAAACGATACCCTTTCCACCTGCATCTACATCCTCTAGCACACAGACGACCGGTACAACACATACAGTGCGCCTCCTTACTCCGTCTCCATCCTCCAAGTCTCCCCTATTCGTTGTGAGCACCCCAACCGATCGCACAGCGGCCGCAAACACAGGGAGCTCGATATGGCGTTTCCGGATGAAGCCCTGGATTCAGCAAATTGACGAGCTTGTGGAAGCGGGATCGTACACGGAAGCGCTCGCTCTTCTTGATTCTCTCGACGTTGCGTTAGTGGCGGACAAGGTTTGTCCCTGTCGTCTTTCGTTCGAGTGTTATGTCCAACCGGTACCCTGCAGGAAACGAGACAACGGCAAATCCGTGCTCTTCAGGCGGTCGACAACTTCCGGAACGCCAAGTACGACGAAGCCGTCAACGCGTTCCTCGACCTAGATATCAATCCGGCCAAAGTTGTGGCATTATACCCTGAGACAATATCGGGCCGGCTCGCGATACCACAAGAAGACTGGATAACCCTGTACGGCGGGCCTAAACCGAAGGCGCCAGAGCGTCCTGCGACACCACAACCCACAGCCCCAATACGCAGTCCGAAGCCAGGGGACTCGCCGGGCACACCCAAGAGCATGGAATCGCCGCCTCGAGCCCCGACTCCGCAGGGCTCTATCCGAGGTGTGCTGAAGTCTGGGCTGGAGAGCATCGTCGCCGCGACCAAGGATGACGACGCAGCATCCATCCGCAGCGTCCGCCGTCCACCCAAGCCCGGTATGTCTCGTACCGTAGAACATGACCGCTGTGAGCGGGACTCATCCAAGCCCCACAGACAATTTCCACCGCTCAATTGAGGTACTCATGCGGTACCTCTCCGACCGACGACCGAAGATCGCGGGCGCTCTCGCGCAGTTCCACATCACGTCATCGCAGTCGCACGAGATGCCAATCTTGTCCGCGACGTCGAAGGAGGACCTGCTGGCACTCCCGAACGCGCCGCTGTCTGCTCTTACCCCAGAGGAGCTCGTGCGTTTCGCGCAGATTGTAGACACGGCGCTGTTCAAGTCGTACCTCCTTGTCCGCCCAGGGCTGCTTGGTCCGCTTTGTCGCGTGGGATGGTGCGAAGTGTCGGAGGTGGAGGAGCTCCTCCGCGAGCGGGAGGTAAGTTGGCTTGGCGTAGCGTCAAGGTGCGGCTGACTGACGACGGATTGCAGAAATACCAGGAGATGATCTATCTGTACAACGGGAGGAAGATGCACGGCAAGGCGCTGAGCCTCCTTCGACAGTGCGTGAACTCGTCCTGGTAGAATGTTATGCGCAACTGACGATGTTTAGGCTAAGCGACAAGGAGACCGATGAACGCGACAAGCTCGGTCCAACAGTCAGCTATCTACAGCGCCTTGGGCCTGAGCATATCGACCAGATCTTCGAGCACTCGCGCTGGGTGTTTGAGCATGATCGTGATATTGCCTTCGAGGTACGCTCACATCACAATGATCTGCACGATGGCGAAATGCTCACCTGTGTTTCAAGATCTTTACTTCTGAGGAGGCGGAATTGCCGAAGCAGCCCGTCGCAGACTTCCTCGAGCAACTCGATCCTGCCATCTGCGCACGGTATATCGAGTATCTAATCGACGAACGTGCAGAGACCTCGCAAGAGTTCCACGACCGCCTCGCGGAGCTGTATCTTCGTATGACTATCGCTGCGAAGAAACGGGGTGACGATGGTATGCCTACGGCTATCTTTCTTGGCCGTGTAGCTGGACTAACATATCGCAGACGGCCGGAAGAAGACATACGGGAAACTGCTACATCTCATCGATACGACGGATCACTACTCGGCAGACCGCCTGTTTGGTCTGTTGCCCTCTGAAGGTGAGCATCTTCTGGCACACCGCTCGTATTTAAACCAAATCAATCATCCTTGCCCATAGATCTTTTCGAGGCCAAGGCTATTCTACTCGGACGTCTCGGGCGGCACGACAGCGCGCTCGAGGTGTATGCCTACCGCCTGCAGGACTTCCAGAAAGCAGAAGAATACTGCAAACGCGTTTACAAGCCAAACTCACCCACCTCCAGCGTTTTCCTTACGCTCCTTCGCACATATCTTCTGCCCGGCCCCTCCGCGCCCACTGCAGCAGCGCTCCTGCCCCCCGCGCTCGACCTCATCAGTCGCCACAGTCCGCGCTTGGATCCTGTGGCGACGCTACAGCTGCTCCCGCCGCTGGTCACCGCGCAGGACGTTCGTGCGTTCCTGCTGGAGTCGTTGCGTGCGCCAGTGTTTGACACGCGCGTGGTGCGCAACGTGCACAAGGCTCGCGAGGAGCAGGCCGCTCGCCGGTTGATGGTTTTGCAGTCGAAACGCGTGCGGATCACCGACAGCAGGATGTGAGTATACCCTGCATAGCCTGTAGCACTTTTGTCAAGATGCTTACCGCCATACACAGCTGCCCACAATGCCACAAACGGTTAGGCGGTAGTGTCATCGCCGTGCATGCACCCCAGTGAGTGCATTCCGTACGGTTGAGCGGACTGGATGATTGACGAAGCGTGCAGCGGGGAGGTGACGCATTACCAGTGCCGAGAAGCGTTCTCGCATAAGCTGAAGGAAGGCCGAGCATAATGAAAGCACGATGGCTTGTGCAGCTTGCATGACCAACTCACGCGCTATAAGATTTCCACTTACTTTGCCGTGAACAATACAGTACCTTCCGTGTTCCCTCGTTTCTCTTTACTGGACTATCTCATTCTCTATGATGTGAAAATGCTGAAGGAAGATACCCGAAAAGTCATGCTGAACCCAACGGACCATGCTGATGAGAGATGCTTCCTGCGCGTTTGATCAAAACTGCCTTTAAAGCTGCCTGACGCTGCCACTGACGTAGCGTTGTATCAGACATGCGAGAGCTGGTGGGTATTTTGATCATATGCAGAAGGCTGACAACTCTCTAGTCGCTCTCACCCTGAAAATCAAGATGATGAGAAGTTGTAGAAAGCTGCATGTCGTGCGCAGCTATGGGCGCTTGAGGCTTCGAGGGTCTGCCTCAACGACTCTGCCACGCGCTAGCTCATCTTCCACGAACATCCATGTCGTTGATCGTGGAATACAGGACTTACCAGTGAAAACACGGTACTTTCTCCAAACGCACGGTATGTAGTGCTACTATTTCGCTGCTGATAGTCCGATCACATATCTCATTTACTCTGAACATAGCCGTGAAAGCTCGACCATGCCAGAGGATCTGACTGCCAGCCTCCCCGCTGACGCTTTGCATCCGCCGTACTATGGCCTTCCTTCCCCTGAGCCTGATGATGTGCCGACAAACGCGACACGGAAGATTCTTCTGGAGACGAGAAAGAGTCTAGAGAGGAAGCTCCACCGAATCGACGCTCTCCTCAATGCCCTTACACCCATCAACAAGCTCCCCGTCGAGGCGCTCGGTGAGATCATGTCGTCCATCCAAGACAGTTACTACGTGGACCCGAAGGACCTCGACTCTGAGTCGAAGGACCCGGAGCACCGCTATCGGTATCAGTGGCTCCCAGTTTCGCTGGTCTGCCGCCACTGGTTTGTCGTGGCCTCCACCACCCCGCGGCTCTGGAGAAACGTGATTGTCGGAAATCGCCTGGACTACCTCCGCACTGGGCTTGCGCGCTCCAAAGGCACAAGCGTATCCACGGCGGTGATCTCCGTGCGTCCACGACTAGTTCACGAAGCACTGGAGCTACTCATCCCCCACACACACCGCCTACGAGGGCTCAGCATGCACGCCCTTTTGCAGGAAAGCTTCCCGTCGTTCTATGCGCTCCTCAAGCACGGGATGCCTGCGCTCGAACAAATTGCGATCCACGCTAAGCGGACTTTGTCCGACGATGACGACAGCGACGAAGACGACGACGATAGCGCCCGCGAAAACCCTGTCATCAATTTTGCTCCTAAACGCTTCCCCAACCTGAGATGTGTTACTGTCTCCAATGTCTATCTCATCCCCTCCCCAATCTTTGGGCAGCTGACCAGGCTGCATATAAACGGTTGGCGCGGGCGGGGGAGCAAGCTGACGGAGATCTTGCAAGCCTGCGTCAGCCTTGAACATCTCCGGACACGTAGCGCATGCTGTCGACGGCCGAGCAACGCTATGAAGATCGCGCCCGTCATCTTGCCCAAGCTGCCATGGTTCTTCATGGAGACCCACAGCCTGGCGACGATAGAGCACATCCTCTCCATTCTCACTCTCCCACCTAACATGCATGTCGAAATCCGCCAGATTGTGTACGACTATGCGCTCATAGAAAACGGATTTCGCCCTTTCATTCCAGCCGACACAAGCAGCTGGGCCTTCTTCCCGCATCTCCAAGAAGCCGAGATCCTTCTCCAAGACACCGGGCACAGACTCAACAGGATGGACGAACGGCGTGGAGGAGGTCGACACGTTGTTTGCCGACGACGTGCTCGGCGTCCTACGCGGCGCGCCCCTCGAACGTCTGCACATCGAGCTCCCTGCGCGCGAGATAGGCCGAATCGACTGGCGCGCGGCGTTCGCACCCTTCCACCAGCTCCGGCAGTTAAGCGTCCGCAGGACCGGGACCTGGCGCGGGCATCGCGGCGCGGTGACCCTCTACCAGAGCCTTAATCCGTGCCTCACGTCTGGTGCCGGCGTCGGTACCGAGATGCTCGAGCGCCTTGTGCTCCCGGAGCTGCGGTCGTTGTGGATTGAGGGCTTTGACGCAGACGACAACACCGCTAGCGTGTTGAAGCTTGCGCTGACGAACAGGATGGACTTCTTGGGCAGGCCTAGAGTGGAGGCACTCGACGAGCTGTCGTTTCGAGACCAGCGGTTACCGGCACTCGGAGGAGAGTTTCAGGAGGCAGAGAACGGCGTATCAAGAGCTTTTCGAGCCATGTGTGCAGAGGTTGACGTACGCGCCTGGACATGGAGGACCAAATTGGTAGGGTGTCCATATGGTAAGAGACTAATTGCGAACGTCTGTCATACACTGACGTCAAGTGCAAAAGCATGTCTCTCGTAACAAGTTCTATCAACCATCAGAACCGCTATCTCACCCGCTTTGTGGTCGGGCAGTTAACTTTTTGGTATACGAGTCGAAGGACATTGCAAGTACAGGGCTATGATACAACCTCGGTGGCTAACGCTCTCCATCTCAAACTTTCTGAACGATGTTCATCTCCTGAAACTATGGTCAGAACTCCCCCTGTGGTCGTCCAAAATCCAAGTGTACCTGGTAGTTGGTGGTCTTGCCTGTGTTGTCGTTCCGAATGGCGTAACGAGTTTCCTGACAATATGTATATGGTAAGTGGTACAACTTCGCACCAACATCGTCATAGTTAACTCACGCCATCCTCAGACTGAATGATCTCCTCGATGACGCCGGTAGAGTGCGAGACGTTCTCCGCAGCACCTGGGACAGCCAGTATCAATCACTTTGCCTCTCAAGGGGACATCTGCGGGACTGACCACCGATAGGGCGGTACTCGACCTTGTCGCCCTGCTACATGGGAAGTCATGGGAAGTGAGAATCACTGGCAGGCCTATCGAAATACACACATACCTTGTATCCGGCCATTGCTGTATATGCGAAATTGGTGGGTGTGTTAAGACGATGAAGGTTGTTGGGAGAGGACGGTATTGTTGCGTGTCCCCGACTTTCGAGGGGTTTATACACCATCTGAGGGGAGTAATGTGGTCATAGTGTCGTCAACGGAGGGTAGCTAGACTCTGACGTCGACCATCTTAGCTGTCTTCCAGAGCAAACCCGTCGCCTTTCTGAGCTAGCGACCCTGCAGAGCGGGGTACGTGACGCAATCCCCGTTTGGTGCGCCGCTGCTTCTCGTCGGGCGGTGCGTCGCGTATGCATGGCTTGCTGCGCGCGCTGTCATCGGTTCTCCACACAAAATTCATGGCAGTGGATCAGACCATGCTGGAGACGCAGCGCGAAAGCATGAGACACACGGCGGTAGGTAGTTGGCAAGGCAAGTTGAAGTTGCAACCGAACGCCAACTCAGGCTCAGATGGTGGACCTACAACACCAAGTAAGCCTTGATAATACACGATATGTGTGCTCTTTTGCAGTATCTCAGAAACGTCACTTTGCCGGAGTGGTTAACGGGATCGCCTGCTATTGCAGTTGACAGCGGTTGGGCTTTGCCCGCGAGTGTTCGAATCGCTCAGGTGACGCATTTTTGGAAGGCGGGTACAGCGAGCGCCTAAGAAGCCCGCCGTAATGTCGACAGAATGAGGTGGTCCCGACTCCCGAGCCCACGGCCGCCTTCGCCCTCCGACGACTTTCACCCACTCCCCGACCATGTCAGAACACCTCAACAGTGAAGAAGCAGACCTCCTCGAGGTAGCGTATGTCTCTCAGCTGGTGATATCATGCTCATTTTACGTCGCAGTCCGCGCTCTCTACAGCCTTCAGCCCTGCGGCTTTGCCTCGCCAGCCCGCTGTGCCTCCGCCGGCATCTGAACCTGAGCCCACACCCGCACCTGCGCCTACCTCGGAGCCTCAAGCAGAGCCCTCTGCACCATCCACAGAGCCCGAGTCGACGGAGCCCGTCTGGCAGGAGGAGTATGAGGCCCACGTCGCTGAATGGCGTGTGCGCTCGGCAGAGCAGCGCCAGAAGGCAGAGGAGCAGCGCGCCAGGTGGGAGGCCATCCGCGCGCAGGAGCGGGCAGAGGGCAAGGTCTCGGAGAGCGTGCTGAGCCTCCGCGAGCACGGCTGGGAGAACCTGAGCGCGAGCGTGACCACCGCCGCGACTGCGGCAGACTCCCCAAGCCCTGCGGACGCGAGGGACCTGGTCGCCGGAGAGGGCGAGGGCGGACACTCGAAGGAGTTCCTCGAGGTGAGCCTTCTTACGTATCTTGTCTTGTCTAGAACATGGGAACGTGGTCCCGGTGCTGACGGTGGCCGCGCACGCGCAGAGCGTCCTGCCGGGTGCCCACCCCTCGACCGCAGACGCGGACTCCCCGCCCGAAAACGAGCACTCGCAGCCCGCGTCCGAGCCGGACTCGAAGCACGAAAAGTGGGACGACATGACGTCCTCGCTCACATCGTCCTTCCCGTCCATGTCCTTCCCGTCCGACCCGCACTCGCCCTCTTCGTCTGCTCGCCGCGACCTCGCGCCGCACGCGCACCACCACACCCACCACGCGCACGACGCGGGACACTCGCACGGCCCTGGGCACTCGCATGCGCACCATGCGCATCACCACCACGAGGACGCTGAGGGCGCGCACACGGCGACGCTGTCCGTGTTCAATGCGTCGCTGAGCCCGCGGACGCGCGCGCTCGCCCTGCTCTCGAGCGTTGCGATCAACGTGTTGCTGCCGTTCGTGAACGGAGTCATGCTCGGGTTTGGGGAGATCTTCGCCAAGAACGTCGTTGTGCGCTGGATTGGGTGGAAGCTCCCGGGGACGGCGAGTGCGGCGGGCCAGCAGGGGAGTGGGAGGGTTGCGACGAACGTCGGGCTGGGGAGGAAGTAGATTTGGACGAGTCATTTGTACACATTAAACCCTATTGCTATTGCTACACGCCATTAATGGTCACCGTTGGTTTACCATGGGCATCTATTTGCACCGGGTGGTCCTGGTCATTCAGCGCGTCATCTCCGAATATGACGATATTAGCCGGCTAGCGGCGATCATGGTAGTACAGTTTAATGCTCAGCTACTTCAAATTCATCATGCCCTTCAACACCCCCTGCACAACCTCTTCCTGTCTTGCCAGCCAAAGACCGAAGGCAGGCGTCCTCAACCACCTTTCATAGAATTCCTTCTGCTTCGCGTTGCTCTTGAAAGGCAGGGGCGACCCATGAGCCTTCAGTGACGCAAAGAACGCCGCATCATTGAAAGGCTTCAATCGTCCCGGATCGTGGAGGTTCGACCGAGACTCGCTTGGTGTAGGGATGAGCGACTGTAGATAGCGCTGCAACGGCACGAGTAGTGCCGTGGTCCTCGAGGTGAAGTGTTGACGGAGTGCTTCAGATGCGTGATGTTCTAAATGATAAACAAAGGTTAAGCAGGGCCTGTTGAAAATGTGTACGATGACATACTGTCCGGCTCTGAGCCACGACATGCCTGTTCTAGCTGTTTCATGAGTGTATGGTCTCGAGACGTATATCGCTTATGCGTAGTTCTCCATCCTGGCGTGGGACCAATCATGGTAGGGCTCTTCTCACCCCGTTCCCGGCTGCTGAGCAAAGTAGAGCATATCAGCATTGACATTGTCACCCCAAGCCGTGCATATACTTACGGGACCTGCCGACCCAGACTGAGCGCGTGTGGCCAATGCTTACAGGCCCGCTCGAAGTATGGGTTCGTCACCCCCAGTAGCAGGCCTGCCTTAGGCGGTCGCGGGTTCACGAGGGAAGTGTGGTCCGCGTCGTGTATGGTGAAGAATGGGCGAAAGTCGCCAGAGAGTGGGATCTACTTGCGCAGGTGAGTTGGAGGACGGCTCGCAATTCTCAGATTGACTTACCGGACGCAGCAGGTCTCGAAGCCACCACACGGCAATGCTCGTTGCTGCTGGTGACGACCCGAAGATGAGCATGGGTTCGCTTAGGACGACGCATTCCCATATAGACCATAGATGGGTGACGACGGCCTCGAATTGGTACAAGATTGGAGGTCCAGCGGGACAAACGGAGACCAGCATCTGAAATGACGTTCCATATGATCAGGAACCAGCGTCGGGGCTAGCACGAGCTCACAGTGCGAACCTGGATATCTGTTTCCCCCATGTGAGCAGGTGGTATGGTGGACATGGCTTGCTGGGTCTCGATAGCTTGTGGGATTTCCGCGTGTATGACGGCCCCAAGAAATCCTAGCTCTACTGTGGTCCCCAGTACAGGATCCGGCCTTCTTACGTTGGCGTCAGCGTGGTCTCCACTGGATCATGCGACACCTCGTTCGGGATGTCTTCACTCACCAATTGGCGATATTATGACACGCCGCCTCCAGCATGGGCCCGCCATGATTCATGAAAGATGGTCCGAGTTTGGATATGAGGGTATAGAAAAGTGAGGGGTATGCGAGGTGAGTTAGGATCACCGTCGAGGTCTACGAGCGAGGATTAGTGACATTGGACTACGCCAAACAGGTAGGCTGACTTGTTGGTATCCGCGCTTCGAAGAAGCGTCCTTCGTCCGTGTGAAGCAGGAAAACCCATATAGGAATCCGTCAATAGTGGCAGGTCGAGGTGCGTCACTGTACCAGACTTCTGCTTCCGTAGTATCTCGCAAACGTATCCTGAAGGAGTGCGTCTGCGACCCCTCGTCGAAATGAGAGGAATCAGGGAAGGAGGAGAAGGCTCTGTGGGAAATTTGAACGTCTGAATTTCTAAACCAATAGGGCAGCAACTGACATATTCTGGGCCTCTGTGTGTGACAGACTCAGCGGAGGGTATACACTCGTGATCTTCGGGCCGACCTCGAGGTCGAAGTTCACTGTATATTGGGTCAATACACTTGCATACAAAGATAGTTGAGGGATAGTTTCCTGTCGCTAGGCCCAGTATCCATCTGCGAAGCTTCGCTACCTTCTCCGAGCCCATGGCAAGGCCGTCCAAGCTTAGCCTTGTTCTGTGCATGGGACGAGGCGCGCGGGGTAGCGTTTTGGATCGGGATATTCGCCTCCGAGCAAGGTCAGGGGATACAGGATTGAGTGGGAGAGTGGGAGACGACGGCGACGTCAATGGAGAGGTGGTATTCGGTCCGAGTCCAGGAGAGAGACGTAAGGGCGGTGGGAGCGTTGCTGAGAGAGATGGCGGAGGCCGCGAGAGGTCGCTGAGGCCGATGTCGTCCTCAACTGGGTCGTCGGGCATCGCAACGACGGTCATGGAGGCAAGTGGAGGAGGAATGGAAGGGTGACACCAGCCAATATGACCGGAGCTCACAGAGCTGAGGGAACATGCTCCACACGTGCACGCGACTGTATGCGCGACGCGTCTCAGCCGTCTCCTCAGCCTCTCACCACCATCATCCCGAGCAGGCTTCCGCGCAACCATCTCTCAGGCTCAATACGCACCCGCCTTCCATCAGCCCTGCTGCCATCTGCCTTCGGAGTGCAACCAAGATGCCTGGCGCAAACTATATGGGAGGAAAGAGGTGCGCATCATTGATAATGAGCGTCGATCCTGTTCGCAAAGTGCGGTGGCTTCGGCCTCCTTAGGAATGCCGCCCGCGCTCGCGGGAAAGACGCGACTGGGAAGGTCCAGCGCAGCCATTTTGGCAAGAAACGCTTCGAGATCCTCCGCACAGGCCTGAGCAAGGGGCAGGCGAGTGTAGGTCGAGCAACAGACCAGGTAGGAAATGGGTCAAAGGGACGCGTGGAGATATCTCTTGCCCACGCGCGACGAGACCAAGTCCCGGAGCGACAGAGCGGAACCTCAGGGAGTATGGTGTCGCAGCTATTTGCTTTTCCCTTTGCAAGTACTCCCCGTCGGTCACCTCCGAGCTCGGCATCTAGGCGTTCTAAGATCTTAAGGGCCCTTGACGCAGATAATCGTATGTATTTGTAGACTCTCGCCATATCCTCACTTACACTCTCTTGCGGAAGCACTTGCACAACGGGCCCAGGTGGATAAGATCCTCCAAATACCGGACCTCTTGGGTCTATCAACCGGGCAGGTCCGTCCTTATCCTTCACGGGCTTATCAAACGCCTCCACGTTCTTCAGGTTATAGATACGAGATGGTAAGGAGACCTCACATATACTCTTGTATTCTTCTGTGTTGACGGTTCTGATGCTACGACGGTAGGGATCGAATTATTCAGATGTCTCCCCCGGCATCCGTACACCGTGTTCCTCGACATCTATGTCACCATGCAAGGGCATGCAAGAACCGCTTGGAACCTTGCATACACGTCATACGGGAGGCACGGTATTTACCTTCGCAACGGCTTGACCCTCTACTGACGCGAGCGTGACTGCCAGAATCAGCTATATCGCAGCGGTCACCCTCTAATGCTGGGTCAACATTCGTACCAATGTACATGGAAAGCAGTCCGCCGCCGTACGACCACGATTCTGGCTATGCTGAGCACTGGCCTGATGTGCATGAAACCCTGTCCTGCTTCGAGCCGGCCAGGGCCCCTTTCTACTCGGCTTCTTCCTCTTACCTGCTGTCTCCGACTTCTTGTGAGGCTTCCGGGATGCTAGATTGGAAGCAGATGGGCACCTTTGACGAATACCGTCCTGACTTTTGGACAACTGCCGGTTCACCTAACCAAGCTCAGTCGTCCCGGTCTGTTCGCGCCAGTCTACCTCCTACGCTCGCCCAAGCCAGGTTTCTTTCTGACTTACCCGCTATAGACGAAGCATCGGCCCAGCATGAGGTCTTGTCATTACCACCCTCGGGATCGCCTGATCGCTTTTGGTCTGGCCACAGCTCTCATATCCCCGATTCCGAAGACATTCCTCAGGCGAGCTTTTCCTTGTCGCCGCCTGCGAATGCCGTCATGCAACCAACAGCGTATGGCTCTCGCATGTCGTACGACGAAGACGTAGTCTGTGATACTGGTTACTCCTCTGCCAACGACTCTACCAACGACTCTGTGTACTCTTTGCTGGGGGACTCCTTGGACTACTATGAACAAGACGACGCTTCGCCTAATGTCAACTTTCCTGATACGCAACAAATATCTCTTGCTTGCATTCTGAATGGGGCCCTCTTCGAGGACTCCGACCCATGGCGTACCCTGGACGATATTCTGGACCTTCCTCTTTCACCCGCCGTTCTCCGAGACATTGAACCCGAGCCGTTCAGTCTCGTCAGCTCATGTGATAGGAACGGTGTCGGCTATATCCCTGCTACTACCCCCGGCCCTGATACTCCGGATCTGCGGTCTATCAATCCTGAACTCTCAGCGTACGCCAACGATGAGCCTGGACAAGAAGATCACGTTCGTGACGGCCCTCGCAGCCCTCGCGAGCCCATGTCGGAAGACTCTGGAGCTGAACCCGATCTACCAGCAAACTCCTACGATCCGTCTCCCAGAACGCCTCAGCGTGCCCCCTCCAGCGACATCCCACGTGCCGCAAGTGAAGAGGTCGATGCTGCGCTGCCAACAAGGGAAATGAGCGAAGATCTCGTTCCCACCCTTGCTCTACCTCCAATTCTAGATTCGAATCTAGAAGCCTCCCTCGAGCTTTCCGTGGGTGTTATCGAGGACGAGCAAGAAGATTCGCAGATGGTGATGTCATGCAGGGAGACTTCGCTGCCGGCGGATGTTGCGGTCCAGGTTCGTCGTCCCGTTTCATGCGACTGCGGTCGTTACCGACTGCTTGGCGCTGCTCTTCCACAGGTGGAACGAAGTTGCTCTCCTATGGTCGCGGTCGATGTCGGATGTCGAAGCTGTGGCGAGCTCCAGGATGGAATGGTGGATGGTCCGTCTTTGTTCCTCGACGATGGGCCCTCGGACTCGGAGGAGTAGCAGTGCGTCTGTGAACATTACGTACGGTGATATTCAGGGACATTTGTAACATGCTTGCTGTGGTATTGAAACGCGCACGACCCTGCTTTGATGTTCGGACATTATTGGTGTGGTTGGCAACCCGCGCGGATAAGTATGTTGACTGTTTCACTGCGCTCGGTAGAAACAGCGAGACAAGGCTGCTCTTTGAACGAGCGGAATCTCATCCAGAGTAGCTATACCTGACGACTCTACTTTGGCCACCAACCTTTGAGGATACCCCGAGGGTGCCTCAGCCCAGCAGCGAACGAAACGCGAGGGATTTGACGCGACGCGATTGGTCACAGGCGCCTTCCGCGTTACGGCGCGCGTCTGCAGGCGCCTGCTGCCGGTTATCAAACCTTCAGAAACACATGCGTCCGGTTACCCCGCGCGCCTTTAAGTTCAGCGCCCCCGCCTTCGCAAACCTCCTCGCTCTGATTCGTTTCCCCGCATTCCCTCTCAAACTCCCCCTTCATCATCCAGCCTCGTCCCCATCTCTGCGCCTGCCCGCTATGTCCAAGGAGCTGCGAACACTCACTCGCGAGGAGGTCGCATTGGTACGCAGTTTAGGTTCCTCGGGTTCACACGACGTCCTTATACAGTCTCCTGTCTCCGTCCGCCAGCATAACAAGGAAGATGACCTGGTAGGTGCCAGTCCCGCAAGCGAAGCCGCAGCGGCTGACGTTTCTCGCTTCGCTTAGTGGATCATCGTGGATGCCAAGGTGTACGATGTCACCAAGTTCAAGAACCTCCACCCTGGAGGCGCTAGCGTCTTCCTGCCAGAAGATATCGGTAAGTCCCGTACGATGAGAACATCCCTCTGACTGAACGTGTTGTTCTGCGGGATATGTTTTTCCAACATATTTCGCAGGACAACGAGTCGACAATACTACACCACATGGTGGACACTGGTCGCCCTTCGGTCACCCGCTATCTGACACGTCCTATGCCAGCCAACGGAGACGAAGGTGGCTAGTGCAGCCCGAGTTCATGCATGATCATTTGCCCCACCGGGTGACGTAGGTGGTCAACTAAGAGGACTAGTGGACCCTACGGGTCCTATAGAACGTGTTCTAGTGGTTTAGACGGCAACACTCTTGGCAGACGACTGGCTACTGCTTTACAATGATAACTAACTCTTCCCCGAAACAGCTGGACAGGATGCTACGGAGGCGTTTTACGGCCTGCACCGCCACGAGGTTCTGCTAAAGCCTCAGTACAAGCGTCTGCAGATTGGCATCATCCAGGGCGAGAAGAGCGTCATCCACGGGGGCATCCCCGGAGAACTCAGTCAGGTGCCTTACGCCGAACCGCTCGGCATCACGGAGGGCTACCACAGTCCCTACTACACCGAGGTGCGTCCATCACATAGCCTGCGGGAACCGAGGCATTTTTGCGAAATTGTCGAGGGACCCGCGCTCGGCCGCTGTGATCAATGGAAATTGACGGTGATCCCGTGCACAGAGCCACCGGCGGTTCCAGCGCGCTGCGCGGAAGTTTGTCGACGAGATTCTGGCCCCCGATGCACTGGTGAGCGTCATATCTTTCAATATGGCGCTGTGCGATATTGAATGGGACGACCTAGGCCAGAGAAGAAGACGGCAAGAGGCCCAGCCTCAGCGTCATTCAGCAGATGGCGTGAGTCCAGGCTGCAGATCCCCCCTTTTCGGGCATATGCTCACTTATTCTTGCAGCGACAATGGCATCCTTGCGATGACAATGGGTCCCGGCAAGCATCTGAAGGGCCGCTCTCTGCTGGGCGGTGTGATCAAGCCTGAGGAGGTTCGTACGACGGCGTCTCTCATTTTAAGTAATGTGTGGCTGACCCGCGTTCGATATAGTTCGACCGATTCCACGAGGTACGGCGACCTCACGCCATGATGTATGCGGCGCCAGCTCATACGTTTTGCAGCTCGTTCTAGCGCAGGAGCTTTGCCGCCCCAACTGCCGCGGATACCGGGACGGACAGAACTCGGGCGCGACCATTGGGCTGCCCCCCATCATTCACTTTGGGCGTCCCGAGATTCGGGAGCGCATCGTGGAGGAGGTTCTGTCTGGAAAGAAGTTCCTGTCCCTTGCCATCTCCGAGGCGTTTGCGGGCTCCGACGTGGCTGGTCTGCGGACGACCGCTACGAAGACGCCTGACGGCAAGCATTGGATCATCAACGGCACGAAGAAGTGGATTACGAACGGCACGTTCTCGGACTAGTAAGTGGATCGAGCTGTGCCTGAGGGTTTGTGGCTGAAGTGCGTCTAGCTTCACTGTTGGGTGCAAGACCGACAAGGGTCTCACAGTCATTCTCGTTGAGCGTGGTGAGGGCGTTGAGACGAAGGCGATCAAGACCTCGTACTCGAGCGCCGCTGGAACTGCCTACATCACCTTTGAGAACGTCAAGGTTCCCATCGAGAACACGCTTGGCCCCGAGGGCAACGGCGTCTTCGTCATTCTCAGGTAACAATATGCTTTCACTCCCTCGAGAGACGCCGCTAACGGCGTCTCCCGCAGCAACTTCAACCACGAGCGATGGGCGATGTGCTGCGGTGGCGCGCGCAACATGCGCTTTATCGTCGAGGAGTGCTTGAAGTGGGTGAACCAGCGCAAGGCGTTCGGCAAGCCCCTGCATTCGCAAGCGGTAATCCGTGCGAAGCTCGCGGACATGATCTCGAAGACGGAGGCCGCGCAACACTGGCTCGAGAACATCACGTACCAGATGCAACATATGGACTACAAGCAGCAGGCACAGCTGCTCGCAGGGTACGTACACGACTCCGTCGGATCTTCCGCCACGAACGGAGCGCTGATAACCTTGCGGTACACAGACCGATAGGTCTGCTAAAGATGTACATCACGCGGTCCGCGCAGGATATTGCGCGGGACGCCGTGCAGATATTCGGCGGGCGTGGTATCACGAAGACGGGGATGGGCAAGCACATCGAGCACGTACGTACTGCGCGCAGAGTGTTGTCCCCTTCTTCTGGACGCTCACGGGTGTTCGCAGTATCACCGGACTGTGCCGTTCGATGCCATCCTCGGCGGAGGTAAGTCGAGCTGCTGTCATGACGGCGATCGTGGCGGGCGCTGACACTGGCTCGTGTAATATAGCGGAGGATGTCCTGGGCGACCTGGGCGTGAGGCAGGCGATCAAGGCCATGCCGAAGAACGCGAAGCTATAGCACTTCGGTCTGCTCCGCTCTTCTTTTTATCAACTATCGTACGGCCATGTATTATCTTGTGGTTTCGCGAATTGCATACTATAATTATACCCTTCATCCCATGAAGACCACCGAGGCCTGGGATTTACCGTGGGGGCAGGGTACCTGGGCGGCACTTTAGAGTTGTATGAGATGCCGAAAAGGATCTGAAGGCTGTCAGAGGTTCAGAGAAGCAGTGAGGAAGCGGCCGAAGACGCCAGGGGACCACCCCGAAATGGCCTCGGCGGAACAGGGATCGGTGCTGAGTCAGCAAAAAGAGCGCCAAAGAAGCGCAAACAAGGCCAGGTGACGCGCGCTACCCGCTCGTTTTGTACTCGCGAGTCTCCAGTCGTCTCGCCCACAACCTCCCTCTGCTCTCGACCACCACCTCCTCCCTCCCGTCGCTTCCTCCCGTTTCTCTCGCCCACGTCAACGCTCCCTCGTACGTCTCCCGGACCCCGCGTGCCACCGCGCCTGTGTATCTGATTGGAAGGGTGTTGGTAGAAATTGTCTCGACCTGTAACACTACTTGTAAGACCTTGTCTCCGCGTAGGACGTCGTCCTCGTCTCTGTCCTGTATCTGACCAGCCTGTCGCGTCTGTTGCCGTTGCTGCTCTCTGTCTCGTCGGTACACCACACATCCTGTCATTCCGTCGCGCACAGAACACGACTATATTCGCTTTCTGCCCATCCACTGTCCCTGTTTTGAGCACCCGCCGGCATGCCTGAAGACGACTTCGACATCTACGGCGAAGATGATGGCTTCAGCTCCATCAAGGTTGAGGTGAGTATCCCGTTGCGAATGCGTGCATATAGCCATGTTCTGACGCCATCTGCGCCCGAAGTCCCATGAGGAATTCCAGACGCCGGTGGAGGAGAAGACTCCAGCCGAGATAGCCGCCGTAGTCGCCGCCGCCCACTCTCCCGTGGTTGGGGAGAAGCGTCTAAGAGAAGAAGACGAGCATGAGCAGAGAGATGCCCAGAATGACCGCCAGAGCATTCCCGGCTTCAAGTCCGACTCCCCCTCAGCAAGCATTCCAGGTAACCCCTCGTCAAACGCGAATGGCGCGCAGAACGGGCAGGTGGCCAACAGTGATGCTGGAGGCGGAAACAAACTGGACGCTCTGTATATTGGTGATCTCCAATGGGTCTGTACTTCTTCATGTTTCTCTAGTCATGTATGCACTATATCTGAGACCACCCGATGTATGCGCTTGTTTCACAGTGGACGACTGATGAGGACTTGCGGCAAGTCGCCCTCACCCTCGGTGTCGTACTCGACCACAAGGATATCACGTTCTCCGAGCACAAAGTTAATGGCAAGAGTAAGGGGTAAGTGTGTGCAGCACCGGCGCATATATGCAGGTACTGACCTGAGAAATCACGCGTAGTATCGCGTACATCGAGTGCCACGGTGCCGCAAATGCGACCACCCTGAAGGAATGGTTCGATAGCAAGTACGTGGCTATTCTGCTTCGACGCGCGCATGTACTGATTGATGTTCGTAGCGAGTTCCAAAATCGCCGTGCTTCGGCAACATACACGGCCACCTCTCAAGGCAATCCGTTCCGCACTCTCCCCAAGGGTAAGTCGTCCGTTCATCATTCCCGCGAGCATCGATACCAATTTCACCGCCACAGAACCTCCACCCCGCGAGCAGCGCCACGGGAATAACGCCGGCGGCGGCGGTAACGCCCGTGGGGGAGGCAACTTCCGCGGTGGCGCAAACGGTGGTGGCATGGGCGTACCGCCCATGATGAACGGCGCTATGCGCGGCGGCGGAGGTATGATGAACGGCGGCATGCGAGGTGGTATGCCCAATATGATGGGCAACTTTGGCATGGGCTTCGGCATGGGCGCAGGCTTCAACGGCATGGGTGGTGGCGGCGCCGGCTTTGGTCGCGGGGGTATGATTCCTCAAGGACCCCGCGGCGGCGGCATGATGGGCGGTGGGGGCGGCTTCAACGGTGGTCGCGGAAACATGATGGGTGTCGGCGGTACGACTGCCTGAGTTCTCTGTATTTTTACGGATCCTGATGTTGACTCGCGATGTTTTCATAGGAATGGGCATGATGCCAATGGGCGGCCGCGGCGGCTTTGGGGGCGTACAGGGCCACTTCAACCCGGCGTTCATGCAGGGCGGTGGCGGCGGCGCCCCGCTCGGGCCCGACGGCCCCCGCAAGCGGTTCAAAATGGACGACAGCGGGTGAAGACGATGTGGCCCCGCGGGACGATCGCTCTATGTATATTTTACCAGTCTCCCTTCACGCTACGCTGCCTCGTCGCCCTAATCACCCCTTTCCTCGCTTACCTGCACTCCCTGATTCTCCGTCCCTAGTCGCGCTCGTCACAATGTCTTGCTTTCGCGATCTGTCGTCGTTCTTGTAACACTTATATCGGATCTATATGGAGAAGTTAACACCTTTCCAACGTGTCACCCACTTCAGATTCACTGAGCAAACACGATCCTCGTGAGGAGTTCGGTCCCAGTTGGTGGTGATAATGTGCGTGACAACGGCTTGTGAATGTCAGAAAGTATATATGTTGTTACAGTCCAGGGGATATACAAGATGTGTATACGAAGTATGTGCGGTTCTTCTACAGTAATGATGCGGGTTTGTAATGGTGGTGTGCAATGGGGATCAGCAGGAGCAGTGTGCGACGAGCGAAGGCAAGAGAGCAAGATACAGGCTGCAAATGGAAGATAGAAACGCATGGGATAACATATGTCGACGTCGCCAGTCCTTCGATCAGCACCCCGGCGCATGAGTTCATGGGGTACCTACATATATCGTGCGCCGTTCAGTACGAGCCGCGCTTCTCCTTCTCCTTCCGCCGGCGCCGCTTCTCGTCCTCGTGCCGCCGTTCTTCCTCCATGGCGAGCTCGTCCTCCTTCTTCGCGAGGCGCATACTGCACCCGGACCATTATTGATGAGCTGCGTGTACACACGATTTGTGCGAGGGACTGACCTTCTCAGCTCCTCCTTCTCGACGTCGAACGCGCCAGCCTCCATATCCTCATCGTCGCTGTACACATCGCGCTGGATGTACGAGGAGCGATCCTTGCCGAAAAGCTTCCAGATCTCGCTGCTGATGTCATTGCGCGCGGACCCAGCGGCCGCAGGGCGGCGCTTGGTCGGAGGGGGCGAGAGGCTTGAGGACGGCGAGCGTGGCCGCTTCTTGATAGGTTGCCGGCTTGCTGGAGCGGCGGACTTGGATGGAGCGGACGTGGGGGGACGGGGCGCCTTAGCGCTGAAAGAACTGACAGTTGAAGGTTTGCCGTTGGTGGTGGCCTTCGATGCACTCCCGAACTTCCCTGGGGCACTTGCGCTGCCTCGCGCAGCGGGAGGAGTGCCTTTGGGAACAGATTGCGACTTCGATGCAGATGTGAGCGGGTGTGGGGAGGCGGAGCCGCTGGCGGCCTTGGATTGGCTGCTCGAGGAGGGCCCTGCGACGGCGGGCGTGTTGGCACGAGAGGTGGACGTGGACGTGGTGGGCTTCTTCGCGGTGTCCTTCTTGGCCTTGCCGAACCAGTCGCTGAACTCGCGCGCCTGGTCGCCGTCGAGGACCTTGCCCTGCCGCAGCTTCGCGTTGTCCTGCACGATCTCGTCGATGGTGCGTGTATCCCGCTTCTGCTGGTTCACCATGTAGAGTGTCACGGGCTCCGCCGCAATGCGCTCTTTGACCGACTGGCTCCGTCCCGGCGATGCTTGCGAAGACAACCCCAGAGTCTTCGTCGTGATGTCGACCGCGCCACCAGGAAGCCTTCTCCCAGGCTTGCTATACCCCGAGCCTGCCGTCGTCCGTCTGAACGAGCCTTTGCTGCCTCGCAGGTCCGCCTGCATGCGTCGTTGGCGCTTTTCCTCGCGCGTGAGCGCGGAGGCTGCGCCGTCGTCGTCGTTCGAACGGCCCCCACGGGCAGAGCCAGAGACTGGATATCCGCTCTTGTCCGTGCGCCCTCCTTTGGGGCCATACCGCAGGGCATCCCGCTCCTGCTCTGCGCGGCGCTCCGCCTCGCGCTCCTTCGCCTGCCGCTCCTCCTCCCGCCGCCGCCGGCGCTCCTCGTCGCGCTTCTGCTCCTCGAGCCGCTTCAGGCGGAGCTTCGCCTGCACCTCCTGCTCCCGCCGATCCTTCTCCTCTTGCTCCTTGCGTTTCTGGGCCTCCTTCTTCTGCCGCTCAGCGAGGGCTGACTGCACGGCGGCCTCTGATTGTCGGGTCTGGGAGACACTGAGTGCCATGAGAGCTGCGAAATTAGACATGTTGTGGTCGTGGAGGCGTGAGGTCTTGAAGAGCCAGGCAGTAGGTAGTCCGAGTAGTATATGGCGTCCAGAGCCGAGAAAAGGGCGTGAAAGAGGAAACCTGAGTCAGTAGCAGCAAGGACGATGGAAGTGGTAGGGTCAGCACACAGTGGCGTTCGGCGTCTATTACGGCCCTTCTTGCAACGACTACTGTTTGGTCCTGTTTGTGCACTGCCACTAGCCATTGCGAGGTTTCTCCAGAGCTCCGAGTTTCCTTGCTCTTGATTTCGCTCGTCTCTTGGCCATAACATTTGCTATCTCTGCTTTGTTGCACGGAACACCCTTGAAATTTGTTTTGTGTCTTTCTTCGAATCTTGAGCCCAACGATAGATCCTCTGGTTCAAGACCGGCGCTCAAAGGTCTATTTGCGACAAGGTCATCCAAATTGGGTCCGGCAGGGCGCCACGTTGCGTCCATTGTACTTGCTACCAACCCATATCCTCGATGTCAAATCGCGAAGAACTTTATCTGCAGCCATCGCAGGAACCCAAATACATCCCGTGCCATACAGTGTATGTCCCACCCTTGGTCGCAGCATCAGGCTGCGCGGCGTCAAGACCTACATATCCGAGCGGTGGAGAGGATTCTGTCTCTCATCGCTCATGCGTCTTTCCGAGGCTAAGCTACGGGCGTGAAGACGTCAGCGCCGTCGATGAATGTACGTATAGCAGCCAGGAACCCCGTAATGTCTGTGAATGATATATTTCTTCCGTAGCAGAAATGTCATCCCACCGTACTATATACGCCTCGGAGCGGAGGACCACGACGTGCGTACCTGTACTAACACCCGCCGCAGCTACACTGTGATCAAATCCGCAGACGCCTGTCTTGCTTGTGTATCAAATATAGCTGCGCGCAAAATGTATAAAGGGACCCACTCACGAATGAATTGAGACTACTCATCCTCGTCACTTCAGTAATGTCTTCTGTCCCTGCGCTCGTACTGCTTGCTTTCTCCGCAATATCCGCAGGATTTGCGGCAAATACCACTCAATGTCGCTGTCTTCTCGGTGATCCTTGCTGGCCCTCCCAAGCCGACTTCGATTCGTTGGCACAACAGGTCTCCCAGCCTCTCCTCCACCCCTTGCCTCCGGCACAGCCGTGCTACGTCGACGCAAACTCGTCTCAATGCGCCTCTATTTTGACCAACTGGACTGACGGCAATTGGCGAGCTGAACAGCCTGGCTCGATGCAGAACACCAACTTCGAGACATTCACGTTTTTCAACGGCACCATCGACGCTTGCTACCTCAACTTCACCCTCGGCATTCCTTGCCATCAAGGGAGCGTATCCGTCGTTGGCGTCAACGCGCGCACCGCTAGCGATGTCCAAGCTGCGGTGAACTTTGCCGCGAAGCATAACCTTCGTCTTGTCGTGAAGAGCACAGGGTAATAATTTCCCGCACCAGAGACCTATCGCGACTAAGCACTCGTTACAGGCACGATTATTTGGGACGGAGCGACGGCAGGGGTTCTTTCATGATATGGACTCATCACATGAAGAATATCACCATGCATCCCAGCTTCCAGCCAACAGCAGCGCCTCAAAACGAGACATATGAACAAGGTATTCCCTCAAGTTCATGACGCCTTCGCACATCCTGATTTTTTGTACTACAGCCATTACTGTCGGGGCCGGCGTGCAGTGGCATGAGGCCTACGCGGCCGCTAACGCCTCCGGGCGAGCAATGGTCGGTGGAGTATCGTCCGGGGGCTCTGTGAGTGCAGGCGGCGGTTGGCCTCTCGGGGGAGGACATAGCGCTCTTTCGCCGACCTACGGCCTTGGTCAGCGGTCTTTCTATCTCGTTGCCCTCCGCACTCATCTAAACGCGCCCCTTCAGGTGTCGATAACGTGCTCGAGATCTCCTTGGTCACAGCCAACGGCACACTCCTCATCGCCAACACCCACGTCAACTCCGATCTCTTCTGGGCTCTCCGGGGCGGCGGAGGCGGTACGTTCGGTGTAGTCACCTCGGTAACATACCGCACGCATCCTGTCGTGCCCGTCATCGGCGCCTTCCTCCTCGCCAACATCACCGGCTCGCAGCCCAACGCTGCCGCTCGGGAGGCGTTCACAGAGCTGGTGCGCATCACCCCGAACTTGACGGACGCCGGCTGGGGTGGATACACCATGTTCGAGGTAGGCGACAACATGATCTCAGTCACTCTGACGTACATCATCCCGAACGTGTCCTGGGAAGAGGCAAACACGACAATTCTTCCCTACCTCAACTTCGTGCAGGCGCTCGCTGCGAACTCGAGCTCGGATCCGAACCCCTTGATCGTGACAGCCGCGTTCACGGCGCCGTTTACCTCGTTCCTGGACTGGGACGCACAGGTGATTCCAAAGACTGGAGATGTGGGCTTCAACACCGAGCTGGGGTCTTGGCTCCTCCCCCGAAGCACCTTGAAGAGTGCGCCCGAGGTCGTGGCAAACACCGTGCTAAACACCTCATTTGCCTACTAGTATGTGCACCGGCTCACGTCTTTACATCCTCCTTCTTGACGTCCGCCTCTATTACATGCAGCCCCGTTGCAGGAGGAGCAGTCTCCCGCGTCGACCCCGATGCAACTGGCCTGAACCCAGCCTGGCGTACGGCTAACGTGCACGTCATAGCGGCGACGAATTGGCCCGAGGGCGCGACCTCCGCGACGATCAATGGACTACGCCAGGATCTGGAGGACAGCACCGCACGGCTGCGGGCCCTCGCCCCAGAGTCAGGCGCATACTTAAACGAGGTATGCACGACAACACCATGTTATCGCTCCCCCTCGTCACAATTCTTCATACTGACGGTACACTAGGCGTCCCTGTTTGAGCCCGACTTCAAGCACTCGTTCTTCGGATCCCACTATGACGCGTTGCGGGCGATCAAGCAAGTGTACGATCCGCTGAGTCTCTTCGTCGTGGCAGAAGGTGTGGGGTCAGATGAGTGGGATAAGGAGTTGAGGTGTCGTATCTAACTTGATGCTGTATACCAATCGGGAATCCTGACAATTTTTAACATGCCGACGGATTTTTGCCCGACTTCTGAGAGGGACGGGCTAGGTTGAATCATCGGGGCTGCTTTCCTTCATACTGATTCCCTATCAAGTAGGACGCTGTGCGGGGTGCCACATCTCCACCCTAGCTTCTGAGCCCACGGAGCGCCCATTGGGTGCGTGTAATACCATGCATACCGTGAGTCTTTTGAACATCAAGCTGCGCAACTTCATGATCACAGACTGGCAGCCAGATAAACGAAGAACTATTCAACACCGCAGCTACACACAGCGTATTCAGTAGTCACGCGGCGCAGATACTTGTACGCCGTCTTAAGTCCTCCATATTGAACCTGTGACTTATTTTAGACCGTTTGACAGACGGCCAAACAGTCCTGCACGCGAAAGCGCCCCTGGCGTACCAGCGTTTATATCGGAGTCACTGTCGATCACGCAGCTTCGCCGTCAGCTGCGCAGGTCTGTTATCTACACGCAGCCAAGCAAGGTGCATAAAAGGAATTGCTTCGTTCATGCCCCTAGTCGGCGTCACTAAGTCTCCCTCAGTGCAACTCGTCTCCGACGACCATGCGTCTCCCGGGAGTACTCGCTCTGCAAATTGCCCTTCCTATCCCCGCGGGGTACACGTGTACGACCCAGTGCCGCTGCCTTGTCGGCGACGACTGCTGGCCCTCCCAATCCGACTTCGACACATTGGCGCAGAAGGTGTCTCAGCCGCTCATCCACCCCACGCCATTCGCACAACCCTGCTATGTCGACGCGAACTCGGCCGAATGTGCCGTTATTATCGCCAACCAGACTAATAGCAACTTTCGGGCGGATCAGCCAGGCGCAATGCAGGAGCCCAACTTCGAGACGTTCACGTTTCCTAACGGCACCATTGATGCTTGCTACCTGAACGTCACCCTCGGTATTCCGTGCCATCAAGGCAGTGTGTCCGTTATCGGCGTCGATGCCCGCACTGTTGAGGACATTCAGGTGGCGGTGAAGTTCGCCGCTGAGCACAACCTCCGTCTTGCAGTCAAGAACACAGGGTGAGGTGCATCCTCGTCTTCGCAGCATGGACAAGACTGATATTTCTGCAGGCATGACTTCTTCGGGCGAAGCCATGCGCGAGGCTCCTTCGTGATCTGGACTCACCACATGAATAACCTTACCATGCACGAAAGCTTCCAGCCGACCGCGGCACCCTCGAACGAGACATACGAATTTGGTAGCTGATTTTCGCGCACACGAGACCCGTATATCCCCTGATCATCAACGCCCCAGCTCTCACCGTCGAAGCCGGTGTACAGTGGCATGAAGCATACTCAGCCGCTGATGCATCTGAGAGGACCATAGTCGGCGGAGTGACGGCGGGTGGTTCAGTGGGTGCAGCTGGAGGTTGGCCTGCCGGGGGAGGGCATAGTGCTCTCACCCCGACCTTCGGCCTCGGTCAGTGATACTCCCGCTATCGTCAAAATTGTACGCTCACCAAAAATGTTGGCACCTAGGCGTCGACAATATCCTCGAGATGACAATGGTTACCGCCAACGGCACATTCCTCACTGCTAACCCGCACGTGAACCCCGATCTCTTCTGGGCCCTCCGAGGCGGCGGCGGCGGGACCTACGGCATAGTCACCTCCGTCACGTACCGCACGCACCCCCGCGTACCCGTCATCGGCGCCTTCCTCAGCGTCGGGGCCAACACCTCCCAGCCGACTGCCGCCCTCCTCGCGGCGTTCACCGAGCTCGTGAGCATAACCCCGAGCCTCACGGACGCCGGTTGGGGCGGATACACGGATATCATCGTCCCTGCGCTCGCGGGCTCTGGCGCAGTTAGGTTCGCGATCGCGTACATCGTCCCGAACGTGTCGTGGGTGGCGGCGAACGCGACGATCCAGCCCTACTTTGACTTCGTCAATGCGCTCGCTGCGAACTCGAGCGGCGACGCGGCCCCGACGGCGGTCTCCTATGCGTTTACCAAGCAGTACGCATCGTTCTTCGACTGGTGCACGCACAACATCGCCGAGACTGGGGGCGTCGGTTCCAACCTCGAGCTTGGGTCGTGGCTGCTGCCTGGCACGGCGCTTGAGGGGAATCCACAAGGCGTGGCGGAGACTGTGCTGGAGACCACCGCGTCGTATCAGTACGTGTCTTATGCGGCGTTAAAATGTCTCGTTACTCACATCTTCTGCGCTTGTAGTCTCGTCGCAGGGGGCGCAGCCTCGCGCGTCGACCCAGATGCGTCTGGGCTTAACCCCGCCTGGCGCAAGGCCGTCGTCCACGTTGTCGGCGGAGCCACCTGGGCGGACGGCACGACCTCGGATGAGATCAACGCACTGCGTGCGGCTTTGAGCGATCGTAACGCGAAGCTGCGCGCGCTCGCTCCGGAGTCTGGCGCATACTTCAACGAGGTGCGTACAATGCAGTAATTGGCAAGTGACCAGCGCAGTGCTGATTAATGGAATTTCCTATGATTAGGCGTCGCCGTTTGAGCCCGATTTCAAGCAGGCGTTCTTCGGGTCGCACTACGACCGATTGAGGGCGATCAAGGAAGTGTACGACCCGCAGGACCTGTTCATAGTCACGGAGGGTGTTGCGTCGGACGAGTGGGACTCGACGCTGAACTGTCGCGTCTGACTCGCTGCTGTACACTGATCCTGACAAATATCCACATACTAAAGCATTTCCTCTGGTTCATGAGGGGGAGCCGGGGTCAGACTGACTCCTTCGCCTTATTGGTATGGAATTCTCTTTTTACTGATCGTTTACACCGCTTCCGGCTCGGTCTCCACGGAGTCCGTATGAAAGGTGATTTCAGATGCTGTTGTGCCGCTGCGCAGTGATATAAGAAACGCAGATAGGCCTCTAAGATATATTGGCGGTACCATGCCCCCGCGGTGGGAGATGTGACGGCGTGGCCTTTTCAAAGGTAAGCAACGCATCCCTTCTTTCGAGTTCACCGTCTCCTTTTCTGACCTAAAACTTCGCGGCTTAGCAGGGAATACAACGCTCTCGACCCGTCAGCGCGCAAACGACATCCCTGCATATTATTCCTCCGGCCATTGCGACGGGGGCGGGATGCAAATCAAGATATATGCGGTCATTTGCTCCGGCCGTCGTGCACGTTCTCTGTCGATCTAGGTTTTGCGCCCGTCATAATTGGAGCCAATGGTGTACCGCTCAACGCGGCGAGCGTAGTATGTGTCTCTGATTCCCTCACTCATCGGACTGAATAGACCGTACAGTGCCATCCGCCCCTCAAGTCTGCTGTGGGCCTGGGTGTCACCTCTCCATTCTAGCCTCTGAGCTTCCGGAGCGGCCGCGCCCGCCGGGTGCGTGTAATACGGTGTACACCGTGAGTTGGCGTTTGGATATCAGGCTGCGGAACTTTAGGATCACACAGCCAGACAGCCGAAGAAACATTGGACACCGCAGCCATACACAGCGTATTCAGTAGCTACGCGGCGCAGATACTTGTACGTCGTCTAAGTCCTCCATATTGGACTTGTGATCTATCTAGACCACTTGACTGACTGCCGGACGGTCCTGCGCGCGAAGGTATCCCTGGCATACCAGCGTTTACACCCGGCATGATGTCAACCACGCAACTTCGCCGTCAGCTGCGCAGGTCGGATATGTAACCTTCGGCCGCCTGCACGCAGCTCCAAGCAATATGTATAAAAGGGGTCGCTTCATTCATGCGACCAGTCGTCACTAAGTCTCCCTCAGTGCCACTCGCCTCCGACGACAATGCGTCTCCTGGGAGTATTCGCTCTACAAATCGCCCTCTCGATACCCGCGGGGTACGCGGCCAATATAGCCCAGTGCCGCTGCCTTTTCGGAAACGATTGCTGGCCCTCCCAATCCGACTTCGACTCGTTGGCGCAGAAGGTCTCTCAGCCGCTCATCCATCCCACGCCGTTCGCGCAGCCCTGTTATGTCGACGCGAACTCGGCCGAATGCGCCGCTATCATCGCCAATCAGACCGATAGCAACTTGCGGGCGGACCAGCCAGGCGCAATGCAGGAGCCCAACTTCGAGACGTTCACGTTTCCTAACGGCACCATTGATGCTTGCTACCTGAACGTCACCCTCGGTATTCCGTGCCATCAAGGCAGCGTGTCCGTTATCGGCGTCGATGCCCGCACTGTTGAGGACATTCAGGTGGCGGTGACATTCGCCGCTGAGCACAACCTCCGTCTTGCAGTCAAGAACACAGGGTGAGGTGCACTCTCATCTTCGCAGAATGAAAGCGACTTATATTTCTTCAGGCATGACTTCTTCGGACGGAGCGACTCGCGGGGCTCCTTCGTGATTTGGACTCACCACATGAACAACTTCACCGTGCACCAAAGCTTCCAGCCGACCGCGGCGCTCTCAAACGAGACATACGAATTCGGTAGCGGCGGTTTTCTCTGTTCCCTACTTTCGTAAGATACTGACAGCCAACATTGTAGCTCTCACCGTCGAGGCTGGGGTACAGTGGCATGAAGCATACTCAGCCGCTGATGCCTCCGGGAGGACCATAGTCGGCGGAGTCACGGCGGGTGGCTCTGTAGGTGCAGCTGGAGGTTGGCCTGCCGGGGGAGGGCACAGCGCTCTCACCCCCACCTTCGGTTTAGGTCAGTGGACACCCCGCCGTAACGCTGAACGATGCTCATCCCCTGCGATGGTATGAACCGTGGCACCCAGGCGTCGACAATATCCTCGAGATGACCCTGGTCACCGCGAACGGTACCTTCCTCGCCGCGAACCCGCACATCAACCCCGATCTCTTCTGGGCTCTGCGAGGCGGCGGCGGCGGCACTTACGGTATAGTCACCTCCGTCACGTACCGCACGCACCCCCGTGTGCCCGTCATCGGCGCCTTCTTGGGCGTCGGGGCCAATGCCTCCCAGCCGACCGCCGCCCTCCTCGCGGCGTTCACCGAGCTTGTGCGCATCACTCCGAACCTCACGGACGCCGGCTGGGGCGGGTACACGGACATCGTCCCCGCATTTGCGGGCGGCGGCGCGGTCGGGTTCTCGATCACGTACATTCTCCCGAACGTGTCGTGGGCGGCGGCAAACGCGACAATTCAGCCCTACTTTGACTTCGTCAATGCGCTCGCTGCGAACTCGAGCGGGGATGCGGCTCCGACGGTGCTCTCGTTTGCGTTCACCCAGCAGTACACGTCGTTCTTCGACTGGTACAATCAGAACGTAGATGAGACCGGGGGCGTCGGTTTCAACCTCGAGCTCGGGTCCTGGCTCCTGCCCCGTTCGACGCTTGAAGGCAACCCCCAGGGCGTGGCAGCGACCGTGCTGGGGACCACAGCTGGGTACTAGTACGTGACCAACACGGCGCTGCGATTATTCGTTACTCACATTTCCCGCATTTACAGCCTCGTCGCCGGGGGCGCGGCCTCGCGCGTCGACCCAGATGCGGCTGGGATTAACCCCGCTTGGCGCAAGGCAGCCGTACACGTTGTCGGCGGAGCTACTTGGGCGGACGGCACGACCTCTCACGAGATCAACGCACTACGAGCGGCTCTGAGCGACCGAAATGCTCAGCTGCGCTCGCTCGCTCCGGAGTCTGGGGCGTATTTCAACGAGGTGCGTAGGTTGTAGTGCTTGGCAAGTTGGTGCAGTGCTGACGCGCGAACTGTGCTATCGCTAGGCTTCGCCATTCGAACCGGACTTCAAGCAGGCGTTCTTCGGGTCGCACTACGACAGGTTGAGGGCGATCAAAGGGGTGTACGACCCGCAGGACCTGTTCATAGTCACCGAGGGTGTTGCCTCAGACGAGTGGGACTCGACGCTGAACTGTCGCATCTGAGCTGAACCGACGTTTCGGCTAGTGTACAGCACACATTGAACACGCGTGATGATGATGATAATGTTGGTGTTATTCCATCTATACCTACTGTGAAGGATATCGCTCAGGCTGGGAATATGGCTATACTCTGGTGCGGTTCTCTTCTTTTGTCTCTCTCTCTATAAGACCCCGCTCGTGAATGTTCGTGAATCCGTCCGCGTCCAACCCACACCCATATCTCACCCACACCGCCACTAACATACCTCTTGCACACTCAACCCTCTGCCCATACATACATATCCTAGTCCCGCGCGCTTGGCGGCTCACGCCTCGTCGTCGGACATCGTGTGCTCGGGCAGGGCGGTGCCAACGGCCACCGCGACGCACACGAGCGCGGAGAGCGCGTAGTACACGAGGTAGCCGCCCATGTAGTGGTGCTTCTCGTCGATCGAGAGCGAGAAGAGCGAGTTCGCAGTCGCGGGCCCCACCATGCGCATTACGGACACGAGCATCTGCGCCAGCCCGTTCACGGACCCCAGCGATGTCTTGTTCGGCGCGGACGCGGTAATGAAGATGAAGACGCAACCTACGCACGCCGGAATATCAGTCTCGCGCATTCACGCTGGTAAAAAAAAACAGAGGGGGAGAGGGGACTGACCGTAGGAGAAGTTGACGGCGATGCTGAGGAGTGCCTGGCCGAACACGAGCGCCCACACACCGCGGCTCAGACCCTCGATGCGCGCGAGCTCGTTGATGACCGGGAAGAGCGCGAACACGGGCAGCATGCTCGCGATGCCCGTAATATACACGCGCTTCGTCCCGAACCGGTCGTGTATCCACCCGAAGAAGAATATCTGCAGCACCCCGTTGATCATCCCGTACAGCGCTAGGATGAGCCCGATCGTCTGCGGGCTAAGCCCGAGCCCGCCCAGCGCGATTGGCGTTGAGTAGAATACGGGCTGGATCGCGCGCAGCGTCATGTCGACGACCGCGAGGAAGGCGTAGTTGCCCGCTGCGATAATGACGCGCGGGGTGAGCAGCTGCCGAAGCGGGAGCGGGCGCGCGGCGTCCGAGGCGGCCAGCGTGGACTTGGGCACCAGCACGTTGTGGTCGACGGCGGTGGCGGTTTTGGCCTTGGGGGTGAGGCGGAGGAGTTGGCGGACGGAGATGGGGTTGCGGACGGTCTGTGGAAAGTCAGGGCGCGTTAGCAATGGCGAGATTGGAAGGTGGAAGATCAACGTGCCTCTTTCAGGTAGAACAGAGTAACGAAACACGCGACGGCTGAGAAGGTCGCGGGGATGGCACATGCAAGGAAATAAGGATAGGTCTTGAAGAACTCAATGTGTCCGAATACGTTAGGGAAATGCTCTGCGGGCCGCGATAAAGTGCCGCCGATCATAGGACTGTTGGAGAAGTGAGCCGAGTGTACTTGCACAGAAGAGCAGATAGCTTTACCCTAGAGTCGCGCCTGTGGACCACGCGAGGGGCAAAAAGGCGTACGCCTGCGCTATGTTCGAGGGATCTGTGATCTCAGCTAACACACTCTTCATGACTCCGATGTTGCCGTTCAGAGCGCCATTGAGACTCCGGCTGTGGACGGTTAGAAAGAGGCATTGAAAGGTGCCTGATTCACGTACCTGATCACAGCTCCCCAGAACGTCCGCGACAGACCGAAGCAGTACATGGATATGGAGAGGCCCATAAGCCCGATCATGATGACTGGCTTGCGTCCTACGTGGTCCGAGATGCGACTCCAGTGCAGGACGGTGAGAGCCTGCGTCGCGTAGAAGATGGATTGCTGTACATATCACAGTGAGCGACTTCGACCGAGTACTTTGTCGCGATACTAGAGAGCGCGTATGAGGCGTGCGAGGATTCCCGCAGTGGTAGTTCTCGTTTGCCCGACAGAATGCCGGATCGCCGTCCCCGGTGGTTCTCTTACGAAGTCGGCAAGATGTAGAGTTACGTACCATCAGCCCAACATAGTATCCCACCCGCGTCTCATCTCCATGGGTAATCCCGATGTTCCGTATAAGCTACACACATAAAAGTTAGACTTGAGTGCGGTTGGTGTGTGATCTTTGTGTGCTGCTTACATCTGGCGCAAAGGGATTAATGACCTGGCTCGTAAGAGGCTCCGCGAGCTGCAGAATGAGGATAATCGCGAACTGCCCCCAAGGAATGGGCGTATGTTTTCTTTTGTGGGGTGCCTGGTGTTCCTCGGGGAGCAGAGGCGTCTCCTCGTCGGCTTGGTCGAGTCGCGCGGTCATGACAAGAGAAACGGAGTGAAAGGAAGGGGGGAAAGACGGAGAGAAAGAGGAGGGAATTGAGGGTCAAGGGGAGACACTGAGCATGCTGTGGGCCGGACAGAGAGCATTATAAGTGCGCTGTGTTCGGCGGAAAGCCGATGACTCAAAGGAGACGGCACTGAGGGCTCTATCAATGCGATTACCTAAATAGACGCACCCATGACATTCTTGTCAGAAATCGTCGACGTTCGCGATCCTCGTTCTCTCACAATTTTAACTACCGACTCGCCCGCGTCCTCTCTCATTTGCACCAGGGCGGTGTTTACTGCGGCAAATTGACTGCCAGATGCATGGCTGGACGTGCGGGGCGACGCGCCGACGAAGCGATTGGCGGAGAAAGATGGGGGAGCGGAAGAAAGGTGAACCCTGTGTTCGTTTTTCTGCTCAGAGTTGCGCGTTTGAGCAATATGATTCCGTAATAATGATCGGCTGCCACGTGGTTTTTAGGCGCTGGTAAGTGTGTTGCAGCAGTGGAGGGCAGTCCGCCGTTCTCGTCTTCCTCTCATCTTGCCTCCTCTCCAACTCAACTGCGGTACTCTCCTCGTCAGCTGCTCCTGTGCGACCCACGGACGACTCAATGGCGCGCTCGCACACTCTGGATCTCTGGCACACGTAAAATAGCGACAAATCCCGGCGTCTCGATCAGTGCGGTCCATACGCCGCCTTGTCCTTTCTTCCTTCGTTGCCGCTCGCTGCGGTGTCTAGGGCCGTTCCGACCTCCTCGCCTATCCTTTCTCTCAGGGCCCTTGGGCGCAAATCAGACTGGCAAAGGCTAGCTACCCGCCTACGTCGCGTCAATGGTACCTACCTAGCCTCGCTTCGAGATCCCGGTCCCCTAGCCATGGCTTGCTCCCATATCAACCACGACCCTGGCTCATCGTCACGCTCACGTTCATTTGTGATTTCAGAACAAGGCCCAAGCGTAACCACCCACGCCTCTTAGCCACCTCCGCCACCTACTTAACCCTCCGCGACGGTACAGTTTTCTCTCCATTCTACACTCTCCCGTACGAGTATGTTGTCCATGCAAGCCACTCACACCTCCTCTATGCGCCACCCTTTCTCGTCAGCGTTTGATAGCCCCTTCGTCGTAGCGGAGGTAAATGGCAGTACCATGCTGGTCGACTCTGCCTTTTGGGATACTATCACATTCCCTGGGTCCACCATGAACAGGCGCATGTATGACCTTCCTCGGGCGGAGAAGCCGCGGTCCTTCACGCTACCCTCCTGGCAGAGCCTAGCTGGCTTCAACACCTTCGGAGACTCCGTCCTGGATCCCTCCGAGCTGCCCCAGCGACAGCTTTCGCCTATAGGGTCGCGTCGCACTCCCCACCGCCCGCCCCTCGCTGCGCTCGCACCCGTGCCGCAAAGGACCCAAGCAAGGCCTTTGCCAAAGCCGCCGACGGTAGCTCAGGCGCAGGGCAACCGCGCCACTCACCCGCTCCCGCCACGTCCGTCCTCGGCGCCCCCGCGGATTCAACGGATCGCTTCCGTCGCTCGTGTACAGGAAGCGGAGAAGATCGTGGAGGTTCCAGAGCCACTCGAGGACGCGCAAGGTACACAGACCACTGTGACTGCGAAGATCGAGCACCCCCCAAGCGAATGTCAAGGCGACCCTCTCTGTCCCACCCACCGAAAGCGTCCTGCTCGCGAGACTGGGCCTCACAAGAGGGCGCCGTTGCAGTTGTACGAGAGTCGGCCCAAGTTCGGGTACGTCGCCACTCCTGCCTTCTATTTCTGTCTTGCCTCGATGTCTGAACTGACGCGCGCTGTATATAGTTCACGGCAATGCAACGACTTCGACTGCACGGGCCGGAATTGTCATGATTGCAAGTACCTCATAAACCGCGGCGGTTCGCTGTGGGCGCAGCTCGCGCGCCCCATGATCGAGGACAAACTCGAGGACATCAGCCTGGACTCGGCGTATGCGGAGGACACGCTTGCTTTGCTGCGGTTCCGCGCGACGTTCCAGGTCCGGCGGTCGATGATGCTCTGAGCGGGTGTCCCCCGTCTCGCGGGAGCTAGGCCCCGAGTCTCGAGAACCGAGAAGTTGTCGTCGTCGTTTGTATCTTGTACCACCACCACCGCACCATCACTACCCCACCACCATGTATGCCTGAATCTGTGTATGCCTCGTATCCTATGTTACATGCCATCATTATGCCTCCACTCTCGCGCGTGTCTGAGATCAAGAAGGGTCCGAATTCTCTCGAGCTGGGCGAACGAGCGTCGTGCGCGCCATATTCCTCGAGTCCGCTTACGGGCAGAACGTGATGGTGTAGTCCGCCGCCGAGGCCGCGTCGCACGTCCAGAGCGCGGTCCCGCTTGACTCGTCGAACGCGTACGCGTACGAGTCCGGGCAGTTCGACTCTGCACGGTCCCAATGAGCTCACGGTTGACTCCATGCCAAGAACGAGAGAGAGGCGTACTGAAGTAGGAGTAGTCCTGCACGCCGGAGTTCGGGCACGTCGCGGGCGTGTTGAAGCTGCCCGAGCAGCAGTTCGGGTTGTTCGCTGCGTGCAGGAGAGGCAATCAGCATACATTATATGCAGTCAGGAAGAGACGGTGAGACGTACCGGGGTCACCGCCGAGACCCGCGGCGCAGGCGCTCTTGCAGCCCACGGCGACGCCGTTCGAGTCGAAGGGGCCCTTGAGCTCGGTGGGGCCTACAATGTGGCTACTATTAAGTCGACGTTGGGGTTCGTCAGAGGGGTGCCGACTCACAGTTCGGGTTGAGGTCGACCGGGCAAGAAGCCTCGTGGCAGCCGGCGCTGTTCGTGACAGCCATAGGCAGGTTGAACCCGTCGACGAGGGACACTGAAATGGGCGCATTAGCAACGCGTCCGTCTGCTAGACGAAACGGGGGAAGCTTACCGTCGTAGTTGTCGGGCGCACCGCCGGCGACGCCCAGGGTGAACTCGGCAACGGTGGCGGGAGGAACACCCTGCAGCGACCCAGGATCAGCACATGTTCTACAAAGTCCAGACAACTTGGCGAGAGACGCGTACCGTGCCGGTGTGCGGGTCGCACTCGAGGCCGCCGTTGCAGCCGCCGTCGAGGCACTGGTTCGGGCCCGGGGTGCCCGTGCTGAAGTCGCAGTCGCGGCGGCCCCAGATGCGGCCCGCCTGCCAGTTGTCGGGGACGGTGAACGAGACGGTCTGGGCGGCGTCCTGCTCCCAGCCGGTCGGCTGGTCGGGGGTGGCGGAGCCGACGTTGAGGTCGGTGAACAGCTGAGAGGGTCGTCGCGTCAGTACTGGTTCAAAGTGTAAGGATGGGCGAGCGAAGCAGGGCGGCACATACCGCAGGCCTGCGAGTAAATGGATACGGTCAGTAATAGTGTAGGGAGAGGGTACTCGGTGGCGGGACTGACCAGATCGTGAACGGGCAGTTGTTGACGACCGTGAACGTCCGGGCGGACGCCTTCGCGGCGAGCACGGCGAGGGTGACGGTTGCGATGAAGCTCTTCATGATGAAAAAAGTATACGAGCGTGCGGTGGTCGTAGACTGAGATGATGAGCTGGGCAGGGCACAGGATGCTCTGTTCGTTTCCAGCATAGACTGCAGGGTCTTTATACCTCGAGCAGCGCCAAGTTGCTGTGGTCACCCGCCACGAACGTGAAGGGAGACCAGCCCGCACATGTGCGCCCGAAGCCGGATGCTGGTCGCCAGCCTGTCGAGACGAGCGGACCAAACGGCAACAGCTCCACCTCCACCTGCCGGTGGCCCAGTGCCCACGAAGAGCGCATCAGGCATTACACCGTTCGCATATGCCGCAAGATGCGACGGCGCGCCGAGACCAACCTCGCAGACAAACTGGCAGCTGTGACGTCGCGCCGCCTCGGCAGGCTTCTCGTGCGCCTCGGGAGATCGTGCTGTGACCTGTGATTGCAGCTGCGAGAAGGCGGGGACGCTGCGTATCTGCTGATGGTTGCGGATGCCGATGGCGGCGCGGTGGCGGCGGATGGTCAAGTGCGCGGGGGCTTCGCGATGGGATACGTAGCCGCGAACTAGAGCGACTGCCATATCGAGGGCTGCGCACCACCGCCACCGCGGCGCAGCATTCTGAAGCATATGCTCGGCCTTGTGGCATCGTCGTCGGCTATTGGAGGATGATCAGCAATCGTGCACTAATGTATAATGTATCAGCAAAGAACAAAAATACCCACTAGTTCTTAGGATGGTCGTCCGTCCTTTGTAAGATCCTGAATGCGCCTGTAATCTTCCTTGGTCGAGGCACCTACCGGCAACAAAATTATATACCTAGACCCACTTCGTGGGGTCCATACTGACGGCTCGGCTTGAACGGAGGTAGAGCTGTGCCGTGTCAAGGTGTCGCATAGCCTAATTGCGAGCCGGCCGAGTATGCGGCGCGCACAGCTGAGTGTCGGTGACGACACGAGAACTCAAGAAGCCGTCCGACTGTGATCAAACGGAGTGATGATCGGCCGGGTACAAGTCTCCTCCCTCATGCGGGCGCACGTTCTTGTTCAATACCTTCTCGCTTGGAGTATATGCTGACGAGATTCCTTCCCATGGGTGTATCTAGACAGCTGACATGGTCATCCGCGGTTATGTAGCCATAAAGAACGACAGGGAGCGGAGCTATCGGACGCACACAGTCTATTCTGACGCCGCGACAGAGCTGGGCCCTCGCACTTGTACTCCATGTACGGAAAGGAACCATCCGTGCCGAGGTTCAGCGTTAACAACTGTATTGCTTAACGGCGGTAGAATCAGTGATATAGTACAAGGAGCTCCAATGAACCTTCTCTTTGACTTCGGACTGCGTCGTGCCTTTTTGTGCCTTGGCCCTCTCTTAATTACGCCCTCGGAGCTGCACTTTCAGAAGAGGTTGTAGTACCGAGAAAGCGGAAGGTGCGTCGCGGGCGCGATGTCCTGGAGCTCGCCGTCCGCATGCACCTCGTAGTTCTCAGGGTCGACCGTCATTTTCGGCGTCGCGTCGTTCCACTTCATGTCCTTCTTCGTCACCGCGCGGCAGTTCCGCACCGCCTCGAAGCGCTTCTTGAGCCCGTACGACGCGATGACACCCGACGAGATGGAGATTTCCGACACGAACGACACGGAGTTGAGCGCGGCCGACGCCGGGTGCGCGCCCCACATCGGGCGGCCCATGTAGGGCTGTACGATAGGGATGGAGGCGTTCGCGTCGCCCATCTGCGTGCACGCACAGAATTGGAAAGCGAGAGAGTCAGTATGAGTGCGAGTAAGAGGCTGCCGGAACGGGACGAACCTGTGCCCATGCTATGACGCCGGACTTGAGCACCATCTCCGGCTTAGCGCCGAAGTTCTCAGGCTTCCACAGCACCAAATCGGCGAGGGTTCCGACCGCGACCTGTCCGACGAGGTGGCTGATGCCGTGCGTGATAGCCCTAGCGCGAGAGTCACCGGGAGTCAATACGTGCAAATCCAGCAGCGGTCGGGCGGAACTCACGGATTGATGGTGTACTTTGAAATGTAGCGCTTCACGCGGGCGTTGTCGTGCCCGTCATAGTCGCCCAGCGCAGCGAGCGGGCCGCGGAACTCGCGCATCTTGCTGGCGGTGCGCCACGTCCGGCTGACCACCTCGCCGATGCGCCCCATCGCCTGCGAGTCGGAGCTGATCATGGAGATCGCGCCCGTGTCGTGGAGCACATCCTCGGCGGCGACGGTCTCTGCGCGGATGCGGGATTCGGCGAACGCCAGGTCCTCCGGGATGGAGCGGTCCAGGTGGTGACAGACCATCAGCATCTGTGGGGTCCGCTGTCAGCGTGGAATGCAGGGTGGAAAGGCTATTTGGGCGGCATACATCCAAGTGCTCGTCCAGGGTGTTGCCGGTGTAGGGGCGGGTGGGGTTCGTGGACGACGGTAGGACATTGTCCAGCCCGCATACAACGATGATGTCAGGGGCATGACCGCCGCCTGTGACCGGTCAAACGCTGTCAAGAGGAGCACGGTATGGATGAAACACACACCTGCGCCTTCAGTGTGATAGGTATGGATCGTGCGGTTTCCGAACGCAGCGATGGTACCTGGGATAGAAGTATGAGGAGCGGTCCTTAGGACTCCAAACTGCAGCCGATGGGAACGCACTTTCGACAAAGCCACTCTCATTCAAAGTATCCGTGTGTATGTTGACCTGCACGGCGTCTGTGAGCGGCATGTCGTATGTCCGGAGACGTTTGAACATACCTGAACGTCGTACTTGTCGCCGATATCCAGCGCGGTGACAATGACGGACGGCGTCGAGCCCCAGTCCTCGTGCAACTTCAAGCCCGCCGCGCCAGCCTTGATGATATCCTCCATTGCGTTCGGACCGGTGTCGTTGCCCTTGCCCGTGATCGCGAAGTTCATCGGGAGCCCGTCCATCGCAGCCAGCATATGACGCATATAGAACGGGCTCGGCGTGCACGTCGTCGCGTTCGTGCTCGCACTCGGGCCCGTCCCGCCCCCAATCATCGTCGTCGTGCCCACCGCGAGCGCCTCCGTGACCTGCTGCGGGCAGATGAAGTGGCAGTGGGCGTCGATGGTGCCCGCGGTCACGATGAGCTTCTCGCCTGCGATCACCTCCGTGCCTGAGCCAATGACGAGGCTCGGGTGCACCCCCGCCATGACATCTGGGTTGCCAGCCTTGCCTATACCTGTGATCACGCCGTCCTTGACCCCGATGTCCGCCTGGCAGGGAGGTGCGGTCAGATACAGGCCGGCGACAGCATGAAGGGAAGCGCACCTTGTAGATGCCGGTCCAGTCCACGATGAGCGCGTTGGTTATGACCAGGTCGAGGGTCTCCGCGGCCGGCCTGTTTGTGGCTTGGCCCATTCCTTCGCGGATCGTCTTCCCTGAAATGAGGATCAGTAGAATTCCTCTGTGGGTGACGTCTGACTTACCTCCACCGAACTTGGCTTCATCTCCGTAGACACACTGACATGCGTGCAAGACATCAGCAGCAGCCCTGCATACCGACCACCTAGACGCACCTCGTCGCGCTCGACCTCCACCCAGAGCGCAGTGTCTCCAAGGCGAACACGATCCCCAACCGTGGGGCCGAACATCGCCACGTACGCCTCGCGCCCGATGTCCGTGTCTTCGTGCACCTCCAGTGCGCCGGGCTCGGGGACATGCCCGAATCCCTTCTGCACAAGCTTGCGCACGATGTCGTCGGCAATCGACGGCTCGACGACCCCAGTCGCGAGACGGTTGCCGCCGGTGATGATCTTTGCGCCCGCGATCGCGCAGAGCGTCACCGTCTTCGAGTCGCCGGGCTCGAAGCGCACGGCGGTCCCGGCCGCGATGTCGAGGCGCTTGCCGTACGCCTTTCCACGGTCGAACGACAGCAAGGGGTTCGTCTCGATGAAATGGTAGTGCGAACCGATCTACATAGGGAATGGAATATGTCAGCCATGTCGCCGGAGATGTGCACGGAAATTCACGCAAGGATGCGATCCTCCGGCATCGACCATACATGCCGGCAAGGACGCTGTCAGAATGATTTGCCCATTCCATTCTGACATGAAATGCAGAGAAGTCGACTACACGCGCAGCTGTCACTCAGGCTGCCCGGGAATGAGAGCATAATTCCACAGATATCGACGTGAGGGAGTTCCGCAGCGTTGAGGTTTAGCCGTGCTGTTACACCGCTCTGGATGTATCCAGACGGTGACCAAGCCTTCCAGATCCTGGCTTTGCGCTAGGCAGCCTATAGTCATACATGCTCGCAAAAGGAGATGTGCGCCTGTCATTGCAAGGTGAACTGTAGACCAAGATCCGCCTCACATCCCGAAACAGTGGTGTGAGAACTATGAATACAGTTGCTCACTTCCAATGTTTCAGGGTGTCCTCGAAACAAATGTCTAAAGATAGCGTCCCATCTGCGCCTACCCACGACATGAGAGATTGCGCACCTGGATGGGTCTGTCTCCGTTGTTAGTCACCCGCAGCCGGATGCGCTCTCGGCCTTGGTTGATACTAATCCTGCTCTTCTTCACCACGACGACCGCGCCCGGTGCATTCTCCGCAGAGTAGTCCGTGGCGACGATAATCGGGAAGACGTCGTTCGCGGGCACTGGCAGGAACGACCCATACAGCGCCGCTTCCAGGTTGCCCTCGTCCGTGCAAACCGGATCGTGCACGGTGACGAGGAACACACTAGTATGGCGCGTTCGGCATGCATGCATATATAGGCAATCGGACGGGCTCACCCATCGGGGAACGTGCCCTCGACCTGGATCTCGTGGAGGAGTGCGGACACGCCGGGGAGGACGTGCCGTCTTCCGAGCAGACACTTGCCGTGCTGCATAAGCTGGGCCACGGAATGCTTGCCATCTCTGATTCGCTCCTGCAGCTGGGAAGCGATCAGGGCGATGGCTTCTGCCTGGTTGAGCTGGAGTCCTCGCGCGAGCCGTTTCTGCGCAAGGAACCCCGCCTACGACGCGTTTGGTCCCGTCAGTGATTGTCTCTGGGGTGCATGCACTGCGGCGTACCTGGTGCAGGAGGAGTTTGGCTTCCTCTCGTGGTAAGAGACGCATAGTCGCCGCACTGCTGCTGCTCGCGTCAACGTTGTCAAAGCGGTGGTTGCGCCTAAAATGCGCTGTCTCGCGAAGCTGCTCTGCCTTGCGGTGTACACGAGGTGGGCCGTGTCGCGCACAGGGTGGACGAGGACGCTGGGAGACACAGAGAAGACTTCATTTGGAGAGGGGCTAGCAGGACGATAAGTGCGGCACGCGCAGTGCGATAAGTAGCAACTGAACGCGTCCCTGGGCGGGGAAGGCTAGATAAGATCTCGCTGGGCCTAGATAAGATTTTTTGATGCCTCGAGGCGGCGAGTCGAGCAGAGGACGCTGTGTTCGTCTCCTCGTTCTTCCTCCTCATCCCCATCTGTCGTCTGTTCATCTGCTACACTCCCTGCTACACCTCTTCTTAGCAATGGAACCCTGCTTCACTTGGATTGACGTCTCCTATGACTCCGGTCTCCAGACACTGCCCTAGCGGCTAGCATCGGGATGTTCCAGCGAAACCACAGCGGCCTGTTACGGTGCCTCCCGCACACGTCGGGTCAGCGCGTACCTCGCGGCGGGACAGGGCGGGGTGGGACAACAAGCTTGATTGGGATGCGCGCGCCGCTCAGGACCGTCGTGAGTTCTGGGCTTACCGATCGTTAATTGTGTGCCACCACTGGGACACAATCGTTGTGCTCTCACGTCGCGTTGAATTGTCCTGCAGAGATGAAATGCTATTTCCAGCGAGCTCCGAGGTTCTGCTAGGCATCCTCGGAGTGATAGTTGCGGTCGCGACGCCGGTGAACGTTTGGCATCAAGCATATCAGCCTCCGTGGAAGCACGTCTGTCCATGCGCGCACAGCACGCGCCTTGCTCTGACTTGGGTCTCTGGGCGGGAGCTGTGCGCGGCGCGCCGCCGCTCCCGACGCCATACACTGCATCAGCGCGCCGGATGACCAGCAGTACGAAAGCTCGGACGGAACACAGCGTCGTGGGTTCAGCATGGCCGACGAGAGTGGCGGATTGACTCGAGTGCGATGCTAGGCGCCGGCGCCCGGGGCACCAAATCGGGCAAGGGAGGTCACGTGGGGTGGGGCACTGGGTGGTATTATACCCCGCGCTTTGTGTCTGCGGAGGATCACCCTTTGTCCTTCCGACTCCATCCCGGCCAGTCGCTCCTCCTCGTCTCCGCACTTAAGCTCGTCCATGTCCTGCGCTGTGGCCCTCCCGACCCCTGCGTCCCCGACCTCCCACATCCCGCGGAAACGCACCATGTCCTTCTCGACGCCCGCACCTCTCAAGTCCGCCCGGACCTCGCTTCGCCGCACGGGCTCCTACCTCTCCCTCGCGGACATGCAGGCCGCCGAGTACACGCCACTCTATGGGCGAGACGGGCCGACAAAGTCCTACACCGCCCTTGACAGTCTCGTTATCGGCCAGTACGACCAGCGGATGCGCACCCCCAGACGGAGAACGACGCCGTTGCGTTCGCCGACCCTCCATACCGCGCCCGCGACGCCACAACCCTCGTCGTCCCAGATCCTCATTCTCACCTCCCGCCGCACCGTCCCACGTCCGCGCACATCCTCGCCACTCGCCCCGGTGCAGCGCACGCTCGGCGAGCGTCCCTCACTGCCCTGCACCAAGAAGCGCGAGCCAGACCTATACCGCGCCGCGATTGAGACGCGCATGAAGCTCTCGCCCGTCGGGCGGCACATTCTGCGCATGGGGCCCAGGGTTGCGCTCTCCATCCTCTCCGCGACGGAAGCCCTCGAGCACCTCGTCGCCGATGCGGACCCGCAGTGGCGTGGCGACTCGGCGCTGGGCGCCTCGTGGGTCGACGTCAGTCCGGAAGATTGGGAAATGGTCGACCACAGCCTCTAGGCGCAGCAGTCGCGTTCCCTTTTCGCCTTCGACGCGCGGCGCGGGCTGCGCAGCCACGTCGTCGCCCTCGTCCCGGGGCTCGTGCGGACGCGCGGTGCGTGCGTGGCACCGGCTCCCGCGAGATACTCCGCGGCTCTTTTTGCACGGGCGAAGGCGTCGGCGCCTCCTCGCTCGCATGACTTATTCTTTTCGGGTCTCCCACGCGACTTCCTCTCATCCGGCCGGGCTCTATGTGTTGGAGCAGTTATCGTTTCGTTTGAAGAATATATCCCTGGACTTGTAAAATACCGTCGCTTTGTATGACCATTACCCCCCTCGCTTTGTAGTACTTCGTCGTATACTCATCTGTACAGCACCGTAACCTCCCACCATGCGCCACCACACCCCTTGCCGCCTAATACCAGTCATTTCTGTAACTGTATCGGTGTTCGTGATGAGTGTCAAACCATTCCTCCTGCGGAAATTGGAGTGTTGCATCGCACGCGGCGTATCGCGGCGTGTGCCGCTGCGCGCCACTGTAGCGGCGGTGGCTGTGGTGCGACCAGAGCGCATATCTGCCGGGCCTTGCGACCGTCTTTTTTTTTTTTTGGATCTAGGTTATTATTTAACATGTAGTGCTTGTACAGCCGTCTACGCTAGGATTAGGCCTTGCGACCGTCAACGCCGCGCACAAGTACTCTTCTTGCTATCGTTGACTTCTACGTGCCACCTCTCGTCATCGCGCTATCCGTGTCTGGCAGATTTGGCTGGAACTGTCATGCCTCCTCACTTGTAAGGACACGATCTGGGCCCGGCCTCGCTACGAGCCGTGACACGCTCTGACCGGAACCATCGCGACAAGCATCGTATCGTCGCGGCTGTGCCGCGCCAGGGTCTCCGAGCCAGTGGCTGCGCCTATAAGAAAACCCAAACATATTGACGGCGTCTGCCTCCACGCTACACACCTCGGTTCCAGCAGATAGAACACTCTCTGCGAGCTTCTACCGCTGCTACCCACCCAACCACAGCTAAGGGGGGATGCTGAATGACCTAGATCCTGCCGGCCGCATCTTTGAAGAAGGTTCTCATACCGAGATGAACAGATGGGAGCCCAAAATATGTTCCACAACAAAGTGTATTACTTATGGTAGAGGCGTCTTAGTGTTCCGCCCACGCGAGCTCATTCAAATAGAAGACAGGTACGCGCGACCATCGACTGACCGTAGGCAGCGAACATGTGCAGCCGCTCAAGACGGGTGTTCGTAGCATCAACGCTGGTGTCATGAGGGCGTCCGGGCGCGCCCAGCTGCGCCTGCTCACAAAGTAGAAAAGACCCGTCCGACGGGGAACGAAGGGCAGGACAACTTTCGCCTGCTTGATCCCCGCCCATCTGTAGCTTGCTCAGTATGAAGACCGTCTCCGCCATCGTCTCCCTGGTCTTGGCCCTGAACGTCGCGGCCGTGCGGCAGTTCACCGTCTTCAACAATTGCACCGAGACCATCTGGTAAGCTGCTCCTTTCATCGTCAGTGGGCAACCTCACTCACAACTGTTTTCCGACTCCAGGCCAGCAGTGAGTCTTGCTGCTCTGCCACCCGCTAGCTTTGATCGTGTTGCTCACTAGTATATTGTGCGAATAGATTTTCACGGATCTGACCGTCGGCAATGCCACGCCCAACCAGCCTACAGGGTAAGTTCCTTTTCACTAGCCCCTCTATGATGAATATCAGTGGTATACCGAATAGTCTTACACTACGTATGGTCATAGGTGGCTGCAGCCTGCCAAGAACACCACAAAATTCGAAGTGCCCGACAACTGGCGCTCCGGTCGGATCTGGGTATGCTTTGGCCACCTTTCCAGCATATATCGCCCCATGCTAACGGCGTCGGGAATGTAGGGCCGCCGCAAGTGCAATTTCGCCGAGAATGCAAACTTACCCGAGAGCTGCATCGTCGGAGGCTGCAACGGGGGACTGGAATGCGACCCCCACACCGGAACGGTCCGTTCAAGTCGTCTTTGGACCGCGTAATTTTAGCTCACAGGCGAGATCTTAGGGCGTGCCTCCTGCCACCTTGGCGGAATTTACCTTGGGCACCAACGGCGTTCCCGATAGCTACGATGGTAAGCAGCGATCCACAATTCAATACCGGAGGAGTCGTAGGCACTGAGCAAGGCGGCCCGGGACTCAGTCTCTATGGTCGACGGTCACAACTTGCCGATGAGGATTACCCCATCCCATCCCGACTGCCACGTTACGGATTGCCCGGTGAATCTTGTAGAAAATTGTGAGTCCGTCATATGAATCATCGCAGGGACGAACGTCTGAATAAACCGCTCACGCAGGCCCGGAACCACTGAGCGCCCCAACCGACGAAAGCGGCAAGCTGTGGGGGTGCAAGACCTCATGCAGCGCTGGCCTTGCTGGCTACGGTACGTTTCGTCAGTTGTTCAGGCGGTCAAAATCTGGCTAACGCGGCCTCCTCAGACAACAGCCCGAACTGCTGCTCTGGGGAATTCAACTCCCCTGCGAAATGTCCCAGCTCCGGGGTGGCGTATTACGAACACTTCAGTGCGTAAATTCAGATCGCCCCTCGAAGGGATCTGTGGCCCCACTGACATATCGGCCACTTTCTTTTCTAGAGGGTAACTGTCCGAACGCCTACGCCTACGCGTACGACGACGCCACAGCGCTCTTCAGCTGCGACTCCGCGCTGCAGACTGACTACACCATCACCTTCTGCCCCGGGCCGTGAAGAATGCGCCACCCCTAGCCTCAAACTCTGTAGACATATTCTCGCAGCCGGATACGTTCTTACTTCCCACTTCTTGTAGTCGGCGGCCGCTATGACGTATACCCGCGTATCCGGAGGACAGCCGCCTACTGTAGATGCATGTGGACATATGCATCGTGTGGTGCCCGTGCCTGCCACACATTACAGCACCGTACACGCGTGTTCCTAGCTGTCTCCCGATCGTGCCCCCGATCTCGAATGTCCCTGCCCTTACTGGTGGCGTTTACTGGGCGTGCTGTGCAATGTGCACCTTTTCCCGCCACGTGTGTATCAAACGCGCCGATGAGCAGCGAGGGCGTCTACCCGCTTTCTTTCCGACGTCCACCACCGTTTTGAGTCTCGAATGTTGAGTTGGATCCGCTCCCCCTGTTCTTTCACGTCCTACGCCCTGGAGTTGAACTCGATCCATCAACTCCCCAGTCCTATTCTTCGTATACCCACGGCACCTCTTTCGGTGACAGCAAGTTCGCGTCTCACCGCGGCTCACTCCGAGCACTGGCAAAGACGAAGTCACGGATGCTGTCAGCCCCCGCCGCACCAATAACCACTGGGAAATTGGTAGCTACCGTTGGACCTTCTCATCATCCGCTGGCAAGACCCCACTTTCTCAACCATGCGCGCTAGTAACGTTCAAAGTGTTGTGACGCCCAAACACTATGCAGGAGGAAACCTTGAGCCAAAATATCTTCCGTAAAGGTACGTATAGGATGATATCACCGTTCTTGGGGCCAACGTCAGTTACCTGCGTACGGGCGGCCCACCTCGTTTAAACTGCTGTGCTGTTCGAGTATAAGACGTCTGGCACTTGTGGTGTCTCCGGCACATGTCTACCGCGGTAGGACTTTTGTTTTCGGAGCGTTTCCGCAACAGTACACCTTCTCTGAATTCTGAGTAGCTTTCGGCTGCACTACTGCTCCACGGGAGTCGCAGTCCTGGGTTAGTCAGACTCACTACTCCCAGTGGCCACTGACATGCCTCAAGAGTGTCAGCGGAGCCAGGACGAGGCCGGCCGCTTATCTGACCTCTCAGCAAACGAGGAGCTTCAATTTGAGCGGCTTCGACCGTTCAGCGCACCCGAGGATCCGTTCTCGCTTGCGGCTGGCGCCCTTATCAAGTGTCTTTTGGGAGTCCGCTGTGGCCAAGGCCCGGTTCTGACGCCTGCCTCCGTGTGCTCCTTTCCCATACCGTCTGCGGTATGGCCCGCTGGAAGGTCGGATCACCCGCTCCCGCGATCGTGTTGCTGCATTCACGGATCTCATTACACCCTTTTAATCGGTCTGTTCTCACTAGCATATCGAGCAGCTCGAGAGGCCACAAATCGCGAAGCCGCTATTCTGGTACGACCTCGAGGAGACGTCCGTCGCATAGTTCATTTCTGTGCCGCGGCGCGACAGAGCAGGCGCCTCGACAGGACGCTAGCGGCGGGTTGTGCGCCTCGAATAAGGCCGCGCCAAGGAGCATTCGCCACACCGTTGCCAGTCCATCTGCGCCGCTGGCATGTGCCAGTTGCTCAGGGTCCCTCGGCCGTCGACTCGGCAGCCACATTGCCCCCGAGCCTGCCTTGCGGGACCCAGGCCTGTGGTGAATTAGCCGGCAGTTACGACAGCTGTCCGGCGTATAGGTGAGCGTCAAGGATCGTCAGCGGCCGCAGCCATCCCACGGTGCCTCTCCTTGCGTCGGAGCTCACGCTGTTGGCAGAACGTTGCACCGCTAGCGCCCCCACAGTCCCACATCTCAGCGGGGTGTATGGTCTTGGCTTCTGTTCGGCTGGCTCACTGCGCCTACACGCTGCGGCAGGAAGGGTACGGGCTTCTGAGAAGGTACGACATGGCCGCCCTCGCGCTAGTGACCATTGCTGGCAGTAGTGAGGGCCAGTGTGTCCATGCGGACCGTTACGTCTATTCGTCGGGTGGCCGCCTTCCCTTCTGTGGGCAGGCAGGAGCCCAGGATAGCCCGCGCATCCTACTGGCCCTGTGTTCGGCTGGAAGCCCTGCTACGGGCCACCGGTACGCACGCAATTAATCTCCAGGACTATGCGACGGCGACACAGAACATCCTTGCGGCGTGTAAGCGGCGAGCCCGTGTGGCTTCACCAGCCGCGCAGTTGATGGAGCGCGTTTTGTCCAATGGCCACCAGCGCCAGGCGGGCTGACACGGTTCACTATCGGGCCAGAAGCGCAGGTTGCGATCGTCCAAGGAAGCCGTATGCCTCCCAGGTGTTCTTGTTCATCTCCGGCTTCCACCTGATCTGCCTGCGGGCTCTTTCTGGAGACATTTGAACGACGCCAGCGAGGCATCGAACGCCGGTACGTCGTGCTGTCTCGCAACGCTCGTCCAGCCGCTCACGTGAAGCAGATAGGAACGTCGTGTGCAGAGCGGCCGTCAGGATTCGAGTGTCCAGCCCATATGCCCCAGCGCCGTGCCTGGGTGACCGCCCGCCCTCGGAACGCTCGGGGATGCAGCGGCGAGCTGAGACGCCGCGCTCGAAGAGGCGAGCCGCGTTCATTGCATCAGAGCGAGCTGCCAGACGTCAGCGGCGCAGGGCCAGACAGCGCACATTGCAGACATCGGTGCGTCGCGTACTCGTTCGCCGCGCTGTGCTTACTGTACAGGTCGGCTGCTTCCGGCCTTCTTTCCGCCCCGCTGGAACTGGGACGGGACGCTTGTATGAAACTCTAACACCCTGGAGACAGCCCACAGAAGTTGCGTCACGATCGGACTCGGGCAGTGGCGCGCAGGGTGAGTGAACTCTGTGGGATTGATATCATACAAGCACCCAAGAAGTCGATGGCATACACGATTCGGGCGGGATCTTGGTATACATACAGAACAAAATTTCCGGTTCCGGCGGGGACCCTGGTTTTCGACGCCCGCACCGCGGCGCGTCAGGCTATACAAGAAACTTCTGCCCTCGCTATAGGGCCCGGGCCCCCCTTCTTCTCTTCGAGCCCGCCGTTCCAGATTTTCGTGCACGATCGCAATTAGGCGGTGCCAAGGGCGCGTTCGAGGGGCGCCGCCATCTCTTCGGGGTTCCCCACCCACTGGACGACGCCGTCCTTGGGCGTGATGATGAACGCTAGAGAACAGGCAGCGCGTGAGATCAGTCCCGCACGTCCCCAGAACCGGCGAGAGAGAGTTTCATTAAGCTCGCGAAAACGGGCCACGCACCCAAGGGGATAGAGAGATTCTGGCCGGGCTGAAAGATCGCTGTGATACCGAAGACGCTTAGTCAGCGCACTTCTCGCCAGACGCAGCGGACACGGGGACGGGGGACGCGCTGCGGGCCAGGAACAAGGAACGCGGTGGGAGAGCACACGCACAATTGACCGCGACCCGATGCGTATCGATGTATATCGGGTAGTCCATGTCGTCACGGCGCGCGACGAACCGGCGCACGGCCGCGACGTCGATGGGCGCGTGCGTGAAGATGCCCTCCGCGTTGAAGGCGACGACCTTGACGTTGGGGCGCGTGCGCGCGAGGACCGCGAGGTCGCGGAAGACCGCCAGGCATGGCTGGGAACGGCGCGCGGGTCAGTGCGAAGGCAATTAAGCCGTGTATGTCCCATATTGCACGCACCCTGCACCATCTGCACCGGACGAAGGAAGATCTCGGGGTCAGTATGGGCACACTCTGACGTACGTACGCAGCGGCACGGGCTGCACCCCGAGGCGAGCGCCGCGGGAGCCTTCTGCGCTTCGCCACCGCCCGCGCCCGCAAACGACCGACAGCCAGTCGCCTGCGGGCGCCAAGCCGCAGAACCACCCTCTCCCCAGCGACACACGCCCCGCTGCGCCCCGAGCACGAGCGGAAGGACCTGCACGTACGACGCCCAGAACTCGATGATGAGCAGCTTCGCGTCCCGCCAGCCGTCCACGGAGCCCTTGATGTTGTCGAACGGGCCGACATCGAGCCAGCGGAGGTCGACCCGCTTGCCCAGGAGCGGGCTTGTCCAGCCCGGCCGCAGGAACGGCGGCGGGCCCTTGCGGAACTGCACCTCGAGCGCGTCCCACGCGGGCAGCTTCGCGCGCGCCCAGAAGCGCTGCACGACGGCGGGGTCGTGCGCCGTTTTGAACCGCGCTGGAGATAACGGTGAGCGAGCAGCTCCGACGGCACGGGGAGCGGATCACACCCACCGACTGCGGTGTTCCAGCGACCTGCAATGTACGGTGGCATTAGCAGGTCAATCATCGTGCGCACGGTGAAAGCTCGGTCGGTGCTTCCTACCTTGATCCCACTTGTCCTCGTACAGGTCCTGGAAGACGGCCCAGATGTTGCGTCCGAAGTCCGCCTTGACAGCGAGCTCCGCTGGTGTTTCGGGTCCGAGGGAGGCCATGCGTATTTTCGTGAAGTCGTCGTGTAGTCCGGAGGTAAACCAAGAAGTGGCGAGGCGAGGCGATGGGCAACGGGTAACAATACACGGATAGTGTGCACTGGTGAGCCACCCCTATAGCTAGCTGTGGATCGCGCTGCTGGTCTTCAACGTCTGTCAGAGTAGGATGGCGCGTATATATATACGGACGGCGCACCGGGAGCTGTAGCGCTGTCAAGGGCCTTGAACAAGAAGCTGCTGTCAGTGGTCAAATCTCAGACGGTGTCGGCGGCGAGGTGTGGCAGTATATCAGGAAGACGGCGTTCATCGAGGACAGGGTCTCGGGGGTCGGGTGCGGGCGGGCCTCATGGCGCGGGCTCGCGGGGCGACTTTTATTTAAAGAGGACGACGACGGTGACGGAGGGGGGAACGGATCTCGCCTAAGCGCGTCGCTGGGTTGGGGCGAGCGGGAGGAGGAGCGTGAAACTTTCATTGATGCCGTACGAGGAAGGCGGAGGAAGAGTTGGAATTCTGTTTGCTCGATCTGCGCAGACGCACACGCCCAGGCCATTAATCAATCAATCTTGCTAGAACGCCCCGTGCTTCCCCTGCCGCGTGTTAAACCTTGCCTTCCCGTCCCGATATTGCGGACCAAAAAGTGTTGGACGTTAAGGGGATTGAACCCTTGACCTCATGCAGATTGCAAACTGGAGTGCAAAGCAGGCGCGCTACCACTGTGCTAAACGCCCATAAAGGCTTAGTGCCCCCGGAGCTACCTGTGCCGGCATGCCTCCCACACAACATACCACTCGGGACTCGAAGCGGTTGTGTAACCTTCTGACGTATGTAGGGTCAACTTTATTCATAGCACACTAGTACGTGAAGCTGGACGCCGATCGAACACCTCCAACAAAGTATATCGTTCACAGGTGAGACACGTTCTACGTGGGACAAACAGCGGAACTTGAGCGCGATCGCAACAACGCCGTAATATACACTGATATGGTGGTACACCACTACCAAGTCACGTCGCGCGGAGGACCCGGACAAGGAGCACAAGAAAGGTCATCGTGGTCGCCGTCCAATAGACTCAGAAATCACGGCTTCATCTCAAATTGTATACCGGCGGTATGGCGCCAACTATTAGGAGACACCGTCGTGCCTGGCCCCTCGGTAAGCGATAGTCTCCTGGTCAGAGCGGGAACCATGATTCACGCACCGTGCCTCAGGATGTTCGGTACCAATCACTGGGGCTTTCCCGTCCCTGCCTTGGACCACGGCCAAAACACAGGGACGGTCCTAAGCGCGGAGGAAGCTTGATCAGTAACATCATCGACGAGCAAGTCAAAGTCGTATAAGCGGCAGACTAAAATCCTAGCCTGCTAGTCCATAGTCGAGTCGACGATCTGGAAGAAGCAGTACCATCCGGCCCGATGCCGCTGCCCACCCACGTCATGTACAGTACGTGGGGGCGGGGACAATCGCTGACACGCTTCTGTAGGGAACTCGCGAAGCAGACTTAGTGCAAAGTGAATTGCAGAAAGCAGAGCCGGCGCCCCTTGTATTCCGCGATTGGATAGATGCGAAGATTCAACACGCGCGGCTTCAGAAGCAACCCTGACCACAGTAGGTCATAGAATGCCTCCTGAGAAATATCGACCGCAGTGCCTGCGAACACTGGCCATCGACATTCAAAAACTAGGACATGAAGACTCACCGCTTGTATTCTTGCCATTTGGCGTCGTTGCCGAACTTCTTGTCCCCAGCCCGCTGTACTCAATGGTCAGAGTACCCCTGATTGCGCGTGCTGACGGGACGCACCTCCAGAGGGGGAACACCTGAGACGCGCGTCAAGAGGAACCACGTCAGGAGTGGGCTAGCGCCTGCGATGAGCCACGCTCCCTTCGGAAAGAAGGAGCTGCGCAGCGAGCCGCAAGATAGCAACCACATCCCCGTCCATACGCCCACCTCGCCGACGTAACTGCAGCGCCAATCGATGGTATTAAGCCATTCTGAGAATTCAAGCGCACATAGAGTTGACAGGAAGACGTACTTGGGGTGTCTGCTTACTCCCCACAGACCCTGGGTGATGAACTTCTCATCATGTTCCTTGTTGTCCCTTCTATGGCGCCAAGAAGACTTCTGGTGGTCGGCGACTGGATCTGAGTTAGGACAGCCTCTATGCATCACGAGTACTGGCTTTACGTACCGATTTCGAACAGCCAAGAACCGGCCAGCAATGCAAAGGAGACGTAGTCAAGGCGTCCCAAGCCCGGATGGTTTGCGGGAGACAAAGTGTTCACCTGGGTAGCAAGACACCATGAGTGGGACGCTGGAAGTTAAACTCGGACACGGCAAGTCCTCGTGATGCGTGACGACGAGGCACTATTGGTATTCGTATTACCGTAGCATCACGTATACTCAGGCAGGGTTGCCGGATGATTTGATAAGAATTGGACCGGAGAAGAACGCCTACCATATATACCGGTAGTCCAACCAGCATTACCCACGTGGCCTGTGCCATCCAAAAGCCCGCGAACACGGCCGGCTTATGCTTCACCTCGTCGAACCGAGAGTCGCCGCCCGCTTTCATGGCCCTCTGCGCGGATAATGTGAGATACCGCGGGAGGTGGCATGGGTGTGCAACTTACAGAGAAAAGGAAGGAGCCGAGTCTAGTGGACCAGGCGAGGATGGCAGCATTGAGCAAAAGCTGTCTCGGCGCAAATGAAGTTATAGGTGGCAATACGGCGCTTGGAACGCGCTCCCAGTATTTCAACTTGAGGTGAGGGTAGTAGAGGGAGACCAGAGTCGTGGAGATGAAACCTATCGACCCTCCCAGGTCGTAGAATTTCTCGTTTGCTTGCGGCACGAATATCAATGCCAGCGCTTTTGCGCACACCATGTTGATTCAGTTCATCAAAACGAATATAAATGCACAAATACCTGTCTGTAGACCGAACGCGGACACGACGGTGGGCACTAGCTTGGAGAAGAAGGGCATGGTGACGAGGCGTTGCTGGGGAGTATGTGGACTTTCTGGCTTATAAGCTGGCGACGCACGGACCCACTTGAGACGATGATGGTGGTTCGGGTTCAAGTCGTCGAGCGAGCAAACGATCGAGGAAAGGTAACGTTATGCATGTCTGCGCGAATGACAGAATGACGCGTGGGTGACGCGGTCACGTGGCGGAGAGCAGGACATCGGTGGAAGTGACGTCAGACGGCTGCTTCGCACTCCTCCGTATCCAATCACCCACTACGACGTGCATGACCGTGAGGTGAGCAAACTGCGTCAATGCACTCTTCTCTCTTCCATAACATGTCCCGTAACGCTGACTTATAATACAACTCTGCCGCGCTCTAAAAACATACGCAACATGTCCGTGCAGCCAAACGTACACCCCGAGGCTCCCAAACATAAACCCGGCGGCGCTCAATCTGTGGTGCCTCATCCGCCCCCGGAGGATCATCACGACGTACCGCGACAAAAGCCGATCCTGAATACTGGATGGAAAGGACCTATTCCCAGCCAGGAGGGAGGAAGCAGCGAAGCGGGCTTCATGTACAAGCCGCCGTACGACTGGAGAAGCGAAGGCGATCTTTTCGAGCCCAAGTACTACTCGTACGCTCGTATCCTATGACTAGTACGCCCCCACGCACCGCCATTCACGCACACATGCGCCGCAGGCAATGCTGGTGCGGGAACGTCGCGTTCGAGTTTCATGGAGATCCCGTAGACGCGAAGCATTGTCACTGTAAGCAGTGCCAGCACCTCCATGGCGCGCCTTTCCAGTGGGCAGTGATATTCCCGAAGGTATGTCTCCCTCCACTACTCGAAGTTCGGGCCTTATCCCGACGCTGTGATACATGACAGACCTCCGTTCGAATGGTGAAGAACGAGAACGACAGCCTCCACTTCTTCTCCACCCAAAGACGTCAAGGCGTACACGATGTCCCATGCAAGGCATGATTGTCTCTCACCTTTCGAGCGTGAATACACTGGCTGACCACTGTAGCAACATAGGTCTCCTGTAACGAATGCCGCTCGCCCATGTTTGACGAGGGCCGTAACACCGTTCTCGCATACCCCTCATCCTTCAAATTCCAAGACGGCAAGGTCCCTCTCGACTTCCAGCCCACCGCGCACATCTTCTATGGCCAGCGCGTCATGGAGGTGCCAGATGGGGTCCCGAAGTGGTCGGGCCACAAGGGCCAGAGCGAGCTCTTGCCGGAGCTCACAGATCAGGAAGGGTATGTGCATGCATCGGTTGTCCACCACTTTGCACGTCGACACAGTCTGACGATGATTTGATTGGCATAGCATGATGCCAAAATACAAGGGACGTCAGCCTGACGCGGATCAAGCCAACGTTAACGCGAACGAGCGGGAGGCATAGAGTTGGGAGGCCGTCTAAGCCTCTTCATGGATAGTGAACTGACAGCGTCACTTCATACACGTTGTATTGAGTTCAATAACAGTACCTCTTGTTGAACAACTGTGCAAACACGAACAATCCCGACCAATGTCTTGATCACCCCACCACAAATCGTGCGTCATTACCTCGTTCCCGACGCGCTCACGTGCGATCAATGGAACGCGCGGGGAGTCAGCGACGGGCCCAGTCGCACCGCACTAGCTTGGTAGCTATATAAAAGACAACCGCACTTTCGTAAACGCACGCCCCACTCCTTCTCCACTTACCTGCTCCCATGAACGACCCACGCGACGACGACGACGACGACGACGACGGGGTCATCTCTATCAGCAGCGACAGCGACCACGGCGAAGTCGCACCCGTAGCTGGCCCCTCCAACGTACTAAATCGTCGCGCCCCCCTCGCCGCGCAAGGCTCAGCCGAGCTCGACATACCACACGAGCTGGACGGCGCGTCCCGCGCGCAACTGCACGTCGCGATCGCGACCGCGCCGGAGGAGCGCGTTCGCGAGGCGTTCGCCGCGCTCATAGACAGCGTCCCCGCCGTCACGGAGCGCGTCTTCAGCATGCTCGTCGCGGTGCCGCCGCCCGCGTACCCTCCGCCTCAACAGGCGGGGGAGATGGTGCCTCCGGCCGCGCCTCCATGGAACGTATATCCTCCACCCGTTCAGGCACCCCCAGTCGCGAGAGCCGCGCTGCTGGTTCCGCGTTGGCAGATATGTGCGAACTGCGAAGAGGAGTATGATGCGGGCGCCGTCCGACAGGCGGGGGAATGCAACTACCACACAGGTCAGCTGTTTATACAAGAATTCAAGTTGGTCAATAGAACTAATAGCAGATGTGTAGGGAGACTGGAGATGAATTATGACGCGTGGCCAGACTGGGACGAGGACGTGCACGGGGAGATGGACACCACCGAGAACCGCAGACTGTATCCGGAGAACTTCACATGGTCGTGCTGTGGCTGTGACGGGACGGAGGTGGGATGTGTCGAGGACGAGCATGAGCCGAGGGAAGTACAGCGTGGGCAGAAAAGGCCGCGACGACACTGAGCCCTGAGATTTGGCCGAGAGGTGTTGAGCGCAGCTACGCACGTATGGTCGTGACCAGGAGAAAATGCAGCAGTTGTAATATATATGAGATATCAGCGCGTCGGACATCCAGCTCGCCCTCCGCGTCCACGTTTTCTTCACCCATCGCGTCTGCGTCACCCTCGTCTGTGCCATCAACACGTCTAGTGAACCGTCAGCGATGATTTATACACAGAACGAGTTCGGTAGTATCAGGTATACTGTACACCGCTCCTGTTTCCAGGAAGGTGTACAAACGCGATAGTCATGAGCAAACGAATCATGCGTCATAACCAGGTCCAGGACCTGGCTTTCGACACGCTCACGTGCGATCAATGGAACGCGGCCGCTGGTGGCGGAGTCGCGCGCTATATAAGAGGCCACCGCGCTATCGTAACTCGCTCGCCACTCCCCCATTTACCCCCATGAGCGATCCGCAGGACGACCCCGGAGTCATCTCAATCAGCAGCGATAGCGACGACGGCGACGTCGCGCCAGCGGCCGGCCCCTCCAACGTGAACGGTCGCACCGTTGTTGCCGCACGCGACTCGGCCGAGCTGGACAGCCTACACGCGTTGGACGACGCGTCCCGCGCCCAACTGCACGTCGCGATCGCCACTGCCCCAGAGGACCGTGTTCGCGAGGCGTTCGCCGCGCTCGTGGACAGCGTTCCTGCCATCACCGAGCGCGTCTTTGGCATGCTCGTCGCTGTTCCCCCTCTCCCGGTGGCCCCGCCGAACGCAGCACCGGCACCCGACCAGGGAGCTGGCGGGCGGACAAAGCCGATGATTCCGCGCTGGCGGATATGCGAGAACTGCGAAAAGGAGTATGATGCAGGGACCATCCGCCGGGCGACGGAGTGTATCTATCACGACGGTGAGCTTCCTCCACGACTTGGTGCCGATCACGAAACAAAGGACTGAAGGCGATTATTATGCGCGTTATAGGAGAGCTCGAAATAAGCGAGGACGACTCGTGGGCTGACTGGGATGAGAACGTACACGGGCCTATGGACACCGAGGAGAACCGCATACAATTTCCAGACCAGTTTACGTGGTCGTGCTGTGAGCGCGACGGGACCCAGCCGGGGTGTGTTCAGGACGAGCACCAGCCGAAGGAGGTCCAACCTAGACAGAAAAGACTGCGATGGCACTGAGCGTCGGAGTCGGGCGAGAAGTGATGAGCAAGATGCGTGGTTGCGACAGGAGAGAATGCACCGATTATGATACAAAATCCTACAGCATAGCCCTCAGTACTCGAGCATAATGTAGTACATACACACTGCAAAGTGGTAAAACATCGAGGGGTCCATGACGCGTCAGACCTCCTCGTCAACGTCCGGCTCGCCCTCCGCGTCCATGTCTTCCTCGCCTTCCGCATCCGCGTCCTCGTCGTCCATGGCCCCAGCCCCGTCTTGCCCGTCCATGCTGATCGGCATGCTGACTCGGCCAACTGGCGCGACGGGCGACAGCTTGCTCCGCGCGAGGTCGACTCCGAACATAGTGTCGTCGCTAGGGACGCTATGCCTGCTCGGGGCGGTCGCGCCCGTCGCGGGCGTGTCCGCGTCCTCGTACTTGGTCTCGTCGACCGCCGTCTCGCCATCCGTCGCCGCCCCGTTCGCCGGCGGCTGCGATTCAGCGCGCTCGGAGGGCTCGTACTGGGGTAGCTCCTCGTCCTCTTCCTCCTCCTCGGGCAGAGCCACAACGGGCGGCTTCTCGGGCGACCGCCCGTTGGTGAGACGAGATGACTTCCGCTGAGGCGGGCTCGGAGCAATCTTCTGGCGAGGCGTCGGCCGCTCGTTGACAGACCCACGCGCACTCCGTGTCCGCCGTAGACTTGGCGTGCCGGGGGTGGTGGCAGGGTTGGACGTGACGTCCACCTCTGGGGACGACTCGACGCGCCGGCGCTTTCGCGGTGACACCGACCGGGGCGTCGGCGTCAGCGTTGCGAGCTGCCGCTTGCTGACGTGCTGGTCCGTGCTGGGCCGCCGCGAGCGCAGCTCCCGTCGGGGGTGGTCGAGTTCCATAGCGAGGCGTGCCGCGAGCGCGGCGTCGTCGTCCAATGAGTGAGTGGACTGGGCGTCGCCGTTCACCCTGCGCTGGGGAGTGGCGGAGGAATCGTCGGCCCGGGAGTGATGGGACGACTTGCGGCGATCAAGAACGGTCGACTCTCGGCGTGGCGTGTGCACCCGCCGCCTCAGGGGCGTCGATTCGATGATAGACTCGCGGGAGCGTAAGCGACGGAGAGCAGGCAGGCTGTCCTTGCGCCCTGCCTCCATTCGCTTCGAGCGCCTTGTCTCGACGACTTCTGCGTCCGGCGATCGCTGTCGGCGACTGCGGGCCTCTGCAGCGTCCGAGGGAGATGGATCTCGAGGGGCGCTCGCACGCACGACCTCGACGTCGTCGTCGTCGAACAGCGCGAATGCTGGGGAGTGATGTACAAGCTGTGACGCGCCCCCTGACCCCTCAGTATCCATCGCACTCCCATTCAGAGCAACGTCTCCAGACTTTGCGCCAGTCTCGGCTTCGCCTTGGGTCTTCTTCGCACGTGAGAGGATGAAGGGGCTCCACTTCAGCTTCTCCGCCCTGAGCTTGAAGTACCCTTTAGCCTCCCATCGCGTGAGATACTGCTCGACTTGCTCGGGATCCCACTGGACACTGTACTGTGTGGGAGGGACGAAAGGTCCCTTGGTTTTCTCGTCGTGTGTTTGCGTCCGCTGTAGGTGTTTCCGTGCAATGCCGCTCTTCCGTCCCTTCACAAACTTGATAGACTGTCCGGGAAGAGGCTTGAGAGGCCGGGAGGAGTCGAGAATGGAAATCATGTCGAGTTGCACGAGAGTGCTGTGGATGTCTTCGAGCGTCATAGACGTCGCGGCGCTGATGTCTGGGAAACTTAGTCAGAAAGATCGTAGGTGGAGCTGCGTCAGGAATGGGCGGTACCTTCTAGTCGTGGATTAGGTGGGGCATCCCGTAAGTAGCGCATTAAAGACAGTGTCCAGTAGTTCTTGTAGCCTAACGCGCCAAGTGCAGACAGCGGTTTCTCCGGAGAGCCCGCTCTCTGCTCCTTCTTGGACAGCAGATAACCTACAACACGATTAGCTCATAATATGCGCACCCTATGGCAAGAATAAGACTCACTGAAGTCAATAAGTAGATTACCCCACCCCTGCCGCTGTCGCACAGGCAAAGTCATGATGCAGCTGACGTTGTAGCTCTTCGGGCTGAGCTTCTCCTTGCTAAAGTACCCGACGAAGTGCGCGCCCATGTCGTCCGTCTCCGTCATCACGTAGAATAGAAAGGGTTCGACGTCGTAGAAGAGCGACTTGTGGTCGAGAAACATTTTGGACAGAAGACACAGGTTCTGGCAGTAGATCTTGTTCTTGCGCCCGTCAACCTCAAAGATGGATATCTTCCCGTCGCGGTAAATCTCGTCGCCGGGAGGATGTCGAACTTTGCACTTCGTCTGACAGGACGCGCTGAATTAGCAACGCCAGGAATAAGATCAAGAAGCTCACCTGATGCCTGCTCGCGCTGAATCGACTCTTCATGTACTTCAAGCAGTACTCGCACATCCATAGACGACCGTCCGGGATGGCGGCATACTCTTCAGGGAACGGCGCGTCGTACCACGTCTCGATATCGTATTCGCCGATGCGAATTTTGCGGATTCTGAGGCCGTTGGGTGGAAACAGTGCATGTGGGCCGGGTGTGGCGGAAGAGGGTGCTGGGGACATGGAAGAGGTTGGTAGGGTGGGAGTTGGTGGAATGGCATGGTGCGCAGAGGAACGTAAGGGACGAGTGGACGGGCCAGCCACTGGCGTTTCTGGAGGTTCCGGAGGAGCGCGGGGAGTCAGTCGATCCTATGAAGTATTCAGCACCGCATAGCATGTTCGGCGGTATATTGGGCGCACCTCGGCGTGTATGCGACTTCGCTCAAACCTCTGCATGTCGCTGTCCTTAATGCTGGTGTCGCGGACGTCACGGTCCTCGATGCTCAGAATTTCGTCGAACAGACCGCGCTCGGTCTCCTCCTGCGCCGCGCCGTCGTCTCGTGCCTTGCCCTTTCCTCGAGCGGGTACCCTTAATCTGATCGTGGGGGTCTCGTTCTCCGCGGCCGGAGAGTTCACGCGTATACGGAGTCGCCTGACGGTGGGCACAGGGGTGGACGGACCTGCCTCCGGTTGTGTTTCCCCCCCGAGTACAGCATCCTTCCCTTTCCGGCCCTTGCGAAGCTTGCTCTTCCTGCGCGGTGTAGGGTCTGCAAGGTCACCTTCCACCTCAGACGCGTCAGTAGTCACAGGGTACTCGGGGAGATCGGACTGTGGCATTTGGTATGGCGACGAGGGGACGAGGGATGGGTGTATTTCCTGGATTTCTGGGGACCGCGAGGAATGGTATTGATCAGGGAAAGTTTCTCCAACGCGAGGGCAGGATGGGCAGTGCCAGGTTCCTTCCGGAGGTGCGCGGAACGGGGGGTCGAAGCAGGACATGTGCCACCCTAGAAGAGGTTAACGTCATCCAGCATATTCACTGAGCGTGCTTACCTCGATCGCAGTGGTCGCATATGAGCATTGACGCCTGCAAGTCCATTGAGATCGGTGGAGAGGACCCGGGAAACATGCAGGCACTCACCTCGTTGCCCTTACGCCGGCACACGCTACAGCTCTTGCAGGTCGCACATTGCCAGTCATAGCCACGCATCGCGTCTCCCATGTTGTCAAGCCCCATGCAAGAAGGGTGGCCTAGGGAGATCATGAATACAATGTAACCGCTACAAGCAGTCGACGAACTCACCGCTCCGCCCGCAATCGACGCAGCTGACCATCTGTTCGGGCTCTCCATCCTTGTTCTTCGTATCGTTTCCGTTGCAGAAACCGCATTCCTCTTCGCGAGCCGGCGGGCGTTTCCGCTTCTTGAGGGGTTTCGAGGGGAGAGGGACCGGCTCGACCGGCTCTTCCATTGGAATGTATTCGGGAGGAGCTTGTGCGAAGGGGTCGCCTTGAGGTCCTTGTGGATATTGTTGGGTGCGAGGGAAGCCATATGAAGAGTAGGGGTACGAAGGCTGAGCGGCCTGCGGCGCGGGCGAATCAGCTTTGACGTCCACGCGAAGCGTGCAAACATGAGCGCGACGCGACGCGTCCTGCGACTTCGCGCCGCGACATTCGCACAAACGCCCTTCAACACCCGTTACACTCACCTCATTCCTCTCGGAAACACCATTCCCAGCCATCAGCGCGGGGTCGAGCGGGGGTTCGCTGAGCGCGGGGTCGATCGGTATGTCGCCACCATTGCTGAAAGGCGTGCCGGTGTCCCAAGACTGCTCGCGGCTGTCGGCCGCGCTGTTAGGAAACGGCAAGCCCACCATCGGGGGCGATGTCGACGAGGCCTAGTCGGGGAGTGCGGGGAGCTGTGAGCCCTTGAACGAGGCCGCCGTCGTCGGGAGCAGGCTGGATACGAGTTGTTTATGCTTTGTTTGGCGATGTGGGGTGGACTTGTATTGAGGCTTATGCGTTCCTTACCCAATTTGTAGTATCCTTACAGGCCGAGCACTGACACTGCTAGTATCAACACTTACCGTGCTTCATTGCGAGTGTTACACCAGCTTGACAAATGGTCAGAATTGGGGCCAAAATCCGTTTCTTGTGCATATATGCACAAATAAATATAGGCGCCCGTTCGCCGCGATCGTCTTCCGCCCAATTGGTGCGCATTTGCAAGTTGATATGCAACTCGTTACCACTACTGGCTAACGTCACCGACGGCGCACGCCCGGCATACGTCTCACATATGACAACCAGTAAGCAATCGGTCTGAATACGTTGCGCTATTCAGGGCCTCGTAATGCATTATTTCGGATTGGGAGAGCTCTCTGGAGGCATATGGGGTCGCTAGTTGCGACTGGTTCAGATATTCGCCTTGGTGTTATTGAAGTACTGAATATGAAATATGTTATAGCCATTTTCTTATCGACAGACTGCGGCCATTTTACTCCCGCACATCACGCTGCACCACCGTCTCGCCTAGGCGTTCTGCCAATACTTTCATTCACGCAGGAACGGTCATAACGACAACCTCCAGGCTCCCAACACATCCACAACCCTCACTCGCGGTAGAGCACCATCTAAACAGCTCTTCTGCACTTATAATGATATACAGAACACATTTGTATAATGTTCGAGCGTCCAGAGACTCGAGACAGACTCATTTGCTGTCCTGTAAATCACCTGGTGCATGCTAGCGCCGGAGGTAAGCTACTGCGTTTCGTATAGTGCACTCCAAGCTCCATGAGAGCAAGAAAATTACAATGGCCTATCAACTGTACTCCTAATCGGCGTCTCTATCCGTTGTATGATTAGCTCTTACATCACCCATACAAGTTGTGAACCGGCGCAGATGGCCTGTAAGCGTAACTCGGAGGGCCACTTAGGTGGCGTTCTGGGGTCCCAGTCAAACAAGCGCCGGGTGCGGCTGAGTGAGCCGTCGACAAGCCGAGCCCAGTGCAAGCACCTGTTCACCTCACGTACCGGTGCGCGCCATGCTCCCTCCGTATCTAAACAGCAGCGCATTTGCATGCCTATGTGGCGAACATGTACACTTCACGCTATCTTCGACCGCATGGCACGTCTGGTGAAGAGAGAGGGTGGAAATAAAGGGCTTCCAGCCGCACTTGATTGCACAGACGCCCGTCGAGGAGGACTCCAACGAACGGCGAGCAAACTGTCGGATACATCTCAGTCTCTATGCGGCAGACTTGGGGGGTGTGAGGCGGGGAGAGTGGGGCACAGATGGATCGGAACGATGAGGGACGGGGCCGGGGGCGGGCGAGAAAAGGGCGGTTTGCGTAAGAGTGGCTGAGAGGCGTGGCTCTCTAGAACCAAACAACAAATAAGGGATGTCGTGGGCAGCGACACTCTCAGCTCGAAACTGCTCTGCGCTATATCAGTTTGATAGCTCCCTCCCCCCCTCTCCTTATAACCACCATCTCCTCGTCGCCCACACGCCCGCCATGCAGGCAGCGGTGCACCAGCTAGCCCCGCAGATGCTTCCCCAGTTCTCCCACCAATCTCATCGCCCACCACCGTCCAACAACATCGGCGCCATGCCCACTCCCCCCATTACAGCAAGGAAACGCAAGCGGCAGCAGTTCACGGTCACCTACAGCGAGGTCCAGGAGGTCGACAGCTCGGGCAAGGTGCGCGAAGTCATCGTCATCGACGACACTCCGCCCCCCTCCACCGTCTCCCCCGCAACGACGCACACGGCCATGTACTCGGCCTCCTACCAACCTCCAATGTACTCTGCGCCTATCCGCACGAGAGCGCGGGCTGCGGCCGAAGCACAAGCTCTATCCGCCAGCACATCCTCAACAGCTGCAGCGACTGCCCCCGCCCCGAAGAAGCGTAAGAGAGACGCCGCGGATGATGTCGGTACCGTGTCCAAGAAGACCATTACCAACGGCCAGCTGTCGAATGCTATCGCCCCCGCGAAAGTGTATCCCAGCAGTAGCGGCACTCTTGTTGAGGATGTGAGTCTCCCTGTGTACCTACGTTCGAACATCGCTGATCTATCTCTCAACTATCAGGCGTCAAAGGCCCAGGTATCCTGCGACGACAAAGAGGGACACTATATCATCGTCCCAGATGATATAATTAACAGGCGTTGTAGGTATCCGTCGCCCCTTCGCTCGCCAACTGAATTGACAATGTGGCACACAGACCGGACCGTCCGTCTACTAGGCCAAGGGACGTTCGGCAAGGTGGTCGAGGCCGTCGATACCGAGACCAACCGGAGGGTCGCAATCAAGATAATCCGCGCTATCCCGAAATATCGAGACGCGAGTAAGATCGAGGTGCGGGTCCTACAGAAGCTCAAAGAGCGGGATCCCCTCAATCGACAGTGGGTGTCCATTTATCAAACGCCGTCTTCGCCGTCCCACTCATACTTTTCATTAGCAAATGCATCCACTTGCTTGCTTGGTTCGACCACCGCAACCACATCTGTCTAGTGTCTGAGCTGCTGGGCATGTGTGTGTACGATTTCTTGAAGGAGAACGACTTCGCCCCCTTTCCTCGTCAACATATACAATCATTCGCAAGGCAACTTCTCGGCAGTGTAGCATGTAAGTGGACCTGTGCCCTCCCCACCATACACAGCTGACATCGCTTCTGTAGTTCTCCACGAACTCCATCTCATTCACACGGACTTGAAGCCAGAAAATATCTTATTGGTAAACAACGACTATCAAGTGGTGCAGGTTCCCACATCATCGAAGGTCGGCAAATTTGGCTCTATGTGGAGACTTAGTTATACTGACGAGCATTTATCCGTCAGCGCGGCGCTCCCACCAGAAGCAAACGCCTATTGCATTCAACAGACATCCGCCTGATCGACTTCGGTTCTGCGACATTTGAGGATGAATATCACTCTAGTGTCGTATCGACTCGCCACTACCGCGCTCCCGAGATCATTCTCGGTACGTCTTATGGTTCTGACGCGTCAACTCGGCACTCATTCTCCACCGGTGACAGGCCTTGGCTGGTCCTTTCCCTGCGACGCCTTCTCACTCGGCTGCATCCTCGTCGAGTTCTACACTGGCGTAGCGCTCTTCCAGACACACGACAACTTGGAGCATCTGGCAATGATGGAGCAAGTTATGGGGAAGATGCCAGAACGCTTCGCTCGATCTGGGGCGCGTGCGAAGCCAGAATACTTCAAAGAAGGCAGCAAACTCGACTGGCCGAAACCCAAGGCGACGAGGCAGAGCAAGAAAGAAGTCCGAGCATGTCGAAGTTTGCAGGTTCGTGTCACCATTCTCCGCCGTCTTTCGCGCGATACTGACAGCTGTCGCGCCTTCAGGAGATCATCCCTGCTACAGACGCTATCAACCGCTCATTCTTGGACCTTGTCAAGCGGCTTCTTACCTTCGACCCCGCCCAGAGGATCACCGTCAAGGAGGCCCTCAACCACCCCTACTTCTCACTCCAAGCCCCTGACGAATACTGAACGATCTCTATGCTTCCCTCCCGTCTATCTGTCGGTTCCACCAATGGTGCCAGTGTCGGTACGATATGGACAGGCCTCCCACTGCCGTTGTATACTCTCCCTCCGTCTACATACAGTATCGCTGTCGCCGTCGCATGGTCGCTATTCCGTCCGCTACTACCTGAAGCTCGTCGCCGTCGTCTCCTGGAGGTATTCTACTCTTGTACAACATGCATTAGTGCGCAACTACCCTGTCCCGTCCACCCTTCTTCTCCTCATTATCGTCGGGACCCTGTCGAGTAATCTTTCCCAACTCACCTTCTTCGCCTTCGCCATCCATCGCTCCTTCATATCCTTTGCCGACGTTGAACGCGACACCTCTGCAACACACTGTGTTTCTGCCACCTCTCCCTCGTTGCCCCATCCTGTATCTATCGCTCGACCCGTGTCTCTTGTTTCTCCTACTAAGCTTATATACATAGATGCAGCAGCCCATGTCCGATACAAAGCCCCCGCCCGGCGCCGCGCTGCTCCACCCAATGGACGGCCAGGAGCCTCAGCCTGGAGGATGCCCGTAACCCTGCCTTGGCCCGTGCGCAGAGCACTACTCCCGCGCAGGCTTACGTTGAGGGTCAGAACGGCGGCCCCGGGAACGGCCCGCCCGTCGCTAGCCACTGGCCAGCCCACACGGCCTTCTCCGCAGTCCAGATCTGCAGGCACCTCGGAACGGCATTGCGCAAGCCCTCAGGTGCGTTCGTCCTCCGTCGCCGCACATCTCCTATCATATATATCTCGTCATCCTCTATGGCACGCTCGCAGGATATCCCGCATCCATCTCGTCCCACTCCTTTGCTCGGCACGGCAGAGCATTGCGTCTCAGAGCTCGCCCGAAGATACACCAGTGCCGTGCCAAGTTACCGCAAGCTCGGGCCCTGCCCGCCATTTGCATAGAGCCCGGAGCAGGTCTGATGCTCGGCGGCGCATCCCTTCGCACACCGAGCTCGCCCCGCGAAGCACGCTGGCCTTGTGACCCCCATGGGAAAGCGCGCCGTGACCACTCAATCCGCTGCGCTGACTGGCCGTGCGCAGGCCGGCCTCGCCTGGAGGTAGTGCGGGAGCGATTGGCAATGGACAAATGGACAGGCAGGCGAGCGGCGAGCGGCGCTTTGGGCTGTTTACGTGGACGGGCGCGGCAGGAGTGTCCCGGGGTGCCGTGCGCAGGTGGGAGAGCTCAGGCAGCCAATGCGAGGCCGTGCTCTTGTCGATTGGAGGTGCGTTGGAGTGGGGCGCGCCGCAAGCTATACTACACTGGTTGGTGCGATTGTCTTAATACGCACCAGGAATCGAGATGACGATCAGTACGGAGATGGTCGTAGGTGTGTTCTCGGCTCCGCACAGCGAGATACGGTCTCCTGGGCCCTGGCCTATCACCTGTCTTCCGGGCGTTCGGTAACGGGGTACGAGGTTCCGGACTGCGACTCGGGTCCTCGAAACGACATGCCCGAGCAGGCCGACGCATAGGCAGGATCGCCAGTAGTAAAATCTGTTGCAGTGCATGCAACGCGATGCGTCGCTCAAAACCCAGTACAAATGGAAGCAGTGCTAAACTAAAGCCAGTCCGAAAGCCAGTCCAGTCCGACAGCAGGTAGAGTCCAAGCAGCGTGTATGTACAGGTCGCCCAGCAGGGCAAGCGTCCGTGAAGTGGGAGCGCGGCGCAGCGCGCACTCGGGCGCGCACGCGCGCGCGAGATGGAGCGGGACTCCAGGAGCGTCCGTGAGCTCAAGCCTAGACGAGCTTCGCGAGCGACATCTGGTTCTTAGTCACGTCCGTCGAGAAGTACGCGTTCTTCAAGAACACGTCGCCGACGAGCCACGTCGTCGCGCCGTCGATCTCGCCCGAGCTGATGCCAGACACACAGGTCTCGCCCGTGTCGTCCGCCTGCGCGAAGATGAGGTCGCGCGTGTCGATCGCGAACGCCTGCCCGGCGAACGTGAGCGCGACGCTCGCGGTCGTGTTGCACGGGAGCGTGAACCCGCCCTGGCCGTCGGACGCGGCGCCGGGGATCGCGGCGTGCACGGCGGCGGCGTCCGCGTCGGGCGCGACGATGAGCGTCGTGCCGGTGTCGAGGATCGCGGAGCGCCCGGTGAGGCCGAGGTCCGTGCCGTCGACGGACGCGCTGTCCATCGCGCCCTCCCAGAAGCCGTCCTGCGAGACGTTGTCGAAGGTGACGAGCGTGGACGCGTCGAACTTGGAGTCGTCGAGCGCGCCGAACGTGATCTCGCCGTCGTTCAGGTTGTCCGCGAGGCGCGAGATCTTGTAGGAGGTGATCGCGTCGTCGATGAGACCGGCCTTTGCGAGGGCCTCGACGGGCGTGAGGGTGCCCTGCTGGGAGAGGGTCTGTAATATTGGGCCACGATCAGCGCATGCTCACACACACACGGGATAAGAAAATTGAAATGAAGGCACGCACCGACTGGGCGAGGCCCATGAGACCGTCAAAGGGGACACTGTCATCCGAGAAGTCCTGGGTCTCCTCAGCGGCGACACCGAACGTGTGGCCGGTGAGCGCGAGGCCCGCTACGGTGATGTCGTCCTGGACGATGGTGCCCGCGACGGCGCCGGTGCCGTACGTGACCTGGAACTGCTGGGTGGAGTCCTGGAAGGTAGAGGAGGTCGTCGCGCCGAGGAACTGGTGGTTGCCCTAGAGATGACACGAGAAGAGTGGAGTGAGCATGATGTACGCCTGCGGCGCGTCCAATCGCGTGTGAATGGTACGTACGCAGTCCCCGCCCGCAGACGATTGGCAGCCCTCCGCTCCGACCCAGAGATCGGCGGAACCCGAGTCCATGAGGATGTTGAAGTCGCGGGGCGGTGTGCCCATCTGGATCGTCGCGATGTACCCGACGTCCTTCGCCCTAAAAGGTGCAGTGCGCATCAGCACCTCGCAACCGCCAAAATTTAATGGGGCATCACTCACTCAATCGCAAGGCCAAGCGAGTTGTCCGCGGTGGGCGTGTCCGCAGGAGTGAGGCTGCTGGACGCGGTCGCAGACGCGTCCGCCGCAGAGTCCGTAGCAGTAGCAGAAGCAGCTGTGCCATTGCCCGCGGCAGCCTGCTGTGCCCCCTTGCCGTGCTTCTTCTTGCCCTTGGTCGCAGCCTGGTTCTTCACGGCCGCGGTCACGGTGGGGTCGTCGTCCTCGGTGAAGGAGTCGACGAAGTCCGAGAACGCCTGGACGGCTGCGGCGGCCTTGTCCTTCGCGCCTTGACGGTTGTAGCGCTTCTCGTTCGCATTCGCCGTGAAGTTGGGCCGGCCTGCCGCAGGGATGAAGAGACGCTTCGCGATCTTCTCCGCCATGTTGCGCTTGGTCGGGGGCGCGCGGCCCTGCATGCGCGCGATGCGCTTCACGCTGCGGTTAATGTGCTGCTGCAGGAGCTGTGGCGCGCGCGTCAGAATATGCGCCACACAGGTAATACTGCATGAATTTGCTCACGATTTGCGGGTGGACATCGTCGCGGGTCTGGTGGATGCGGGTGAGTGGTAGGGTGACGGAGCGGCTGCGCTTCGCGGGTGCTGCCTCGACGCTGCCGGAAGTGGCTGAAAGAATGTAGAGCACGCTGGCGAGCAGGGTGGTGAAAGAGAGAGCGAGCTGCATGGTGGACCGGCCTGCGCTGTAACCTGACAGAAGAAACTACTGAAGGAAGCCTAAGGAGAGACAAGGACCCGGCCTTGCAGAAGGAGGGGAGGAGGAGGGGGAGGCGTAAGGGGGAGTACAAGGCCCGGGGCTATATAACGCTCCATGGAAGGTGACAACGAGGCACGGGCAGCACAAAAGGGTTCTCCCGCTTACATCGGGTTGGCGCTGCGCAGAGCGCGTCCGTCCGCGTCAGTGCACGCACAACGAGCACCCCGCATTCCTAGCCGAGGGTGGAGCATCGACGCCTTCCATCTCCGGACACTGCTTCTGCCTGATACGCACAGTCCACACCTCTCCCTCGTCCTCTTTCCGCATGCGCGCGTTCATAAAATCGAGCCTCGCCCCCACAGCTTCAGAGAGGCACCACAAGTAAGATACAAAACGGTCCAGAGGTTTCCGATGGGCGGGTGGAAGAAAGAGCTTTCCGAATATTGATCTCCGCCTCCGCAGCACCCCGCAGCAGCTGGTCAAAATGGCCTTCCCCGGAATTGCGACACCGATTGCCCGATCACAAACTGGGCCTTCCCTTGGCAACAGCTTGGGCACCTCGGCGACGACGAGCAACCCACCCAAACCACCCAATCAGCGCTCCCAGGGCCGGCCAATCAGGCTTCGAAAATCGCACTTTGCAATGTTCGGGTCCGCGTTACAGTCATTTGCATAATAAACTGCAGTGTCGCGCGCCGCGAGAGCCTATTTGTTCCGAACAAACAAAGCCCGATATAGTAAACATCGGCGCCTGATCAAGATATGACCGGGAGCGGTCTTATCTTGTAAGGCTAAATCGCCCTTCGGGTACATGCTGACCTCCCTCGGAAGTTGCCAAAAGTCTTCAAATGTTACTCTGTACAGCCCTACCAAATTATGGCCTCTGTGGAGGAAAAACAATGTAATGGTGTTATCATGGTCGGCGATGTTCTGCTGATCAAGCGCCGCTACATACTATATCGGGCTTTGTTTGCTCGGAACAAATAGGCTCTCGCGGCGCGCGACACTGCAGTTTATTATGCAAACGACTGTAGCCTGGCGAACGAGGAAAGTAGGAACACAGGCTAAACTATTGCTACGATATTACATCTACCAATAATAGGCACGCACGGTCATGGCGAAGAAACGGCGTCCATTTATAAGAGCGCGAGGCTCGTCCTACGCTGCGGTGGCCAGAGGCATCGAGGATCACAGCCGCGCCTTCGCTGCTGCGTCGTCGGCCAGGTTGCCCACGATGAGCACGTCCTTGGACAGCGCCTCAATAGCATCCCTGTACAGCTCACGCTGCATCAACGGATAACGTCAAGTTAGCAATGCACACTGCAGATCATCAGCGGGCGAAGCACGACTGATGCACGCACCCTGTTCACGCCCCACACGCCCAGCTTCGGGAGGGAGTCGATGCTCTCAGCGAGCGCCTGCGCCTCCGCGACGATGCCCTCGGTGTTCCCGGCGGCAAGGCGGTCGACGAGCCCGAGCGACAGACACTCGCTCGGCGTGAAGCGGTGCCCCTCCAAGACGATCTTGCGGAGTGTCTGCGGGTTCGGCGACTTGGCTTTCAAGACAGCAACCAGTGAGAGGGGCAGGGTCGCGCCGAAGTGAATCTGCGAATACGGTCAGGGGGATGCGAGGCGAGGCGCGTCGTGGGGTGCGCACCTCGTTCATGCATAGCCAGGCATTGCGCTTGCTGCCGTCGGACATGACACGGTAGTCGCAGGCCATGGCGAGGGCCATGCCTCCTGCAAACGCGTGCCCGTTGACCGCAGCGATGGTGGGGACTGAAACGCGTCGACTTTAGCAGATGCGCGGACTGCACAGGATTTGGCTTACTCGGGAAGGTAAGAAGACGATGCAGCATCGGGTTGAATATCACTGTTTCATCACCATTATTCAGCCACCATTCAAAGGTCACGTCCGGAACAACCCCACGCACCTGGGAAGAAATTCGTGCTGAAGGTAGGGTCCTTGCTGGCACCCGCAAAGTCCAGGCCTGATAGAAATGTCAGATATTCGACTACGAACTATGACGCGCGCAGCACCCACCATTGCTAAAGAACTTGTCCTGCTTGCGGTTCCCGACAATAATGAGCGCACCCTTGCACAACTTCTCGTCTTTCTTCGCCTGGCCAGTGCGCCAGTTCTCGCGCCAGTGCCTCTCCACGATGTCAAGTGCGGGCTTGAAAGCCTTGAGGATGAATGTCTCCGTCAGGCGGCTGTCTGCGCCATTGTGCATTTCGAGCACCCATAGGGCAGGCGTCGCTATATTGTGCCGAAGGATTAATGAGCACTTTCGCACTTCGCCGGAACGGATGTATGAATGACGCACGATGGGTGACCGTAACAAGCGGGTTCTCGCTGGGCAAGCTGACTGGGTACGACATCGCTCTTAACTCTATATGTCGTCTGTGCTAGCCTCGGTGTAGATTATACACGAGACGGTGGTGTTCAAAGGGCAGTCGACCTCGCAGTACGTTCACGGTGTCCGGTTTGTCAAGTGGCCCGGGGAGAAGGAGCACAAGCGGCTGTAGCCCGAGTCTGATTCACGTGTTCACGCCTCCATCCCTCTTTCAGGGGGCGTCCCGGTGACGAGGCGGCCTTGCTCCCCGTAGCATGTTCGACAGTATCACAGCAAGAGCGTTCAGCGAGGCAGGACGATGATATGAAATGCGCCGGTTCATGAATGAAGGAGGAGTGTGAAGCTCTCGGAACTCGAGTCGGACGTGATACTGTTCTCTTCGCATCACGTGCCTAGCGTAGCTATCGGGCGCCTCAGGAGCGCCTCAGGTTCACCTCCCCTCCCTCACCTCCGTCCGTGTACCCGCCGCCATGCCTCTTGACGAAGCCCGTGTGGCCGAATACAAAGGTCTGTTGCAGTACGCCATGTATGTGTGCATAATAAAGCTGAATATCGCTGCCAGCACGCCTCGCCGAGCGCGAGCGCATCATCCGCGAGTCCTGGGTGCGCTCCGTCGAGGCCCAGCTCGTCCGCGAGAAGCTCGACCGCTGCTACGAGTCGGAGGGCGTGAACCACCTAGAGAGCTGCAAGGACCTGCGGGAGCGGTACATTGATATGCTGAGGGATAACCGGGTGAGTGTTTCGAGCCCTACGCGGTTGGCGTGGAACTAACACTGCATGTTTTGTTTTCTAGGTGAAGGGGTACAAGAACATCGATGTATAGACTTGCTTTACCCTCTAATATTCCCTCGCGCTACCGGCTGCCTGCTGTCTGAATTCGCAATCTTGCACCTCTTGCTTGCCGAAGACGTCGCCATGAACCTCAAGGACAAATGCGTCACACCTCCAATTGGCGCAACAAACCCCGCATTATCCACTGGCTAAGACCCACCACACGAGAGCGCACGTTCAGTCAATTATCCGAAGCAGCTACACCACAGGACAGTATAGTACCAATAGATAAACGCAACACGAAACCATACTAGGCACGTCGCAGCTCAGTCGGTGACTATGTGCCATTTTGCGTCCGCGTTCCGTAAGGCTACACGACCCTACTTCTTCCCCTTGCGCCTCCTGCCCTCCGTGCCGCTCTCGACGCCGCTCGTCTCGTCGCCGCTGGTAGCGATGCCGGACGCCTTCGACTTCTTGGTGGCCTTCTTGAGGTGGTGCTCGGGGATCCACTCCTCCTGGTACCCGCCCGCGCCGGTCGCAGTCACGGTGCCGACCGGGGCGCTCACGGCTGGGGTCTTGCGCTTCTTCTGCTGGGGGAAAAGCGTGGTGTAGACGTAGAACGAGAGCGCGCCGAGGAGACCGGTGACGATGAGGTATGTTGTCCAGCTGGGTGCGGGGTTAGTCGAGCATTTCGTGAACGGAGAAAAGCATGACATACAGCTTGAGGTCGATCCAGGAGCCGGCGGGTTCTACAACAGCGACGATGGAGTCGTAGGCGGTGACGCGGTAGGTTTCGCCCTGCATACAAACCATGTTAGCAAGGTTTCGTGTACGCGGAAAATAACACACGTACATCGACGACGTGCTCGAGCCAGATGTTCAACCGGTAGTCTCCGGGCTGTTTAGTCGCAAGTTATTTCGAGATTCATGCATCATGTCGTCATACGGTTTTACCTTGAACCTGAAGGCGTGTCAGTAAAGCCCTACTAGACAACGCGAACGTTACTCACTCGCTGTGGAACGTGTACGGGAGCTGCATGGACGCGCCCTCGAGCAGGGGGATCCCGTAACTCAGAGCGGACGTCTATGCGCGTGACATGATGAGCTCTAACATAGGAACACGACGATGCAAAACCGATGCGTACGTTCTTGACCAGCCTGTTCGAATCCGGGACGTGGAACGAGCCAGCGATGTTCTTAAGAGTGACATTGCGCGCGGACTTGTTCTCGATTGACAGGAAGATCTTGTTGCGCTCGCCGTTCACGACGTCTACGCGCGAACCCCTTCAGCACTCGCACACGAAGATACGGACGAGAAAACACGTACGGCCAAACGCGTTGTCCTCCGGGAAGGCAGCGACAGCCAGGACCACTGGTTCACCAGTTTCGCCCTCAACAGGAGCTGTAGCGTCATAACCCCGCAGTTCAGTGTCCGGAGTCTCGGAGACGCCTCACGCGCGACAGGGGGGGCTACGCACAAGCTACCACATTCTGCACGAAGGCAGCCGAGCCGAGAATAAGACCGAGGAAGTTGAACAAGCGCATCCTGAACCAGACCAGAGAGTTTTGTGAGGAAAGGCGGGACGGAGGAGCTCGGCGAGTATACTTGCCACGTCCGCTTGCCAAATCCGGAATAGCACGTGGTCGCCGCGTCGAGGACGCGTCGAGCGTCTAAAGTCTAAATGGTGCACAGACTCAGAGCTCGGACAGAGCTCGGACTTGTGAGCTAAGGGTTTTCTGTGGCTTGCGTTGTCGCTCATATCATCGAATAAAATATGAAGTGGAAGGGGTGCAGGAATACAGGATAAGGAGAGTTGAGCTGGATGGCATAGGAGCTCAGCCTCCCGGCCCCAACTTCATCGTCGAAAGAGTGCCGCGGGGCCGGGTTGAACATCTCGATATTTGTGATAGAAAGGCCCCAGAATATCTTCTGGGCAACGGTGGTAGTGAAATAGGACGAGTTCGCACGTGTGATATGCCGGTAGCATGTCGTGGTGGGTTCTTCAGTACATATACTCAGGATTCCAAGGTCTTCTCGAGCGAGCTGAGGAATCTAAAACCCAGATACCACCAAACTTGCGAATGGCGAAGCAAGCACAGTTCAATTAGCTGCGATGTGGACGCAAAGTAAGCAGTTGTACATCGAAAGCGAGACAGTCCGGGCAGGAGATCATACAACAGAAGCCAACGACGGCCAATCTTCCAACATGAGCACACACGACCGCCCATAACAACCCACCCACGCCGTCATGTCTACTTCTTCTTCAGCAGCTCCTTCGCTATTTCCTCCGGATCGCCAGCCGGATCAGGCAACCAGAATGCCTGCTCGACCACCGTCAACACAACATACATGATAAGGTTCGCTCAAACAACCACTCACGAGCTCAGCACCCGCAGAACACAACATCGCAAAGCGTGGGTTGAATTTGACGCATCTTGAGGGCCCCGGATGGCCCTCGAGGACGCTCATGGGCATAAAACGCACAGGTGGCGACTTGAGGTCGACTGGCCCCTCCTTCGCCGGCAAATTCTGCACGTCCCAGACGCAAATCTTCCCGTCGAGACTCCCGCCAACGACGAATTTGCCGTCTGGTGTCCACGAAACTTCCTCCCCGCTGCATCCTCGTGATGGCTCGATGTTAAGCGGGATGTCTAGCTTCCGGCGCTCGAGCCCGATGTGCCCCTCCAGCTTAGCCAGCAAGTGGCCGTCAAACGCGTCCATGATATAGTGCGCCCCTCCAGAACAACCTACAAGAAGATATTTCCCGTTCGTCGAGAAGGCCAGAGACGTCATGTAGATAGCGCGTGGTGGGAAGCTTACAAGAGACAGGGTGGGGTCTTCTAGCGTGATGGTCATGAAGGGTGCCTTGTCGAAGTTGGCTACGTCGTAGAGCAGAATACGGGAGTATTGGTTGACGCCGACAGCAAAGACGATGCCAGAGGCGTCATACGCGACGACCGGGGACGCAGGGAGGTTCAGGAGGCCCCGGCAGCTCGGCGAGCGGAGGTCCCACAGACGCACCGTCTTGTCCAGAGACCCAGACATGAAGCCATCGTCAACGGGGGACATCTCGAGGGAGATGACGCGAGCCTTGTGTCCTTTGAAGTACTGCAGATACTTGTTGTCGTGCAGGGAGTGGTACCGGATGGTATCGTCCTCCTTCGTCGACGCGTGGAGAATTGCGGTGTTTTTGTGCGTGAAACGGGGAAGATCAACACCGTACTTCTTGGAGTACAAGATCTTCACCTGCCTGGTGGAAGTACACTCCGGTCAGTTCTTTCTTCGCAACGCCACAGGATGGGAGGAACTCGCTTGCCAGTTTTGCAGTTATACAACCGGAATGTCTCATCCTCCGCCGCAGTTATGACCTGATCTCCCCTGTCATCGAAGCTTATGCCCGAGATCTGCCTCGGTCCTAGCTGACTTGGGCGGGGCGAGGCAGAGCCGGGTGAGGGTGGCGTTTGCTGCTCGACCGCGGTCTTGAATATCCTGGCCGGCTTGAGCTTGCTCTGTGCAGACGGATGTTCAGAAAAGGTCTTCGCAATGAAGCGCAAGAAGTACCATAAGAGCCGGGGTCAGGGCGAGAGACGGGAAGGGCTCATTGCTGGGGGTCGTCGCGGGTGGCGGCATCGTGCAAGCTGTGATCGCGCCCATTACGCGCCCAATGTCCAAGAATGCGGAGTTCGAAACGAAATTTCGCGCCTCCGCATTCGTAGCACTGTCACTGCGCTCTCGACCACCACCTCCGCCGACCCTCTTGCCACTATGTCTGCCGACCAGGATGAATCTGCTAAGCTCTGGAAGGTTAACCGCACCATCCACGAACTCGTGAAAGATCGTGTATGTCGCGTCGAACGACAGTAACGCCCGCTAGGAGTTGACGCCGTTCTCCAGGGTTTCCAAGTTTCGGACGATGAGATCAACATGGACCTGTCTACGTTCCGCGACCACTATGCGAATCAGTCCGGAAGTGTAGAGTGAGTCTCATATCAGTGTATGACGCGCATTGCGTGTCTCAATGAGCTGCTAACAACCGTCTAGTCGGAGTCAGCTGAACTTCTTCACGAACCACCGGGATAACCCCAGTGTCCAAATCTTCATCTTCTTCACGGACGAAAAGAGTGTGGGAGTGAAGACAATGCGCAAGTGAGTCCTCGGAATTATGACAGCACTCCTCCTGGATCCCAAATGCCGGACGGGTTAGGCTGCTCGGAATTCTGGAAGAGAAGGCCATTCAGCAAGGCATCATTGTGTTCCCCGGGAACATGACCCCTTCCGCGCGCAAGGTGAGTCTACTCATTGGTTGCTCTTCCCGCTCCTCTTCCCAATAACATGCTCCTCACCAGGTGATCGTCGCAATGGCGTCAACGTACAAGCTTGAGGAGTTTTCAGAGTCGGATCTACTCGTCAACATTACGCACCACACGCTAGTCCCGAAACACGAGCTCCTCACGCCCCAGCAGAAGAAGGAACTCCTGGAGACATAGTGCGTGCACATGCTCACCGGGCTCATGCTCACAGCTTACCCGCCCCACCCAAAAGCCGGTTGAAGGAAACACAATTGCCTCGCATCCAGTTGGCCGACCCTGTGGCAAGGTACTACGGCCTCAAACGCGGTAACGTCGTCAAAATTACCCGACCAAGTGAGACCAGCGGTCGCTACGCCAGCTATCGCATCTGCTTCTAGCCACCGTCATATCTTTATTGGTCCTACATCGGTTCCGGGGTCGCCTTCTGTCTGTTCTCCGCATCTCCTCCATCATATCTCGCTATGTAGCCATCTGTTTCTGTGTCGTTGCTCGTTCATTGCATTGTACATTTTCCAAAAATTCTCTCTCGCCAATTCAGGTTCGTTTTCTGTATGATTGATCGTGGTACGTCTGTTTCAATGCTCTGCACAAAATGATGTTGGTGTAACTAGTCCCACGCTGCCAGTGAGTGTCTACTCTGGTGTCCAGTATTGCCGCGTTGACCACTTTAGTATAGAGGATATTGCCACTCCCGCACTACTGTCACTCAGATGACGAGTGCAATTTCCACCGTGTCCAGCGGGAAGTGCGGGAGCATCGCATAGATCGACCGGCACCTTGCCGTGGCGCTTACCACTGCCATCGCTCCGGACATCCATGACATGGGCGATGCTGTGGTGTCGACAGCCTTCGCTACCATAGCTAGTGCTCTGATGCATTCCGGTGGTTAGAGGCTTGTTTGAACGTGCCGGGAGTTGCTACTGTCAACTGGTAGCTATGACGAATCCATAGGGCCTGCCCGCGGGGTGTCTCTGCTCGCTCGCGGTGTATCTTCCTGTGTTTGGAAACTTGATCACTTGATTCCGCGCAGATGTTCGTCCATCCGCACTTGGTATCCCAAACCTCCGGGACTTACACCGCCGTCTGCTCCCGTCGTGGCGAGAGACGTTCAACACAACTTCCACTTCAGGCCCTACGACCCTGCAGCCCGCAGTGCCTCCGATGATCACACCGGTCACTTCCATTGCGTCTCCCGTCGTCAACTCACCAGGTGATTGTTCCGTCCATTTCTGAAACGCCTGCGGAATTACTGAAGTGTTGTTCCCTTGTACTGGACGTACCGATGGCCCACACCAGTCTCGCGCGGGAAGCGTTGTGAACCAAATGACGTCGTGGCCACAATGCGTAGTATTTCGTGCCCTCCTGTCTAGCACGGCGGATAATTTCCCGCAGCAACGCCGCCGGCGTTCCAATGAACACAGGATCGACCTAAGCGAGGACTTGGCCTTGTCAAAGAATATTCCTCAGAGATCCTGCCTCCATCCCGTCACGGCCGCTCGGCCACCTCTTGCCACTGTTCGCGACCGCTGGCATTAGCACTTTGGGAAGCCGCCACCTCCTCCGCTCCCTTCGGAAGGCAAAGAGCTAACTTCCCTGGTCTCTCGAGTTGCTATGGCCGCTCAGACACGTTTGAGTATCTCGTTGCGCACTGGCGAAGTGCGTCTTGGCTGTCCTCGTGCTTAAAATGGTGAGTTCTTGTACGCATTCGGACAGTGTTCTCTTTGACCTGATCGACCGAACACACAAGGGTTCGGTCGTGCGCAGACGCGAAGTACTCCTGCCCAAAATGGTTACTAGGCACACTGCAATGGAAGACCATCCGAAGAGCACATCCATCGCAACTTCTCGACAATCCTTCATGCGTTGGAGATTTGCTTTGATATGCCGAGATCCGGGTCCCTGTTTGGAGGTGCGTTTACCAAGTTAAACGTCGTGCGCAAGCGTACGCCTCGTAATACCCGACGCCTACAGATGTCAGCCACAGCCAGTGCAATCTCCCCCAGTCGGTTGTAGCACCAACTGGGCTGGCGTTACTAAACGCGTCTACCTAAGCCCGTCCGACGCCTGACGGCCTCGCGTCCGACCCCAACCCGTCTAACCCGAGGCTGTGGCCGACCTCGCGACCGGCTGAAACGCGAACAGAGGCGCACATATGCGCTGAGGGGACACGCAAGCGCGTCGATTTTACAACTCCCGGCGGCGCCCCCTGCCCTTGGAGCGCTGGCGTTCGGACTGATTCTCCGTCTCATCGGTCTCAGGCGGGTGCTGAGCTGACCGGTGTACGGTGATGTCGCTCTCCTACGTATGCATGTCTGACCGCAGTTAAGAGGGGAGAACAGCCGTGTTACCCGACTACACAGTCGTGGAATATGGTTATGGACTGCTCGGCGAATGCCGGGCCTGTGGCCATGTGGGGATTGGTCCCGCTTTCCGCTCTCTTACGCATCGGCCTCGATCATACTCTCCCCGACGACGAGTGGCCATGTTCAGCAATTTACGCGAGGCTCCTAACCGGCGCAGGATCTAGCGAATCTGTAGTATGTATACGGTGATCGTCAGGCCTTCCACGCTTGCCGCGCGGCCGCGCTCAGGCTGGCAGTGGCGCAGCGTGCGTCTCTGCAAATGTGTGGTCATTCTCGGAACCTGCCCCCGGCTTTCGTATAAGCGTAGCGCTATACCTTTTTCTGATCATTGACAGGGCTATCTTCAGCAGGTTCAACAGGTGCAATGGCCGGAAGATATCACTGCGGCTCCCCATTTGTCGGGTAGGTGACAGCACCACTCCCCAGCATGGTCACGCATCTGACGCTCCCCCGCTGCTGACAGGCTGCGCCGTGCTGTGTGAGCGGTGGCGCGCGAGATCGTGGTCGAATCTGATCGGACTGGCACACGTAGCCGAATTCTCGCAGTCGCAAGTTCTGGGCGAGCGGGTGTCTTCTAGACGACGACAGGTCCAGGGTGATGCGCGATCGCAGAGTTTGCCCCGGCGTTTTTGATATGCATCTCTCAGCATCTCAGGACAGATCTCGCACGACATGAAGCTGCAGCGCAATCAATTGAAGCGTCTTCTGCTTTTTTGGTCCGATGGGCAACGGTGCGCCGAGGCGGACATGGCGCACATAAAAGCCGACTTGCCAAACGATGTATGGCATCCGACCTCTTGCACATCCACACCCGCCACATCCGCGAAACCACCTCCACCAACGTCATGTCTGCCCAACAGTTCACCCTCCCCGACCTCCTCGCCGTCTGCCCTCTCAAGGACGCGACCAACCCACACTACGCCCAGGCCGCCGCAGAATCGACCGCTTGGGTGAAGAGCTATAACATCTTCGATGCGCGCAAGCTCGCCTTCCTCCTGCAGGGCAGCAGCGAGCTGCTCGTCTCGCACGCCTACCCCTACGCGCCGTACGAGCAGTTCCGCACCTGCTGCGACTTCGTCAACCTGCTCTTCGTCGTCGACGAGGTCAGCGACGACCAGAACGGCAAAGATGCTCGCCGGACCGGCGAGGTGTACCTGAACGTCATGCGCTACCCGGACTGGGATGACGGCTCGGCCCTTGCGAAAATGACCCGAGAGTGCGTAGCTCATGCCCACGTCGCGTCTCCATCCGTGATTCGTGTCAGGCTGACGCCGTACATTCAATCCTCGCCCGTAGGTTCAAGCAGCGGCTGCTCGCCTTCGCCGGCCCCAACAGCTACCGCCGGTTCCTCATGCACTGCGACGACTACGTGAACGCCGTCGCACGCGAGGCAGAGTACAGGGAGCGCGGCGAGGTGCTCGACATCGACGCGTTCCAGACGCTCCGACGCGAGAACAGCGCTATCCGCCTGTGCTTCGGCCTGTTTGAGTTTGCGCTCGGCATAGACCTACCCGACTTCGTCTTCCAGGACCCCCACTTCATGACCCTGTACTGGTCCGCCGCCGACATGGTCTGCTGGTCGAACGTGAGCATTCCCACCGCTATCTAATTCCCCGTTCGTATCTCACGTCGTTTGACAGGACGTCTACTCGTACAACATGGAACAGGCGAAGGGCCACACCGGCAACAACATCGTCACCGTGCTCATGCGGCAGAAAAGCATCGGGCTCCAGGAGGCAGCAGACCTCGTCGGCGCGCATTTCTCCGCGCTGATGGGCCGATTTGTGGAGACCAAGAAGCAGCTGCCATCATTCGGCGCGGCCGCACTGGATGATGCGGTGGCAAAGTACGTCGCGGCGATGGAGCACTGGGTCATCGGCAACCTCGAGTGGAGCTTCGAGTCGCAGCGGTACTTTGGCGCAGAGCACACGCGCGTGAAGGCGACCCGCGTGGTCGTGCTGAGCCCCGCGGACGAAAACTGAGGTGCGCACGCCCGCGCATCCTATCGAGCACGCGCTGACAGCGCCGCGTGCGTGCGCCCCCGCAGATCCCCCCGCGCCGCCCGCCTTCCCCGTCTCCGGCTCCGGCCCCCCTCTGTCCGCTTTCTTGTCTTACAGTCTTTCCCCTCGGGACGCGCGCGAGGGCTCCCCCCGTATCGTAATGTATTTGTATTATATGCCTGCCTGCCATCTTCCCGCCGTGCTCTCCAGCAAGCTTCGACAGATTAGGATCAGCGCACACCCTGTTGTATTTATTATTTATCGCCGCAATGACATCGTGCCCCCGACCGCACCGGGACGAGGGCGCGGGCTGCCCACGGTCGCACAGCGTGATGACGTCCAGGCCCAGCCGTTCCGTGCCATGGCACCGAGACCATGCCTTAGTCTGCCTTGTTGTGGCATGGCACATCACCGCATGCGGTGGATAGTGTGGCCGGCCCATTCCAGCAACATGACAAGCACCGTGCCATTCCCTGCCTGTACGAATCTCAGCTGGATCTGACGCGCGCACTGGGGCGGCGCTACGTAGGCCATCGTGCCTCGCCCGCACGGATCTCTGTGCGCACTAGACACCAATCGCTGCGGGCGATATTTCAACTCCGCGAGGGACGAGGCTGTGCATACGCGAACGCTAGTTTCCTTGAGGAATGTTTATCCTGGCGTACGCGCTCTCGTAAAGCCCTGAGAAGGGTGGGCGACACTCGTATAATTGGCACGCCGTGCAATCAAAGGCGAGCACGGCGCCTCGCTCGCTGCGCCTCCGTAAGCCGCGGCCCTAAGTCAGCCGCCGCGGGCGGACCGCCGCGACCTTAACCACGATTGGACTCCCCCCATGACCAGGGCAGGCAAGCCGGTGTGGAAGCGGAATGACGAGTGGTTGGCGGCGAACACTTGGGGTGCCGTTAGCTCACCGCAGGATGTGTCGCCTGTGTCGCTTCTGATCTTGCAGGCGGTCAGCGCGAACCTGAAGATTTGGACGCGGGGCCGGAACAGCGGACGCTCTCAGAAAAGCAGCCCGCTCGAGCGCGGAGTGGCTTGGGGTTCCATTATGGCGAATGCGCTTTCGGGGGAGTGGGTATAGACCGGTCGTCGCCGCTGTGTTCAAGTTGGTCGCCGGAGCGAGGCCTGGTGACGCGCGGGCGAACATTCAAGTTGACGTGCCGTAGCAGCCCTGCGCATTTCACAGTGCTGCAGCGTGCGTGAGCGGCACCTTCATTTGTCTGAAATTCGGATAGGCAGATTCATTTACGCCGCAGCAGATCCCCTTCCGAGCCCGTCCGATCCGGCATGCGCAACAAATCTGTCCAAGGACATAGGCGGCGAACTCGGAAGTCCGCGTGAGATCTTAGAGCTCGTGCAGATATCTACGCATCAGGCGCAGAAAGATTTCAGCTTTGGTGGCATGCCGGTTGTCCCCCGGTCATTAAGGGTTACCACTGGATGGGGGAGGCGGTACGCCCTGCGCTGTGGAGACCGAGTTAGCGGTAGAAAACTGGGCGGCACCTCCGCGCACGCTCACCTAGACCAAGGTCGACTGTAGGCCCTGCCTTTGTGGCGTACATTTTGATATGTACCCTGTAAGGTCGGTCGAGGCCTGTAAGAGATATAGTGCAAGTAGTGAGCCGCGTGCTACACCGTGATAAGATTCCAGCCTTAGCAGTTTCGAGTGCTAGCCGTTGTAAAGTGCATTTGTGCCTAGAAGCTCTATTTACGGGACAAGAGTGGGCCGAGGCATTATGGGGACGAGACACCCGCAGAAAAGCCCCGGACGGGTCGTCGGAGGGTGCCACAGGCATCCAGGCTGCCGGTTGAACGGATGCAGTGAGGCTCTAGGAGCATTGATCAATCACGCGGGGCGATGCGAGGAAGCAATCGGACGAGTTGGGGATTTCGCGGCGAGAGAGGGCAACGGGGGCGAGGACAGGCGGACAGGCAGGTACATCGGGGGAGGGAGAGTTCCTGAATGAGTCCATGTCCCAAGTCAGCCTCAAACGACGTTTGCACAAGCCACTGACGTCCGTGGGGTTAGGTTCCCGGCCCGGGAACTCCGCTGTGCCTTGATCCCGGCTGTCTGCGCAGACGCCCGTCCACCCGTGCCTGCAGTGCGCCTGCCACCACCTCCGAGTCGCCGACGACCACAGTGGTCGTCCGTGATGCTCTCTCGGTGTCCTCTCTCCCTCCGACGAATGGTGTGGCAGTTCCCAACTCTCTCGAGTAGCCTCAAATGATATTCCGTTCACGCAAGGCCGCCGAGACGCACCCCGCGAGACAAATACCGTATAGTCATTGCCTGCCGCGCAGGACGATTCCCCTGTGAAGAACGAAGATTCATCAAGTTGGCAAGCAGGCTGTCATTTGAACCCCCTTGGACGTCGCATCACTGCCCAGCTTGGCCATTTTACATCCAAACACGGTACCTTCAAGCATTACTGCCCTGCCACCTCCCGCGACCGGCGCCCACCCGACGGTATTGTGTCCGAACGCGCCTCCATTCCGCACTCTCCCGGAGACTCAGCTTGCCTGTGCTATCTTCTCCCGCTTCGGTACGCCTCCCATTCATCCACCCATTCCTTCCGTCAGTAGTGGCCGGGCGCTGACTACTACCGTTCGCTAGATCCCCGCTCATCCTGGGACTCCATACCACAGACTTTCCAGATCCGTTGTGGTATGTTCGGAATCCCGTCAATCTCTGGCAGGATCTGGCAGTCCTATCATTTCAACTGGTGAGGACCAGGGCGACCAATCCAAATCTTGGTCATTCCACAAGCGACGTCGTCGTCTTGCGCCACTCGGACTCCGTGACCGTCCGTGGGACTGCTAGCAGAAAGAGGCGTCCCATGACATTTGGGGGGCACCCAGTAGAAGCCAGGGTGATGGATAAAGTGCAAGAAACCCCGCCAGGGCGCAGTCTCAACGTAAGATGTGGGGCCCAGTGTCAGAAGGATAAACCACCCTGGCTGAACGTTGAAATCGAGAGGTCGTCATCATAGTGAGGGACTGCGCTCGTCGAGTACAGCGCGCGTCTTACAAAGTAGCATGCGGGCTATGTCACTTATCCCGAGTCTCTCGGGAAACATCAGTTTCGCCGTATGCCGACTGGCCGTCGCCGACAGACGACCCCCTCGAACATCGGAATTAACGGGACATTGCGCGCCTGCGCGCCGCCGTGCGCCGGAGAGAAGGATCAGACACGATGCACTCGAATCTGGTCAGTTCGCCCACCACAGATTGCACCTCCCGTTAACAAGCTTGGATATCTACAGCAGAATATGCATACCTCTTTGATGATATTCTGATGATATCAAGAGTGTTTTCCGTCCAAAGCGCATCCTTTATGTGGGCGTCATGAAAATGATGGGCGCCAATAACTTTCGGTGACGCCTGTAACGTGCGTCGGTCGTTGTACCAGTGCCGCTGACCGGGATGTATCTCCATGGCCCGGTGGCCGTCGACCATCCGAGAGTACTCCGCGTAGCTCGGAGAGAGGTCCGTACAAGCAGCTCCTTTTCGGGCGATTCGCTACTAACCGTCCGCAGCTCATTATAGCAGACGCTCTCCCATTTCTGGCGGACGGATTCTCGTTCATGTTGGACCGCCCGAATCGCCATCCGGCGCGCCCGCGCAGCGGGCGCTGTCTGTAGGCATCTATGGTCGGAACGCCGTGAATGGAGCGAGCGGTCACACCAGCCGCTCGTCCCAGTCCTGAGCACTGCCGGTGGGAATGCGGTTTGCCACCCCATGTGCGGGTCCGCCCAAACATCCCGCACATTGGCGGGATATCCAGATTTACGTCACGCGCAATTATCGCAGATGCTTAAGTACTGGACTATCCGGACAGAGGGAGACAGCAACCTACTCCTACTCCCCTCTCTTCTCACCGCCTCTCGCCTCCTCGGCCCACACTTTCCTACTCAACGCATCCTACCCTTTCACCCGCACTAGCACAATGTCTTCCCCGTCTTCGTTTGTCCTGCCCGACCTTCACGCCGTGACCCCCTTCAAGGGCTCCTTCAACCCCCACTACCCCGAGGCGGCCGCCGAGTCCTCAGAATGGGTCAACAGCTACAAGGTCCTCTCCGACAAAAAGCGCGCCTTCTTCCTCCAGGGCGGCAGCGAGCTCCTCTGTGCACACGCCTACCCCTACGCCGGCTACCAGCAGTTCCGCACCACCTGCGACTTCGTCAACCTGCTCTTCACGGTCGACGAGATCAGCGACGACCAGAATGGCAAGGGCGCGTACGAGACCGGCCTCACCTTCTACAACGCGATGAGCAACCCCGCGTACGACGACGGCACCGTCCTGTGCAAGATGACGAAGGAGTACGTCGATCACCGTCGCTTACCGCACGAAGCCCCGTTACTGACGCCGCGGTCCTTCCCTTCCTGCAGGTTTACCGCACGCCTCCTGGAGCACTGCGGCCCTCAGACGTACCGCCGGTTCATCAAGCACTGCAAGGACTACATCGAGGCCGTCGCGGTAGAGGCCGACCTCCGCGAGCGCGGAGAGGTGCTCGACCTCGAGGCGTACCAGACGCTCCGCCGCGAGAACAGCGCCGTGCGCTTCTGCTTCGGCCTTGCCGGCTACGCCCTCGGCATCGACCTGCCCGACGAGGTCGTCGAGCACCCGGCCTTCATGGCCATGCACCTCTCCACCGTCGACATGGTCTGCTGGTCTAACGTGAGTGCTACCCGAGCTCAAACGCGTTTGGCCCTCCGTGCTGACTATTGCCGCAGGACCTCTACTCCTACAACATGGAGCAGGCGATGGGCCACACCGGCAACAACGTCATCACCGTGCTTATGCAGCACAAGGGCCTCGACCTGCAGGGCGCCGCCGACTACACCGGCGTGCACTTCAAGGGCCTCATCGACACGTTCCTCGACGCGAAGCGCAGCCTCCCGAGCTGGGGCCCCAAGCTCGACGGGGAGGTCGCGCAGTACGCGATGGCGATGGAGACCTGGGTGATCGGGAACCTCAACTGGAGCTTCGAGACGCAGCGCTACTTCGGACACGCGCGCCACGAGATCAAGCGCACCCGCGTCGTGCAGCTGTACCCCCGCCGCATCGTCGAGGAGTCATCCGACGAGGAGGACAACTAGAGCGGGCCCACAGCGCCGTTGCTCCGAGCTGCACTGTTTGACGATTCGGAGCTTTGCAGTGGCAGACTGCCGCCCATCAGATCCTCGAGACTGGACATGCTTTTTCCATTCTTCGGCCAGCCTACCTTGTATGTATCCTTATCTTGCTCTACTCACGCCCGTCCCCACGCTATATCTATCTTGACATCTCTAAATCAGTTTCTCATCCTGTTCTTACTGTACGCTCGCATACTTCCTTCCCCCCAAAAATGCTTGGTCCTCTTCGTAGTATGTCTATATTGGAATCGCTTGGCAGTCGCATACCCTACCTGTTTGCGCCGTATATACGCTGTAGTCCGAAAAATGTAATCAAAAATCGATTCACGACAAATCTCTATAGGCCGGGTTGAACAGCCACTGGATAGATGCGCATGCAGAGTCCGGGGAAAGTACAGTTGGATGTAACGCTACAAATTATACCGACGATGATCCACAGCAAGGACAACAACATCACCAACGCCACCAATCTACGCAAACTCTCACCACCGGGTGATGTCCGCCTCCGCCTCCCCAAACATGCTCGTCTTCTTGATCGAAAAGTCCTCCGCCGGTGTCTCGACCACCACCTCGCCCGTCTCCGTGCGGTAGTATTCGGGGAATGCCTGCATCAGGTGGCGCAGGATGTGCCCGTTGATGAGCTCGAACTCGAGCAGGAAGCCGTCGTGCCCCTCCTGGGAAGGGATCATCACGAGTTGCGCCCCGGGGATGTGCTCCGCGATGACGCGCTGCTCCGCCGGCATGAACAGCCCGTCCGACTCGATCCCGATGACTAGCGCGCCCGCAGGCTCCCCGGCGAGCACCCGCGCGAGCGCAGCGTCCTCGTCCTCGTCGGGCGAGAGGAGCCGTCCGCGCGCGACGTCGTGCGTGTCGAGCTTGCGCGTGATGTGGATGTAACAGTTCGCGTCGAAGCGCGACGTGAACTTGTCCCCCTGGTAGCGGAGATAGGACTGGGCGGAGAAGATGGGCGGCCGCGGGGGAGATCCCGCGCGCTCCGTCGGGGAAGTGTGCCAGCCAGGCATGGCGGGGGTGGCGGGACGGGACTGGGACGGCCGCATTCCGTCGTTGTGTGCGGCAAAGGAAGCGTCCTTGGGGGGAAGCGCGGGAGAACGCGGCGGCGTGAGCGTGGTGTCGGCGTGCGTCTTCTGTGGCTTACGTCCGAAGCGGCGCTCGAAGGAATCTCGGGACCGGTATGTGAGTAGGGCTGCCATGCGCGCTGCCCCGAGACCGGAGGCGGGTTGTGACGTATAGAAGCCGTCCTCGTACGAGGGATCGCTGTAGATGCTCTGGCGCTGCGCCTCTCCCCAGCTGATGCACCACGCGGAGTGCCTCGCGGAGGTGGCAATAGGCAGGATTTGGCGAACGTAGCCCGGCGGAGTGCAGAGCGGCCATTCGAGGACAGCCATGCCTCCCATAGAACCTCCGATGACCACAGCCACCGACTGGACGCCTAAATGGTCCAGCACGAGCTTGTGGATCCTGACATCGGAAATTATCAGCATCATGTCTGCCGGATCCATTCCACTTGACAGATTTACCTCACGTCGTCGCGTATTGTCGTAAGAGGGAACTCGGGGCCATAGGGCTTTCCCGTCTCCGGGTTGACGGTCACGGGCGAAGCCGATCCATAGGGCGAGCCTAGAACATTTGCGCAGAAAATGAAGTAGCGGCTGGGGTCAAAGGCCTTCCCGCGGCCCATCAGTGGACCCCACCTGAGACGTGTCAGAGGGAGCAATCCACATGAGCAGGAAGGTAGACGCACCAATCCTCAACGTCAGAGCTTCCAGTAAATGCGTGGCAGATGATCATGACGTTGTTCTTCTGTTCGTTGAGTTCTCCCCATGTCTTGTAGGCGACGGGGACGTTCTTAATGACGGGCCCGGTTTCTAAAGTAAAAGACGGGACATGATACATGCTCTGGTCCAACAACTCGATGAAGGTGGACATCTTGCTGCGGGTGCGGGTCAGGATCGGAAGAAAGCCTTGGGGAGCAGCTCTGCGTCTTGAAGACGGTATGCTCTTAATTTATGGCTGGGCTGGTCGGAAAGAATGGGAACGGAACTGGGGGGGCCGGGAGCTGAGTGAGCCTGTGTGCAATTCAGAACGAACTCCGGCGCAGAGGAGTCAGTTGGACTCGTGCAGATCCATCGCAGATTCGCGCGCTACGTGGGCTCCCGAATAGGCAGGTGACTTGGATCAGAACAGACGCCCATCCGGTGCTCCCGGTTCATAGCATCAGCCTCCGGCTCTCACACGCTTTATCTCGAGCCACAGTGCACTCTCGGTGAGCCGCAGTCCTCGACCTACCCTGCGTTCAACGAACATCTTTGGTAGCATTACGGCACGATGGATGCACTCTCGATCGCCAGCAGCTCCGTGAAGGCGGCGTTGGGGCAGCATCCCGCCCTCCTCACGCTCGCTGCGATCTTTCTATGTCACCGCCTGTTACACAACTTCCGTCGCCGACGCTCGCGAATCCTCCCTCGAACACGCGAACGCGTGCTTGTCATTGGCGCATCCAGTGGGATAGGTCGCGCAATCGCCCACGAATACGCCGCCGCGGGCGCGCGCGTGTGCGTCGTCGGCCGTCGGGAGCAGCAAGTGAACGAGGTTGCGGCGGAATGCGCGAGCCTGCGTCCGACCCCGACCGCAGGCGGCGCCACTGGAACGTCCGAGAACATCCTGCACGCTGTGGCTGACTTCAATAATGTGGAAGACATGGTCGCCTTGCGGGAGAAATTGGAGAACGGTTAGTCTCACGGTCTGCTTCTTCAGGAACTACTCGGAAGCTCATGAGCGCTGCACACTACTTCCACAGAATGGGCCGGGCTTGACACACTCGTCGTGTCAGCCGGAGTCTCTGCGCTCCGCCCTCTGCTGGAGGTCGCGGGAGTGGAGCAGCGTGGTGGCGCATTCCACCCGCCGCATGCGGCTGCGGAGGGCATCAAGCGCACCGTCTCCGTTGCCACCGCCGCGATCCAGGGAAACTACCTGGGGCCACTTGTCTCCGCTGTCACCTTCGTGGGTACAAGTGCCAAGTATCAGGAACACTTCCAACTAACGAGGCCATGCTAGCGCAGATTCCGCTGCTGTCCGCTACGTCCCCGGCCCCGTCAGTTGCACTCATATCATCCCTCGCGGGAGTCATCCCCGCCCCCACGCGTTCCATTTACGCCTCCACCAAAGGCGCCGCGCTCCTCCTCTATCAGTCGCTCGCGATAGAACATCCGTCCGTCGCGTTCACGTACATCCTCCCGGCCACCGTCGAGGGCGACTTCCGAGCATCCGCAGTGGACGGCGGCACTGTGCGCGAGGCCGATCCGAGCAAACACGGACTCAAGCGTGTCGCTGTCGCGAAGCGCTGCCTTAGCGCAATCGACCATAAGGAGAAGGCGGTATTCATGCCAGCATTGATCAGTCGGATTGGGCACTACCTGTACTGGGTGTTCCCTTCCTTCGTCGAGCGCGCTGCGGCCAAGAAGTACAATTACACCGCCAATTAAGCGTACGGAAGTATCGGATATATCGTCATGTAGGTGTCGCGGGGCCTGTAGACCACTGGACGCATCAAATACACACTCTGCATCGAAGTTGACAGCAAACCCGCACGTCTAGGGCCCGGTTGACGGAAGCCCACGAATCTGTGGCCTGCCGTCACATCACCCTCCGCTCACATCGGGTCTCGTTGTGCACGCCTTCGCAGCTGAGGTCGCAATACGGCATCGCGCAGCGCCTGCATTTGTATTTCCCCCAGAAGCCGCAGACGGAGCACAACATCCGCGGCGGCTCGCGGGGCGGCGGGGCCACAGCCCTCAGGTACGTGGGCACGCCCGGCGGCAGATGCTCGATGCCCTGGCGTGACGTAGCCCGGGAGGCATGCACGGCGCGCGCAGAGAAGGGCAGGAGCGCGTCAGAACGGCCGCGAGACGCAGACGGCATCCACGCACGCACCGAATCTTCGATCAGCACGGCCAGGGTCTTCTTGTATAGTACGGCCGTGCGGACGTTCATGGACGACTTCTTCGGCTTCTTCCCCTTGTCCGATATTATCGTCTGGCGCGCGCGGCCCTTAGCGGTCCGCCCGCCTGGCGCGACGCCGTGCTCGTCTTCGTCTTCGCCGCCCGCCCCCGCCCCCGCGGGCTCGGAGTAGTTGGAACGCTGAGCGGGGCAATGCATCCCGTAAGTGAGGACCCTGCAGCGTTACAGTGAAGGGCCGACGTACCTCGAGCTCGTCAAGATGTCTCTTCGTGCGCTTCGCGATGACCTCCGGGTCTAGGGGAGCGTTGGCGGCTTGTGCTTGGCGTGCGGCTGGGAGGAGATGAAACAAACGCTGTGGGTTATCTCAGACGCGGACGACGACGCGTGGCCCGTACGTTGTCGTCTTGCCGGGGGCATCGCGCGCGTTTGGAGTATCAGGCGGGCAAGAACTGTGAATGTGGGCGCATTGCCTCGCCGCGCTACGGCAGAGATGGTGGTCCAGAGCAAGGTGTCGTGCCACAGAACTCACACGGTGGCACTGTGGCACCCGCTTATTCCCAGGAATTATCATGCTCGAAAAGGCAGGAGGGATACTGAACGCCGGCGCCAAAGCCCCGCCATCTTGTGCCACTCGCATTGTCCCGCGGGCGCCTGTGCAGTACGCATAGACCATGTCCTGCATCCATCACACGCAGGACGCAACGTGGCCGTGGCCCCAGGTCCGCGGCCACACCGCGCCTGCTAGCGCTATCGCGATCGTGAACCAAGCGTGCAGGGCCCCAGTGTAGTACAATGTCGCCCTCGATACGCCTCTTGTCCTCAATAGCGCACTACGAGCCACTGAGTGGCTCACCTCCCACGGCTACATAATCCCTGCCTAGCGCGCGCCTCTACCCCCCACTACATCCTCCGCAGGCCAAAATGCCCGCCAACAACACCCCCAGAATGAAGCTTGCCGCATGCAAGGAGTATACCGCCGCCGAGCACAACGGAAATTACGTGCACTACATCTCATCAGACTCCGAGTCTGCGGCAGGGTCCGCGGACGAATCAGAGCCAGAATGCATGGACGAAGACGCAGACGACGCTGAGGACGAGGACGTGATGCAGGTCGACCCTAGTTGGCGCCCCGAGCTCTGGATGGTCAAGGTGCGTGTGTCCGACGCGCCCCCGCGCGCTCCGCCGGGCCTGCCCCGCCGGGAGCTGTACACGTCCAGTAAGCTTACCCTGGCCGCGCGCGCCCCGGTGCCCCTAGATCCCCAAACACCTCATGGAGCGCTGGGCCGAGGTCGACGAGGAGGGCATCCAGCTCGCCACCATCCGCCGCTACCCCCCAGCGCCCGGGTCCGGGTCGAGCGCGCCGCGCTGGGTGCTCAGCGTGCCCCCGCTCGACCCTTGGGACGGCCTCGGCCCGGACGAGTACGAGATCGACGTGCGCGAGCCGGACTCCGCCGCGCAGCCCTTCAACGAGTGCGTCCTCGAGCCCGCGTACGAGCCCCCTGCCCGCGCCCGCCCCGCCTTCGCCCCAGCCTGGGGGGTGAGCACCAGGAAAACCGCGCCCGCGAAGAAGCACACGCACAAGCACAAGGGACCGAGGAAGGCCGCCGCGAGCGCGGTGACGCACCACTGCAGCCTGCGCGCGGTGTACTCCGCGCGATTGCGCGAGCGGGTGCGGGCGCGCACCGTCGCCGCCGCCATACCCCAGCGGCAGATCAAAATATACGAGCCGAAGCCCGGCGAGGTGCGCCCCGAGTGCATGCCCCGCGTCCGTCCGGTGCGTCCTTCTCTTTTCGTGTTTGTGTGCGGAACTGATCATGTTTGGTTGCGCGTGCAGAGGGACGCGAAGGCGCCGCGGAAGCGCACGGCGAACCGCAGGGTGCGCGCGGACAAGGCGGAGCTGCTGGACATGCTGTTCCAGCTGTTCGTGGACAGGCCGCAGTGGTCGTTTAAAGATCTGCAAGAGAAGACGCGGCAGCCAGAGGCGTACTTGAAGAAGGTCCTCCCGGAGATCGCGTTCCTGCACCGCGGGGGGCTCCACTATAATTACTGGGAGTTGAGCGCAAACTACGGCGACAAGCAGGTCAGTCGTGTCGTGAAGCCGTAGAGGCAGGATCACTGACTCACTGCTATGAAAGGATACGAGCTCTGCAAATACGTCGAAGGTCGCAAGTCCGGAGGTGGCTGGGAGTGATGATGAGGCCGAAGACGAGGATGATGACGGCGACCTGGAAGAGGTGTATTGATAAAAGGATAGGATGGACGCTTCCACTCACTTAATTTGGCTCTGTACATTTGTATACTTAGAGAGACACGGACCTGTAGAGCAGGAATACAACAAAGCTACGATACGATTGATATAAACAGTACGCCGTGAGTATCGTAAAGCACACAGACAGAAGGCGTCGACAGCACTGCGACACTACCAAGAAAAGTCATAAGCATACCACAACAACACAGCAAGGCGAGGGGACAGAGAGACATGAGATCGTGCAAATCATGGACCATCATGTGGGTGGTCGACGTTGGCGTCGCAAGAATCGCTGGTCTCGGAAGCCCTCAGACCTTTTCGCCCTTCTCCTCACCGGTGGACACGGAGCTCGTCTCCGACTCGATGAGACCCATCTGGGAGGTGTCGTAGCCGTTCGCCTCAAGGTACTCGCGGAACTACACGGAAAGAACGGGGTCAGGCCAGAATCATAAACATGTCGCAAGGAACCGACTTTGAGATCCTCCGCGGTCATGCCATCGTGCGAGAGCGGGCGGACGAAGAAGAATGTGATGACGGCGCTGATGATCGCGAGGGCTATCGTACACAAGAAAGCATATTTGGTGAACTGGTCAGCGAAGAATCAGCGCACTGCACATACCGCTAGCGATCCAGAAGGGGCCAGTTTGGCCGATGTTGGGGTCGGTCGAGTGCGCCTGGAAATCTGCAACATCATCCGAAGTTAAGATGGCACACTGACATGACATTACAACCGACGGAAAGCGCACCGTCAACAATCCTTTGCCAGGCTAAGCGGGCGGTAAGTTAGCCTACTTTCGATGCAATCACAACCAGAAAGGCCTACCCCAAGTACCACCGAAGGCACCGATCTTGCCAATAGCGGCCGCAATGCCGTAGAATTGGCCACGCACAGCGGTCGGGCCGGACTTCGCCGCGAGCATACCCAGGCAGTTACCGGGTCCAAGCTCTCCGAGACTGAGGAAAATGCCGTAGACGACCTGGTCCGAACATAAGCCACAATGATTTACAATTATTCTCGTTCAACTCACCGCAAACGCCGCGATATGTTCCGTCAGGCTGAGCATAGATTTAGCAACCGGCCAGTGGTCGAATTCGCAGATACCAATTTACATACCGCGTGTAGAGGCCGCTCATGATGAAGCCGATGACAGCCTGTGATAGGAGACCGACGATCTGTGAAGGTAAGATATTATATCCATACCATACATATGCATTGACTATGCAGACATACCATGGTGTTCTTAGGGCCGAGGATGTCTACGACGAAGGCGCCTCCGACAGTGCCGGGGATGTAGAACAAGCTAGCATAACCGTGATAAGTGTGCATACCAATTCAGGGCGTAAAAGACATACTTGATCACAACAGACCAGCCAAACACCACGGAAAGCGATGAGTTGCCGCCAGTAATCCTTCATAGGTGTTAGACGATTCGTCAACAACTACAACAGATGGACTCACGTGTTAGTGACAGTCGACGAGAACAGCCCGAACTAAGGCACGCGATTTTGTTAGCATACAAGGTACCCGCAGGAATATGAAATCGCATACAGGGTATCTATGTATCCAGTCAATATGAGAAGCGCCGACGTTATAGAACAGACTTACGTGATGAAGTCGTAGATGAACCATGTCGCTGAGATGGCGGCCAGGCTAACCCAGTAGCGGCGGATGATCAGCATGTACGGGACCTTCGCGCGTGCCATAGAGTCCTTCTTGTACCGGGTAGGCTCCTCCATCCTCAGCCGCCAGAGCAGAACTGCGAGAGCAGGGATGACACCCAACCCGAGAGAGATGCGGAAGACGGCGCGGAGGTGGTTCTCGCCAAAGATCCAGAATAGCACCAGCGGGACGAACGCCGCGACGACGAAACCCGTGTCAATCATGCAGTCTACATTATAGCGGTCAGATCGTGTTGGCGCCCAGGCGCATATAGTAAGCGTGCGTACTGGTAGCAAGGGCAAACCAACGATGCTGCGCGTTCTTGTTAATGCCGGGTTCTTCGGACTGCTCTGAGGCCGCTACGGAGCCACACGGGTATTCTGCACCGATGCCGATACCGAGGAGGAAACTGCGAGAATATTCATCAGGACTGCGCCCGCGCTCCAAATGGGGAGAAACTCACCGACACGCGCTCAACATGGCGAGCATGCCGTTCACGCTGTGGTGCGCCCCGCTGGACGCTGCCGAAAGCGCGGAGAAGAGGGCGACGATGCCGGTGGCCAGCATCTATACGTCATGCGCAGGTGAAGCTCCGTCCGCAATCGGGGGCGATAGACGCGGTACGCACCATTCCGAATTTACGGCCCAACTTATCCGACAGATAGCCAAAGACGAGCATACCAACGACCGTGCCGGCGAAAGCGACACTACTGATCGTGTTGCTGTAGTTTGTGGTGATCTTCTCCGGGCCATATATACGCTTGAGCACTGTCAAAGGAGACGGTGAGGTTTGCGAAGGGGGCGTGTGTTTGCGGAGGATACGAACGCGTATTGACTGCGGAGAAGTGCCGGATATGTGAGTATATGCTCTGGCAGGAAGAAGTGTATGCAGGTACGTACCAGCACCGATCACGCCATTAGCGTAACCTGTAAGACAACCGTAAGAAAGAGCCGCAAAAATGACGCGTCCAGGACGCGCTCACCATCGGAGAAGAGGGCGGTTCCGCAGCTGATTGGAGACAGTGAGCGGGCAGCAAATGGCCGCAAGAGAACGTTCGAAGACGTACGCGAAGATGAGGGAGACCTGCGAGAGGCGGGGCTTTCTGGACAGCTGCGTTTGGTCGACACTCATGGCGGAAGAGGAACAGGCAGCGGCGGCGGGGGACAGGAAGTCAGGTGAGGTCGGAGCATGGCGGGGGTATATAAGGACGGGAGTGGGAGAGAGCGAGGGCGCGATAGAGGTTCCCCGCGTGCGACTGCCAAACTTTTGATCGCGCCTCTGATGGCGATCCATATCGGGGTGGATGGGCCTGACTATCCGGCAAGCTCTGCGCACGTTCGTCGCCAACGCCCGCCCCCACTGGCTCCTGCTCCCCGCCCGCCCCAGGCCATCCGCCGACCGACGTCTGTGAAATGGCTCCGTCGTCCCAGCCAAGTCCTTTCCGGTGTCTTCTCTTCTTCCCGAGGCGGTGGGCTCAATGAACTCCTCTTTGCAGCGATCTACGACCACGGCGTAGATTGCAGTCGGCCTCCTACTTATCGAACGCCCTGACGCGAATCGCGGGTAAGCACCGTCTCAAAGATTGCATCAATCCCCGGCCCTGCAGTCCATCTGTAAATATATTCATCTTTCTGCCCCACGGCCGAAGACCAGGAATGTCGCTCACCCGACCAACGTTCGCCGCCACCATGAATGCCGATTCTCCCTTTGAGCTGATCATATCTGTACCGCCGACCAGCGTCGCTGCTCGTGCGAGAAGCGAGCCAATCTTGTACTGTACCCTGAATCCAGGGACGAACCTCATCAGGACACCTCTGACCTCACACCAGCCACATCGCCAAAGCAGCGCCACAACGCCAGCTCTCGCCCATCGCATACATCGGCAGTGTTTCAATCCGAGACGCACATGCGTCACCGGAGAGGAGGGCGACGACTCGGAAGACACGCTCCGCTACATTCTACCCCGGAGGTCTTCAAATCGACTGCGGCAGGTTGACAGGCGGGCGTTGACACAACTCTACAGTCATAACCTCCACGGACCTTCTTATTCTGCCGAAACCTACCTTGTCCGGGAGCTCTCGGACAGCCATGTCCATATCACTTCTACGACGGGGAACTTCAATTTCCTGGTGGGGCCCACGGGTACCCTCAAACGTCGCCGATGTCCTGATTTGCAAGTTCGTGGATTTCGGTGATGTAGAGCAGTACAGAGGGGAACAGTCCAAACGAGAAATGGTGGTTTACTGGCCGGCACGAGATCAGTGTTGCATTGCCTCGGCGCCGCCGCCATTGCCCTTCTTCTTCGCAAGCTCGTTCCTGTAAGTGTGCACGCGGTCAGAGAGCGGTCACAGGCGGTAAGAAAATATGGTGACGCACCTTAGCTGCACGCTGAAATCATCTTCGATGTCGTCGTCGTCCCAGTTGTCCTCCCACAGCTTGTCCCCGCCCGACTTCGCCGCGCCGGGTGCCGTACCGGCCAAATGCGCAAGGTCCGTTTGTGAGTCGTCCCAGTCTATGTGTTGGACGCAAGTCAGCATGTATGCTGCAGGACGCGTGCAGGGTCAACGTGCCTGCTACCGCGAACTCCTCGAATTCATCATCCTCCTCTAGCACGCCGAGGTGCGGGACGTCGTCATCTTTTGTGTGTTCGACTGCAGCAGAAGTGCCCTGTACGGGCTGAGATGTTGACGCAGCAGCAGCAGACATGGTAGAGGCGTAGAGGTCAGAACAGACGCGAAGTGCAAGGTGGTAGAGAGCTGGTGAGTTTGGCGGAGGAATGCGACGCGTCAGTGAGCGGGTGAGCGTGGGAATCGAGACGCGTGCTCACGCGTCTCGGCGCCTATGTACGCGATCGCAATACTACAAGACAATTCCTTACGACTGCCTCTCATCTTGCAGCCCAACGCTGAGACAGGACTGGTTTCCAAGCTGCTATGGCAGGCTGGTGTGTGCTATATGCTGAATATGAACGATATGGCGGGCCTCCTTCAGATCAAACCACAAATAGTCAAGTACTCATGGCGATTGACTGGCTCTATCACGGTCGGGCTTTCCACAAATCCAATTGCAGCTGTGTTCTCGCCGGTGCGTCCTCCGAGATCAGACCAGTTTCCTGCGTGCGCACTCATGCAAGAGGACTCATCGCTTCACTATAGCTGGTTACCACGCGCGTATCACTAAAATCAAACTACTCACCGCCGCACTTCTTGGCTCGCACGCCTTCCGACCGCAGATCCTCGCCCGAGAGAATCGGACTTCACTGTGGCTGGTTCTGCACACCCTAGCATCCACAGTCACTCGGGATGACATCAGTCGGCTCGCGTGATCCACTCAGAAGCCAGGAAATGCCACCGCTATGGAAGCCCTCGCACCCTGTGTCGATAGCGCTTTACCCGCCAGTCATATCGCATATGTCGCTCTCCCACGCGTCGCGCGGTCTCATCAGGTCTCGTTCTGCACAATGTCGCAGGACCACATACCGCCGGGACAGCCGACGCGTACGCCAGACGGTGATGCTGGAAACGTTCTCCCAGAACGCGCTTTGGGCGCGTGGGTTGTGCGGACATTGGACCGCGGTCGCTCACCTTTGATGACAGCTCCCATTCATGGCGGGCGGGAGGAAGAGTATATATACCGCACATGGGGGCCCACGAGGCTGATCCTCTCAGCTCATTGACTTCCCTTTCACACAGCGTACTCGTTCGTTCCATACAGCGTCCAGCAAGCCCAACCCTCAATATGCCGACCCAGCTTGTCCAGGCGGCCGTCATATGCGGTATAACCTGGATGCTATGGAGGTTCTGTCGCCAGTGGGTCGTCAAGTCTTCTCTGGACAACATCCCGGGCCCGTCGTCGAACTCATGGGTCTATGGTATGTAGACATCGGTGCTGCCGTTGCTTGAAAGCTATCTAACTCCGAGCTTGTGCATAGGCAACCTATCACAGTTGCTCGCGCTGGACTCGTGGCCATTCCACAATCATCTTCTGGAGAATTATCCCGGCATCGCATCACTTAAGGGTTCGTTCGGAGTGAGTGTTGTCACATGTACGAGAGGAACTAGCCGGTAACATGACACTTCCAGTCGAAAATCCTGTACGTCTTCGAGCCGAGCGCCCTCCACCACGTCTTCGTCAAAGACCAGTACATCTACGATGAGGGACAGTTCTTCTTCAGGTGCGTTTGTCCTAGAGCCAACTCACAGATATACTGATAACCTGCCCTTTGTCAGGAGCAACGAGCTTCTCCTGGGCAAAGGCCTTCTCGCAACCTGGGGTAAGAATGTCGGCCGCTATCACGCCGCACTGCATCCTGACGCCCTTCCGCGCAGGTGACCACCACCGCAAACAGCGCAAGATGCTCAACCCGGTGTTCTCGCCGAAGCACATGCGGCACATGGTGCCCATCTTCTACGACGTCGGACGTCTCGTACGTAGCGTGCAGTGTATGCCGGCTCTGTCCCCCACCTCACCTCCCCCTAGCTCGTTCGTGCCATCGACGAGCGCGTCCGCGCGGGTGCCGCAGAGCTCGACATCAACGAATGGATGGGCCGCACCGCGCTCGAGTTCGTCGGGCAGGCCGGGCTCGGCTATTCGTTCGACCCGCTCGTTAACGACAAAGCGGACGAGTTTGCGTCCAGCTTGAAGTCGTTCAGGTGTGCTTCGGCCCTACACTCCGCGTACCAGACCTATCTGACCCCCGCTACAGCGGTGCCCTGGCGAAGGCCGCGATCCCCAGGCGCATCCTACCGTATCTCCCTAGAATTCAAGGGCCGTTTGCGGGCTTGGGCCGCTGGCTCATGAGCAAGGTCCCACACGATGGCGTGCAGACGCTGGTCGCGCTCGCGGACAAGCTGTGGGGACGGTCGACCGATATCTACTCGAACAAGAAGGTGGCGCTTGAGCGCGGGGAGTCCCTCGGGGAGCGGGTAGGGGACGGGAAGGATATCATGAGCACTCTGCGTACGTGCGCACCGGCATGCCGGTGCGATCCGTCATGCTGAACAGGTTGTTGCAGTGAAGGCAAACATGGAGGCCTCCGGAGAAGACAAGCTCGCGGAAGAGGAGCTGATTGGGCAGATGGGGTGCGTCCAGCCACGGTCGCTGCCTCCCCCGATTCTGATATCAGTCGTCCCGACACAGCACCCTCATTCTGGCAGCAGTGGACACGACTTCCAACGCGCTGTCCCTCATCATGACGCGTCTCGCCGAGCACCCGGACGTACAGCAGAAGCTCCGCGAGGAGATCCTCAGTGCTGGCGCAGACAGAGGCCTCGACTTCGACGCGCTCATGGGCCTCCCGTTGCTGGAAGCGGTCTGTCGCGAGACCCTGAGAATGTACGTCCTATCATATTCTTTTCGGCACGCAGTTCGCTCACACGTGGACCCCTATATAGCGACGCCCCAGTGACCCAGGTGTTCAGAGAGTGCGCATCCCGCCACCATGCCGCGCGACCCTAGGAGCTGACTACGTGCATAGGGTTAACCAGGATGTCGTGCTTCCGCTCTCCCAGCCGATCCGCGGGCGTGACGGCTCGATGATCCACGAGATCCACGTGCCGAAGGACACAGTGGTCGTCGCGGGACTGCTCAACTGCAACCGTAACAAGGCCATTTGGGGCGAGGACGCCTACGAGTGGAAGCCTGAGCGGTTCCTCTCGCCGCTCCCGTCCACTGTCACTGAGGCGAAGATTCCTGGCGTTTACTCGAATTTGTAAGTTAAGAACCATTGTAACACTAGTTTGCACGCCACTGAACCTCACTCGATAGGATGACCTTCCTCGCCGGAGGACGCGCTTGCATGTTTGTGTCCCCTTCAATTCCCCTCTGCACGCTGTGACTGACCGCTCCTTCTGCAGTGGCTTCAAGTTCTCGCAGCTGGAGATGAGTGGGTCTCTTAACGTCTATTGCTAGTCACCCCTCACTAACAAAGCCATCGCAGAGGTCATTCTGTCCCTCCTCCTGTCCAAGTTCACTTTCGAGAAGACGGCGCAACCGATCATCTGGAACATGGCAGGCGTCCGCTACCCGTCCGTTGGGAAGTACGGCGGGAAGGCCTCGCTACCTATGAAGGTCAGCCTTTATAAGGGCGCCGGCATTTGACAACACCAATCCGCTGTGTAATTTCTACCGATATCGCACGTTGCGCACTCGCCCGAAACGACTGGCAATGCTATATCAGCAACGTTCATATCACGAATGCAGGCGCGAGCACAATATACATCTCGCTCCAACTTGTGCCGTTGGATGTGCTTAGAAGCACTTCTTGTTCTTGTGCGTGTGCTCGTATCGTACGAGCGACGATGATTCTGCCTGAATTGGCTGGCTTCTTTCAACCTTGACTGCGTAAGGTGAGGTTCTTGCCAATCGTACGCCCCCATTTTACGTATATCTAACGAACGCAATCCGATATCTGTCAACAGGTTGGGCCGTGCAAATGCCCTCTATTCATGATTGGCACCAAGGCTTCCTGATACGAGTGAAAGCGCTAACCGTCTCACCCTTCTTCATCCCTGGAAGGCCGTTCGAGGCCTATGTACAACCGTCAAATATCCTTCCGACATGCATGCGGCCAAGCACCCCTTGGCCCCGTGCTCTCCAAGCCTGCTTCGTTGCCCCATGCAGGGTTGCCTTCTGCGTTGCGTACCAATGGCCGGTCGCCCACGCGTCGTCGCATTGCATTCCGTCTGTCTTCTCAGACTTCTGGGCACCGAATGGGCTTTCTAAGCAGGCGTCAATCGGTGTCCTCGGTGTATGAATACTGGGGGAGCATGCCAGAAATTACTGCGGCTTCGCTCACCTTCAACCCTCTTGCAACTCCTAGCCAGTCTTCTCCCCGCGATCGCCCAACCTTGCCAGCGTATTGTCTCTTGCCCCAGCATGATCTGGTTGCTCGTACAGGCGGTACTCATCTGCTTCGCCACATGGTTGATCTGGACGTTGGCTCGAACCTTCGCATTCCGATCACCGTTGGATAACATACCTGGGCCGCCTTCGGAGTCTTTTGTTTACGGTATGTTGCATGTCATGTACACTCGCCATCACTCTTACTAACGACGTTGGCTTAGGAAACTTGGGACAACTAACTGCCTTAGACTCATGGCCGTACCATGAGTACCTCGTTGAGAATTATCCCGCAGGAATTGCGAGACTGCGGGGTCCTTTTGGAGTCAGTCATCCTTGGTTCTCGCTTATAAGATGGAACCCGCTGACCCCTGGCCGTGTCACACTACAGGGAAGGATATTGTACGTCTTCGACCCGAGCGCACTTTACCATATTTTGGTAAAGGATCAGCATATCTACGAAGAAGGGCAGTACTTCATTCGGTATGTTCCCCCCCCCTGAGCATAGGCTCGATGCGGTGTTCACATAACGCAGGAGCAATGAACTAGTGCTGGGAAAGGGTCTGCTTTCGACACTCGGTCAGTAAATACAAGACTTTCCTGTGTATCGGTGTAGACTCACATGCGTCCCAGGTGAACACCACAAGAAACAGCGGAAGATGCTGAACCCCGTTTTCTCCCCCAAACATATGCGGCACATGATCCCGATATTCTACAATGTTGGGCGTACCGTGTGTTTGTCCAGGCCCCGCACGTATGCGGCGTTCTCACCGTTCTGGTTATGTAGCTCGTGCATGCCATCCGGTCCAGACTGTCCGACGGGCCCACCGAGATCGACATGGCGACATGGACTGGCCGCACCGCGCTCGAAATAATGGGTCAGGCCGGCCTCGGGTGCTCCTTCGACCCTCTTGTGAACGACAAGCCCGACGAGTACGCGGCAGCATTGAAGATCTTCACGTACGTCGCGTCCTTCTACATTTACCGCACGTCGAGCCAAGACGCCATCGTCCTTATTTAGTTACGCCGTCGGCCGCTCCGCAATCCCTCGAAGAGTGTTGCCGTACCTGCCGACCATCCGCTTTGCCGGGATTGGCCGCATGCTGGTCAAGCTGGTCCCTCACGAGGGCGTCCAGCTCCTTTCCCGAGTATCCGAGATATTCTGGGCCCGCGCGTCGGCGATCTACAAGGAAAAGAAAAATGCTTTGGAGCAGGGGGATGTTGCCGTCTCCCAGCAGGTTGGAGGAGGGAAGGATATCATGAGCATCCTCTGTGCGTCCTAGGCCGAACTAACAGCGTTCGTTCACTAACAACGTAGATCTTGCACAGTGAAAGCGAACATGGAGGTATCGGGGGACGAAAGACTCGATGAAGATGAACTCGTTGGGCAAATGAGGTTCGTTGTCCAGCACTACCATTTCTGGATCGAACCCTCCTCACACAACCACGCAGCACCCTTATCATGGCGGCGGTCGACACGACCTCCAATGCACTATCCGCAATTTTCACGCTTCTAGCAGAACACCCGGATGTCCAGCAGAAGCTTCGTGCAGAGATTCTAGAGGCTGGCGCGGACAAAGGATTAGATTTCGACGCCCTCATGGGTTTGCCTTATCTGGAGGCGGTCTGTCGCGAGACGTTGAGACTGTAAGCATGGCAGACAGACCCTTTCCGAAATCCATATTATCGTGCTGATGTACTACTAGTCATGCGCCACTAGCACAGGTATTTCGCGAGTGCGTTGCTCTGTTCCCAGAACCGGGCCTTTGTGACTAACGTCCCTCGTACTGCAGGACGCAGACGGACGTCATTCTCCCGCTGTCGAAACCGATCACAGGCCTGGACGGGTCGTTCATTCACGAAATCTTCATTCCAAAGAACACGTCAGTGGTAGCCGGTCTGCTGAATTGCAATCGTAACAAGGCGCTGTGGGGTGAAGACGCGTACGAGTGGAAGCCCGAGCGCTGGCTTGCCCCCCTTCCGACCGCCGTCACCGAGGCGCGAATGCCCGGTGTATACTCGAATTTGTAAGCATCTCACTACCTATATGCGGTGTCTCATATCTCACTTCTTGTTAGGATGACCTTCCTCGGCGGCGGGCGCGCGTGCATGTACGTACCCTGGGTTTGAAAGATCCGTGACGTACTCACTCAGTGGTCCACCTGTTGCAGCGGATTCAAGTTCTCGCAGCTGGAAATGAGTGCGTGCTCCTACCTTTCTCCGCTCATACAGCACTTGGGCTAACGATATGATGGTAGAGGTTCTGCTGTCCCTTCTACTCGCCAACTTCACCTTCGAGCTGTCTGACAAGCGCATCGTGTGGAATTTCGGAGGTGTCCGATACCCCTCCGTGGGCCAGAAAGGGGGGAAAGCTTCTCTACCCATGATGCTTCGCGTGTACCCCAGCAAGGAGTAGCGCGCTGATTCCTGACCTGGGCCTGTCAGTATATATACCGTGCCGGAACACAACTGTGAAGCAACGGGACGAGCAGCTAAATAGATTAATCGGAGCGTGCACCTGTATGGAGTGTCCAATACACGCGCCCGTACGTCGGCGACCGCAACGTCCGCCTTCGTCCGTATCATACTCCGTATCGTACAAATAAGCAATAAATCACACGCGCACAAGTCGCAATACACGAATGCAGAATGCAGGCAGGGGATAGGGATGTGCACGGCGGCTCTATCGGGCGGACGAAAAATGTGCCGTGTCCGTCATCGCACACTTCCCTGGTGAGTCCGAACGTACGACTCCGGAAGGCGGCTCTCCGAGGGCGGCGCAGTGTCATCGTCATTGATCCCGACCACGTCCACGTCTTCGTCCTCCCGCGCGGGCAGGTGGTACTCGTATGTCAGAGAAGCCTGTTTGGACCCCGGTCTCCGGCCCATATACACGCCGGCCATGTTTTGCGTCCTAACCACTGCTCTCTTCCTGCGTGGGGGTGAGGGCGTTGGGGGCGGCGACATGTCCCTGCGGTAGGGAGAGGGGCCGCTACGGGATGGCGGAGCGTCTTCGCGGTACGGAGAGGGGCCGCTACGGGATGGCGGAGCGTCTTCGCGGTACGGCGAGGGCGGGACGGAGGAGAGGGGAGACGACTGCTGCGTGGTGCTGCTGATCGTCCGCGAGATCTTGGGAGGAGAGGGAAAGTGCATCGACCCGAGGGACGAAAGTGGCGAGGATATCTCCGACAGCGTGCTGCTCATGCGGGACATATTGTAAGGAGACGATGTGTGTCGGGAGCGCGGAGGGGTGGATAGAGGCGAGGAGGTCTGGAAGGGTGGACAGGCAGCTGCTAAAGGTGGTGAAGCGCAGTCGTCTGAAGTTGGTGGGGAGGACAACGGAGAAGATAGCGGTGCTGGTGTGGTAGATGGACAGGGGAGCTTCTGCACAGACGTTTCAATCACGACTCCTGCCATAAACTGTGAGCGCGCCGGTAGCTTTATGGTGAGCCGCTTCGGATCGTCGCGGGACGATGGAGGCGTAGGCAAACTACCACTCCGTTCTTTCCGCGGCCTGCTCTCCTTCGGCTTCGGCTTCACTTGTGTCTTCCGCGCCTTCTTCGCAGGTGAAACGGGCGACAGCGGAGGCGCACCTGCCTTACGCTTCTTGGTCGGATGACCATGTCCGTCATTCTCAGAATGCGACTGCTCTTTCCGCTTCTTGCCCTTCTTGACCGGGGACTGATCTTGGTTCGCATGAGCGGCCTCCTCCCTCTCCTTCTCCTCAGCCTGTCTTGCCATCTCCGCTGCCGCCTCTTCCCTTCGCCGCCTCCGCTCCTGCGCCGCCTCCTTCGCCTGCTCCTCCCGCTCCAACTCCTCGTGCACCATCCTCGCAAAGCTCTGTGCGTCTCCTCGTATCCACACGTCGAACACACCCTCCCACTCTCTTGTCGGCACCGGGAAGTCGAGGTTCAGATACACAGTCCGCACCGGGGGCTCCTCGTCCTCGGCGGGCGAGCGGCGCGGCGACGGCGTGGGAGTCGCGAGGCCGTGGGAGGACGTCGCGGCATCTTCGGGCGGGGCATTCATCGCGTCATACCGCGAGCGCACGGCTTTCGAGAACTCGCGCACGATGCGCTTCGTGCCGGGAACGCGCAGGCTAGTGCCCACCACGAGAAGCAAGTCTGCGCCGGCCCGGCCCTTGCCCTTCGAGCTGCCGATCAGATCCTTCCGCACGACGTTACCCACCTCTTCGCCGTCCTTGTGGTCTTCGTTATACAAGACGACACTCGGGCGCAGTCGCCCGACCCCACGGGACCGCTTGCCCACAAGCTGCCGTGTTTCTTCTAGGGCCGTGCACTGTGGACATGGTGGGGGAGTACCAGACGCCAAAGGCCCAATGTAGTCGCGTAGAGGGTATGAATGTCTGCACGTCTGACAGTGCATCATTTGGAGGGTGCCATGGAGAGGGATGCATCGGGGCGTTTCCGCCGGCGGAGATGGTAGCCGGCCTGCGACTGGCTCTTCAGGTGGGTCGACAAGAGCAGTATTTGCCTTTCCTTTGGCAGGGCGGGGCTTGTATCGCTTGCAGTCGAGTTCCGGGACGCCGAAAGATAGGCCCGACTTCTCTTCTAGCGCGTCAATGTTCTGCGTGTAAACCCGGAGGAGCCGCCTGCGCTCGTCGAGAACACGGAGGAATCGATGAAATGGAGTGGGTTCCGCCGACTCCGACATCTGAGATAGTTGGGCGATCATTTGACAGAAGAGTGATGTTGTGTCTTCCGACTACAATATGAGATCATGATGTGAGCAACACTTCAACATGGAGAAACGAAAGAGGATAACGCGAGCCTTTTCAAACAACCATGGCTCGTAGCAGGTGGAATGGAGCTGCATAAGAGAAAAATGCACACATGCATGGTCGTCGTCTATACTCGAAGTAGCCACATTGAAGGATAGCGCGGGCGCGACAGCCTATTGCACTGTGGCGAGAAAATATGCGCGCCCATATTCGAGGGTGCGGCGCAGATTGACACCGAGGAATCCGAATTCTTGCGGCGCCGCATACGTTACCCTGCGGACGCTGACGGAGGACCCCAAATACACTGGGCGTTCTCTCTTCGCGAGGGCAACCGCTCGTGCATATTGCGTTGAGTGCCACGTCCGAGCAGATATCGGAGGCAATATAGTGGGTATATGCGCTCGGCCGTCGCGAGGAAGCACCGCCTGAGCATCATTACGTCCCCGACGACCAGTGTGGCCGCGAGGTGAACCGAGCTGACTACTCACGTTGAAGACGGAGGCGTCGAACAAGTCTTTCCCAGAGCTCAACGTCGGGTGGTCTTTCTTGAGGGACTGGAAAAGTCCCTCTGACGACCTAAAATCTGGGATCCCCGCTTGGACCGAGATTCCCGCACCTACCGCACCGAGCATTATCAGCATCGCGCAGCCTCAAGGGAGGGAGGATATGTACGTACCGCATACGACTGCGATACGGCGCGCCTTGAGGATGGTCTTGATGACCCGCTTGACATGGCTAGCGGAGTCAGCTGAGGGCACCAGAAACGATGGTGACGACGGTAAGGGGGCGGCCGCGTCCAGTGGGAGGAACGCCGTCATCGGGGGACGGCGACCGGATGGCGAGCGGGACGGGCGCGGAGACGAGCGGGGGCTGCGCAGGGACAGGAGGTGGGTGGAGGAAGAGAGAGGCGTTGAGTGCGCCCGTTCGCATTCCTCCCACTTGACGCGGTGGCGCGCCGTTCGGGTCGGGGCGCCTGCCTCCGACATTAATGCATCAACCAGCGGTTATCACCGTTTCTAACCATGGTCACTACTGCCACTACAATCTTCACTAACACGTCGGTTTCCACCTTGTGCCCCGTTAATCAAGGCTGTGGCCCAGACATCGCCGTCCGCGACCCCCCATGGTGCATTTGCGTCTATCTGCGCACTCACACAGGCTCACGGCGACACGACGCTGGCGTGCGCCATCCACATTGCCGGTACTTCGCCCTACTTCGCCTCAGCGTGCACTCATGTTTCATTAGATCCGTGGCATGCCATAAAGGCTACATGCAAGACGACGGGGACTACGCGGTACTTTCCATGGATCAGGAAAGCTCCGACGTCATGAAGTCTTACACGAAGCGTACGAGTCTGCATTGCAGCCGTTATGCATATTACTTGCTATGGCGCGGAGTGATTCCTGAACGCCTCAGCAGACCCTGCGAGCTCGCGGAAGCTGTCATCAAGTCATATCCGGTACACAGTTGAGACAAGTCGTGAGATCGATTACAAAGGTACAAGTACAATCCTCTTCTCAGTTCCTCTTCGTCTATTCCGACATAGCAGCGTTCACCGCCCGGTAGAGCGGTCCACATCGACGTCCTCTTCATCGTCAATTACTCCAGTCTGGCCGAGCTGGCGATCCATCTCGCGCTCCTGCTTGTAGGCATCCACGTCGACGCCCCGGGTGTACCCAGAGACATCTCTCTCCTCCTCAGTGGTGCTCGAGAGCAGGTCATCGACCTCCCCTGAGATGTATATGAGAAGTCGTCCACGTGCAAATATACTGAACTCACTGTTAGGGATCTGGCCGGACTGCTCAGACCGCTTGGTCTCATGGTCCTCCTTCTTGTAGTCAAGGTCGTCGTCGTACGCGGCGTTGCCGGAAGCACCGCCTGACTGCGGCTTGTACGCCTTGTCGTCCTGGTTGGCCGAAGCCGTGTTATGGCCGCGAGACTGGTTGACCATGGTGAATTGCGTGTTGTGAAGTTGGGCTTCGAAGGAAAGAGGGGATGTTGGCTATCGTCTGTCGTCCAGAGGCGAGGTATATATATACGACTGGATGCCTCCGCATCCGCCATCCGTGTGTTGACCTCAGCTCGACGTCACCAAGGGTCGGATCGTCGGGTAGGACGCGAGACTTGCCGCTTGCAGCAAGTCACCTTCTACAACAGGGAAAGTAGCATACGATCACTCCTTTCCACATGTCGGTATGACGGGTGGTGAAACGGTGAAGCAGTGACGATTTGCGGGACGAGTGAATACGGGAGGGTGGTCATAGAACGACGGACCATGGTGGAGACCGGGGCGACCGTACTAGGCACCTGGGCCGCGGGAGGGTGGTACACATCGGCCCTATGCCAGGTTATATGGATACGCATGCCCGTTACTTGCATCACAGTCGTGTGCTAAACAGCAACATACGTCTCCCTGGGAGGTTGACAGCACGCAGAGGACAGCGAGCTGGACAGCGTCGATATCGTCGAAAGCAGACGAGATCGAGTGAACCTGGTCGACGGGCCCAAAATTTGCACCGCCACCGATTCCAGTGGGCAACCGCGGCCGGCTGGCCTAATGGTTAAGGCGTCAGTTTCCGGTGCTTTCTTAGCCACTAGTAGCTGAAGATTCTCGGTTCGAATCCGAGGTTGGTCGTTCTTTTTGGACCCCTTTGTATGGGAGGAGTACTACAGTATCCTCGGAGAACGGACGGCAGTCTTTTTCTTCTCTTCAGGCCGTGAAACACGTTCAAACCTCCGAAGTGTCTGTCGAGCCTACCGTGACTGCGCCAGATTGCCTAAACGGGAAGGATGTCACGCGCGCTGTGGCTGAGTGAACGGTGCGGCATGTGCGCTGCAGCGAGCGCCGTTCCGCTGCGTTCTCTCTGTTCAACTCCGTCTTCTCTCCTCATCTCAACCTCGTCTTCCTGGCCGAGACGCTGGACCCGCCTCTCTGAGCCACAGAGGACAATATGTCTTTCTTCTCTTCCTCGTCGTCGAACAATCTCGTGAACAACGCCGCCGCTCCGGCGGAGAAAGATATCGAGGTCGCCGACCCCCCGACCGACTCCATCTCCTCCGTCGCGTTCTCTCCTACTGCGGATTATCTTGCAGTAGGCTCTTGGGACAACAATGTACGTGGAGAGAGCTTCGGCGACGCGTCGAATACGGAGGAGAACTGACATTGTACCCGGTGGCTAGGTTCGCATATATGAAGTTGGCGCGAACGGGCAGACCCAGGGCAAGGCGATGTACTCTCACCAAGGGCCTGTTCTGAGCGTATGCTGGAACAAGGTATGTGCTTCCCTACCCCGGAAAGTAATAGGTAGATATGAACCCGCGCACATCAGGACGGGTCCAAGATTCTGTCTGGGGGTGCGGATAATGCTGGACGCATGTTCGACGTGACTACAGGCCAGGCCTCCCAGGTCGCGCAGCACGACGCGCCAATTCGCGTCGTGCGGTGGATCGAGTCCCCGCAGGGCAGCGTGCTTGCCACTGGCAGTTGGGATAAAACAGTCAAGGTCAGTCGCTCGCTCTCTTTGTACTAGGGACGCGGCTAATATACCGGACTGGCTGCAGTACTGGGACCTGCGTCAACCGGCCCCTGTATCTACCGTGCAGCTCCCTGAGCGCTGCTATACCATGGATGTCCAATACCCCCTAATGGTCGTCGGCACTGCTGAGCGGCACATCCAAGTGTTCAACCTCGCCAACCCGACTACGCCATTCAAGGTACGTACCCGCCACACAGCCCATTCTGATCACCACGCCTAACCTCTATGCCGTTATACTCCGTAGACACTTGTTTCGCCACTGAAGTGGCAGACACGCGTAGTCTCCTGCTTCCCTACCGCGAATGGTTTCGCAGTGGGAAGTATCGAAGGCCGCGTAGCTATCCAGTGCGTTCTTTCGCTAGCTTCGGCTCACGTACAGCTCACTAACCTCTAGTCGCATTCCAATAGATATGTAGAAGAGAAAGATGCCTCGTAAGTACCTCCCTTGAGCTTCTGGTGTTGACTGAGCCACTGAACCACCAAACAGCAACAACTTCTCCTTCAAGTGCCACCGCAAAGACCAGTCACCGACCTCCAAGGACCAGTCGCTCGTCTACGCCGTAAACGACATCGGCTTCCACCCCGTACACGGCACCTTCTCGACCTGCGGTAAGCCCCGCAGCCCCATGCCCCAACGTCTCCCACCCGCTCACCCGCTCACGTCCCATGTCCGCAGGATCCGACGGCACCATCAACTTCTGGGACAAAGACGCGCGCACGCGCCTGAAATGTACGTCTGTCTCCCTCTTGACCTCGCACCCGCGCTGACCGACAGCATACGCGCCGCCAGCCTTCGAGTCCGCGCCTGGCCCGGTGGCGTGCTCGGCGTTCAACCGCGCGGGCACGATCTTCGCGTACGCGGTCTCGTACGACTGGTCCAAGGGCCACTCGGGCATGACGCCCGGCCACCCGAACAAGCTCATGCTGCACGCGTGCAAGGACGAGGAGGTGAAGCGCAAGCCCTCGAAGCGGTGAGACGGGCTGCGCGATACCAGTACGCGCAGTGTGCGTATGGCCGCTCGTGTGCCACAGTGGCGCGCGTGGTTCATGTTGCGACCGCCGCGAGCGTTCTATATACAGCCATGTTTTGGCCAAGTGGGGGGAGCGTTGGAAAAGCGGGCTCGTCGAGGGTCGAGTTGGGGGAGGGGGGGGTTTCTGCTACTGCTGTTTGTCTATCGCTGTAATCACAAGTCGTCCGCGCTGTCTGCGCCTCCGAGCGTTTCCTTGTACAGTGCTGTGTCGTGTCGTGTGCCGCCATGTTTGTCTTTGCAATCTCCTGTAAAAGGTTTCGAATTAAAGTTCCCGTCTCAGAGCTGTCCGCCCGACCTAGGGGAGCCTAGGGGCCACGATTTTAAAATTCTCGATCGCCTTAACTGCATTCAGCGACGGACGTCATTCAGGGTCCTCTGTCAAATTGCAGACAGATTGCAGACGGGCACACGACGGGAATGAGGTTTGCTCCTCAAAGACATGCATGCATTAGATGCTGGTATAGACGACAACCCTCGACAGCGGTGGGAATTAGGTAAAGCAGCACCCCCTACGAGTATCTATGAGCGCCGGGGCCCGCTAGGCGGGGCGCGGGCGGATGTAGTAGTGTACATTTGGCTGGGTCGTGGCGCGCATCGTGATAAAACATCCATAGAAAAGAATAAGCGAGCGAGCAGAGCAGAGCAGGGGAAGCGACGGCGGGCGGGGAAGGGGAGCGGATGAACATCACTCCTCCTTCCCGAGCGCGGCCTTGGCCTCCTTCGCCTCCAAGGCTTGGACCTGCAGCATGGGGTCGAGCTCGGAGAGCGGCTGGCGATACGACTTGCCCATGCGGTCTGCCCACGTGAAGTACTGCAGACGGAGGGGTGTCGGTCAGCTGCACGGGCGGAGATTGCGAGGACAAAGATAGCGTACCTGGCCGTAGTTCACCGTGAAGTAGATGTGGTGCAGCGTATGGTGCGCAGGGCCGTTGATGATCGTCTCCAGTGGGTGGCCGGTTATCATATCCGAGTCGTGGATGAAGATGGACCAGAAGTTCACGAACACGAACATGCCGAGGTAGAGCTTGCTGTGCATGGGGAACAGGAAGACGAACATGTGGTACGGCAGGCCTTGCGCGTAGCCGTCGAGCGGGTGGAACGCGTGCGACGCAAAGGGCGTGGGGACTGCAAAGTGAAACGTTAGTGACATCCGGGCGGTAAACGAGGAGCAAGACGCACTGATCCACTTGTGGTGCGGCTTGTGCAACCACTTGTAGCATATAGGGTGGTGCTCCCAACGGTGGATCCAGTATATGCAGTAGTCCGTGAACCCGAGGAAACTGAATATCGCCGTTAGTTACTGCGTGGCGCAAAGCGGATACGAACTACTCACAAGAACACGGAGAAGATCAGATACGTCCACCCGTATTTCGAGACGTCGTTGTACATCATGGAGTAGCCGCGAACCTCCGCGATGAACCACGGCAAAGTGAGGAGCGTCATTGTGGGGAACCCCCTCAAGCTCATCGCAATCTCCTGCTTGACCTGGTTCTTGAGGAACCGCGGGTGCTTCATCATCTTGTGGTCAAAGATGTACTTGTACGAGAGGCCGGCGAAGGTGAAGTAGAGTACATGGATGCCGACGAGCGTGACGGTGAGGAGGGAGATGATTTGGCGCGGCAGGTAGTCCCGCGGCCACGCAGAGGCGACGGTCTCGGAAGCGACCAAGGGCGAGGTCAGAAGTTCGTCTGGGAGCGGCGGATGGGGAATGTATGAAATTAGCTGGGACCATGCCGAAGAGTGGGAGGGGAGGGCGGGGACGTGGGAGGAATTGTATAGACCGGGCGCATTCGTGTACGCGGTTGTGAACGCTGAGACAGGAAGCACGGCGGCCCACGCCTTGTCGAGGAGGTAGTCGTCTGCGAGGTTGAGGAGAACGTCCATGGCGCCGGGGGGACTGGGGCGGCGCTGATGGTTTTGAGGTGTACGGCTGAGAGGGGAAGAGGCTGAGCGACCACGGCGAGACCGGGTGCGGCTCCGCGCTGCTTATATTCCAGGCGCGCGTCCCCAAAGTCGTGCCACTCTCATTTTTGACACATCCCTCTTGCATGTGATCAGATTAGATCTCACCAGCATCTAATCTTATCGCCCCCCGCGGCCTCCCGCAGTTTCCCCGCAAGGGTCCTCCCCACCCACACCCCGTCCATCTCCACCCCTTCCTGCTCATTGAATGCTGCCGCACGGTCTGGCGACGCACCACAAGGCATGCCTTGGCGCACCAGGCCGGCCAGAAGCAATGCGCACAAATCGTGCCCGCTCGCCCGGAAGGCCTGGTTACGGCCGGGGCTGGCCGAACCGGTCCCACCGTCCGCGCGTTGCCCCTTCCGCTTCCGCGCCCCGAGCGGCGAGCATGTCAGACCGTATTGCGCAACGTACGTCTCGGGCGCTGATATCGAGCCGCACTGACAGTGCGGCACTGTTGTGCGTGCATCGTCGTACGACGTCCGTTATCGCGCGTGTTCATCTCCGCTCCAGGCGCGACACCGTGGCGTCTCCTATGTATGTTTGTGCGCTCTAGTGCAGTCGCCGCCTCGGTGCCGAGATCAGGAGCCATAATCGAGTGCACTGGAGCGGGCCAGGGGCACTCCGGAGGTGTGGACACATAGTCGGACGATCAGCAAAGAGGCAGCAGTGACAGTATGAGGGAAAAGCAAGCAGCGTCCCGCACAGTCGTGTCCCCCCTGCGCGGCGCCTGCACGCTCCATGGCGCGTCACCGATCCGATTAGTCTTCCTCTCCGTATTCGGCCTCGCACGCTCACTTAGCTTTTGCAGCGCTTACCGGTGCCAGTGCCAGTACCATGGCAGAAGTCCAAGACGTGCTGTAGCAGAGAATAGGACCACAAGACCCGAGGTCTACGCATGTTGACTGCGTTCTCGCCGACCGACAGCTGTTCCGATTGACCCAGCTCAGCGGCGAAGGACTTCGCCAGAGACGCCTATGACGTCCCTGAACCACAACGAAGGCACTGCACGCGAAGACACGAAGCTCGCATGCCCGCCGCCGGCGAGGGGCGGCTTCGCATCGGTGCCAGTAGAACATGACGATATCAGGTGGCCGCGACTGCGATGGCTCCGCTGGCACCGGGAGGCCGTCAAGCCGTCCGTAGGTACCGAGCTCCTCGCTGTCGGGCTGTCGGACTTGCGGCCACCTCGGTCTGGACGCACAGCCGCATCTTCATACTTGTATTCTTACCTTGCCACATAGCATACATCCTTGTTCTCCACCCCGCCAGCCAATCCTCGCGCGCGCTATACTCGGTACATCAGCATCCGGGGCATGCATCTTCTCGCCCTCGCGCCCTGTGCCCACTGGCATTCAAATGTGCGCGAACTCGTCCGTGGCCTGGGACGAAACAGTCAGCACGATCATGGATCGCGACGTCGCAGCGCGTGATAGAAGCGGTGGGCGATCACGCACCTTGACAAGCAGCTTGGCGGTGCCCGGTTCGCGCGAAGAGTGGCCTGCGTCGGGCACAATGTGCAGCGTGATCTCCGGCCATACCTTCTTCAACGCGTATGCCGTCGTCGCCTGAAGTCACCATACATGGCGTTCAGTACCCACGTAGTATAGATGAGAACGTGCAGCTTGAGAATACGCACCGGGCAAATGACATCGTACCGGCCTTGCACCACCACGCAGGGAATGTGGCGGCTGCGGCACCGTCGCGAGTTAGACACCTGCCGCACCCACGGCCGTGGCTGCTCGCTTACATTTTATCAATTTCCTGCTTCTCAAGGAGCTGGCCGTCGCGCATGAATCCCTGGATGCCGGTGTGAGCACACAGGCCCTGAACACGCAAGTAGCCGGCTTACATCGTTGACGAAGTAGTGGTTCTCGATTCTTGCGAACGCGCTGCCGAGGTGCGGAGTAGATTAATGAATGTCGATGACGGGCGTGTACGTCAGGCAGACAAACTTGGCAAAATCATTCTCCTCGGCCTCTGCAACTTGTGCGGGGTCAACGTAGAGTTTCGACGTCGTCATCCTGCGTACGCCCGTCGGTCAGCAGCATTCTCACCGGAGATTGGAAACTACTTACTCCCATTTAGTCCATGCGCGCGCTGCGCGGAGTCGCGTCTCGTCGTCGGCCGCATTGAGCTGTGCATGGTACGCCGTGACGATGTCTTGGCGCTCGGGTTCCGGGATAGGTGCAATAAATTCCTCCCTGCCTTATATGTTAAGTAACATATATGACATTGGGAGAAAAATGCGTACCAGGCCTCTGGGAAGAGGTGCGAAGCACCGTCTTGGTAGAAGAAACGCAGTTCGCTATATGGCGGCTATCAGTGATAGGTTTTTGGTAGACAAGATCAAAGGGATAACCTCTTGCGCAGAGTGAAGATGCCTCGAAGAACCATAGTCTTAACCCGGTCCGGGTGAGACTACATCAACGGCGCCTTAGATAAATCTCCGTGAGAGGTAGCACGAATATTACCTGAGCGTAAGCCAGGGAGAGAGTAGAGCCCTACGGAGGAATAATCAGCTCGTGGATTCTCCTGGCAGGAGGGGCAACATACCCAAGAACCGCCGAAGACATGCCACTTGTCGATTCCGAGACGCTCCCGCAGCCTCTCAATGTCTTTCACCAGGTCCCACGTAGTGTTCTCCTCGAGAGAAGCCGTACTTCAATCGGGAGTTAGAACCGCTGCCTCCGCACGCCTTGTAGAGTGCGGACGACCGAAAGTAGACACGCACGGGGTTGACTTTCCGGCCCCGCGCTGGTCAAGAAGGATGATCTAGATATCCGCTCAAAGTAAGAGATATGACCGCTATACGGCTGGGTATTGTGCACCTTGTACTGGGAGGGATCGAAGAATGAGCGATCCTTCTCGTCGCAGCCTCCACCGGGACCGCCTGGAATCGATATTTGAGGTGAAAAAATTGATATAGTCCGCAGAGGGGGAGCTCTTTACCGTGCAGAAAGATCACTGTATAGGATTTAGTTCGATGGGTAACACGTTAGTGCGGGAATTCGGCACGTACCGGGCGAGCCGTCCTTGTTCCCGCTGATTTCATAGCTGCAAGGCGTTAATTCAGATGTTAAGATCTAGCTAGATAGATCGCTCATACTAGAGGGTATGGATGTCGGAGACCTTGAGCGTTCCTGTCTCATAAGGCTCGATTGGCGCGTACATGCTTGTTGCGTCAGTGGTATACTTTCTGAGATAACGTCTCGGATGATTCGAGTGAATCGAGCGTCCTGTAGCTATGGCGCGTTGCTGTGGCAGGTGAAACCGATGTCGCCGAACTTGAGAGATGGCGGAAAGGTTGATAGAAGGACGACCCTGGGGCCTAACGATAGCTTGTATGGAGAGGCGGAGTGTGGACATACAGGCGCTTATCTTCCACACCAAGTGATCCCCGCACCCGCGTCGAGACTCGAGCCTACCCTGTCCAGCCCATCGATCCCGGTCCGCACCAGCTCAAAAAGTTACTTGTTGACGAAAGCGGGATTCGAACCCGCGCCCTTTCGGACCAGATGAGTATATACCAATAGGTGCTCCTTAGTCTGGCGCCTTAGACCGCTCGGCCATCTCGCCGTACGAAGACAGGAGGGCGTTGACTCCAGGATGTCGTTATCACTAGGAGGGCGTCTGTTCGGGGGTAGGCGAAGATGAACGCTAGGAAAAGGTAGTTTGAGCGGAGGTATGAGGGAACGGATAGTGGGGGGAGGGAAGGAAGAAAGCTGCCCGCGAGGTGACGTCTCCGCTCAGACTTTATACCAACGTTCAGGTGAGATTCAGAAAGTGTGACGCGAGCCTCTCATCGGCGCTCAAAAAGGCAAGAAAGATGCCCGATATGGAGGGTCATCTTGAGTCGGTGATGTCATGACCGAGTCGTTTCCTTCATCATGTAGGTTGGAGCGGCGAGGACTGGCTCACGGCGCAAGACCGTATATATGCCCCCCACGACCCATAAATCGCCCACGACGGCATCTTAATTTACGACCACCATGACCTTTCACAAGAACCTCATCCGCCTCAAGGCTGCTGCCCAAGAATACGAGTGGGGAAGGACTGGCAGCGCGTCCCTCGCAGCGCGTCTCGGAGGCAACGCGATCGGACAAGGTTTCAAAATAGATGAGCAGAAATCATATGCGGAAGTATGGGGCATACACATCGACCTACCATGTTATAACTCACCGGTATGAATAGATATGGATGGGCACACATTCAAACGGCCCAGCACACCTCTTCGACGACCCGTCCACGTCCCTTCTCTCCCTCATCTCCACCGACCCCACATTCTACCTCGGAGAAACCCTTGTTCGAAAATGGCCGTCCACCACCCACATCCCTTACCTCTTCAAGGTGCTCTCGATCGAGAAAGCGCTTCCTCTCCAGGCGCATCCCGACAAAGGCCTCGCCGAGCAGCTCCAGCAGAAGGACCCCTCCAACTTTGTCGACGCGAACCACAAACCCGAGATCGCCGTCTGTATAGGAGAGCCCCTGGGAGAAGCTCGTATCGGAGACAAGGATACCGCGTTCACGGGCTTCGTTGGTTTCCGGCCGCTCGACGAAATTAAGACCTTCCTGCAAAAAGTCCCGGAGCTTCCGCTTGCCATCGGCGACACGATGCTCATTGCGTCGTTCATCAAGGACCCATCTACCGATCTTCTCAAACGGATATACGGCACACTGCTCAAGCGTGGAGTGGAGGCTCGCGGCGATGTCACCAGCGCGATCACCAAACTCGAGGAGCGCATCAAGAAGGGCGGGAAGCTCAGCATCCCCGACGGCGACGAGCTGGCGCAACTCGTCCTGAAAGTCAATGCTCAGTACCCAGGCGATGCAGGCGTCCTGGCCACCACGTTCTTCATGAACTTCGCAAAGCTCAAGAAGGGCGAGGCCATCTACATCGGCGCCGACGAGGTTCACGCCTACCTCGAAGGGGGTACGTTCTCCCTCCTATATCGCGTCCCTGTATTTAGACTAAATTGTGACTGCAGACATCATCGAGTGTATGGCCATCTCCGACAACGTCGTCAACGCCGCCTTCGACGCGCCGAAGTCCCTCGCTCCCCAGATCAGCACCTTCGTCGAGATGCTCACCTACACCGCGCGCCCGGTCTCCCACTGGGCCCTGCCCCGCGAACCGTACCCGCACTCGCGTGAGGGCCGCACGTCGCAATACAACCCCCCGCTGGAGGAGTTCGTCGTGCTCGGTACGCTGCTGGACAGCAAGAGCGCGGGGACGGAGCGGCTTGGGGCGGTGAGCGGCCCGACGATTGGGATCGTCACAAAGGGGAAAGCGAGGATCGCGGTGGGCAAGGGTGGTGAGCAGCTGGAGTTGGACGAAGGCGGGGTCGTGTTCGTCGCTCCCGGGAACGACATCGAGGTGGAGTTGTTGGAAGGACGGGGGTCAGAAGGTTCGGAAGGCGAAGTGTGGTGGTCGTGCTTCGGAGCATGAACACAAATGAAACAAGTAGAAACCCGATGAATGCAGCTCACGCTGTATAACACCCACGCTGCATGTAGCATAGTCAAGTCCCCTCACACATGTAATAGTCACCAACAGCAACTTCTCATTAGAATACACGTATCTCCGCTGCACTAGCAATCCATCTCCACACTTAAGCAAGCCGCAACAACTACTCAAAGCACTCCTCTACTTTAAACGTACAGCCACTTCCCGCGACCCGACGCCCACTGCGACAGCTCGCTCGCGTCGACCTCCTCGAAACGGCGGCGGATAGACGGGCGGAACGGCTCCTCCTGCTCGTCGCGCGGCCTGGGGGTCATCGGCGGCGACATCGGTGGCGACACACGATCCTGCTCGTCGACCACGATCGGGTCGTACGGGGACAATATGCCCAGGCCCGACCCGCCGACGGCGGTCACGTACGGGTGGTACCCGTCGGCCTTCAGGGCCGCGATGAGGGTCTGGAGATCCTCTTCCGAGAAGTCGTCCGGAACGAGGGTGACGGCACATCCTCCGCCGCCCGCGCCCGTCAGCTTCGTGCTGAGGTTGTAGGGCGACGCGGCGGTCTTGGCGCGGATCGCCTCCAGTGCGGGGTGCGATACGCCGAGCGACACCAGGTGGGCATGGTTCTCGTCAATGAGGGCCTGGAACGCAAAAGATCAACTACTGCAGTGAGAAAGACCACTGTAGGTCAAGGGACGTACCGCCAATCCTGAAAGGAGCGCGCCGCGCGGCAGCTCGGGGTCCGCAAGTGCACGTCTCGCCTCGTCACTGATCGTCTGTATCGCGTCCAGCAGCTGCGCGACGAGCGCCGGCTCGGCACTCTTCTTCCTCGCCACGCCCGCCACGAGCGCCTTCGTATCGCGCGGTACCGTCGAGTCCACCAGCAAGAACCGCAACGAGCGGAAGCCCTGCACATGCTCCATCCCGCTGCGCCTCCCGAACCCAGGGCGCACATACGCGAGCGCGCCGCCGAACACCGCGACGCTGTTGTCGATCCCGCTCGGGTTCCCGTGCAGCACCTTCTCCGCGACGAACGCCCACCGGTTCGTCTCCTCCGCGAGCGCGGGGGGGATCGCGCGCCGGCCCTGGTGCGAGAGGTTCACGTGCCCGGGGTCCCCAGGGGCGATGGGCTCGCGCGTGGGCGGGGGGAGCGCGGGGAGCTCCATGCGCTGGTGGAGGATGAGCAGCGCGGTGGCGACGCAGACGGAGAAGGAGGCGGAGGAGCCGAGGCCGGCGCCAATGGGGAGGGTCGAGCGGCAGACGAAGTGGAAGGATGGCCGGTGGCTGCTGCAGGTCATCATCATGTAAAGGTAGAGGAAAGCTACTGCGGCGGCGTGTGTCTTCGGCGGCATCTGCGACTCGGGGGGGAGGGCGCGAGTCTTGATCGCCTCGATCACGCGCATGTCTAGAGACTCGGGATGCTCGTCGCCTTTGGGAATCGGGACCACGGCGTCCCATGGCAATTCGTCCAGATCCCACTCATGTTTGTAGTTGTTGATGTCAGTGAAGTGTACGGAAATCTTGCCGTCGTGTCGAGGGGATGTCAGACCATAGCATCGCAAATCTAAAGAACCCGCGACGGCCGTCTGTAACGCAAGTCAGAATCTGCTTGTAGTGAACCAAGGAACACGTGACTTACCACACCATGTACGACAGCATGTTCGCCAAACAAGATCACCTTGCCCGGAACGCTGACAAACCACTCTCTGTTGTCGCGTCGGGGCTCGGTACGGGGCTCGCCGAGAGCGAGCTTCTCCACGGCACGGCTGATAGGGTTGGGAATGCGTACAAAGTCGTTCGCGGCGTAGGTGATCGCGCCAGCCTCGATCAGTGCATGACGGAGATCGTCGAGCAAGTCCGCGGGATCCTCGATACCAACGCAAAGGCGGATGAGGTCCTCGGGGAGACCACGGGCGGCCCGAACGGCAGGATCAATGGAAGCATGTCTGCACGAAAGCTCCGTGAATGGGCGTAGCAAGGCATGGTATGGAAAGCACTTACGACATGACACAAGGCATGCTGATTAGACTGTTCACACAGCCGAAGCTCACGCTGATGCCCCAGAGGCGGGTAGCAGCAACGATACGCTCGCTGAGCTCCTTGTCTCCGGTCTCAAAGGAGAGCACAGCACCATAGCCTGGGCAGAAACGCATGAGCATGATTTGAATCGGCGTAAAATGTTGACATACCGTCAGAGATACGATCATGAATCTCCTTCCCGGGGTGATTCGGTAGTCCAGGGTAGTGTGTAGCAAATCCAAGCTTAGAGAGCATCTGGGCCACCAGCATAGCAGTGGATTGTTGGCGGTCCATACGGATAGCAAGCGTCTTCATACCACGCAAGAGGAGGAAGGAGTCGAACGGCGAGAGCGCATTGCCGACTGAGTTTATCAGGAACGCGATATTCTGGGAAACGCTCAGACGCTGTATGGTACGACAGAATCCAAGCTTCGCTTACCTTCGCGATGTCATCGCGGTTGCAGGTGATGACGCCCGCCATCAGGTCGTGGTGCCCGCTCAGATACTTCGTGGCGCTGTCGTAGACGATGTCCGCGCCGTGCTCCAATGGCCTCTGCAGGTAGGGGCTCATCATGGTGTTGTCGACGACCACGATTGCCTCCTCGCACTTCTCCTTCACGAGCGCGCTGATGCCCGCAATATCTACGATTTTGAGGAGCGGGTTCGTGGGCGACTCCAGGAGCACCATCGCAGTTTTGCCTGGCTGGAGGACCGGGATGACGGACTCCGCCTTGGTCGTGTCGACATGGTGAACGATCACGCCCATATGTGTGCGAAGGTAAGTCAGGAGGCGATTCGTGCCGCCGTAGAGGTCATCTCCAGCGATGACTTCGGAGCCCGGCTTGAGCAGGCGTGTGATAACGTCGAGCGCGGCCATGCCGCTAGACACGGAGAAGGCATGCGCAGCAGACGAGATCTTGGCGATGTGGTGTTCTGCAGGGCGTTCAGTACAAATTCATTACGTCTTATTGCATGTAGCGCCTGTCATATTCGAAAGCGCGCATCAAAATGACTCGGGGCAGCACACAGAGCAGCAGGACATGCGCTTGCTGCATGTAATCCAAGAGTCCATAACACACAATAGATAGGAGCGATCCCTTGTTTTTCCTTTACTTCAAGAGCATCAGAACTCACCTAGATGACTCCGGGTGGGGTTCCCGCTCCGGGTGTAATCATATCTGTTCCCGACGCCCTTGAACGTCGCGCTCTGGTAGATAGGCACGCTAGAGCTCCCATGCTGGTCCTTGTGGTCCGCATCGGGCGAGTCGACGGTCGCGCAGAGCGTCGAGAAGCGGTAGGGCTGCCTCGGGCGAGTCAGAGAAGGGGAGTCGGGCTCGGGGGTCGGGAGATCGTGGTGCCCAAGGTCCTTGTAAGGCGACGCCATCGTCGACGGTGAGCACTCAGAGAAAACGGGAAAAGAGGGGGAGGTTATTGGCGAGCTAGACGAGAGATGGAAGGCAGCAGTCGGGGGGGCGTTGGGGTTTTGTTGGAGGAAGGAGCAAGTCGGGCCACCTGCTGTGTCGCGAGTAACAATATCCCCGCATCACGTGCAACATCGCCTGCAAAGATCGCGCAATATCGACCGTGTAGGCGCTCGCCCCATACCGGGCACCCGACTACGCACGGAGGCCGCTCGTGTGCCCGGTGAGCGACAGAGTTCGATACATACCACCACACGTGGACATGGCCAACGGCCAGCGTGCGCACTGAGGTGGAGATCGGGCGCCGTGCAAGCGAGGAGGAAAACTCCATTTTGTTTGCTCCAGGGATCCGAGAGATGTCCGTCGGACCATATATCTCAATCACGAGTCGGGGGTTACATATGTATTGGGACTTTTGCAGAACTCTGAGAACTCTCTCCCCGCGTCGCCTCTAGTGGCCAAAATTCGAATAGATGGATAGCATTATACTCTGCTCATACTCGTCAAGTTTCGTGGCTTGCTTCGCATTTGTTGTGCATCGAGGATGAGAACATTGCACATAAGTACCCCTCCTGACAGATGAGCGCCTAGCATACGTCGTAGATCCTTCACGAAAGATGCGCCGGATACCCCCTAAAAGAACATAGACGCATTATTTGGACATGTATGTTATATCAAGTCAACCCGATTGAAATTTGGGGCAGGGAGAAAACATATACGGCGGTTTTGCAAACACTTTGCAGAACCGGCTACCTAGTGCATATCTCGTCCCCCCCCCAAGCACTCACCGAAGGAGGCGCGAGATAGAGTCTGGCTACCTGGATGGCTAGGTTCAACTCAACCATCTCGTGTAGGATCGTAGCCCGCGGCGCGAGCAAGGGGTTTAAACCAGTGAACGTTGTGGATAATACAATTCGACTATGAAGTCTAGATACGAGGCAGGAAGCGTCCGTGAAGAAGAACGCAGAGACAGCGGGACACAGGTACCAGTGGTGGGCAACGAAGACTAACAAGCTACAGCTAATGCGACGGTGGGCGTGGGCGTGGGTGGGGCGGGGTGAGCTATGTGCGACACGTACAGTAGGGGCCAGGGATATTATAGACAGGGTAGTAGTGGTAGTCGGCACCGGTTCCTCGGTGGTCAGTATGCGGGGCGCGAGCATGCAGGACGGAACGGGCGGGACAGACGACGATGGGGCGTAGCTGGTCAGTGTTCCTGCGGGCGAACCGGATCCGCGTGGGCTATGTGGTGCTATATGTGGTGGGTGTTCAGATGGGCGGGGGACGTGCGATCGAGCGGCGAAATGGAATGTAAATGCGACGGGATGAGGCGAAGAAGGGTGCTTCCAAGATATCCTGCACTTGGGTGCGTAGGCGAATGGTAAATGGCGTGAGGAGTCGTGGGGTCATGACACCCCGAGTTTTTGGAACATAGTATCGAGCGTCTTGAACGCGACGGGCTTGACAAGGCTGCACAAACACCACATTAGCGCCGCACACGACCACCTCGAACGGCGCACTTACTATCCATCAACGCCAGCCTCGAAGGCCCTCCGCTTATCTTCAAGCGAGGACATGCCTGTCAGCGCGAGAATTCGCGAGGGCTGCACGTTCGTGCCTTCCTTCCCTTCCTCCTGCTCCTTCAGGCGCCGCGACTCTATCTCACGCATCTGCGAGGTCGCGCCCACGCCGTCCAGGATAGGCATAGATAGATCCAACAGAACGACGCTGAGAACGCGGAGATGAGCGTCTGCGTCTGCAGTGCGCCCGAGCAAAAATGTACGTACTCAAAGTGGCCCTCGTTCTCAAAGGTCCGGACGCCTTCTAGACCGTCCACAGCCTCGCGGTACTCGTAGCCCTAAAACGCGAAAAAGGTAATCAGAATCCCTCGCCGAACGCTCGGACGACACGCAGGCGCACCATGTTTTTGAGCCATTTCACCCTGCGAACATTCGATCAGCGAGAGCGCGTAAGTATAAGAAGTGACAATGCACGTACAGCAAGTTCCGCAATATGCTGTTGTCCTCGACTACCAGCACCCGCGGCGGCCCACTCGGCTCGACGGTGCCCACGGACGACTTCAGCAGCGTCCCGCCCATGCCCACGGAGATCGTCGAGCTCGACGGCATCGGCGATATCTGCGGCGAGTTCGGCGCCGACTCCAGCTCGCTCTCGTCCTGCTCCGCCGTCGACGGCATGTGCGCCCAGCTCGCGAGCGGGTGCGCCGTCACCGCGCGCGGCCCGAGCGGCGGGCGCTGCAGGAACGCGGACGTGCTGTCGCCCGTCGCCTCCTCCGAGTACTTGCCCGCGAAGAAGCCGCCCTGGGGGAGGTCAAACGAGGACGAGCGCGAGGGCGACTCCGGGCGCTGCGCGGGCCCCTGGTGCAGCGACGGGCTCGGGCGCGGGCCCTTGCCGATGTTGAGCGCGTGCAGCGAGAGCTTGAGCGCGGACACGAGCCGGCACGGGCCGACGGGCTTGTACACGATCCTGCAGAAGCCGCCGATGTGCTCGTACTCGTTCACGATCGCCATGAGGCGCGGGTCGCCCCGTGCGGACGAGAGGATGATGAACGGCCGCGCTGCGTTCTTCGCCTCGATCGCGAGCGTGACAGGGGTCGGGTCCTCGTTCACGATCACGATGTCGCCGCCGTCGTCGTCGTCCGTGAGCGTGAACCCCCAGTCGGACTCGATGTACTGCTTGAGCACTTTGCGGAGGAGCTGCACACCGCGGATGGATTCGTCGAACGCATGTAGTGAGATCGTCGGCCGCTGGCCGTGTTCCAGCACCTTGGCGAGCTCGGACGCGAAGCTTGTTGGCTCGCTGGGGCTGTCCACCGCCTCCGCATTGAACGTCACCTTGATCTCTGTGCCCACGCCCTCGGCGCTCCACACATCGACCTTGCCATCCACACTCGGCGAGCGCACTATGCTGTTCACAATGGCGAGGCCGAGACCCGTCCCGGTCTGGAGCGGGTTCTCTTGTGAGAACGGGTGGAAGAGTTGGTTCTGCAATTGCCAAGATGAGCTTGCGTTAGTCTCCCCGATTCCGATCGCTTCTCACCTTCAGGAAGTGTTGGCTGATACCCTGAGCAGCAACACATCAGTTCTGACCACCACATTACGTCCAGCTCTGTGCCTGCGTACCTTGCCTGTGTCGATAACCGACAACTCTATCCTGACCTTTCCCCGCGGCGTGTCGCTCGTGGGTGGTAGCTGTCTCAACATTACGTGCACATAACCGTCCTGCATGCATGGAAGACCGTCAGTTCCGCCCTTCTCCCCCGCACAATCTCCCCGCACGACGCACCGATGTGAACTTGAGGCTGTTCCCGAAGACGTTCATGAGTATCCGACGGATGCCGCCCTTCTCACATCTAAATGTCCACCCCTACCGGGCGAGGACGCAGACGCGTAAGCACGCGGCTCGGATAACGAGCAGCCCCGTAGGGCGAAGACACATACAGCTTCACTGTGGCCGACGTCTATAACCGTCTCGACATGCTTGTTCGACGCCGGGACCACGGCGACGGACGACTGGCGATCAGACTTGGGTGGTGAGTACACACTGCCGATCTCGCTCGTGAACATGCGGGCTCGGTGGCCTATCCAACAGCCCTCCGTAGCCTCCTCCACAAGCTGCATCAGGTTAACTCTGGGGACACAGATTACCCGTCAGTCCATGTGAAGTAAAGCTGGTTATGAGAAGACGCACCTGCTGAGATGGATGACGTTCTCTACGCCGCCCGCCTTTGCGTTGCCGCTGAGCTTCGTGAAATCTAACACGTGGTTGACTGTCTCAACAAGCGACGTCCCGCACGCCTGCACGGTCTGCAAGAACGACGCTTGGCTGTGATTCAGGGACGTCTCCGAGAGGAGCTCAGCCGATGCGAGAATCTGCGTAGAATACCGGTGAGCGGCGCATGCTTAGTGACAGCACTCAAAATGAGCATACCCCGTGTAGCGGTGTGCGGAGCTCATGCGAGATGCTGTCATCGCCAGTCAGTATACCCGGAAGCGAAGCGAGCCGAATACGACACGCACTTCGAGATGAACAAGCTCTTCGCCTTATCCGCGAGGATCATGCGCCGCTTGAGCACCGCAGACAGGATGATGACCCCTAAAGCGTATCAGTCAGTCCCCGGAGCCGACCTCGCGGCAGAAGTCGCCACACATACCGATCGCGCGGAGGTACGAGAGCTCGTGGCCCTCCAGCTGTGCGCCGCAGCCCTGTATCAGTAGTGCTCTAGTACATTCATCCCGCCATGCGATGGAAACTCACGAATGGAGTCGTCCGCTCGCCGGTGCTGTACGCGCAGAGCAGTGCGAACGGCCGCTTGTCGATGTTATATATCGGCACCGCTGTCCAGCCTCCGCCGTTAGTCCTCTCCTCCTCCCTGCCCTCCGCGAAACCACCTGACTCACCGAGCACGTATTGTATCCTCGCAGGCAGAAAGGGGCGTAGGCTGGGATGGACAACGCCCTCGCAGATCTTGCCCTCGGGATGCTTTGCAAAGAACTCCGCGAGCTTCCGGTACTCCTCGGTGTGCAGACTGCGGCCGGTGCTCTCTAGTGCGGGGTCCGCGTAGTGCATCGTGAGCGAGGTCGATGACTCTGCACCGACGGTCTCGAGCACGTCCACGTGTGAGACGTCCATGATGATCGCGTCCTCAACGTCGAGGGTGCGCTTGACGAGTCGCGCTGCGAGAACGTAGATTTCTTCCATCGATGTGGGTCCGACGAGCTTCGTCTCCGGCGTCTCTTCGTCCGCCTGCTTGTCCACCTCCAGGCACTCGCGCGTGAACTGCTCCATCGAGCTCTGGATGCGGTCCCGTATTCGGATTTGGATCTATGAAGGGATGGTGAGATTCACGGATATGAGAAGACGATCGTGTGTACGAACCTTGTCTTTCCAAAGCTCCAGCTCTCGCATGGCGATTTGCTACAAGCCTGTAAGCAACGTGCAGCAATAATTTGTTGTGCATAGCATACCGCGAACTCTTTGAGGGTATGCCTTTGACGTGGGCTAAATTCTCGCCGTGGAGTGTCGTCCATGAGAGCGAGACTACAAAAGGCAAAACAGCAGTGAGCATAATGCTTGCGCTATTGAGCTAGCAAAAGTTGTACTGACGTTCCGATGTTGTGTCCATCATGGGTACGTAATGGACATCCCGCATAGAAACGAACGTGCGGGTTCCCGATGACAAGAGGCTATATAGCCGTGAGTGAAGCTTTCTCTAGCAGCTTTCGGCCACACTCACATTCTTAGCGAACCGCCAGTCTTCATAGGCATCGAGCACAACCATCGGCTCGTCATCTCTGCGGACACCGTCAGCCCCACGCACCGCAAAGGCGCAAACGGAATACTAACTGCCGTAAGATCGAATGAGCGCATAGCGAACTTGTCCTCGCCATGTTCTGCACGTCAAATCCAGCTGGAGGCAAGCAATCTCATCAGCACCTTACTTATCGCACACACTCCCGCTCAGACACTCACAATCCGACTTGCAGAACCTGTGCCAAGCATAAGTATGACCCCTCCACGTACAACCGCACACACAAGAAACACTCACTGCTCATTGCCGTCGATCAGCGTAATGATGACGATTCGCGTATTGAACACCAGCTTCACGAGGTGAGCGATCCGGTCGAAGTTTGGGTCGCGCCCCGTGTTCCATATGTTATACTTGTACAGCGCCCTCCGTCGCTCGAGCTCGGTCGGCGGGTTCGGTGGCGCCAGGTAGCCTAGCTCCAGAAACATCTGCTCCTCCTTCGCCGCGCGGCCCGCGAGGTTACTCACCACGCTCTCCCCGGGAGGCCTTGCGGCGCGCAACCGTCGTTCATAAATCGGCGCTGTCGGCAGCGGGGCGCTCGTCTGGCGTGCGAGGCAGATCCGCCGCGGCAGCGCCGGCACCGTCAGCGGGTCCGTGTCAAACGGCGGCGCGCTCGACTGCCGTGAAATGTCCGTCAGCGGGCGGGACACGCCTGCGCTCGACGACGACTGGTGGTCGCTGCTCCCCGCCGTCCCTGAGAGCGTGTGCGCGGAGCTCGGCACCCCACTGAGGATGCGCGACGACTCAATCACCCCAAAGTAGTCCTCTTCGGGCGGCTCGTCTGACCTGCGCACGGGCGCGGTCGCCGGCGGGAGCACGCCGTTCGGGACAGGTCTCGGCGCAGCCTGCACGGTGGCGGCGGTCGGGCGCGCACCCACGTCGGGCTTTTGATCTTCCTGGATGGTCGCCGAGGGCGGTGGCGGGGCGGCCGGGGCCTCCTGTGCCTCGCCCCCTGCGATCGAGTCGGGCGGGCTCGCTTGAATGGTGGCCAGCGACGTCCCTGGGTGCGCCGGAGCGTCCTCAACATCCTGTGTGCCTTGCCAAAAGCTGCTCAGGCGCGTCTTCCGGATCGTGTTCGGGGACA